CCATGTCAACAACCCTACTGGGTGTCAGATATTGGTCACGGTGCCTCATATGCTTCAGATTCTGCTCCTTGCTCCATCGAATGCGAAATCATGGTCTTCTCGGGTCAAACGTATCATATTCGACGAGATTCACTGCATTGGCCAGGCTGACGATGGAGTTGTTTGGGAACAATTGCTCCTTCTTGCTCCGTGCCCTATCATCGCGCTCTCAGCTACTGTCGGCAACCCGCGAGAATTCAGCAAATGGCTGAGCAAGACTCAGGAGACAAACGGTATCCAACTCGAGATGATAGAGCATCATCACCGCTATTCAGATCTGCGGAAGTATATCTACAGTCCCCCACGAAAGTTTCTCTTCAACGGTTTGCCAGTCCGTCCACAATTGCCCTCTGTCGGGATCGATAACGCACCTGGTATGAGTTTCATGCATCCCGTGGCAAGCTTGGTAGATCGCACAAGAGGGATACCGGACGATCTCACTCTTGAACCGCGAGACTGCTGGACGCTGTGGAACGCCATGAGAAAGAACGAGACACAGACATTCCCCGTGGACAAGTCACTTGACCCTTCAAACTGCCTGCCACCGATCGTACGCAAGGTTGACATAATCGGCTGGGAAGCTAAACTCAAGGCACTCTTGAAGACTTGGGTGGACGATCGTAAGTCTCCCTTCGAGATGGTGCTGAGAGAACTGGAGCACCCCGTGAGGAACGCTCGGCGGCTAGAGTTGCAGACATCTTCAGGTAAAGTCGATGAAGACGAAGTCCCCCGTTCGGTCAAGGAGGCTGACTTCCTCGACACCACTCTGCCTCTTATCTGTTCGCTCCATGACGAAGGAGCCCTTCCCGCACTGTTTTTCAATTACGACCGGAATGGATGTGAGCTCATATGTCGGTATCTGCTTCGAGAGTTACAGGGTGCGGAAGCTCGCTGGAAAGGATCCAGCAAAACTTGGAAGACTAAAATCAACAAATGGGAGGCCTGGAAACAGAAAGAGGAAAAACAGTCCAAGAAGAAGCCACCCAAGACATCAAAAAGAGGCACCTCCGATGACGAACCGATAACACGAGCCGAGCGGATACGGGAGGCAGGCTCGGAAGAGTCAAACATCCTGGAATCCTTCGATCCCAACGTTCCAGTTCCTGGATTTCACCTCGCAAACATGCAGAACCTCAGTCGCTCAGAGTTCCAGCAGTACGCTAGTGAGCTCGAGGCACGCTTTGTGTCAGACTGGCTGATTGACGCACTGAGGCGAGGCATCGGTGTCCACCACGCAGGCATGAACCGCAAATATCGTCAAGTGTGCGAGATTTTGTTCCGCAAGGGCTATTTGCGTGTAGTGATAGCCACCGGGACACTGGCTCTCGGTATCAACATGCCCTGCAAGACTGTCGTTTTCTCAGGAGACTCGATATTCCTGACGGCTCTCAACTTCCGCCAGGCGGCCGGTCGAGCAGGACGTCGGGGGTTTGATGTCCTAGGTAATGTGGTTTTCCAAGGAGTGCCATATTCAAAAGTCTGCCGGCTGCTTAGCTCGAGGCTCCCAGATCTCAATGGTCACTTCCCCATCACGACGAGCTTGGTTTTGCGCCTTTTCATCTTGCTGCATGAATCGAAACACGCAGAATATGCCGTCAAGGCTATCAATTCGATCCTCTCATGCCCACGCATCTATCTGGGTGGTCCAGAGTCGAAACATACCGTCTTGCATCATCTGCGGTTTTCTATCGAATATCTCCGCCGCAATCACTTGTTGGACGTCTCTGGTGCGCCTCTCAATTTCACTGGATGTGTGTCCCACCTGTACTACACGGGAAACGCAAGTTTTGCCTTCCACGCATTGCTCAAAAATGGGTATTTCAGCAATCTTTGCGGAGATATCCTTGTCAGACCTAAACAAGTTTTGCTCACCTTGATGCTTGTCATGTCACACCTCTTCGGGCGTCGATACTTGAGACAGTCTGTTGTGGAGTCGCGCCGCGCCGAATCACGGCGGTCGTCCTCGGTGGTCGTCCTCCCACCTCTGCCGGAAAAAGCAGCGAGTATTCTGTTGGCCCACAACGATCAAACACTGGACGTATATGCTGCTTATGTGTCAACCTACATCGATCAGCACGTCAAAGAGCCTGACCACAACCTACCACTCACTGGACTGAAATACGGCGGAGACAAGCCATTAGACGAGATCGGCGTGCCTATATCCGCCCTTCCTCCCGCCCGCATCAACTCGGCTTTTGTTGCTCTCTCGGGCCATCGAGATGAGTGGAAGAGTGTCTCCGACCTGTGCAAGATGGTTCGCAGTGGTGTCTGGCTGGAGGAGGCCGTAGTTCCCTATGTCGGGACTTACCCGAACGAGAGCAGTGCACTTCTGAACGCCTATCTTTACGACTTCTTCAAACATGGCAACGTGGTTGCCCTCGAGAAGGAGAATGGTGTTCGTAAGGGGGACATCTGGTTTGTCCTCAACGATTTCTCTCTTGTCCTTGCGACCATCGTGACCAGTCTAGAGAATTCTCTGAAGCTTTCCATACCAACGGGAGCCGAAATGGGAGACATCATGGGCTTTGGTGATATGCGCGAGTCGGAACTCGATGACAAAGCCCTGGAAGCCGGTTCCAAGGACAAAGACACTCCCAGTTCTTGGGCACTGCCAAGTCGAGAAGTGCCAAAGCAGGAATCCACCTCTACAGAGGCAGGATCCAGCATTGTGAAGAAGAAGCCGGCTGACAGCTGGGAAGATGAACTGAGTGACGATGGCGAGGAAGACGTGGCCGGGACCAATGGCGCCATTCCAGGCACCATGGGCGAGGCGGTCAAGGCGGCCAAACTGGAAAAGAAGCGTCTTGCGAACGGTACAAGGAGTGCGAGGGCACAAACCCAAGAGGCGAAATCGGACGCCAGCGAGGCCGAGATTGGGGATGGAAATTTGTTGATGGTTCTGAAGGCGTTTACCATGCTTCAAGACGAGTTCAATCAGAAGTTCAGGGCAATGTGGGCATAAGCGCATGGGGTAGAATGGATGCTGGTACGAACGGTTCCGTGGGACAAGTTTTGCTGTGGAATCCCATTCTCCATTCAACCTCACGGGTTTCCTGTATGATCGATCTCGAGTCTGTACAATTATGTCCAATCCATTGGGTTGGCTTGTTTGATTCGTGCAGGGGAATTCGCAACATAGAGGGACAAAATGAGGGCGAAAGTAGAAAGTTCGGTACCTGGATTACTCGAGAACGAAAAATTCTAATTGCCGTATACGGTTTGATTCTCGAGGGTGAGCGAAGGGCGCTGTAACCTAAGCGCTCCCTGAGCATTCCCTGGGCAAATACACAGAGGACCTAACCTGGGCCCCAACGATCGGCTATACCCGCCTCTCGGCTAGGCATCTGTTTCAGACAGGCGTCAGGAACCTGGCAAATTGCCTAAATTTCCTTGTGGAAAGTGACGGTCGTGTGGGCTATGCTACAATGGTTGTACTGGTCTGACAGAGGGAGAATCGGAATCTTACGGGGCTCGTTTTGGGATTCAGAGGGTGCTGAAATAGATCGTCATCAAGTTGTGGAATCTCCTTTGCCGGCTGCTGGGACCAAGATGAGCATGGCTTTTCTTTCCTCTTCAATGCTGCAATCCTTCAGTTTCTCAATCCTCACCGTTTGCACAGATGTGTTTGTCAAGAAAGCGGCATCCATGGAACAGGGTATGTTGGGAGTCGCAGAACCCTGAGATAGTGACCGATTCATAAAAAAGTCATAGCAGGTACAATAGAAATAGGCAGCAGCATTTTCGAATTTAGATACGGTAGAGGAAAGAGGTCACTACGGAGAATCCTAGTTTTCTATTCTTAAGACTGGCTCCATCTTCCTCAACAGTAGCTACTCCGTACCCGTATCTTTTATAGTGTAAGGTGAAATACGTATCTATTAGGCTAGTATTACTCTTCCCTTCTCCTGTTAATTGTGCTGTTACGGTATACAGTCGGTTATATATCTGTATCTGGTCGTGCTTTTAGTAATAGGATGCGAGAGCTTCGCCCATTAATTCACAATCGGCACGTCTACTTCATGTCGCATAGAATGGCCGAATCAGTGACAATTCATTAGCCCCGTCCATCTACGTAGGCGGCGTATTGTAGAGCGCTCAGCTTACGCTCTCGCTTTCCCTAGCAGATTGAACACAGGGAGTACCGTCTACGAGTAGAGCTTTCAGAGACGAAGGCTTGAAACGAATAGGCAAACTGCCTAGCCAGTTAGAGGCCTAGATCGCGCGGCCACCGTGCACAGTTGGGGGGATGCGCCGAGGCGCCTCGAGCATAATTACTGCGGACCTTGCAGATTCTTTCTTATCGAGCGGGAAGGGCAGTTCGGTGTCAGTGGGGTGGTGAGCCCACTCGATCGAGTCAGGCGTGTCGGATAATTAGGCTGCCTCCACGTCAGCGTTGTCCAGAGAAAGAGCATTGCGTTCCCATGCCCCTTGACCTAAAACTTCACGCCAGTGGCGCATTAGCGAAGCTGACTACACATTACTTATTAACCCATCAAACTATGCATCCACTCCGAGCACGTAGCACGCCAGGCTTTACCGATCGACGTTCCGCTTGAGTCTGCACTTGTGACTCCCTTTCGTTTTCCAGTCCTGCTCTGAGTATTTCAACACTTTGCAGTGGGGAGTCACACTTGTTTCATGTGCTCCTGATTTCACTATCTACTTTTCGTCCACGGCATGGTCTACTGTGGGAAACCGTCCAGAGGGTGCGAAAGCTGCCGGCGAAGGAGAATCAAGGTACGTCCATGTCATGCCTCTCCCAAGCTCAATTGCGCTGAAGGTTGAAACAGTGTGATCAACTGCCGGGTGGCTGTGGTCAATGTGCTCGGCAATCGTTTGAGTGCTCAGGTTACCGGAACCAAGGAGACCTCATCTTTCGGGATGAAACTGAAAAAGTGGTCCGAAAAGCCAAGGAACCCTGCCAGAGACCAGCTCGAAGAGGACGTAGATGGCAGCCCAATATGTCGGCATCCGACTTCACGCTACCAAGACATCCTGGTGTTCCAGATGAGACCAATGGCTCTTCGGTAACAACACCTAAATCTTGCAACCCCAGCTCAAGATTCGATGCAAGAATAAAGCACGGTAGTCAAACCCTGTCTATGGATATACAACTGTGCGGCTATCATTTGGATCATATCGAATCGTATGGTGGGCGAGAAAGAGTGCGCGTGCTCCACTGCCTCGACTACTGTCAGTCCCCATTGCGCGCTGCAAATGCTCCTGTGAACGAAGACATACTGACGTGTTCAAGATGCCAATTTTTGTGGCCCCAATTATGTATGGAGGAACGAAGCCATAGCAACGGGCTCAATCCAACACTTTGCGCAAGACTTTTTTCAGCTGTCACTCGCCACGCCGGCTCTTCTCGAGACCGTCCTGGCCATATGCCAGGCCGATCTCGATCTCCGTCACCAGTCTTGCCGCACGCCTAGTATGCGAGTGCTACAGCATCTCACCACGGCGCTGGGGTTACTGCAGCAGAGAATTTTGTCAGCCGACCTGACTGACGACAAATCTATTGCTGCTACGATCGTGGGATTGATCACTATTGATACGATATTTGAGGATTGGCCATCGTACCACGTCCATTTGAAATATCTTAGAGCGCTCCTTGTATTACGTGGAGGTGCCGAAAGCCTCGGGTGGCAGGGATGGTTTGCCTATGCCTACTCATGGGCCGAGTTAAGATGGGCGGCACAGTTGGCGCACAAAGCCATGGCGGATACAACAGAATCTTTTCCCGGCGACCAATTCGAAGATGATGTTCGGCCATTGCATGCAGACTATTTCCTCCCGAGAGAAGAGCTTCCCATGGGCTTTCAGGAACTCGTTGATCTGGGTCTCCTACATGGAAGTATCGTTGGGCTTTTGGAAAAGACCGCGGGCTGGGTCAGTTGCACAGTCTCGGATTACAACGGGCTTTCCCCCGGCGGGTTGAATATCCGAGGCCTGGCTTTGGCAAGAGATTTCGCCAGCATCATCCACTCCTGTCCTGAAAGCCAACTGGAGGTCCTATTATGTATAGCAATGGTGGCATATATCATATCACTCATCGAGGGCCCGGGAGGTCACTCAAGAGGCTTGGAAGATCTGACGGCAAATCTTCAGTTATTCGACCTACGAACCTTCGACATGCCCTTCCGTCTATGGGCTGCCAGCGCCGTGGCAGCAGCCAACCCAACGGTGCCTTCGCCGCTACCTCACCGTTGGACACTCATTGATCAAGTGATGACCTTGGGAGTATCGGTCGAAACCTGGCCCGAAGCGGTCACTGTCTTCAACAAATTCTTCTTCTGCCAACATGACGAGAAGCAATGGGAAAATTGCTGGAATGCTGCTTTGGCGAGAAATGCATCATATACATCATGAATTGATTCAAGGTCCTAAATTGCCGCAACCATCCTCAACCACATGATATTCCATTTTGTGAACTACGAAGGCTGCATTTGCAACGAAAGGGCCTCATTTGAAACCTTTTATGACCTTTCTATCTATCAATCGATCGGCCGCACGAGCGCGTTAGAACGTCGTCAACATTCACGCCATCTGATCAACGTTCAAAGTCCTGACGAAAGGAGAATTAGACAAAGCAATCATTTCCCTCTATGCGAGCCGCTCGTGCTCACCGGGTACGTGCGGGTCCGATGTGCTTGATGTTTGATGACGTCGTGGCTGAACCATTCCGTCAAAGCAACATTGAACACGGCGTTTTAAGATCTACGGAGCCCTTTCCTTTCTAGGTATGCATGTCGGTGCCCCACTCCCGGGCCCTTTTCTTTCTGGGTAAGCATGTCGGCACCTGCGCGCCACCGGTCACCCTATTCGGTATAGACCTGCAATGCTACCGGCGCAGCATGTCAGCACGATCGACACTAATAACCAAGGATAATCAACTCCGTTTCGCGACTCTGTGGCCTCCACGTTCGAAGCTATCTGGCTGTTTCTGTATTAGCTTCTGAAACCTGAAGAATGTCACACCTACGCAGGAGTTACCAAGGCTGGTATATCAATCGTCTGGATTGACTTTGTTTCCGAGCCAAACTTACTGGCTCTTGGTCGTTGAGGTCCTAGGTAAGCACGTGGGGTCTAACCTAAAGGTCGGGCAGCATCAACTATCTTTAGGTCGTTCCAGTTCAAGTGAGGAGTTCGCTTGTTGCTTGCAAGAAAGGCCCTACGATAGAGGGTGCCATAGTGTATTGATGTGTCAAAGGAGACTTCCACTACCGAGCATGGAGGGCAACCTACCTTATAAAGTCTAGAAGAGGACTGCCTTTCTTTTACAGGCCGTTTCAGGTACATGTCGATTTTTGTCACTCAACAAATGGCTAAGATGGAGATTAAGATCCCTCTATCACTGTATTGCCTAGCGGCAGTATCAAATGGCGCCTTTATCCACAAGTTTCCCTCGAACAACTCAGTCACGTGCAACTTGTCGTCTGTTGCAACCTACCTACTTCCCTCCTTGAATGGGAATGTCTCACAATCCTTTCTTCAAACCAAGACATCAACCAATTCTTTGGCGCATTGTGAAAATGCCGATCTGATTAGTTACGATGACGAGTTCAGCGCGTTGTTTGCGCCTAATGCGTCCCTCGACCTAATCTACACTGAACCCAACGGTGAGCCCGTCGCAGACGAAATGGGCATATGGGTCTGGGACCACGGCCAAGTCTGGATGGCTTCTGCTGGAGTAAACAAAACCTCATACGTCAGTATCCTGGATTTAAACCAGAAGACAGTCACGCAGCTGAAGTCTGCCAACGGCATCGAGGTCCTTAACCCGAATGGGGGGGGCTATTATGACGGCAAGGTCTATATCGCCGGCGATGGAGACGCAACAACTCCACCATGCATCTACATGATCGATCCCGTCACATTCCATACAGAGGTTGTCATCAACAGCTACTTCGGGCTACGGTTTGGGGGACTGAATGATCTTACGTGGGCATCTCGCGAGGGGAAATCCTGGCTTTTTTTCACCGACGACCCTCTCAGTGCAGTCTACAACGGTGGACGAAGCCCACAAGTCCCTGACGCCTGCTGGCGCTGGGATCCTGTGGAGGAAACGCTGCTTCCGGTCGTCGACCGCACCGACGTTCTGGTCCCGAATGGTATTCGAGTCAACAAAAACAGCACCAAGCTTTATGTCACTGACACGCCAGACCCCCTGGTATACGGTGCAGGAGTGGTGCAAACTTCTTCCGGGGCCGAGGTCTTCACGGGTAGCCAGAGCTCGGCCATTTATTCCTTCGACATCGACGAGGACGGGAATCCGTCTAACCGACGACTTTTTGGCATTCCCGAACGTGGAATCGCCGATGGGTTGCATCTGGACGACGAGGGGCGTGTATGGACAGGCGAACAAGACGGGATCGTTGTGCGAAGTCCCACCGGAAAGGTGTTGGGGATGGTCAATTCGCTGGCAATTCAAGGAGTCAATGTTGTGGATACGGGCAAATCTCCGTTACAGAACTTCGCTCTGGCGGGAGATCTCTTGGTTGTCCTGGCTTTCGATCAGATCTACACCATTCAATTGAGCTCTCAGATTGTTTCAGGCATGACATGATAATAGTAGACCCAAGGAATACAATACTGTTGTTCTGAAAACATCGAAAATCCAGGCACAGATGGCCAGAAGCGACGTTCACAAGAGATGAACGGTTCACCTTGAAATTCTTCAGAGTCCGCTAACATATTATTACCTAGATTGATAGCTCCAAAACGCAGTTACTGTAAGTAAGTGCCTTGGGATAACACCCGGTCACGGGGTTCGCGAGACCTCCGAGACCTGGAGAATGGCTTTTCCGACGTTTCGCCCCGAAAGTACACCCAGAAATGCTTCGACAGCCTTATCCATTCCGACAACGATGTCCTCTTGACTGACCATCTGTCCCATTGCTAATAGCCGGCCTACCCGGGTCTCGTGCGTCAGAGACCAGTTCAACATGGGTTGGTCGAAGACAATGAAGCCTTGCATTGTCAGCCTTCGCGCTGGGATCTCCAAGAGGTTCGCAAGCCGGTATTGTGTCGTCGGATTCCTCGTGTACTGGGAGGCACAACCACATGAGACTGTTATCTTGTGTCAGCTTCTCGGAAGTAAGTGTCATCTTGTTCTGGACAGCCCTTACCAATTCTACCATTGCATTTCATATCCAGCAAGGCTGCATCTAGAGCTTCGCCGCCGACGTTGTCATAGAAAATGTCAATGCCTTCGGGCGCAAGCCGTTTTAACGCAGCTGTCGGGTCCTCCTCTTTGTAGTTGAACCCATCGTCGAAATGTAGGGTTCTCTTGATGATGTCTAACTTCTCGTCGCTACCCACCGACCCAATGACTTTCAAACCCTCGACTTTGGCCAGCTGACCGACGACCTGACCGACACCGCCGGCGGCCGCTGAAACGTATATGGTTTCTCCTGCAACAGGCTTCCCAATCGCGAAAAGAGAGCTGTAGGCTGTCAGGCCGGGAATCCCGAGAGGGCCCAAAAAGGCTGTCAGAGGGAGCAAGTAAGGGTTTTGGATGTGCTGAAAGGTAGTTACTGCGGAGGCGCGTATGGCAGAGTACTCTTCCATCTCCCCGAAACCGATGACCAAGTCTCCAGGTCTGAAGATTGGACAATCGCTCTTCAAAACCCGAGCAATGCTCGTCTCGGGGATTGTTTGGCCCTCTTCGAACGGAGTCATGTAGCAGTGATCGTCTGATGATACCATGCGTAGCCGGAGCCCGGGGTCCAGCGAGAAGAACAGGTGGGCGATTGTAAAGCCACCGAGCGGTGGAGCGGCCCCAAGGTCAAACGTGCGGGTTTCCACAGCAAGGTTCTCCTCGGTCAAAGGCCATCCGGGACGTGGTGCTTGCTTAAAAATGAAGGTGCTATTCCGCGCCATACTCATCGTTGTCGTTGTCGTTGTCGTTGTCGTTGTCGTTGTCGTCGTTGTTGTCGTCGTTGTTGTCGTCGTTGTTGTCGTCGTTGTTGTCGTCGTCGTCGTTGTTGTTGTTGCACAATTGAGAATATCGTCTTATACGTAGATTTATATGTTCATTCGGCATATTGCTCCTGATCTTTAAAGGGAATTTTTACACCAGAGATTTTGAAACGGCTAAGTTGGGTTCAGACATGTTTTGGCGTATCAGAACCCCTCTCCCGATCAACATACTTAAAAGGGCTATCTCTTCGTCAGTGGAGGCATTTTAAGCCGAGATTTGGACGCAACGACGGTTCAATCTGCAACCGTCACTCATACGAAAGGGCAGGTTAGGTTAGAGCTGATGATGTGCAATGTAAAAGGCGTCCTCAAACCCCGTATCGCACGACGACATGTGATTTGGTCTCCTGGCCCGTCTGCCGTCACGAGTCATACACGTCACGTATCTGATACCGCACACTACTTGGTATGTACTGTGGCTCAGATTCAGCATTTCGGGCTTGTGCTAGGGGCACGGCAAGGCACTCTCAATGCAGGCTTATGACCAATAAAATTTATCTCTTCAAGGAACTCAGAGATTTGTGCCGTTGTCTAAGCCGCACTGAAAGATAAAAACCTAATTAGGGAAACCAACAAAATTACCAATTTCAAACCCGTTTTGTTTCTAATATGGAGCAACCTTTCTCCATATGAAGCCTTCATATGTTTCTCACACTTGGCAACGTCAATGTGTCCGATGATTATGAAGAAGTTGTAAGAAGCTTTCTACCATTGGCTGACCGGCCGTACATTTCCACAGCAAAGAATACTATGATGAATCTGAACAAGCAATCCAACAGCATGGGATCACTAGTGTAATGGGAGAAGTTTGAAGTGGTGGATAGTTGACTAGGGTTTTGACACTAGTCTAGGGTTCTTCTTCTTCTTAGACAAGTCCTCAGGGGACAACATTCATAGACATACAATCAATCAACCAAGTTACCAATAGAGAGACCTTTGTTTTGCTTGTGTGTGCTGTGTGAGAGGCCATGCTCACTGCCGTACGAGTTGACGCCCATGGCTAGTAGCCTCGCCCCAGTTCACTAGGAAGAGGAGGCAGATCATTTTGGCCTTCACCTTCATTAAAGAATGAGGCCAAGGAGAGATATACATCTTGGTATAACAACCCCAAGTATGTCTATGTCTATTCAGACACCATCTTCCCGACCAACTATCTATTTCTCATCTTCGATTACTCGAATTGATTGTCTCCAGGAATTCCGTTTCGTGATTTTGTTATCGTGTTATCGGTTGCTCGAAAGTCCATTAGTGGCCGTCTTGCCTCGTTCGAAGTGGGAAGCAGTCGTATTGCTTAGACGACAGACCGAGAAGTTTTCCCGGATGGATGAAGTTCATCAACAATAACGTAAGAAACATAGGAGCGGCGTCAAAAACATAGACCAACCACTCGTGATCTTCGATGTATTTGCTTCGAGAACCGCCCTCGGGAGCTGTAAATTCAACAAGCCGGTAGATGATTCTGTACTGTAGGATATTCATGTTAATAGTGTCTGAGAGTGCCTCCAAGGCAAAGTTGGGGCGTACCGAGATGAGCAGCAGAGACAACTGAACGGCATTTACTTGCAGTCTTGCCCGCCGGTAGGTGATAGTTGGAGGCATGTGCCTTTTGAGCTTGGATATCAAACGCATCGTCAGACAGAAAAAGTAGATGATCAGTGCTTCTTGGAAGAGAACACCTGCTGTTACGATGTGAAGGCCTCGTTTCGCCGTCTTTGGTGTCTTTGAGAGTGAGAGTAAACCACCGCCTATCTGGACGAGAAATGAACTGCCGCGATTGTTAGATGTTGTCTACATCAGTCGGTCGACAAAAGGAGAACCCTCACATTATATCAAAACAAACAAACAATTTACCCAGAATTGACCCCTTTAGGCCTAGAACTCGTCCCTGCGGAAGGAAGATCTTGACAATTCGTGATGTGATCATGTAATCAAACGCGTTGATACAGATTGGGGCGAGCAGAATCAGCAGGAAAGAAGCATCATAGGATCCTTTTTGCGTGGGATGCCTGGCTGAGAGAATGCGAAAGACGTAGGCAGCCGTTTCCCAGAGTGCGCCCACGAACACGACCAAGCAGAACCACTGGCGAAATCGAAAAGCCTGGAAGACGTGAATCAAAGTCGTCAGCAGGAATATTATGGCAAAGACTGCCGCCGCCGCCACGGACGGACAATAGCTCCATTGGTTTTTCGGGTCGGTAGGAGCTGTTCGATGTCAGTCAAGGGTCGGTCTGCTTGAATTGCGCCTAACACATACATAGGCAGATGGCAGAAAACATGATGGGTAACTTGCACAAAAAGTCGTCAGGAGCGGTCAGGTATTTTGATGGTTGAGCCGGTAGAGGTTCTGTATGTTGTTCTGCTCTTCTCCCTTATTTGAGATGATAACAAGTACCAGGAACTCTTGCAAAATAACTCTGTGCAGGAGGAGCCTACTATATACAGCCGAATAGAAGCAACGAATCTCAGACTGCGGCATTTTGTGTTCACCTAACGACCCTCGTTGTCAGCTGTAGATTTGTCAAAACGAGAGGGATACCGAGTGCGGAACAAGCATGTGCGTCCTTGACCAGGCTGAGCAAGCACCGCTTTTTCAATTCAATCCTGCCATTGTCGCGGCTGAGGCTTCTGCCAAGCAGCAGATGTAGCGTTCCACAAGTGAAGCTCAGTCTCATGGAGCTCTCTGCAAAGGGGAATATCAAGCGCGGTTCTGGATCGGCGATTTTCTTACCAATATCGGAAGGCGCCTCGCCGGCATGATTGGTTGGATCTTGATTGGATCTTGGCTTACGCTTCAATTAAAAAGCGATTGGTGCGATTTTTTCTCTGACGACTCCTCGCATGATAGACCCTAGCCTGGTTTGGCTGAGCCCATCCAAACTCGGAATTTAAATCGTCGGTGGGCCCGACATCCTGGCTGAAGCTAAGACTAGGAAAGGGCCGACGAGAACGAGGTTGGGATTTGGCTGATAATAAGAGCCAATCTTTTCAAATGTGTCCTATGACGAATCTGCCGAATTGCGCACCTAAGTTGGAAGAAATAACGGTTATGGTCTTAATAGTGTGACGACAAGACCGGTGGAATAGTACTCTGAAGGCTGATGTATAAAGCAACCAGATGACTTTAATTTCCCTCGAAGGATGGCAACTTCTTCACACTCCCTATCTCATAGCATTCTGAACAGTTCCAACAGTTCCTCGACATGAGCAAATTCACCTACACTGACGGCGTTGCTGTCTGGAAACTTGTCTATTATACTCCAGCGCTCTTTTCCAGTCTGTTTGTGGCCTTCAGACATGGATTTACCAAAGGCTCGGGCTGGATCTATCTCACCATCTTCTGCACAGTTCGGATCGTGGGCTCCGCGGCGCAGCTCGTTTTGATTTCGAAACCAACCTCACATGGAGCCAGCACGACTGCGTTGATATGCTCAGTGCTGGGTCTGTCTCCGCTTTTACTTGCCTCGTTGGGTCTCATGGCCAGGACGTGAGTCGTGGCTGTTTGTTTCCCAAAAATCCACTAACTTCTGCCAGATATTACGGCCTTCTACGACAACCATACAATACAATCTTCTCCCTCATCGTGCTCAAGCTGGTCCAAATTCCCGCGGCTGTTGGCCTGATCCTCTGTATTGTCGGAGCGACAAATGCGAAATCTCCGAGCTCAATTGACGACGACACTTCCGTCAAGGTTGGAGTCATCCTATTCACGACTGTATTCGCCCTCCTGTGTATTTTGTGCCTTGGCGCATCTGTTGTGGCCCAAAAGATGGAACGCGGAGAGGGCCGGACGCTTATGATTGCTGTCGCCTTGGCATTACCGTTCATCCTGGTACGGCTAATATACGCTCTGGTCGCTACATTCGGTCATAATGTCGATTTCACACCTGGGAATGGGTCGGCCCAGGCGGTCACCATCTCATTGTTCATGGAAGTCTTGGAAGAGATGATTGTTGTGCTTTTATACGTTGCGACTGGACTCAGACTTCCAGCGGTGCCGACGCATATGGTCGGGCAAGGGGACGTACTAGCCTACCGCTTTGGGCGCGGTGACTTCAACGGTGGCAAGCTAGGATTGCTTTCACTTGCTGCGGCAGTATTATTTAGTGTTGATGCAAAGGCCGGCAAAAGGCCAGAAAACCGACGTGGCACAGCAAGAAATTCTCGAGGAGCCGTCCCGATGGCCTCACAGGCTCCACCAGGGAGAGTTTGAGAACCGCGGGAGCATATGACGCAGGAGCAAGCAGGAGAAGAGGCCAGCCTGGCCAGGGATAAGAGTCTTTCCTCTTTGGTGATGTAACTTTTAGCAGACCTCCGTAATACGATCACAATTAAGCCATGACTGGTAATAGCTCGGTGGTCATGTTCCTCTGGACCTGCTGTGCTGAACTGAACGCGCTCTAATATGCTCGTACGTGAGGATTTCTGCGAGAAATATGGCAGGGCAACTCCACCAAATCATTCTCATACAAATCCGAAACTAGGTATGTGCACAGTTCTTGGCCCCCTTCTTCTCCCCGGGAGGGATCGTGGCCAGGCCAAAAAAAAAATCCAGGCGTGAAGAATCGGCTGCCAAAGACTGATCAATAACCCCTACAGCCCAGCAATTGTGCCCGAAAGTGGGCATTGAGGGGACAACCTGCGGCGCGGCCATTTCCCTAAATGATCTTTGCCTGTGTGGAATGAAGCGGATCTCTATGAAGCCACTCCAGTCAGCTGGTATACATAGTAGCCAATGTTTCTCTCGCATATACAAGTATTCACGAGGCAATAAAGGATGAAAGAAGAGGCTTTCATGCAGCGTGACAATAAGGAGAACAAGAAGCTATTTGAATTTCTAGTAGAAACGAGTGGACGTCCCCGACCACACCTCGGCGAGAGGTGTTCAAGCTACGGTAGTGGCATTAATGCGCCTTCTGGTACCCTCTACTTGCTCAAAAACTTATCCAAAAAGTCTCCTTTGCCGCCCTTTCCTCCTGACTGCACCAAATCCATGCCTTTTCCCAACAGAGGAGTAATGTCGAAGCCTCCAGAATGGTTGGACTGGGTTGTCGAGGCCCCATTAGCGGCAGTCACAACATCTCGCTGTGGACGAAGCTCTGCCCTTTCATACTGATACTGACTTCCGGGTTGGCCTCTGTCGTATTCAAAAGAGGAAAAATATCTTGGTTCCCCCGTCTCACCGTCGGTGAGGAGTCTTCGTTGTCCCTGGTTTTGAGGATTTTCCCACTGACCTGGGCCTGAGTTAGAGCCGGCATTCTGTTGGCTTTTCCACTCCTGCCATGCGACATATTCCGGGTCGTACAGCTCGCGTCGTTGTGAGGTGTTTTGCTGGCTGTCATTAGTCGTGCGGGACTGTCGGTGCTCTTGCGTTCTGGTTGACGGTATATGTCAGCATGGCTTCTCAAGCACGAAGTTCAGAGGCTGTCGGCCATACTTAGCTAGTTGCTTGATGCCATACATGGCGGCACCACTCATCATAGCCGTCTTTATGATACCCATGGCTGGTTTGATCGTCGAATCGAATTTTAGCTTTGCGAGACCAAGAGGTTTCCTGGGAAAGAGGAGAATGGGCTGCTCAGTTAATGATCAAGGTATTTAGGCGTTTAAATACTTGTTCCATGGCTGAGCCGTGCGGGTCTTAAGAGCAGTTTCCTGCCTTTGGTTGCATGTTACGTGCTGCGTCATCGAGTATTGATGCTACGTCGCATACCCCCGCAAGACTCAGCATCTTCTGAGGATCCTGACTCGGTATGAGCGGGAATCCTATCTTGGGCACGAACTCGTGTTCAGTGCGCAACAGTCCCGTGGAGCTCGAGTGCAAACAGTGCCGAGATCCACAAAGCGCTCAGCTCCGGCGATGTGAAATACCACATTCGGCTAGACAAGTTTAACGCTTGCGTGAATTTGCGTTGAGCCTCTGATCAGCCACGTACTCTTGCCTAAGGAGGTTACTGGGACTCGACTAGGTGCGGACCCCTATGATTCCAACTGGAGTTAGTCTTTCATTATATGAATTTGCCCTGTCCGCAACACGAGTATGGTGCTGGTCAGTACGAGCACTACAGCGGCAGTCCAGTTTCAACCACAGAGAATTTTGGTGACGTGGCTGTAGGCGAATCTTGTTTCGCTTACAATCTTCCACGCTCTCGTACATGAGACTATTCTCACAGCAAGTCACCCTGTTCTAGATGTCGTCACCATCACGAAGATGCAAACCGTCCAAACTCAGGTCTTCCTAGGATTTAGATTCATCGTTTTAGCGCTGCTCTAGCTGTGCATGACTAACTAGAACTGGGTTGAAATCTTGGCTTCCACCACAACCAAGGCATTGTTTACTGCGGACAACCTTCGAAAGCATGCCAGCGTTGCCGCTCGAGACCTATTAAGATATAATTAAGATATAATTCCCTGGCTTGCGGATAGTTGTGTAACGCAATAACTTTCTCTCCAGTATGATAAAGAGCGCCCCAGTTGTGGTCAATGCAAAGGAGCCCATAAGAATTGCACGGGCTGCCTGACAACCATGACTATCGAAAGGCATGACCAGCAGAACCAAGCACCGAATCAAAAGCAAACGCAATGCAGCGGCACAACCAGGGTCAAGACTTCGCCAGGATACAACACCGGCGCGCAGCATGAACAGAGGGTCATGCCAAAGCTGGACAAAGTCACCGTACGAGAGACTATATCACGAAACGCTGCGGTCTATTGTCTGTTAACGGAGCGAACTTGTTGGCAGCCATTTCCAATTCTTGCCTGGTTATTATGGCACCGCCACCACAGACGAATCACTACGGACGTCGTTAGAGGCCGTTGCACTGCCCGGGCTGACGGCGAAACTTGGACAGCCCGTGCTCGGCCAGTGGGCAGGCACAAAATACGGGCTCACCTTGATAGAAAGCGCAAAAAGATTGCAAAACAGTGAAAGTGTGAAGTCGGCTAATATCGTCGTTTCGGTCTTGCTCCTTGCATTACTCGAAGCCAATTCAGGCGACATCGAGGCTTCAACACAGGCCTGGACGGAGCATATCCTTGGATCCGATACCATTCTGACCACACGGAATCGCGCACTGCTCTCCACGGACATTGGCAAACAGCTGTTTCTCCTTTTATTGACTTGTCTGATTTTATATTCTCTGCATCAGAGAATGGCGTTGCCTGGGATTTAAACCGATCCTTCACATCGATCGATAGAGAGGGGATCAGTCTCAAGCCCTCGTCTCCGCTTTCAAATTGTCATAGAGGATTTTATTAACCTACATGTAGATTTACAATGGGGGATTTGCGATGACGCCTCCATGGTTATCATCCGAGCCCAGAGCATGGATCGGAAAGCACAGCTCCTTCTTGACGATATGAGGCAACATCCCGATTTCCTGTTCGAGGTCAAACTTGCAAGCGGTCAGAGATGCGGGGCACAAACCGATAGCTACAATCATCAGTGCCCAAGTCTGGCCGCCATGCTACTCTGGAACTCCCTACGCGTGCTGCGTCTTCTCCTGAACGAGAGATGATCTGGAAATACAGTGCCCAGATCCCGCTCTCTGGCTCAAGACGCCTGGGAGACGTGTCTGGAAGTTGCCAACGCACGAATTGCAGACGTCGTTTGCGGATCCAAGTCCATCCCAGCAAAAACTTTTGTTCTTGCCTCCCACTTCACCGGAGTCACACCAAATCCTCACTGTCAGGCCGTCTTAGATATTATGCCTGGTGCTTCACGAAATAGCTCCTGGTGGACGCAGAAGCGAGACCTTCGGACATTATTGGCAAAATTTGGTGCCAGCGAAGCCTCCGACCAGCGGGATATTATCTACGCCCTATTAGGTATGTCCACAGACGCTTGCGCTTCAGGTTTCCTATACGCGGACTACAATATTTCTGTTCAGGAAGCGATACACAATACGATGTTATTCCTAGTTGGCCTCCACGAATGTGACCGAAATGACCTCCAACTTCCCAGCTGGAGTCTAATAAACTTCCTTTCAAACTTGGGTAACCTCAGTACGGCTATATATTGGTCGAAGCCTTCGTGGGATGTGTCGAGTATGAAAGTGCTTGTCGATATGGAACTGGATCTCGATACAATGTTGCACTACGCAGTCTTGCACGGGGACATTTAGGAGATGAAGGCTCTGATCAAGTTGGGGCCAAAGGTTAACGAAAGAAGTAAGGGAAATGAGACAACATTAAATAAAGCAACGCTAAATCTGCTGGGCGCCACTGAGAACCAAGTGTACTGGGATGAGATCAGAAGGTGTGCTAAGGGAGAGACAGCGCTCTACCGAGGAGTCCGGAGAGGGGCTTTGGACATTGTGTCGCTACTGATCGAAAATGGAGCAAACATCAATGATGAAAGCAACGGAGAGACGGCGTTATTCGGGGCAGTCCAGACATGGAACGAAGGGATTCTGTCACTTCTCATCAAAGGTGGAGCTGACACGAGCGAAAAGTTCAACGGAGCGACATTATCATCATCAGCAAAGGGGAATGTGAAGACTGTGCGCCAACTGATCGACAGCAGCCTAGATCCTTTTGGGACAGCTGCCTCTGGGTTGACAATACTGCATTTAGCGTCCATCGCTGGGAGCACGGCGATTCTGGATCTACTTCCCGATATCAAAATGTGTCTTCACGAAAGCGATAATGAAGGAAGAACAGCACTCCATATGGCAGCTCTCGCAGGACAATATGAGTCTGTGAAGAGACTGCTCAGCTCTGGAGCAGACACTTCTATTCGAGATCGAACCGGGAGGACGGTACTACACTATGCGGCTAGAGGTGGGAACGCGGTGGTTGTGAATTTTCTTATCGATAGTGGAATGAGTGTCCACGAAAGGGATGAAGGAAAAACAGCGCTGTTCATGGCAGTGCAGGGCGTGGCGAGGCTTTAGATCCTGTGGTGTTGCAGGATTCAAAGCGCCAACCTTAATTGGACAGGTAACGGGGTTGCCATGTTTGGCGGTCGCAATCAACAGGAGGAAAAGGCAGAAAAAACAATCCCGTCGCCCTACAGGAAAGGATTATCCGCCAAAAAGACCTGGTCTTCATAACTGAAAACCTGAGCCTTGGGCTCGGAAAATGCGGCCGCCCCCTCGTCCACCTCGCCCTGCATATGAGACTCGCGATATAATATAGCATTTAGTCGATAATCTCTTTTAATGGCCAGTTCAAGCCCTCCTGTTTCTGCTACTAGAGAAACACTCTAGGATGCATTCACTCCAATTGCAGAGAGACTAGATTTAGGTCCGTCCAATCTCACATTAGGCCATTTGTCGACGACCGTATGAATTTACACCATTCCCCTATGCCAGGTACGTAGACGTTGGATATGAGGTGTCTGGATGAAGCGGCGCCCTAAATTGAGACTGAGTAGGACTGCGTCGATAAGACAAATGGCGTGGAGCTCTCCGAAGCAATTAATTCTTTGCATCGTTAGGTGCTAGGAGTCGAGAGCGCCGTGCATAAGAAATTTTAGGCAGCAGCGCAGGAGCAGGGACTCGCCAGGTTCGCTGAGGATCATCTGAAGCCAATGCCCTGGCGTGAGAGGCAGGTTTAACCAATCTCTAAATGGCCTGATTAGGCCCCTCTTTGTAGCTCCAGGAGCTGCTCATGGGGCGCTCAGGGGCGCTCAGTTAAAGCTCGGGTAAAAGCAGCCTTCGCTCACCCTCTAGGATCAAACCGTATATGGCAATTGGGTTTTTCGTTCTCGAGTAATAGAGGTGGTGTTTGCTTGAAAGGCTGGAATGAGAAAAGGGGGTGTTGTCATTAAAGATACACTATTCCATTATAGACTAGCCTCCCGGCATACTTTCCATTTTACAATTTTTTTGCGACTTGATGCGTCTCTGGCTGCGCTCCGCAGTCTCGTCGTAAATGGCGACCTCCAGGGTTTCAAAGCCGCAATTCCCTGTACTCCGGACGAGTTCCTGTCTCTCTCAAAGACGTCATCCCCAACTCAGATGGCCCGACTCACATCCTCTGATGATGAGAGTGAGTCGAGAACCGCTGCAGTCGGGTTGAAGAGCGAAGCGAGACAAAAAGGTCAAGTCAACTCCGCAACTTCTCCTACCATTGATTCTTCAATCTCTCCGCAATCTCCCACTATGGGCAATACGCCTTCTCAGACCACTGCGGGAGTCCCAAGTCAAGGGGGCCCAGAAGATGTTACATCGTCGACTAGCGATGCTGCCGGCATCATGGCCTCCGCCCCCGCGGGCTTGGGGAACAACAGACTCGCCACGGGTTTTCGCACAGCACCACCCCGTCCAGCCGCTTCTGACGAGTCGCAGCCCGGGATATGCGAACGCGACGGCCCCCTGAACCCTTCGATACTCTCAGGAGATTCCGTAGATGATGCCATCGAGATTTCTGACAACGAGCAAGAAGAGTCCGATGACGGCGGCATGGTCATTAACATTGACCGTACCCAACATCATCACTTCTCTGATGACATGATCCTTGATCACGATGAGAGGGAAGGGGGAGATACGGAGGAAGAAGAGCAGGACGAAGAAGAGGAGGAGGAAGAGGGAGAAACACATTCAGAAGCGGAGGGGGATACTGAGTCTGAGGCGTCTACAACAGAGACAACACAACCCCTTTCTTCTACCGAACGGGATGCTCACGACCAGTTACAGGGCGATCTCGAGAGATTCTCCGGCACCGTTACGCGCGAACTCCCCACCCATTCGACAGCGGCCGACGCCCCCATACGATCAGGCCCTCTCCTTGTTGATCTGAGCCCGGACGAGCTTGAGCTGCAATTGAAGTACGCTTTCTTCCACGTCAGCCTCAAGAATATCGACCTCAGTCAGCCTGCTGTTTGCCTGAGTTGTCTCCAAAGCGGTCACGCTGAGCGAGATTGTCCCGAGATGACATGCATTCATTGTTCTGCCAGCCACTCCAGCCGCCTCTGCCCTCAGCTCCAGCGGTGCTCAAAATGCCGTGACCGTGGACACAGTGCGGAGTCTTGCCCTGCAGGTCTGAAAGTCACCACCATCCCTTGTGATATTTGTGGCACTTCAAATCATGTGGAGCAGGCATGCCCTCAGCGGTTCTTACCATCTTACGGGACTTCAGATACTGGTCCTACCAAACTCTGGATCTCTTGCTGCATCTGCGCAAGTAAGTCCCATCTCGTGGGTGACTGTCCCCGAGCGAACCAGGCCGCAGCAGCAAGATGGTCGTTGAGATCATTTGCTCCCGACCAGATTACCAATCTAAGTCTTGCTTCCGGTATGAAGCAGAGGGAAAGAGAAGTGGCCAACCGTGGTCTGCGCCCAGAAGGGCTCAAGATTAGAGGTCGTGCCGCCCTTCACAGTGCGCGCAGCCCCAGTGGCAGACAGCCAGTGGACAGTTCGGATAGTGACGAGCAGTTTTTGGGGCCACGAGTTCGAACTCGTTCCATGGCAAAGCGTGGCAGCTTGACGTTCGCAACACAGCCACCGACAGAGAGGTCGTCAACCACCCAGATGCCGAAGAAGGCGGTGCTCCTGGCGTTCCTCAAAGCGATCAACCAGCAAAGAAAGTCGTCTGGCAAAGGCCGGATTGACCTGATGTACGCAAAGAATGGGTAAGACTTTTACCTCTATGTTGTGTGACTTCGAGTGCGGTTGCACTGTTCGCTGACTGATCGTACAGCTATATTTCCTTCGTAGACAATTCAGACGGGCAAAACTCGAGGGTCATCACCGGCAACGCGAAGCAGATTGAGGTGATCCAGAAGTGGTCAAGGTAACGTTTACTCAGATCCAGGTAACAACAACCAAACAGCTGACGCAGGGTACTGCCTACTAGGTCACGGCGTCCAGGCGAAGCATATCTTGTTTAGGAAACAGCAAGCTTCCGCCGGTAGAGGACGCGGCGACGGGCACCGCGAGCAGCTGGTTTGGCGGACCGAGAGATCGAGGACATGGACGGCGGTGCTGGCGGACGGGCCTCCTCACAACAACAACAACAACATCATTATCATCATCATCATCATCACCACCACCACCAACCGGCCACAGAGCTCAGATTTGGTGGCAGGCGTCGAGAGGAGGGCGAGCCGACACACCGCGTATGTCCGTCCTAAGGGTCACGACGAGCTCGTGAGAACGTGCATTATACATTCAGAGCATGAAACCGGCTGGCATAGGCTTTGATGGTCGCGAGGCTGTCTGTTATTAGTCTTTGCTAGCGTCAACGTCGAGGATCTTCTTTCACCGACTGGATACTCCAGAAGGAGGGCTGGGCACACTCATGATCTTTCCAGCTTGGGTACAAGAAAGCCAGGCTCTTCACGGCTTCCGCCATCGACTTCTTCGGGTGGAGGCATGAATACTCAACCGGGGAGGATTACCATGCAAAGTGCGTGTTGATCGCTCTCATTGACGCCGGTTCGAGTTACATTAGTTACACAACCCCCTTTTGTCCCGGGTTCTAGCCATCTTATGCTCTTTTTCCCTTGCACCTCGCTGTGACCGCATGTTACCAAGTGATTGATGTGTTGCTCTTACAGAGGGTGATGCCCAAGACCTTGCACCAGTGTTTCTCTCACAATATCGGCTGTAAATTCCACCACGCGTCTTCCTGGCCAAGATTCTCACCAGTTAATCTTCCTATCCATCATCAGCTGGCTGTTGTCCCAATTTCCTTCCTTACTCACGCTCGGTTCCCTTGGTTGGGAGCTGTCGTGGGCAGCGGAAGGCTCTGAGGGTGAGGATTGGGCCTGCTCACCACCATTTGCATACTCTAGCATCTCCACATCTCCGCCGTTGCTGAATTTCTGAGTGGGTGGCATAGCTGTCAGCTGACTTTGGGGCTGGTCTGTTGGTCCCAGGGAGACAGGAGGTGCCTCAGGGGCCACATTCACAATATCTCGCTTGACCGTCTCCGCTAACTCATCAATCCGATCCGCATCCAGATAGATCAAAAGGTACGGGTTCGGGGGCGGATTCAAGCTACTGCCGCTAGCTGGCTGTTGTTGGCCTTGGGATTGGGTTTGTGCGTAGGGATTTCCAAAAATCTCGTTCAGATTCGAGACAGTGGAGACGCGATCGTCATTGTATTTCCGCCATACCTCTTTCTTGTGGTCGAATATGTACACCCAGTAGTGGCCTCCACCAGCAGAACCACGGTGGAAGAACGCCGCGTGGAGACGGTAAGGGTGTTTGCGCATGTCGACAAAGGATTCTTTGATCTGTTGGGAGAGGTGGGATACGCGAGCACGAATTTCTGTGATGGAGAAAAAAGAGAAGTTAGGGCTTCATCGTTTGGTAGAGATCAGAGGACGGGAAACCCTTACCTTCAAGCTCAGAACGAGCATTGTCGGCTAAAATACCGAGAGTCGTGATGGCGTTTGGATTCACATTGAGTTCGCCTGATACTTGATCCCCGGGTACTTCGGCCAGGTATTCCAAAATAGCCTTTGCATCTTCGAGAAGACCAGGAACATCTGCAGATTTGCCCTGCGTATGGTGTCAGCTTGCAGTCAACTCATGAAGGGAGGGGCGTGTTGTCTTACATATTTTTCCTCAAGCTCATCTCTCCGTGCGACAAGTGATGTCAATTCCTTCTTAATCTCCCATGTCTGCTGTCGTCTTTGCATAAGATCAGAGCCTGGTGAACTTTCCAGGTATCTATCCATGTAGATGGTTTCTGGAACATCAACATGATAATTTAGCTTCTCTTGACGTTTTGTCTCGTTGTTCCATGACACTCGGTCCAAGGCTATGCTCAACACCGGCGGCAGACTGGCGATTGCGGTGTATGCTTTTGCGCCATCTTGCGCATCTTGGAGATCAAACTCATTGTCAATCGCAGCATAAACATCAGCAGGCCGATGGAACACACGGGTGATGATATTGAGAAACGGTAGGGGCGCTGGAGCTTCTTTTTCAGGTTGGCTATGGACCACCTGTTGCCCGAAGAATAGATCATGTACTTCATCGCGTTGCTCTCCCGACTTGTCAAACCCTGTGGGGCGCATGGCATAAGACAGCTGAATGATGCAGTGATTCATGACCTCGGTAACATCTTGTTGACGTGCATACTCTTCCAGGGTAGTTGTCGTACTCTGGACGGGTTTCCGGGGAGGTACTGGCGGCGGCTTTCCAGGTGGTGGCGCGTATTTCAACAACTCCGGATCTATGCCAGATACAGTCACTGCTCCTGATTGAGCATTGGACTTAATTGGAGGTGCCGTTGTAAGCGGCTGCCCCGTCCAAGGAGACATGGCCACTGATGTTGTCGTAGGGTTAAGAGGGGACACATTCTCCTTGTTGTCTGACATTGACATGTGTTCGTTCTTCTCCACTACCACATTCCGATCGCCGTCAGAAGTTGATACCAAAGTAGCATCACTAGCACTGTCGTTCATTGCAGGTTCATCGATATTTTGCCGGTCAGTACTTGCGTCCTCCGTAGCATCCAACTTCGAAGCGTCGAAGTCTTGGATTATGTCAATGTTGGTGGCACTGTCGTCGGTTGGAGATTGGATAATTATCGTGTCCATTATCCCATTCGCCTCAGAGTCAAACAGAGGCGATGGGCCCGAAACAGGCAGCGTGCCAATGGAGCCTAAACTGGGCCGCTCACTTGACTTGAGTGTTGACCTTCGACGCATCTTTTCTTTAACACTTTCGGTCTCCAGGGTCAATCGAGCGAGCTCCTGCTCCGGCTTGATGGATGAACGGGGTGTTTGTATCATGCCGCGGAACAGGGACGCCAGGCTGGCCACAAATTTCTGCGCAGTTTGAACCTCCTTGACGCTAACCTTTCGCTGTCCAACACGCTTTTGCTCCATGCTCCTCTCGTCCAAGGGCATCTTGTAATCATCGAAGTTGAGAACCAGCTGTCGCACCTCGTTCATTGTAAACAGGAACTGTAACAAGCTGTTCAAATAGCAGGTATTCCCAATATTTTCCAGTCCAACCGGTTCCTCCGGCTTGCCCTGAGGTTCTTGAGGAGCCCTGCTGTGTAGATGATCCAACAGGATTGAGCTATTCCGACCTTTGGCGATTGCGGCGAGGGCTCTATTGTAGTAATCCACGCTGCCAGGATTTTCTTCGACGGCTATATTGTATTGATAGAGGATCATTTCATCGTCAATCTCGCGGTTGTCGATCTGAAGGGCTTGGTAGCCTTCGGCAGGCTCCATCTGGTTATGAGTCTCGTTGGAAAATCCTGAGTCGATCCAGGTGGAAAGAAATTGGCTTTTGCGGTGTTGCGCAATGAGGCGAACGGCTTGAATGGCTTGCTCTTCTAGTGCTTTGTTGTCATTTGTCTGAGACAAGGATGAGCGCGGGTCAGCTGAAATATAAGGACGCGACAAACCTTGACAGCAAACAAAGCTTGGATGTGTTCGTCTTCAATTGTGGGATCCGCATCTAGAAAGGCAAGTGCTGACTCGTAGCTGTCAATGACTGTGGTAAAATTGTGAGTCCATGATCTCAACCGATCGAGAAGCGCGCGACTCACTGTTCAACGCAGTGTCCATGATGCGTTTACTGTCACGATGAACACCTATGATGCGGAGATAATCTCTCAGTTGATGTTCGTGGGCTGGTGAGTCTGCCAGTTGAGCTGTGAATGAGCCGATAATGTCCTCATCGCTGACCGGACCCCCAAGCCTGTTCAGATGGAAGGCTTTATATGCTTCATCCAACATTTCTGCATCATACTGGCCCCGCGAGGTCTCCAATACGACTTCAGTCTCCAGGACTTCGCTCTGACGCTGATTTCCGATGTACTTGAGGTTGCTGAGATACACATGTGCATTTGGATGATCTGTTTGCACCTGCCAATGGTACGCTTTGGCAACAAGGTGATCAGATAAATCCATCGCACACCCAAGAGCAGTGAAAGGACTACATCCACGTTAGCTGACCCCACGACAAGAAGGAAGGGCGTTGTCCGTACGGAGTTCTCATTTCGGGAGAGATTTTAGCAGTTCTGCTGCCAGGGTGCGTATCATCTGCCATACATTAGCGCCTCTCGACCAGATGCAGGTAGGCGACTCACAGTCCTGACACCCAAGGACCCGTGAAAATTCCCTTTCAGAGGGCAAAGGAGGGGTGACATCTTGCAGTTGCTGTCGTTCTTCATAGGGGCGCGACAGAAGGAGAGCTGTCAATTCGTGTTCGGCATTATCTAACCAGATGTTGACGGGACTCTGGAACGGTAGGTTTTCCTCAAAATTCGGTTCTGGGACCATCCAGCAATCCCCGGGCTGGCAGGCATGGTGTCAACATACGTATCTTCAAATCTGCAACTTCTCCACCTACCACAAGCTGGAACCCGAGATGCTCCAGGACGTCCTTGCAGGCATTTCCCTCTGGCCCAAATCGAACAATAAACCTTCTGTTTGACAGATTGATTGACCTATACTTAGGATCATCTCTTGCACGCCAGGAGTTCCTCAGATATGCTCGCAGGTCTAGCAGGACATCCGCTGGCCCTGGGTGTCGCATCCCCTCTGTATGCCCTTGTCGTTCGCGGAAAGCATCTTCTGTTCTCTGGCGCAGCAGCGAGGGGTCGGTCAGGGTATGAATGTCGCTCGGACGCAGGACCGGCAGGCTGTAGCGGACGGTAACGGTGGCGGAGCAGCTAAGTGAAGAACATCTGTAGGTGTATATTTCATCTTGAGAGTTCGGACTCCTGCGCTGCCACGCACTCCTTTCCAACGGCTCTTGAAATCCTGACCTCACCAGGTGATGCAGAGGATGGTCAACGGTCGGGCAATTACCATCATTGAATCTAATGGTGTAATCGACCTTGACATGAAGATGCACGCGGCACACCTGGCAGAAAGCTGCAACGCTCCATATTGACTGCGGACCCGGTCTCTCATCCAACGCGGGAGGTTCAGATTGTCTCGGCTTCAAACCAAATTTGTGCCTGCAGCTCTGAAGCGGGAGGAGGTCTGCCAAATAGGCTGCTTGAGTGAACTTGAGAGGAGAATCAGCCAGCAGGTTTGGAAGGTCTTCGGAGTCTCGCCATGGCTCGTAGAGTGTTAGATCCTCGAGGAATGCCGGGGCAGTTCGACCTGTGGTATCTCGTTACTATACACAATCCCTTTGCTCTTGATCTCTTGTCTACGCACCAGATCCTCTGATCGGCGCAATGAAGGACCGGATGTTGCCTTGCACGCCGGCCATGCAAGTCGGTTCGAAAGCGATCGGCCAGCTCTCCGAGCCAGCAATGAGGGCGGGCGTGCAAATGTCCTGTCGCCGGATCTAGACAAAGCGGGATACGTATGATCTAGGGTCATGCGAGCGAAGGAGGTTTGGGACCGAGTGACTACTGAGATGGATGGTTGAAACTGGGATTCGAGCAAATGAAGCAGAGAACTGAACTAGGCCTTCCCCAAGACCGTCACCCACGCAGTCTTCTGTCGAGCAGTGACAGAAGAGGCGTCAGACAGTCTAAATCATAGGTGCAGTCAATGTGCCAGGTATCAGAAGAGCCCAGGAAGTTCTGCCATGACTGGGGAGGAGCGTGTATTCGTAGCAGCCTGCGAATGGCAAAATGCATATGCAACTCGAAGAGCCCGTGGATTCCAAATCCGGGGGGGCGCGTAAGGCGGCGCCGCTCCCAATGCTTCCATCACCAAAGGCCCTGGAAATCTGCTCGGCAGACCTGCCGCTATGATACAGGCACCTAGCATTCGAATCGAGAGGGCGCCGCGGTCTATCTCGTACCTGGTAGGCTTCATCAGGGTGGCATATACCTCGTTCTGATGGAGGGCACGAGGCTCCGAGGCTTAGCTGGCCGGCTATTTCGCAATCCATTTGGGCTAGTCCGTGGGCGAAGGGAGTTTCTCGCGCCTTACTTTGATGCGGTTCTGAACTACAATTCAGCCTCAGCGAAGATGTCGCCTTCCTATCCCCCGTGATATGGTGATCGTGGCCCTGCGTTGTTACCAGAAACACTACCAGTAGCTGCTGATGGATCCTCTGTCAATTGCAGCAGGCTGCGTTGGCCTTCTGTCGAGCATCGGAGCCTTGTCGAAGAACCTGGCTAGTTTCGTCACGTCAGCACGTCAAGCACGCAGAGATGTTGATGGGTTTTACAGAGAACTCTCTTCGCTTGGTCTGTGTATTTCCACCCTCAAAGACGAGACATTTCAATTTCCAGCTACCCTCCAGAACCAGCTTCTTGGTGTTTTATCTAATTGTGGTTTGGTCATTGAGGGTATGACGAACATCATCGACAAACACAAGGCTGGCAATCTTGGACGACAGATACAATGGTCGATGAGCGACCGCGATGAGGTTTGTCGGTTGCGTGAAAGACTTGAGGCGCATAAATCAGCGCTTGAGATCACTCTTGAACTGGCAAGCTTGACCGTGGTTACTTCTATCAAGGATGACACCTCAGAGATTAAAGCTGAATTGGCGGCGCTCAGGATACAGGTCATGCAGCTAAGAGACGCCCAGATCGAACCTAACCCTATTCTGCAGCGATATTTGAATGGGACGATCGCATATACAGAGAGCGTGGTTGACCCTTTCGAACCTGCATGGAAAGATGAACACTCTGTCGTCGTCTGGGACGAAGAGCCATCACTACCGGCACATGAGGGTATCCAGACAGAGGGAGAACTTGAGCACACAGATCCACAGTCCGTGCTCGAAGCAGTTGAACCCTTCGGAGTTGCATGGGAAGATGAACACTCTGTCGTCGCCCGGGACGAAGAGCCATCACTGCCGGCACAGGAGGGAATTCAGGCAGAGGAAGGTCTTGAGCATCCAGACCCGCAGTCCGTGATGGAAACTCCAGTTGAAGGGAAACACGGACGTGCGATAGATACATCGCAACCAGGAACCGGTGAATCGGCTCAGACCCACAAATACATTGATTCATCCTTCGATGGGACGTCGGCACCGGCGAATTACACCCCTTTGGTTGATAGCGCTGTCGTGTGCAGGAGCCAAACAAGGCAAACACGCAGAAAACTCGATTACGAGCTCTATCTTTGCCTACAACGGACCCCTTGGGACCTAGGCAAAATATGTGATCTTATCAATCTAGGGGCTCGTTTGTCGAAGGGGCGTATAGATTTCGGTCGTCACAAATTTTTCTCGAATCTAGACAGGACGAGACTTTTCCTAGACCATGGACACAGCATACCAGACCAAGAAACCGCTCTTCTCAAATATTTGCAAACGAGTTGTTCACCAGATAAAGATCTCACAGAATTCCTTCTGAGCAAAGCCGACATTCACAAAACCGTCACGAAAACCATGATTAAGCGGTACGCGTGGAATCAAACTGCAGGCGATACGGTTTGCCATATAGCTGCAGCAAGACCGGCTTGCTGGTGGCTGATACCTTTATTGGGCGAAAAGGGACTGAAGGTCAACGAAAGGAATGCTGAAGGCAAAACACCATTGGATGTTGCCCTTGATGTCGGTCTGCTAGAGCCAGAACATTTCCCGTCGCAAGGAAACATGTCGGTCTTGCTAGCTCTTCGAAAGCTTGGAGCAGAGTCTACCTACGATAAGAATCAGCTCCGTCAAAAAGCATTTGAGACCATGATGGTGAGTCTCTGCAAGTACCGCGATGCGAAGAGCTCGCTCGCTGGGAAGGTCGCTCTCTTCCACAACATGACCATCAGGACCGCGAGTTGTGGCTGCAAGATTGGAAATTGCGCCCACTCTCGGTTCCTTTTTCCATGTGCGGCGTGGAGGCGTGACTGTTACCTGGAAAATCTGGACCTTTTTACTGCGTATGAGTCCGATGTGGTTGGAGTGGTATTCGGCAATATTTGGTGAGTTTTCAGGTTTCTATAGAAGAAGCAACTGTCTACGCCTTCACTCGCAAAGTCTTTGTCGGAACCTCGTATCTCGAGCCGTCTAATCTCTCTGTAGAATTACATTTATCATCTGCCGTTCAAAGCAGGCGGAAGATGTAGCTCAGGATAGAGAATGAGTGCGAGGTACAGCATGGTGGGTGAGCGAGGTGTGCGCAAAGCGGAGGAGTTGAGTTCTTATAGCGGCTCGAAGCACTTTCTACTTGCGTAACATTAAAACGCCAAGGCTGCGCCTCTCCGACATCTGGTGAGAGCTTCAGCGTGAGGGAGATCCGAATCATTCTCACATCTACTGCTCGGTCTACAGCAAGCCCTTCTACCCTTTCTCCGCTTCCAGCGAGTCGATATCGCCCTGCCTGAGCTACGGATGACTTGAACTTTGCTGCCCTCAACCCCAACAGCCAGGATCGCAGCCATGGGGGACTTGGTGGACCCGAAGCCCAATTACGATGTCGACGAGCCTGTTTACCAACCTCAGGATGCTCTGGAGATCTCAGCGCGTTCCGCGGCATTAACTGGTGCTGCTGGGCTATTCATTGCCTCTGTCCAGAACACTGTCGCGAAGGAACAAATCGGTGCCTTTGGAGTGTTTACACGTTTTGGCAGGACCATTGGTCTACTCAGTATGATTGGGATCTCTCCACCACAGTTGATACAACGCAAATTCTGATTGTTACCAGCGGCAATGGGAGGCACATTCCAGTTCGCAAGCACGGCTTCCGCAAACCTACGAGAAAAGAACGATTACCTTAACCATGTGATTGGCGGTACCCTTGCTGGCTCTCTGAACGGCCTCTGGAGTATGGAACGCACAACAGAATAGGTTGGTGTTATTGCTAACTGGCGGGTAGAGCGCTCAATGACATCGACGCTGGGCAGTGCTTTGGCACTCGGCACCGCGATGGGCGTGATCAGCTACACTGGCCGCTCGATGTTCGAATCGTCCTCAGACAAGGCCTTCGATGACCGGATGACATATAAAGAGGAGGCCAGGGCTCGGTTTAGAAGGCCTCTGAATGAAACAATCAACGAGCTGGGAGAAGGACGAGGTAAGATCGCTCAAAATGATGATCTTCGCAGGCGGCTGATTCACATGGTTTCAGGCATTTACGGACCAGGGTATGAGGAAAGACGGAAGCAGAGAATTAAGGAAAGATACGGCTTCGATGTCCAGCCACCTTACTACGAAGGCAAGGCCGCACCCGGGGCATGATTCGCAGCCTTCTCTCCCCCAAAATTGCAATTGGATTCGTGTATGAAGCTCGTGCCGGGGCCATTGTCGTAGCGACAAGGTTCCAGCCTGATACTCTTCACTGCGCAAGTCAAGGGAGGCAATCAGACATGTTACACCATTCGCAAGGCTGATTTTGAAAGACCAATCGACAGACTCAAGATCATTTGTACATAGGCGAACTATACCAAGATGTTCCGCGGGATATCCTTGCATTCATCTTCAAGCTCGAAACTAGAGGCTACCAAGTTAGCTTCTTCCTGAACAGAGCTCCTTCTCCATCATGTGGCTCACTCAAAGCTACTGCCTCAGGATTCATGTGGGAAGAGCAAACAAGCCACTGCGATTGAAGGATGGCCTGACCGATTGGGTACAAGGTGATGAGCCCAGCAAATGCATGTGCGTCAGTAAGCAAGTCTAACCAAAGGAGGAACAAAATCTGTCCACACAAGGGATTGGAAACTGCCTCAATTCTGGGATTCTGTTTCCAGTGGCAATAATTATGCCCTATTGCCTACCTCGCTACCTGGTTGTCCATACAAAATGGTTTGGGTGGCTAATGCTGTAACGACCAAGAGGTCCCGGTGGCCTCGAATGCATGCCTTCTTGCTCCTCAACAGAGGTGGAGCTGGAATCCCCTTATCCGCTGGTTCCAGTCAAATCACGCCACAACTTTGTACCAAATCTCAAATCCAAGAAATCATCAAGTGTGCGTAGAAACGTGCCCGACCAAAGTACGAGTATTCCGTGATTGTTCAAATCTCTTGGAGGCATCAAAGGGAAGGTTGCTCTGCTCGATCGTACAGAGCTAGTCAAAGATGAGTTTGCTAACAGCTGACTGAGTACGATGCTGCAATGGACCAGCATACTGGACGATCGGTGGAGGGGCTCTTGTTCTGGGCAAAACGCAAAGATGAACGATGATGACTGATGTGCCGATTTCCTGAGCTTTTGCCTTTTGGGTGGGCGGCTGGACCATCAAGCCATTTCGACATGATGATCAGGCAACGCCACTGGCCCAGCCACCGCAGTGAGCAAAGTGATCAATTACCCAGGTATACCCTTCCAACGGACCCCCGTCATGATCCAGCTAAGCATGTTTCCTCCTGCGAGTCTTCCCGTGGTGTCCTGCACGCCTTGATAGCAGTGCTCACTGCTTAGATAGCTCCCTTCTGGTTCGGGTTAAGAGGGTCGTCGAGGTTCGGGAGGCTGCCGCGCCTAAGAGATGCAGCTGTGCATGGGTGTCCAGTATTTGGCGGGGTGAGTGGTTCCTTCAAAGAATAGTTCATGTGGCTAGCGACGCAATCGCGGAGGAGCTAGCTACCACGAGAGCTGTCGACTTGGTTGATCCTGCAAGACCACCCTCGGCAATGCTCAACCGGCGATCGAGAAAGAAACCTTGGGTGCCCTGCCGTCGTATTGTCGCCAGGACCTCTGTACAAGTAGATAGGGTGCTTGTTGCAGGACAAGGCAAAGAAGACAAAGCGAAGGAGAGCAATTACATCACAATTGTCTGACGCCGGTGACGCTGGGAGTCGCCGTCAGGAGAACCCCTCGTCACTCCACCGCTGCTGCTTGAATACTCAGCACTCAATCTCGGCCCTCGAGCAGTTCGAGCTCATCAGCAGCTCTGTGCGCCAACCGTCTCGCCGCCAACCGCCGAGGGCGCCCCTCCAGCTGCTTCTAGTCACCCAGACTCACTTGGCCAGCTGCCAACTAGCCACCCGCCTAATCCCACCACCCGTGGGCGGACCTTCCCCCTCTCCTTCCAGGCTCTCCACTGGGCACCTGGCACCTGCTGCGATTCGACCACTTGTTCCCGCCGTGCCGGTGGTACTGGTGGTGCTGCTGGTGGTGCTGAGCAACATCAAGGAAGGGCCCTAATCCAAGCCTCCACCTCCCAAGGGAAACCCACCCAAAGCTTCCCAAGCGGGCACTGACTTCACCGTTTTTATTGCCTTTGACCTGTCCACCTCAACGTCGACGCTCCCGCCCGCCTTCGACTGCCCTCATCATCGCAACTCTCTTGACTCTGGTTCTTCCTGAAACCGACGTCATCCATTTTTGCGCCCGCCCGTCGCATCTCATTTCCCTGGTCTTGACTCCCCTCGTCTGAGCTCCCTTCCCAGCTTGGTTGCCATCCCGTTTGCACCTTTCGAACCTTCGCACAAACTAGGTGTGCTGAATCCTCGAAACGTTCTTGTCTGCTCCAAGATGCTGCTCACGACATAGCTCCCAATCGAGAGTCGCCGGTGTAACCAAAACTCGATGACCTGCAGATAGCTCCGCAACCAGCTTTCACGTTCCTATCCTGACCTTGTCACCATGTCCTCGAGGCCTATCACTCCTGTTTCACCCGTCCAAAGCGCTCACCCCGATGCTTCGATACACTCCGCGCGAGCACCGAGTGCTAGAATATCTTCTCGACCAGTATCCTATGTCGGCACCCAGCATACCGAGACCGTGTCACATCCGAACCACTCTCAAGCGGCTTTACTACAGGATCAATCCGCCGTAGCGCAAGCTGCCGACTTGCATGATGAAGTCGTCCACCAAAACCAAGAGTCCCCGGAGCTCCCGCGGACCAACTCGCACATGTCAGGGTCGCAGACTCTACTGCCATCGAGAGGTGGGACACTGAAGAAAAAGGCTTCCCTTCACAAGAGCGCAAGTCTGAAAAGGACGGCTAGCAAAAGGAGCAGCTATGCTGGTTCCGTGCGAAGTATGCCACTGGCCGAAAAGGAGAAGTACGGCGAGACCGAGGAGAGTAACAGCGTGTTCTACTGTCCAGTCCCGACCACCGGGAATCCTACAGAGCTTCTCGCAGCGCGATTTCAAGGTATACTTTGTCCTCTCTGGCTAACATGGTGGCTTCTCTGCTAATATCTGAAACAGCATGGCGTAAAGTCCTCAAAGATTTAATCAACTACTTCCGCGAACTGCACAAGACATATGAGATGCGAGCCAAGGCGCTCATGTCGACCTCCAACGTCGTCAACAACACCACTATACCTTCCAACTTCTTGACATCGGGTGGTTTGGGCGACGCCGCATACATCCTTCGAGACTTTCACAAACAAGGACTTAACGAAGCCAATAAGGCTCGAGACCTCGAGAACGAGGTCATTATTCAACTCACGGGTCTGCGCAGTGATCTTCAACAGAAGATTAAAGAGATCAAAAGCTTGTCTGGTGATTTTAAGAATTCGGTAGACAAGGAAAAGGAGGCCACCAAAAGGGCGGTCCAATCTCTCCAGGAATCCCTCGGCATGGTTGATCACGACGCAACATCGACGGGAGGGAGAGGTGACCCTTTCCTGGTCAAGATGGCGGTCGATAAGCAGATTGAGAAACAGATCGACGAAGAAAACTATTTGCATCGGGTAGGATGTTTTGGCGACTTGCGGCGCAGTACTTGAGCTAACATGGACAGGCCTATCTCAACCTCGAAGCGTCTGGCCGAGAGCTGGAGTCCATCGTGGTCGGCGAAATCCAGAAGGCGTATAATGTGCTTGCCGGCATCCTACGCCGCGAAGCCGACGACGCCTATGACACAGCTGAGAAGCTCAAGGATGGACCATTGTCAATGGCCAAGGACCATGAGTGGGACGAATTCACCAAGAATAACAATCAGATGGTGGACCCAAGAATCCCCATTCGACAAGTCTCTCACATTATCTATCCCGGAAAAGAACATCCCGCGGCTATCGAGGTGAGGAGCGGCATGCTTGAGCGGAAGAGCAAATATTTAAAGAACTACACTCCTGGATGGTGAGTACGACCTAGCACTGACCCTGCGGCTCTGGTTTACTGATTGCGCGTCCCAGGTACGTGCTGTCGCCGACACATTTACACGAATTCAAATCGGCGGACCGAATCGCATTCCAGTCGCCCGTCATGTCATTGTATCTACCCGAGCAGAAATTGGGCGCTCATTCCGAACTCGATTCTTCGTCACATAAATTCATGCTCAAGGGCCGACAGACTGGATCGATGCACCGCGGGCACGCTTGGGTCTTCCGAGCTGAATCTCACGAAACTATGTTAGCGTGGTTCAATGACATCAAAGAGCTTACCGAAAAGCGAGGCGAGGAACGTAATGAGTTTGTTCGCAGACAGCACGCTCGATCTCTATCTGGAAACAGCGTCAAACCGGCGAGCATTATCAGCTCGGAGGGCGAAATGGAAGACGATGAGGCTGATCGCGTTGCGTTTTCTGGCGAACAATCTGTGCGAGGAACGTCTGCTGATGAAGCTGCGGCCGCCGCGGCCGTCGCCGCCAGCGCCGGTGGACTCGGTGCGGCTGCGTTGAACGACATTGAGGACAACAGGTCTGAAGCCGGGTGGCGTCCTCCACAACGACCAGCACCAGGTGGGCGATTTCCATCTGATCTCAACGTTCAGCGCGGCTTACAAGCTCCGCTGTCCCCTTCTAGTGGAGAGAGTTCTGACCCAGACCGTGATGTCATAGCAGCAGCAGGTGCTCTACCAGGCAGCGGAGTACCTTTCGCCCATACCACAGAAAAGCATACGGATCTACAACCAGACGCTCACCCACCAGATGGTCCGACTTCGCAGATGAACACAACAAGCCAGTATGCGCCGGGCCACCATCCAAATATATTCCCCAATCGTCAGCCTCCCCCTTCCCATGATGGCGCAAGTCAATATGGCGAATGGATGGCACCGATCGCTGCAAGTGCGGGAGGCGCAGCATTAGCTGCTGGTGCAATGCATCATCACAATGAGCATCAGCAGGAGAAGCAGACTGAGACAGCTGGCCAACGCCTAGGCGGCGAATCAGCCATACCGCAGTATGGTGAATCCTCACCTCCCATACCCGTGGCCACTGCAGCACCAGTCGATGCACCGTCTGGGCCGAGGGCAATGAGCGAAATAACCACAGCGCCTAGCTCGGCTGCTGCGAACACCGTATCTTCAGGAACGGAGACGGGGACTTTGTCCACCGTGCCTACAAGCACAGGCCATGGCACGGCGACTGACACTATGTTCGGCGCCAACGGTGTGTATGCGGGCCCCAGGACATCCAAAACCGCGCCGACAGATTATGTCGTCAAGCCGGCGCAAATTTATGACAGTCAGAAGACCACCAGGGAATTTCATGTGCCAGGGGAGTTCCCAGCGACACCAGCTCTCAACGAAGATTCCAAGATTTACCACGACGTGGTCCAACATTAGAGTCGATATTGGGAGGTGGCACGTGGACATGGCCGCTTGTCGAAACGAGACGAAATGAGGGACGGTTCTTCATGGCAGTAATTGGGACAAATGCATCTTACGATCTGCGCATACATATTCCGCGGTAATAGTCGAGATTTAACGTGCAAGGTCCTACGTGTTTGCAGTTTTGAGATACCACAATCGTTACGGAAGTTTGGTTCGTTGCTGTCTATAAGGCACTGGAGGAAGCGCACGCGGAAGGCATCACAGTATGGTTCCCGCGCGGCCAGCAACGTTCGAAATACAAGGAGGAACACCGTCTTCTGGGAAAGGCTTTTGCATCGAAGGATTCCTGTCAACGTGGCGTTAAGCGGGTTACACTACAGTTGCCAATCGAAAAGTCTTGAAGCCCAGCCTCAATCTCTCCTTTCGCTTTACAGGACTACGATACATTTTCAGAGTCTTCAGATCCAGTTTTCTGGAACGAACCGAGCACCGTGGTAGGAGATGCTGCCAAAGCCTTGTCTCCTAGCTACGCGTCCCCAGCTCGCATTGTCAACGTCGAGTCGCCTTCATGGAAAGTGTAAATGGTAGAAGCCGGTCCGTTTATGCTTGCCAGACAATGCCTATTCCGACCCATATAGCGACTAACAGGAAGACATGTTGTGGTATTGGAGATCTACCAGTTTGTTCAGGTATGGTACGCCGCAGGCTGACATTGAGATGTCATGTTCGGGTCTGCAGAAGGCACTTTGACTTACACTGTTATCTACAGGAACTCCTCGGAAGGACATCTCGACCACCCCCGCATATAGGGGACCAGATCATTCGAGATTGGCGGAGGAGATACGAGAGTCGGGATTTCTCCACGATTGCTCCACCATGAATCGGGGCAAAGACGGGCACGACGGGTCCGCAGACGAGACTTGTGGGACGCCTTGAGGCTCACCGTACGTGGCCACCACAGAGGCTATATTTGACTGTCTTGGATCTCCAGCACCGGCAAGGACGAGAGGACGAGAATGCCACTCGGCTGCCTTCCGGCGGTGTTTTCGCGAGAATTGCTCCCCAACGCCTTCCCGATAGCCGACGCGTCGCTTGATCTTGCTCTATCAACTCAACTACAGGCTTCAAGTCAATATGAAGCCCTTTACTCTGTCGTTGGCCAATGGCGCTCAACTTTCTGGCATTTTCTCGGTGCCGACACGGACCTCGACAACCCCTCACTATCAACCTTTGATAGTTGGTGTCCATGGTGGGACCTACTTTTCAAAGTACTTTGACGCTGGTACAACCAACTCAGCTGTGCGGCTAGCAGAAACACTCGGAGTGCCTTTTGTATCCATCAATCGCCCAGGTTACAGAGACAGTACAGAACTCCCTCCAGTGCCAGATGGATCGACATTCCTCCAGGAAGAGGGCAAGTACCTTCACCGCTACATCCTCCCCAAGATATGGCAAGAGTTCGGGCTCAGCTCTGGGGCAACTACCATCGTCATGCTGGCGCACTCTTTGGGGTCCCCAAGCTCTATCGTGGCCTCGGCTCTCCATGCAAAGGAACCTCACCCCCAGTACCCACATGGTGGGCTGATTATGTCCGGCTGGGGCACGGTTCACGGTCGTCCCAGTGAGAGTGCAAAACACATTGTTGAGAACGGGGTCGTTGACGGACGGATTGCTTGGCCCTTGGAGTTGAAGGATGGCCCCATGTTTGGCGACCCTAAACTGGGAAGAGTACCTCCAGAGATTCTTGCGATGGGACACGATTTGAACACATCCATGTCCTTGGGGGAGTTTGAGGACGGCTCGTTCCACTGGTTGGATTATTGGTCAGACTATGCAAAGGAGGTCAAGGTCCCGATTATGTATGGCATGGGGGAACACGACGCCTTGTGGAAGGCTACGAGGGAATCTGTCCAGGAGTTTGCTCGGGAATTTACTGGAAGTCCGAGAGTCGAGAGCGGCATCGTGCTTGGTGCACCGCATTGTATCGAGTTGAGCTATTGGGGGCCGGGCTGGGTGGCAAGATGCTTGGGGTTTGCGGCCGAGTGTGCTGCCGCTGAGGGGGTGAGTCGTCTAGCAGCAAGCGTGCAAGCATAGATGTGTCGAGACTGGTTTGGGAGGAGTGGTGCGTAGGGGAAGGAGATGCTGATCACGGAGAGGTAGGACCAATGATGTGGGCAGCAAATGGGAAGAGGCCTTGCTAAGAGCACGTCGAAATCGACCGTAGATCGAGAATACATATCTCTCCATGCCTCAGGAAGTCATATGGCCATCGTTGTATAATCGTGAAAGGTGTCTTTGGATGCTTCCCATGTTGACCAGCAGATTGTGGCCCAAAGCGGATTAGTGCTCGACTTGCCCGGCAACCCAATTGGCTGATGCCGCCCAGGCACAGCTCCCAAAGCCACCACGACACGGCACAAATCCACCCCCATCACCCCTTCGCCATCAAGCCCCTCCAACAAACCTTCCCCGTCCTGAACAATGGAAATCACAGAAATCAGGAGAGGCGACTTCGTCTACAAGGACACTTTGTTTGTAGATCTGGGCCCCAACAAGCGCCATCCGCGCGCCTCGACGGCAGACCTCAAGGACCTGCTACTGCCCAAGCGCGGGTCGACGCCCAAGGACCAGGTCGCCCACTGGTACGAGGCGCAGCTGCTTCACTACGGCCTCCCGCGCTCCAAGGACAAGAACACGGCCAAGGTCCGACTGACCAATGCGCTCTCGGCCAAGGCCCTGTCGGTGCCCAAGGAGATTGTGCAGATGGAGACGGAGATGAAGAAGGAGTATGCCAGCGCGCTGAGGAAAGCGAAGAATGCTGCAGCCGCAGCAGCGAAGCCGGCAAAGACCGTGGAGAAAGCCACGGCCGCGAAAGGCAAGAAAGGTGGCAGCGGCTCGAAAACCACGATTGAGCTGGAGATCGATGGCGTCAAGGTCAAGATCGATCGTGACACGTTTGATGCCGCGAAGAAATCGGCCAAATCCAAAGACCCCCCTGCGGCCTCTTCCAGAAAGCCCAAAGGCGCCAAAACATCTTCTTCCACCCCGAAGCCTGCAACTGTGCCCCAATCATCTGCCAAATCAAAGGCCACATCGTCTGCCGTACCGAAACCTGCAGCGGTGTCCAAACCTCCTGCGAAATCAAAGGCCACGCCCTCGGCACCGCGACCTCTACTGGCCGCCAAACGAAGCAAGCCTTTCAAACCCGGCGGCGCCAGCGCTCGTCCCGTCTCAGATCCCCCACAACAGGTCTACGACCACACGCCCATCTCCTTCCACCATGACGTCGAAATGGACGACGCCCCTCCGCCGTACGAGTCACTAGGATTCGACGAATCTGATGCGTCTCCAAATAACTCCGGCGTCGTCCAGATATCGGGTACCTACTTCGTCACCAATAAACCGTTCTTCCCCTTCGATATCACCCTCCAGATCGACCACGGACAACAAAAGCTCTGGGGCCGGTTCGACGTCGGATCCAAATCCGGGGTTCTCCGTGCCGACGACATTGCTCACATCACTTCAGGCAACGCAGTGTCATTCGGGTGGAGGTCCGAGGATGAAAATGATGGCAACATGAGATTCGGACGGGGTTGTGATGGATACATAGAGTTCGATGGGGAGGGATGGATGCGGGGCCGCTTCCGGGGGCTGATGCACGGAGAAGATGTCGACTTTCAAGGAGAATTGGTGGATGAGGACGGGCTGGATGTCGCGGAAATGAAGCACGCCTGGGACGAGTTTCCTCAGAAGGCATACGGTAGGCATTAAGGGTCGTGTCCCCATGATCCATGGGACCTGCTGTCACTGGGTCGACTGGTGAGAGAAAGAACAAAAGTGCCTTTGGCTTCAGGATCCAGAGCTGCTTGAAATTGGGGGATTTATTTGCCTGTCACATACTGGGCGAACATGGCGCAAACAAGGAGAACGTATTGGGACAAGGACATTGTTTGATTGATAGATACCCATTGGGCGGTAGTCTTGTCAGAGTAGCTCATAACAGTCACCTTTTTCTCCAGCTGGTTTCTTTAGGCGAGCAAAAACTTGAGCACGAAGCAGCCCAACTCGGCTTTGTGATAAGCGAAACTCGTCCCCCAAGAGGGGTTGGTTTTTCCGGAGCAGGTGGAGGGGGAGAAGGGGCAGAAGGAATTAGAGACAGAAACATGATAAAGGTGAAATTTCTGTGTGCAAGGCTTGGGTGGTGTGGTTTGGACAGCACCCTCATAGTAGTAGCGGCGGTGGTGGGCGCAAGGCTGAACCACATCTCTTCCTCCTGTTCCTCTACGTCTCCCGTCTGCTTTTATGCTTCTCCATGCACCTCGACCGGATGCAGGGCGGGCGGGCGCTAGCTAGCTACCGGCAGAGATGGGCGGTTTGTTGAACGAATCGGCAGCCCCCTATTGCCAGGGGCTTCATGCACGTCGTCTTGGTCCAAATCAGAGTTTCTATCTGGGCCAAGATCGCCGCCTCCTCCTCGTCAGCCTCGTTTTGGCGCCACCAAAAAAAGAGGAGCCAGCCAAAAGGCAAGCCATCCGAACAGCACAATGTGTCCTTGACCATTCCTGAGACAAAGAAAAATAAAAGACAATTAAAAAAAAACAGGCTGGGAGTCGCTCAAGAATGGCTTCAAGAAGATCCTCGACCCTGTCGGCACGGTCCCCCAAACAAAGAAAATACTCGACCGACCGCCACCAGCGGGGAGCCGAGCTCTCGATCCGCATTGAAGAAGGCCGCCCCCTGCGCCCGCCGCTGGTCAGGGAGGAAGACATCTCGACGTCGTTCGTGCAGGACTTCTTCTCCAAGCCACCCCGGTCGAGGAACGTCGCGGCCTCGTTGACCCAAGCCGACACCTTGCCGTGCCCGCTGGACATCCACCCCGGCCAGCGCGTCAGGGGCTTCTCGGACGCCGCCTTTGACGAGGACAAACACCACCACGACCTCGTCGCCGAGTCAATCGAGTTCAAGAACCCGTTCCCCGAGCCGAACCCGCAGCAGCAACTCGAGATCGAGCAGCGCGCCGCCGTCTTCCGACGCGTCAACACCGACATCAACGCCGAAGAGGCGCAGATTCGCATCACGCGCTCGGCCTCCGATGCCGTGGGCCTCGGCGGCGCCAGTCGTCCCATCGATCGCGTCAGGAGATGGTTGGGCATCAAGCCGGCCATCAAGCCCGGGGCCGTCAGCGGCGTCAAGTATGCAGCCGGCCTGGCGACGACGCATGCGACGGCCATCCTCTCCCAGAAACCGGCTCCGCTGTTCAAGCGGAGGGCTTTATATGTTTTGGAATACGACGTCGGTAAGTCAATTGTTGTTGAGACGGGTGGCTCGGTGGCTCGGTGACAAGACGTTGCACGAGGCGCCCTTCCATTCCTTCTTTGTCTCGCTCTCTCTTCTGTCCAGTTGCCTAACGCCACCATCAAAGACGACCAGGGCGTCTTGCTCTGCGCACCCCCAAAGCTGTGCGAAAACGTGTCCGGTCTACGAAAGCACTTGGAAGAGGACGAGCAGCCCGACTCCCTCCTCCGGCTGATCTATGTCTGCAACAACGAAGAAGCGATCAACTATCTGAGCAACGCGTTTGGCATCAGCGGCTCCAGCGCCGAGACAGGCGAACGCAGCTTTCGGGACTGGATGCAAGACGACCGCGACACGCGGCGGGCATCCCACAAGGCCATTCGATGGCGGCCGGCGTTCGATATCGCTAGAGGCGTCATCTGCACGGCATTCGGGCTGGATTTCGGGTCCTTGGTGGTGCCTCGACCAGAGACTCCTTCTCTTCATCATCACCATCACCACCACCACCACCATCATCTGCGGCAGCAGCAGCACTCTCAGCTGTTTCAGCCCACCAAACCCTCCCTCTACCGCCAGCGCATATCCGTCTACATGCAGCGGGCCTCGTCGCAAGCCCTGCCTGGCCCGCGAGTGACGCGCTTCAACTCCGGCTCGCGCCACCTGCACGACATGGCCAAGCGCGACACGATCATCATCTGCGAATACTCGTCCGGCGAGGCCGGCGAGATCGTCAGCGCCAACGTCCTGCTCGGCCTGAACCCGGGCACTTTCCCCCCCCCTGGCTCGAGCGAGAAGGAGGAAGAGACCACCACGACTTCGGACCGCCGACGACGGAGCGCATCGACGCCGACCCTGCAGGCCGTGCTCTCGCACGTCTTCGACGGCCTGTACCAGCTCTGGCGCGACCAGATCGCGCTGATCCACGAACCCCACGCCGCGCTCGAGGACCACATCTACGCGCACCCGTCCGACTCGTCGCGCGCCCGCGACGTCTGGGGCATGTCGCAGCGGCTGCACAACATGCTGAAGCTGGTGAACCGGCACTCCAAGGTCGTCGAGGCCGTGCAGGACGACTTTGCCGTCTTCGCCGAGATGGAGAAGTACCAGGACGGCGGGGGCGCGGAGAGGAGCGACGGGTTCGGTGACCGCGATCGCAGCAGCGGCGGTGGTGGCAGTCGCAGTACCTGGCTGACGCCGCTGCTGGACGACTTTGAGGTTCTGGCCGAGAATATTGGGACGGATTATCTCGAGCCGCTGGAACATATGATTGACCTGGTATGTATCCTCGTTCTTTTCTCTCCTTTCTCCCCTCTCCTCTTTCTTTCCTGCCCTTCCTTCCCTTCTTCCCCCCCTGCTACACATTACCTGACACCGTCCCCCCTCCCCTTTCCCGAGGCGAAAATGATTGATTGTCCGATCTGACTGATTCCTCCCTGCCTGCCTGGCTTTGCGCCGGGGTCGGGCGTGGTGGGCGTCCTCTCCAGATGTACAAATCCGTCACGATCCGGGACTCGAAGCAGTCGCTCGAGCTCAACGCCAGCCTGTGGCGGCTGAGCTGGATCACCTTCATCTTCCTGCCGCTGACCTTCCTGGTCGGCGCGTTCGGCATGAACGTCGACGCCCTGAGCCAGAACCCCAGCCTGAAGTGGTACTTTGTCGCCGCGGTGCCTTTGGTGAGTCCTTTTCTACTCGCCTCTCTTGGTATCTTGCCCTCCCTGACTGGCTGGCTCCATGCTTTGGCCTTACACTGCTTCATACCATTCAACCTGGTTCTCTCTACACTACCTCTCCTATGCTATCGTATCATATCATATCATATCCTTCCCACTGTCCCGTCCGCTATGCCCCTCCATACAAGTCCCATCCTAAACCCCGCTGACCTTGTGTGCCAATAATCCGTAACAGATGCTCGCCGTCTTCTTCCTCTGGTTCGCCATGCGCCGATTCGCGCCCGGCCGCAATAGGTCCGGCCTCATCGACGCGGCCGTCCTGGGTGCTGGGCTGGGCATTCGCTCGCTGTAGCCGATGTCGCGGAAACTGGGCTGGGGAGGACGGTCTACTGTCTACGGTCTGAGGGTTTTAGCGTGTTGCCAGGCCATGGATGGGTCTACGGGCTGCACGCATGATGATTGATGTCCTTTCTGGCTGACTGAATGACTGACTGTCTGTCTGTCTGGCCGGTCCTTCTCGGTGTCATGTGTCGCTTGTTGTCTTATTTCTCATTGCGCCCTGAGCGGCCCCCTGGCTGGAGGCGACGCAGAGCTATTTGCATCTCCTTGATATTCGCATGGCCACATACATATGGGGTTAGAGAGGGCAGGAAAACGTGTCAAAGCCAGGATGATGTAATGAGCAATGCATTTCACAATATTACTGATTCCATCAATCCACTATCAGAACGCTTGGGGATGGACCCAACCATCCATCCATTCAAGCAGATGCCTTATGCAATCGCCATTCCACCAAGCTCTCTGGGAGACCCAGCGGGTATGGATGGGCGTGCAGTGCGGTCTACGGCAGCCGCTCCAGTAGCCTGTACAGGACCGTTCCCGGCGAGAGCCATGCGCCGCGAATACCATGCCAATGCCACATTTGCCGGTCCAGGAACCAACCCCGCCTGAACAGCCTTCAGAAGCAGGGCTACTAAGGGATCTGCACCACTCGCGAACCATCCCGGACGCAGTCGTACTCTTGCGAGTGGTGGACTCCCAGGTTCAGAGTTGAGGGGATGGGCGAGCAGGCATAGATGCGAATACCGGGCGAGCGATATCCAGGGCTCCATTTCGCGGTGGAGGTTTCCTTGAGCGCAGGATAATGCCGAGACACTGGCGCTTCGAGAAGTGTGGGCGAGAGGGCTTGCACTCTTTTTCGATTTGGTGAAAAGAGGTGGCCCAGGAGCAGTAATGTCGATCATGTATCTCCGAGGCCATTTCCGATCCCATGCCTCGCAGCAAATTTGTCCAATGCTGTACTCGCCTCGTCCATAGCTGCCAACACAGGCTGCATGGGTGCCGTGTTATTCTGCATGCTGAGGAGATGACTCCGCAACTGTTCGAGCAGCGAATTTAGTTCCGGGTCATTTTCCGAGTCGGGACTGAGGGTGGGCGACGTTGGGAAAGTCATTGACTCGGAGATGGCACCACGCTTCTTGTTCGCGGGGTATATTCCTGCAATGTTGTTGACGCGCTCAATCTCTTCTCTCAGCTCAGCCTCGACGCCGTCCTCATCCTCCTCCTCTTCTTCCCTGTGCAAGCCCTTGGCCAGCGGATGTAGGCCCCTCTCCTTCTTCCTCCTCAACGCCTCGCTTCCCTTGAAGCCTTCCTCCAAGGTCTTCAACTGTGCACGGTCCCGCTTCAGCGCGAGTTTCTCCCGGTTGATTTGGCGGCGGAGGAGCTGCACGGATTGGAAGTTTGTCGTCATCTGGGCCTGGAGCGTGGCGATACGGGCGAGAGTTGCAGAAAGGTCAAACGGCGAGTCGTCAACGGTGGATGCATTGGTATGTGGGAATGGCATTCGAGGTAGGCGGGCGAGGAGTCTGTAGAGGTAGATGGGGATTAGCCGATGACAGTCGAGGGTGTGAAAGAAAGTGATTCGGATACAGCAGCAAAGCTGGAGGGGGCTTGGTCTGAGGAACCGATGCAGCAGTAAACGTACTTGTCAGCAACCTCCTCCACGACTTTTTCATACTCCTCCTCCCTGATACTGGCCGCCGTCGCGTTCTTCCTCTGCACCCTGGCGTTGTTGCGCAACTTGCCCACTGGTGGGATCCTGCCGTTTCCACCAGCACCAGACCTCTTCGTCTTGAGATTCAAGAAGATCTGCCGGACCTTCTCCTGTGATGAAGCTGGGAGAGGCCTCCACTTCTTCCGGATTGTGGATTGCGACACTTGTCTTATCCGCGGTTCGAGGGTTGCCAATCCGGCGCTGGTGTTTGATAAGGCGGACGCAGGCGGAGGGGGTTTTGACGCAACCATTATTTCTTCGTCTGTCCGCGCAGTGTCCGCTTCACGGTCGAGGCGGTATTTGTGCGACAAGATACCAGAGACAACCGATTTGAGAAGTACTGGTCTTGAAGCGCGCAACCCGACAATTACATCTGAACCGCGCCTCGTGTTGATGTCACCGACTAATTGGGTTTAGTGTGGATGAGTGCACTAGTGCCAACACGGACAAATAGATATGAAATCACCTGTCCTCCTGTTCTCAGAGTAGGTCTTCTCTATCACCTGTTTTACACTGTGGTGGCCTTTGCCTTTTATCATCTCGCACGTTTCCCGGATCGATCAATAATCCCTCAACGCGTCATAAACTAGTTCTAGGACGCTTTATGCTTTGCAGACCGCTGATACTTGATCTCCAACAGAAGCACATTAAAACCCCATCTCAATAGGTATAGTGAAAGTCCGTGACCCCTTCAATCAAATTTCCCTTCGTCTTCGATTTGCGGTTGGCGATCCAGAACCACAGTGTACACGCCGAAACCAGGACGATCATCATAATATGACTCCCAATGCTCACCCATATTGCTGTCAAATATCGTGGCGCCTCTGGTTGGCGAACGATGTAGCTGCCGGCTATGCCGCCCAAACCATTGCAACCAGAAATGGCTGCCGCCACTGTGGCACGCTTCCATTGGCCCACAATGTTGTTGGCTTGATAAGCGTTGAGCGCGGCCCAGTTGGAGATGTACGCGCCAGTCGCCAGAAACGTGCCAATGTATCTCACTGTAACTTGACTGCTGAAACCTAACATCCAGAATCCCACGATTAGGCAAATTGCATTGAAAATAATGACTGGTGCTCGAACCCTGTACTTGTCTCCGATGTATGAAGAAACCAGGACGGGAATTACCGCATAATAGTATGGCGGTGATGAGAGCAGTATCGCTCGGTTGGAATCGAAGCCCATTCCGCTCTGTAGTATGATCGGCAAGAAGTACGAGAGCGCTGTCGATACCAAGTTGAGGAGGAAGAATAACACGCAGAAGGCGTATAGCTTCGGGTCGAGAAAATGTACCAGAATACCAGCCAAGCTGAATGGCTCGGGTTTTCCAGCATCGCGCCGATCTTCGTTGATCCGAGAAATTGCAAGGCTCTTCTCATCCTCCGTGAGAAAATGGAACGAATTCTCGCACCGGTCTGGAAAGTCGATCATCCAGAAATAGGTGATCAGTCCGAGAAAGACAGTGACCGAACCCTGCACAAGATACATCCATTGCCAACCTCGAAGGCCATCTTGATGGTCCAGGTGATTCAAGCCAAAGTTAACGATAGAGCCAGTAGCGAGGATGATGATTTCCCCAGATTGCAACAGAGCAAATCGGAGCTGCTGCTCATGGCGGGTATACCAAGTTGAAATCAGGTACGTGAGCCCTGGATAGATACCCGCCATAGAAATACCGAGGAGGACTCTCAGGGCTATCATCTGTTGCCAGCTGGTTATGGCGGCTGTGCACATGGTGATTATACCGAAAGCACAAGTGATTGAGGAGAAGAACAATCGAGGTCCAACGAAACGTAACAAAATGGTCGCAGGTAGCTGACAGCCCACAGAGGCGACGGTAAAGATGAAGATTGAGACAGAATATCGATCTCCGACAAGGTCCAGGTCAGAAAGCATGCTTGTGACGGCAGCTGAAGAGATGATGCCGCTGTCGAGTAGATTCAGACTGCAGAGAATCCCGGCGATAGTGCAGAGTCGCAGGTCAACTTTGCGACGGAGACGAGCCTCCGCTTGCGCCCGCGTTGGGTCATTTTGCAGCCCCTCCTGGTTGACTTCTGTATCTCGATTGACGTCCAAGTCACTTTCTGGAAGACCAGAGGTGGAAGGGCCAGTTATGTGGATGGGGCGCGCAAGTTCTGATTGGGTTTCTAGAGCCTGTTTCTTCCCAGGGGCGAGAGCCATGAGGGCTGGCCTGCGAGTATGTCCGAATAAGAACTGACTTGTCAGAACGAGGTGATATTGAGGTTGTGGTGCAGAGGGGACAAATGTGCGGCAAAATGGCCACCTCCATATATTTTGCCCTTTCACAGAGATGGTGCGGGGAAATGAGGGCGATAAACAGAGCGGGTGCGATAGCGGTAATCAGTGCATGAGTAGCATGCTGGTCGCCATATCGAAGCGATCTGCTGGTGGCATGGAATCTGGATGAAAATCATCACTGCAATGAGCACGTGCATAACTTCCCTTGATGGATGATACCTTGTTTGACAGATTCCCTGAGGCTCTACTGTGAAGGAGTATGGGCAGGATACAGGTCTGAGCATGTGAAAGAGCAATGTTAGCTCCAACCTGTGTCGATTCTGTCTGAGTCAGGAATCGGCAGTCGATTTGACGGCTCCTGGGTGGAATTTGAGTGTTTTCCAGAAGCCTTCCTGCGGCGAGGAGCTTCCATTGGCGCTCTGGTAGCAGGGTAGACAAAGAGTGAGAGAGTTGAAGAAGAGCGCAAAGCCAGAATGTACAGTGGGTGGGTGGATGGATGGCACATGTCAGCAGCCACCGCAGCTGCGCAGGCACTGTGTGGAGATGGGCGTTCAGCCTCATGGGCTTCCCGTGCACGTGGGTTTCAGCCTGATGCATTTTGACCAACCACGATCTTATCCGAATGGGTCTCCATGACGATGCAAAGCCGGCCGGGCGAATGGAAAATGCAACCCTTGGAAGCCCATCGGTCACCATCGGTCACCCGCGTGTCCAGCCTCGATTTCCTGATCCAGACCAAACCAACAAGCCCTCGGACAGCCTCTGACAGCCTATTATGCTGTGCCGCCTACCGCCTCGCCTCGCCGCTCATCGCTCGTACATAGATGAATTCCCGCTGCGATCGATGCTCCCCGAGTTTCCATCCTGTCTCCCAAAGCTCAACACCTGCATTCTGTTGTCCCCATTACTTTTCGCATTCGCCCACGCTGCCATATTTAACGCTGACTGCCGCCACGGCCACATAGATCCCGTCTTCGTTGCACGCGAGCCACTGTGCTCTCCGACCGAATCCTCCTTACGCTGATGACTGCCCTCTCAAACTGAACACCGGCAAGAATAAGCATGGTTGAGCTGATACCTCCTCCTGATCCCCTCTCTTTACTCCCTCCCTTGCTCGCATGTCTACCTACCTCCTTCGCATCTCCTAGACCTCCGCCCGCACTGCTACCTTTGCTGTCCCCAATACTACGGCAGCGGTTACAACTACACACGTCGACGTCGTCACGCGACAACTGGGCTGCACTATTATGCTGGGATGCGAACAAAGGCCAAATCCTGAAGGACAAGATTGAAGGCGCAGTCTTCGAACCTCACCCGGCTTCGGGAGAGATTGAGGTTGGCGACACACATCAGATAAAATACAAGAGATTTGACGAGGAGACATTGCGGGCCCAGATTCCTTTAGTGGACTGGCCATTTACCGCCCTGTACCTGTGGTGCACCGGTAGTGACGAGGGAAATGCCTGGAAACTTGCAGAATTATTACCGTATGACCAAGATCTTCAAAAAGACCCTTCATGGTCAACCTCTGTTGCAGAAGCAAACGAGAGCTCCAAGGAGCGGCTGGTGAACGAAGCTTTGCAGGAAGCAGACGACGCTGAAAACGCAAGAGGCCAAAGAAACCTCTCGGTACCACCACCGAACGAGGATGACTACTGGGCCATGTATGACAACACGCCGAGCAGGACCCCTGCTCGGAAAGAATCAGTCCAACCTCCGCGTGAAGGCCCTTCTGAAGACGACTACTACGCTCGATACGGAAGTGTGCAGCCTGCCATGGACAATCACGACCCAGACGAGCAGATGGAAGGCAGCCAAGAACCTCATTTGAATGGACACGCGCTGCAACAGATGCTGTCGGCACACCAGCAACCACATACAGAGCCAGATCCGCCTCCATACCAAGGAGGGTTTGCCGACCTCGCAAATGATCCAGAGGACATAGAAGTTGAGGTCAACCATCCAGTGCCCTCGTCTCCGTCTTCGAGGGGATCCGACGCGGTCGCCCGGCTGGAAGAGCATGCAGAGCGATATGGAGCATCAGAAATAGGAATCAGGCAGCATATCAGTACCAGCATGAAAAGCATGTACCGGTTGGCGCGTAGTGCGGGCATCACCCGGGAGGAATTTGAGCGGATGATGCAAAGGGAATTGGAAACTCTGAGTCTTCTGGATCTAGACGAGTGAAGATCCGTGTCCTTTTTGTTGTAAATAGTGTTCGCAGGTTCGGAATGAGATCAAAATGTTTCGCATAAAGCGCTCTTTAGTGGTGTTGTTCACCCCTATAAGTCTGCAAGTAAGGGGAGTTATGAATGACCCCTTTCGACGAGGCTCTGGCGCACGGGCCACCTCTCCTTTTGGGGGGGAACTCGTAAGTCGCGTCAAAAAAAGTTCAGGACACGTTAAAGTCAGACCCTCTCCCATTCCCTTTCAACGTCCATGCAATGCCCTTCCTCATTCTGGAGGCTTTGAACCTCTTCTGATTATTCTTTTCACTACCTTCATTCGTGGCCCATTTGCCCTTCCATTTCTTTGATTCCCACCTTTCAACGTCGTTCTCAGCCTTGCAGTGCTCGAGCCCCTTCGCTACCTTAAGAGACCTCGAATATGTCAAGCCCCAATTCGACCCTGCGACAGCGGGGACCAAAAGAGAAGAACAAAGCTGCATTCAGCGGGGACAAGGATGATGAGGTTTTGAATGAGGCACTCAACAATGTGCAGAAGAGTGTGTCTAAAGAATGGGATTATAAGCTGGCGCTGGGAATAATCACGGCCCTTGCATTCGCAACCCGCTTCTTTGGGATCAGCCATCCAAATGAAGTCGTCTTTGACGAAGTGCACTTTGGGAAGGTATGTGGACATGCCAGAGACTTCGGAAAATATCCAGCTCTAACGGCAGTCATACGCAGTTCGCATCCTATTATCTGCAGCGCACCTATTTCTTCGACGTACACCCTCCCTTTGGGAAGCTCCTCTTTGCCTTCGTGGGTTGGCTCGTTGGGTATGATGGACATTTCTTGTTTGACAACATCGGCGAATCCTACATCGCCAACAACGTCCCCTACCTGGCATTCAGAGCACTGCCTGCATTTCTCGGAGCTCTGACCGTGGTGGTCGTCTACCTGATTATGTGGGAATCGGGATATTCGCTCCCGGCGTGTGTCTTGGCTGCTGGACTGGTTCTCTTCGACAATTCCCACGTGGGCCAAACTCGATTGATTCTGCTGGATGCAACCCTGGTCTTCTTCGTCTCGCTCAGTATTTATTGCTACGTTCGGTTCTACAAGCAACGGCACGACCCCTTTGGCAGGAAGTGGTGGAAGTGGCTTCTGCTGTGTGGCTTTTGCATGAGCTGTGTTATTTCCACCAAATACGTCGGTGCTTTTACCTTCTTCACCATTGGATGCGCAGTGCTCATCGACCTTTGGGATCTGCTAGACATTAACCGGAAAGAAGGCGCCCTGGATCTTTTCACCTTTGGCAAGCATTTCGTGGCTCGTGCGCTCGGCTTGATCATAATACCTTTCTTCTTCTACCTGTTCTGGTTCCAAGTCCATTTTGCCATTTTGACCAGGTCCGGTCCAGGCGACGACTTCATGACACCAGAATTCCAGGAAACTCTCAGCGACAACCTGATGCACCAAGCGTCCATCGACATCCAATATTACGACTATATCACGCTACGCCACAAGGACACGAAGGTTTATTTGCACAGCCACCCAGATCGATATCCCCTGAGATATGACGACGGCCGAATTTCGAGCCAAGGTCAACAAGTCACGGGTTACCCCTTCAACGATACCAACAACGAGTGGCAGATTCTGCCCAATGACCAACTCCCCGATCCCTCCATGGCCGGAAAACCGGTGCTTAACGGCGACGTTGTCAAGCTCCGACATGTTGTGACCAACACCATGCTTCTGACCCACGACGTCGCATCCCCCTATTTCCCTACCAACCAAGAATTCACCACCGTGCCCCTAGATGTCGCAGCTGGAGACCGCCACAACGACACTTTGTTCGAGATTCGGATGGAACAAGGCAAAAAGGGCTCTCCGTTCAAGACCATGTCCGGCCAGTTTAAACTGATTCATTACCCAACAAAAGTTGCCATGTGGACGCATACCACCCCTTTGCCGGATTGGGCCTTCAAACAGGCAGAAATCAACGGGAACAAAAACGCACAACAATCGTCGAATATCTGGTATGTGGACGACATTCCAAACCTTCCCGAAGATTCACCACGGCGTGTGAAGGAAGTCAAGAAGACCAAGTCCTTGCCCTTCTACAGAAAATACATCGAACTGCAGCGCGCGATGTTTTACCACAACAACGCGCTGACAGCTTCTCACCCGTACGCAACGCAACCTTATCAATGGCCCTTTTTGTTGCGGGGAGTCAGCTTCTGGACACAAGACTCGACGAAGCAGCAGATTTACTTCCTGGGCAATCCCATTGGATACTGGATCGCGAGTGCCTTGTTGGCTGTCTTTGCTGGCATTCTGGGCGCAGATCAACTGAGTCTGAGGAGAGGGATTGATGCACTTGATCGTCGTAAGTTCGCCAACAGCCCCGGCAAAGGGAACAAATTTACTGATCACCGTCACCCATAGGTACCCGCTCCCGCCTGTACAACTCGACGGGCTTCTTCTTCCTCTGCTGGGCCGCCCACTACTTCCCCTTCTACCTCATGGGCCGTCAACTGTTCCTACACCACTATCTCCCGGCCCACCTCGCCTCATGTCTCGTGACCGGCGCCCTCATCGAATTCATCTTCAACGTCGACCCGGTCGTCGACGACGAGGCCCAGCACGCCCTGCAACAGAAGAAAGACAAAGTCACCGGCAAGATCCCGGAGAAGGCTAAGAAACACTTCCAGACCGCCGCCGAGAGGCTCAAGGGCCAGAGCATGCTGGGCACCTGGCTCGCCACGGCCGTCATCCTGGCCGCCGTCCTGTACGGGTTCTACTTCTTCTTCCCGCTGACGTACGGCTGGCCGGGTTTGACTCCCGCTCAGGTGAACGCGCGCAAGTGGCTCGGGTACGATTTGCATTTCGCAAAGTGATCGCTCACCCTTCCCTTATCTCTTGTCCACGGGTTCGGCGTCCGATGGAGGAGCTCGAAGGTTGGGGCAAGGCGAGGCAAGGCAAGGCAAGGCGAGCGGACTCCCCAAGACGGAAAGAAGCAGCGAAAGCCGTGGGGGAGCGAGCGAGCTAAGCGCGAAGCAAAAGTACCCAAAGGAAAATGAAGAGCGGGCGGTCATCATGTGTTTCTTTCCCTCTTTGGGGCTGCCGCGTCGGCTCCCCCATCATGACCTTGAAATCGATGGGAGGATGGAGTCAGGAGAGGGGCGCCCGCACGCACTCTTTTTGCAAAAGAAAGACACGGCCAAACTTAGTGCGCGAGCGGGCGTGCGGGCGATCATGCTAATTAAAACGGGTGGTCAAGTCAAGGGCAATCTAGAGACCAGGGAAGAACTACCCGAGCGAGCACATCCTTTTCGCAAACACCAAAAAGCATCACACATCTGAAGATCCTTCGACGGGAGTAACGGCAAACTGAGTTGGAGTTGGGAGTCGAGTTGGGGACCCTTGTTTCTCGTTGTCCATGGTTGCAAAACTACAGCATCTTACCGGTTGTAAATGCAAGGGATCTCTGTTTGCGAGCCTCTGCTTCGATATACGAACCAAGAAGTACCTTGAGTGATTGAGGAGAATAACACGAGACTCGAAAGGTAGATAAGACTCCGAACTCGATGAACCAGCTCGAGTATCAAAGACCAAATGTACCAAAGCCTGCAAGGGTTGACGATGCGCACGACCAGTTGTCTGCTGTTTCCTGTACTGCCAGAGCCTTTGGGAAGAAGGAACGCTGCTGCTCATGTTCCGTTTCCGCCTGATGCGTTGTTCATCATGCCCGAGGTGACAAATGTCGTAGGAATGGACAATTCCTTTTTCCCTAATCGAGTCAACAAACACTGCGACGGCGCTATTGCCTGTCCTTTGCCCTAGCCTTGTCTGGCGTGGACATGTTCTGTATTGGAGCATCGGCTGCCCAAGCTCAGAGTCTGGGGGCTGATCAACTCACTGCGCCTTCCGCTGGGCTGGACACCTTTATCGGGTTTGCCCTGGTCTGGCCTGTTCTCCTCTCATCAATCTGGACTGCGCGACAGGTGGACGAGCTCGGGTATAATCTACGCAGGAGTGTTCTTGCTGTGTCGGTCGAAGAATGCCCGGCGAGGAGATCCACATTGAACTTGACAGTTCGCCCTGGAAACTACTGCATGATCCCTGTAAGGTGTTTATTCGAGGAGGTTCACGAGACGCCGGATGGGCATGAGATAAGAACAACTTGTTAAATGCTTGGGGGGCGTGCATAGGTGCCGGGACAGTCGGGTTTGCGATTTTGCCTGGCAGAAAGGATCATGTCCATTGGGCCGGGTTTCAATGGGTTGCAGTGCGTGTAGGTAGGTTCGTGCGCTCCCTGGGGTTGAGACAGGTCGGCTTTCAGCTGATGGTGCAGTTTGTGTTAGTCACCGCAAGTTGACGTGGGTGAGGATGAAGGTAGCGACGGGGAGCGCGGCAGGCGAAGGCAAAAAGGTGGACCGGGAGTGGTGGGAAGGGAGCCATCAAGCCAGACAAAATGGTCAGATGATCGTTCAAGGCTCTGACATCTGGCCTCTGGCTTCCGGAAGGCCATTGTCTCCAAGAGCCTAGACGGCATGCGGCCCGACTGGAAGTGCGTCGTTGGTCTGCTCGAGTCCGGGTCGGTGTGTGCTCGTGCCCGTCGGCATTGCTTGCCTTTGTCCTCGTGCCTCCCTGTACACTGCTGCAGCCTGTTGGGCAGAGATAGACGAGTTGCAAGACACCCACGACACCAGTTCCCAGTTCGCCAGTCCACAGCCTCATGAGTCGCGGTGTAGCAGCTGCTTCCAGGCTTCCACATCCGCCGCATTGGCCGCCGAGAAAGGCCCTTCGAACGGCAAAACGAACGAGTGGCAATCCTGATAAGACTCGGGTCTAGCTTAGCAACTCTGTCAGTTCTTCTCCAGTTAGTCTGGTCACTTAGTTCCACATGGATTCTATGCCCTGATTCGAGTTAGCGTATGTGGGCACTCTGATTGGATCTTCAATTGGCACTTAGCTGTTAGGCTTTCATGGGTCTTTTGACCTTGTTCATGGGTGTGCGGCTGTGTCGAGTCCTTCTCTTTCTCGCCCATGACGAGGAGGCCCATCCTTGCCATCGCCGTCAAGAAGACTGTCGTGTCTCACGGGAACGGCGGTCAGAAGGACAGTCGATATGCCGCGTGATGATGATGACGGTATCGCCTCGTATGACGGGGGAGAACCCGCTTCCCGGCGGCTAGCAACCTTGCTCACCGTGACTCGCTCTTGATCCCCATGTAGATGGCTCGGCTCCCTCCTCTCACATCGACCGTCCCGGGGAAAGGTGCGCTTGTGCCGCATCGTGCTGATGTGGCCGAGTGGGCTCGTGTAGGTCTTCGATATGTGGTAATAGGGTGCGCAGTTGCTGTGTTGCGTTGGCGGCAGCGCCATGACGAGACCGAGCTCCCAAAAAGCAATTGCGGAGCTTGCTGAACACATCGTTTGGACTTTGGAGACCACAGTAGAATGAACGCCAGTAGTTACGACTGCCCTTTGGTTGAGTCAGTCAAGTAATGGTAATGGTGGTGATGCGGGTGGCTAGTTGCTCACCTTGAGTGGACCATGAGTTTCAAGTGAACGATGGGATGGCCAGCGCACCCACGAGACCGGGGAGCAGATGATCCTGTCGTACCTGCGAGGCCATGCAAGGCGCTGTAAAGGTCAGGCGAAGTTGGGCCACATACAGACCCGTTGAGGAGAAAAGAAATAAGACGAGCAGGGGAACAAGAGAAAAAGCAATTCTAGCGCAGTTCAATGCAGAAGGTGGTCGTGTGTATGCGCGACGGGTGGGATGTGCCAAAGGAGAGTGCAGGCCGGTGGCCACGCCACCAACGGCCATGAGTAATGAAAGTGAAATGAGCAGAAGCCGAATTGTCTGATGCAGGAATTAGACAATGGGTTGTGGTCAATATTGGCCCTTTTGATTATTTTTTTCCTTTTTTTTCGGGGTTTTCTCTGTACTTAGCTAGATAGCCCTCCCTCCCCAAGCAGTGCATCACCCTCACTCGTCTTCGTATCCTCAACCCGAGGTGTCGGTCGAAACGAGAGTGGGATGTTCAGTTGAGTGGCGCCAGTTGCACATCAGCAATACCAACATCCCCAAGCCAGTTCCTTTGCTCCCCTCCTATCATCCGAATATCAAGGTCATACATAGTTCCGGTCCCGTCCCGTGGAGCGTCATAGTGTCATCGAGATCCTGGAGAGAAGCAAGCACCGCAAGACAGGAAAGATGTCGACGAATGCAGTAACAGCAGGGAGGACCAAAATACCGACTCCATAACCCCACGCTTGCGAGTACGGAACCCTGAGGAATAGCAGTCTTGGGACCAGAACGCCCGCCAAATAAGTATCCAAAAGAAAGTCGTCGTAAAGTGCTCGTGGGATTCAGCGGTAGTGGGCCACTTCGCTCGCAATTTCGGTCAACCTCTTCGGCTGCAGAGAGACTACTTCGGCCTTGTTGTTGACAGAAATCTGAGCAGGCGCCTTGGTATACATGGGATATCGAGCTCGCCGTTCGAGTTCGTCCAAGGGGGTTTGAGAACGGATGTACTTGACACGGCCATCGTCAATCGGATTCCAGTCCCAGCTTTCAAAGCGGCCTTGGGTCAAGGCAGACCAAACCAGTCGACGTTGGCGCTGGCACACCAGGACATCGTCGGTGATTTTCTTGAAATCCCACTTTTGGTTTGCTTCTCTCTCGAAAGCCTTGAAGACGGCCAGGGTCTCTGGGTCTTGGCTAGTGGCAAGGTTGGTCAGCTCAAGCGGGTCGTTGCGCAAGTTGAACAGCTGAGGAGGATCAGCTGGACATGTGATATACTTCCAGTCGCCTCGTCGGATCATCATTAGGGGGGCTACGGTCCCCTCGCCCATATACTCGGCGAAGACGGTATCATGGCCACCGTCGCCGCCGTAGAGATGAGGTAACAGGGACAGACCGTCCATAGGCAACCCGGGAACTAGCTTGGATCCAACCAAGTCCACGAGGGTTGGCATGAGATCCAGAGTCGAGACATTTTGAGAAACGCGATGAGGGTGGAATTGTTTCGGGTGACTGATCAACATGGGTACCCGGACGGAATTTTCGAAATACGACACTGCAGATGCTCTGTTAGCCGTCTCGACGCGACAGAAGCTGGGAGGAAAAATCAACTCACTCTTGTACCAGAGGCTTCTTTCGCCCAGCATGTCGCCATGGTCGCCGGAAAACATCACAACTAATCGACGTTAGTCTATTACAAACCGGGGAGACCAAATCCCTGCTTACCGGTGTTGTCTTCCATGCCACACTTCTTCAGAACGTCAAGCAATTGGCCAATACAGTCGTCGACGTAGCTCACTGCGCCATAATATGCTCGGCGAGCGCGTTTGATCTGCTCGTCTGTGAAGGTATGGCCCTCGATCTCGCAGACTTGCATCAAACGTCTGCTGTGCGGGTCTTGGTCTTCCTCTCGGATGCTCACACTCGGCAGGTCGATATCGACGCCTTCATACAAATCCCAATATTTCTCCTCAATGGCATATGGGTCATGAGGATGCGTGAAGGAAACTGTAAGAGCGAACGGTCGTTTTCCAGCCGGCGCCCTGGCATGGTCGTAGAGGTACTGCTTGGACTTGTACAGGACCTCCTCGTCGTAGTCGAGCTGATTCGTCCTCACACACGGGCCAGCTTGCAAGATAGAGCTGCTGTTGTGATACCACTCGAGTCTCCGGCCGGGCTCGTCCCAGTTCACCGCCCAGCCGAAATCGCCAGGGTAGATGTCAGAAGTCAAACGGTTCTCGTATCCGTGGAGTTGATCCCCAATGAAATGCATCTTGCCGGCTAAAGTGGTTTCGTAGCCAGCCGCTCGCAGGTAATGAGCGTATGTCGGTGTCTCTGACGGAATGGAGCAGGCGTTGTCGTACGAGGCGATTTTGGAAGGCAGTTGGCCGCTGATCAGACACATGCGAGATGGAGCACAAAGCGGCGAATTGCAATACGCTGAGTCAAACACGACCGAGCGTTCGGCCAGCTTGTCGAGATTTGGGGTCTTGATCTGCGACTTGGGGTTGTGCATCTTCAGCAACGGAGCCGCCAGCTGGTCTGCCATGATGAAGAGGATGTTTGGTTTGGCCGGGAACAGAGGCGTCGAAAAGCCTTCAACGCCTTGGAAGCCATTGGGAGGCGAGACTGGGGGAGACTGAGGGAAAGGATTGAAGGAGCCCATGGTCGCACTGGATCAATATGTAGCCTGTCTCTGAGAATGGCAATACGGGTCAAGAATCCAGCAGAAGGCCTTGTATCTGCTTTGAATGGTCGTTGCCCGGATGAAGAAGAGAGGGAGGGTATGGAAGCGTGGAGGGAGGGAAGTGGAAAGATATAGACCTTTTTGCGAACGAGGGGCAGGGTGAGACTTTCCGGGGTCACAAGTCCAGTTCCCCAATCAAGACACAGAAGGAATGACAAAAGGAAAGCACAGGAAGAGGACCAGGTTTCAAATCCAAAGGAAAATGGTACTGACCCAAAGTGGGAGCGCGAAGGAAGGTCGCAAAGAAAACAAGGTGAATACGGAGCGACTGACACCGCACGGGCAGCGGTTTCGAAAAAGAATTTGGCCTGCAGCTACCCACAAGGTTTACTGATCCCGGTATGGCGTATGTGGGGACGATGATATTCATTCAATCTGGCCGACTGAGCTAGTAGTCGTCCGTGGACCGTGAATTGCAAGGCGGTAAGGCCGTCAGTCTGTGTGATTGCTGATTGCTGCGAAGGCTGACTGGAAGGGGGCGCTGCGATCTCGTGGTCAGCCTCCCTTTCCAAAGATTTGGCCACGCCTGGGAAGCACGGGAGATTGGTAAGAAGGGGGCACACGGAGGCAAAAGCCATGATGGACGTGTATACCGGATGACGACGAGCATCACAGATGGAGAGGCTCCGAGGTTGCAAAAGGCGACAATAGCATAATATTAACACCCGAAGGCATCATTGAAACCCTCCCAGATGGGTGCGGGAGTGAATGACAACATCCCAGAGCACGATCACGCCATTGTTTGCCACATACGGGCAAGTCAAGGCGGTGTATCGACAGGGCGACCTCGTTGGATGGTGGTGGTTTCGAGGGGCCACAGTTGGTGCTAGGAAACTGGACGCGTCCACGTCCACGATAAGACACCGTCTCTTAATTTCGTGGCTTTCGGAACGTCGTTGGGATTGGCGGCGCCGGGTTCCCCGACTCTGCAGCATCTTCCCAAAGCCCAGGGGGTCGCTTGGGGAGTTGCTCGGCTATGCACGGCTGGAGGCACTAAGGGCTACGAGGGGGAAGGCTTCCCAATCAACCCCCAGTGGCCCCAGTAGGCCCCCTAACATATCCCTTACACGCCCCTGTTTCCCCCCCCCCCCCCCAAAAGACAGCCCCTCGGCTTCGATCTCCTTTCGACAAGATCCGCCATTGGTGGAAGGCGTCGGGCTTTTTTTGCTTTGGCCAAACTCGGGCTCGCCAAGTGCAAAAGTCAAAGAACACGGGGTACGGAAATTGGATGACCGTGCCACAGGAAGAGGTGTCTACCTCCTGCTCCCAAGTGCCAATAATCACCAGAGTATCACAAACCGGACGCCCGACACCACGCTGCACGGGCGTGTGCGGTGAGCTGCCCAAGATACGACGCCTGTTTTTCTCTCACGCTTGCCGAGCGAGCCATTCTGACGGGCGAGTTTCGTGACGGCATAGAGATCAGTGGCTGCCCTGTATGCCCGGCAGGACTGTACTCGTAGGTGCTAAATTAGACATACGAGATCCCTCTGTACCCCCCGAATCCTCGAGACCAGAAGTTGATGATCGGTCAGCCTCGCAGCCTTGGCCTCGACGTGTTGTTCTGGACCCTTTCTCGCTCCCCACGTTTTGTTCTTTTCCCACCAATCAATAAATTCGAAGGGTCAGGACCCTGCTGATTGCTCGCCTGTTTGGAACGATCCTCTTCACCACGTGAGCCTTCCTCCTGCTGCCCCCAAGCTGCTATTATTATTTTCCACCTCTACCTTATCTAACAATCAATTCTATCTTTCCATCTGAACAAACTGATGTCACGGGATTTCTGTTGCCGACCACCGTTGATTTAGCCTCGGGGATCTAATGCTCTCTGGATTAGGGACGCTTTCTACCTCGAATGTGGCGTTTGCAAGTACGATCGTTGCATGGATGGGTTGGATATCCTTGATAGACTATGGGAGCATGGAATTCTTCTCCCTACTCCCTCCGTCGCCTAGAGCGTCAATTGCAGGGATTTAAGCGACTACCCCACCTCCCCGGTACATTATCTTCTATGTACTCCGTACCTGGAACGCAGATATATTACAGAAGTACCTCATGGTCGGGATCGTCCTCCCATTTTGTTCGGCTACCTGAGCTTCTATGTCATCGACATGGAATCTTCCAATGAAAATCACGAGCGACATCCTCAGCCGCACGATGCGAAGTCGGAGTGCGCCCAAAGCACGTGACTCGGATTCTCCTGCAGCCCGGGCACTCTTTTGCGCAGATTGACAATACCTTGCACAAGAAGAAGAAGAAGAAGAAGAAGAAGAAACAATTCAAAGCTGGTCTGAGCAGTAACGGTGAAGGCCTGATAGCAAGATGCACGCAAAAGGAAGCAGTGCTCTGTTGAAAGAGCTGGAGTGGTTACCTATCCAGCTACATGCATGTTTGGCTGCGGCTCTCCGCAGCTGCGGCGCAAGTTTCTAGAGGAACGACAAACCCCCCCAACTTCCTCGCCTACCACTCTCTTTCTGTCCCAACTTCAGCGCCATCTTTTCGTTCTATTCGTTTTGTTTTCTCTATTCCTTCCTTGCTCATTTCATGTTGTGTATGATATGTGCTCCATAATTGACGTACCCGACCTGACATCCTCCATGAGCTGTTTTCGCCAGAAACTTATTGCCTACCTCCTGTGATCGCAACAACAATGGCTGGTCGCGAGGAAAGCGCGCAGGTCGCCGAGTCTGGTGAAGCTGACGTGAATATGGGAACCATGGAGGAGGTACAAGAGGTGGAAGATGATAGGGTCCGAGGGGAAGAAGCAGGTAATGAGACCGTTGTCGCCAACAGCAACCCCAATCCTCAAACCATGTTCCTCGAATACCTCAAGTCGCCCATTGTCCAGCTTATCGTGGGCGCAGGCGATGACGAAACTACCTTGACTGCCCACAAGGCTATCCTCCAAAAATCACCCTACTTCAGCGACATACTCTCAAGTCTGAAGGACGACGCGCTCAGTATTGAGCTGCCCGACGAGTCATTAGATGCAGTGGGGTGTTTCCTCCAATACCAATACACGGGTGAATACTTCCCTCGACGCCTTGCAGACACGCCTGATGGGCTGGAGCCTGATCCTTCAGTCCCGGCTATCGACGACACCGGCGCACAGCTTCTCAAACATGCTCGCGTCTACACGTTAGCCCAAAAGCTTGGATTGCCTGACCTCAAGACACTGGCGCACTCCAAGATACATCGCATCAACTCAACCGCGGTCGGAGAGATTGCATACGCACGGTTTGTCTATGGCAATACGCCGGCTGACGATGTCACGATCCGCAAACCCGTCGCAGCGTTCTGGGCCACCCGGTCACATGTATTGCGCCACGAAGCCGAGGCCGAATTCAAGGCCATGTGTCTGGAGTATCCCCAGTTTGGCTTTGAAGTTCTGAGTTTGGTGCTAGACCAGCGAGAGAGGAGGGCCAGAGAGCGAGAGGAGGAAGGCACACCGGGGGGGAGTAAAGGGAGGAAGAGATTACGCCCAAGCGTCAACATTTAGCCGGCCGATCTTCCTTGTTCACCACCGACCAGTGGCATCGGCTGTCCAACTTGCGAAGACGTTTCTGTTTCTGGGACCATGGGCGCTGCTCCCGTCGGGGCTCGAGTTTGAGTGAAGTGACGCGTCTTTATACGTCAACAGGAACGGCGGATGAGATGAGACCATCTGTAAAAATGGTTCCAAGGCTTGTCATCAATATTTCAATGAGAGACAATTGCAAAGATGCTATCCCTATCATTACGCTGTGCAGAATACCAGCAAAAGGGCTCTTCCGTACACCCATTTTGGAGCCATGCGTCTGGCTCAGGCTAACAGAGATCAATCCGTAGCTGCGGGAAGCCGGGCTCCACTCACCCGTGGTTTGCCCTTCCAAAAAAAATTGGACGGGACTCGGGGAGTACCTAGCAAACTAGTTACACTTGGGCTCTGCACAACGGGCACGGCAGCCAAGGTGATTGCGGGGTTTCCGCCTCGCCGCCGCTTTCCACGGGATCGAACCCCAAGGCCCAGCCTTCCGGCACCGGCCTCGAGCACGAGAGGTACCTGGCGAGCTGGCTCCGAGGCTCTTCTTTCTTCTGCCTCAGGTTCACACAATTACAGATTTCATCTCTCATCGTTTTCTTGCTCTTGTGCTTGGTGTCTCTGCACAGTTTCACGTAAAGGTACCCTGCGCCGCTTCCTGCAGACCATGAGCCCATGCGATCGCGTTGCACGCAGCTCTGCCCACGCTCTCTTGTTGGATCCCTAAGCCGCCGGCCGATTTGCAACTTGTCGGCAAATGTCAGATCTCACAGATGAGCCTGACCGTGCAGGCAATGGCATGAACAAGTCCTTCGACGGCCGAAGTTCGCTGCCAAACAACAGTTTGAACGATGCCACCTCTCCAACTGCGCCCCGCAAGTCAAACCAGACCTCGCCATCCACGGACCAGCCAAAGAAGAAGCGCAAGGTGAACCATGGTCTGTACACCTTCCAACGAGGCATAGTGATGACCTGCACTGACACTTTCCTTCAGCATGTGTTTACTGCCGACGTTCGGTAAGCTACTTTGACCTCTGTCGTGCGGAAGTACCGAAATTCGAGGACATGGCAAGAGACAGTATGGGCTGACTGCTTGTTTTTGGTGGGATACACAGCATATGACTTGCGATTCTGTACGACTCCCTGGCGCTCGGTGTCGAGCTCAACACCATCCACTCAAGTCCTGTCTGGCTAATGCAAGCCTCCTATTGGGGGACCGTGTCTCAGGATCGACCTTGCAAACGCTGCATCAAGAGAAACATCGGCCATCTGTGCCATGACGAACCAAGAGAAGGACATGGCTATCACAAAAAGTCCAAGACCGACTCAGACACTGCTGGCCCGGACGAGCAGTCTCCTCCACGGGATGATTTTTCCACGGCTCCAAGCTTGCCAGGTCCCGCCTTGATGGACGACTCTACTCCTAACCTACTGCAGGACGACAATATTGGACTGAGACCATCCACAAATGACACCATGGCCGTCTCCAATTCGAGTGCACCTGGCCCAAACGCTGGCATCAATGGTAATACTCACCCTCGTAAGTGTGTCTCAATCTTTTTCGGGAAAGCCGTTGTCCCTAATGACTTGCAGACTTCGGTTATAATGATCCATGGGCCGGAGTCCAAAATCGTTTTCATGATATGCAGGCCTTCCATCCAAACTACATGTTCAACGCAAACGAGGTCACCGATGAATTCAACTTGTTGAACGACTTCCTCAGCAACAGCCTCTTTGAAGAGACCGGAATGTACTCTACCGAGGAATTCCAGGGTCCCTTCAATGATCCTTCTTTCATGAATTCTATGGCCGCTTCCTCTTTCCCGACCGCAGGGGTCGAACCCCTCCTTTCGCACGAGCACGTCAACAGCGCCCAGGCAACAGCCCAGAACAACGCAGCTCAGGCGGCACTAATATCTAGACCGCCGAGTGTAAAGCCAATCTCGGACAAAGCGCGAGAGAAATACTATATGATGGCGGCAGATCCGACTGGTGCTGAGCCGCCGGAGGAGCGCATGCAAAAGCTGCTCAAAGCAAAATACGATGCAGGAATGTTACGACCGTTCAATTACGTCAATGGGTATGCCAGACTCAACAAGTACATGGAAAAGAACATGAAGCCACATTCGCGTCACAAGATCTTAATGCAGTTGGACCAGTTCCGGCCGAAATTTAGAGAGCGAATGCAGAGCTTGACCGATATCGAGCTGGTACTGGTGGAGATGTGGTTCGAGAGGAGTTTAATGGAGTATGATAGGATTTTTGCCAGCATGGCTATTCCAGCCTGCTGCTGGAGAAGGACGGGTGAAATTTTCAGAGGGAACAAGGAGATGGCTGAATTGATCCAGGTCCCCATCGAATCACTTCGCGATGTGAGTGAGAGGTCCAAAAGCGACCGAGAATGCGAATTGACAAAAAGGCACAGGGAAAACTTGCCATACACGAGATCATCGTCGAAGACCAGCTGGTCAGCTACTGGGAGAAATTCTGTGCCATTTGCTTCGACCAACAGCAAAAGGCCATGCTCACGAGCTGCACCCTGCGCAGCCCCGCGGGAGGCACCGAAACTGTGGACATCCACTGCTGTTTCTCCTTTACCATTCGGAGGGATAATCACAATATGTAAGTCTCGTCGTCATCTAGTTTTTTTATCCTCGCTAAGGCATCCTCCACAGACCCTCGCTGATTGTGGGCAATTTCTTGCCCATGAATTCTGGGAAACGTTGAATTACAGGTCTTGATGTTTAGTGTATAGCAGTCTTTGATGATGCAATGCCACGATGTTTGAGTATCTCCGATGTGCTCTGAGCCTTGCGTACAAAAGTGACCCTATGGAGGCTGCGGTCGATGAAGTCACGTGTCAGCCTCACTCCTCTTCTTCCAGCACGGTAGCCATTTGCTCTCCCACAAAGTGTTTACTCGGTGCTTCTTACGTGCAATCCGGATTTCTCAAATGTCACCAAAGGAGCAAGCGGGTACGGCTGGATCCATTCTTGGTATGCTTGCCACCATATTGGTTGAAAAACTGACTAACCATAGATTAGAATTCACCTCTCACCTTGAATCCGTCCTCAGCAACGAAGTGAACGGGTCGGCCGAAGATTTTCCTGACCTCTCCGTTTACTTGGATGCTCTTCCTCTCCCCCGTAAGGCACTGGGTCCGACCCAGCGGACAGCATTCGACCGCAAGGGTGTTGTGCTCTGGAACACATGTTGCAAATTGAGTGGGGGCGAAAAAAGTCCGCAGCTACTCGTCAACCTGGCAAAGGGTATGATTCTCAACGTGGAAAGGACATCTCCATCTGACTCATGCTGAAGTTCGGGCATTCTCATATCTCCTTCTCGAAAGTTCAGCGAACTCGAAATGGAAGAGTACGCACCTCACTGTCCCGGGTTTCGATTTCTACTTACCTAACCACAGGCCAACAACGGCTGTTTCAAAATGCGCTCAGAGCCAGCAAAACCTGTCTTGGTAGGGCATCCCGTGCTGTTGGCATCCAACTCATCTGACCTTTACCCTTTGCTAGATGCCGGCCTGGTTGCGATCGCCTCCAAGGTCATTGAGCAGCTTGCCTCAAAACTGGAAGATAGCCCCAAGAGCGCCGACCACGATGACCTTGACGTCGAAAGAATTAAAGCAAGCTTGAATGCACAATACTTGTTGGTGCGCATCGCGCTGGTCTGTACCCTGAAGCGTTTGGCGGATTTCAACTAAGGAAACAGGCATGGAAGCAAGGACGACTCGACTTAGCGGAACATTTTTATAGCCAACTGGAGGCAAACATACCCCAGTTAGGTGCTGTTCGTGTTGGAGAACTCCTTGACCTATGCTACGAGATCGGCAATGATCAGTTCGACCAGAAGAATCACACCCTCGCCGTGAAATGGCTCAAACGAGGTTGCCAGCTCGCGGATGAACATGGAATGCAAATTGAGCATGAGGACATCTTGGATCTAAGGCTTACCCTCATACATACATGCGGTAGGAAATGCTCTCACCCACCTTGCCGACAACACTCATGCGTTCAGCAGTCCGAGCTCTTCTAGCAATCGAGGAGCCGCAAGCCGCGCAAGAGGCATTTCAACTCCTGCAGGTACTTCGCCAAGTAAGCATCTCGATCCTAAACAACGGCTCCTATGGGCATCTAAAACTTCTAGGAATTCGGCCACAAGCTTCCTGTCACTCTACTCCTACTGGAGGTGTCTGCAAAAGATCCATCTGCGGATCCGCATGCGTTCTCTGCTGGTAAACCTTTCTCCATGACATCGTCAGTGATTGTTCCTGACTTTCGAAGAGCTGTGGAACGTTGTACACTCTGCGCATTTGATTCGGTCGAATCATAAGTTGTGAGTTGACATTTCGAATGGGGGAAGCGCAATTTTCTCATGACCACAGAATCTTGCACTATGTGCATCATCTAAAAACTCTAAGGTGCGAATAGCAAGTAATGGAGGACTCAAACTGACTGAACTTAGCATCTCAGACGCTATCCGAGTCTTGGAGTCATACATTGTTCTAAGACTTGCTCCAAGTGACGAACACGCATGGACTGAAAACGCCATCATTACATTGATCTGGCTCATGACAGCGGAAAACAATAACCACAACGGTGTCGATACATCACCTTCCGAAGAAGCATTTGACAAGATTTACCGAGCTTGGAACAAAGCCCTCAGTGCAGAGGCGACTCATGGTGCACTGATTGTAGGTTCTGATATTGCTGTCACCAGAGTGTCCTGCTGATAGTGCAGCTATTTTGGAAGCGGATCGAACATACCTTCGACCAAGAATTGAAGGAGATCACGATCAAATGGTGCCAGGTTGCGTTACATCAATTATTTAGCAACGCCGGAGACAACAACGTCGGGAAAATTGAGAGGTGCGGAATCTGTCGTGCCTGTTTAGTCTTCTCGCTTACTGGTTTCTGGCCTCAGGAAGATAGTCAAATGTCAAATCGATCTCGGCGCCCTTGAAGATGCCTATGCGACCATCGAAAAGATGTCGCCAGCGATAAAACAGCATCCCCTCTCTCGATACCTGCGATACAGCCTCGCTCTGCGGCGTGGGGATGAAGCTGACAGTATGACCATCTGCCCCCCTGGACGTGTTGATCCATGAGAATAATAGACAGACAGCGAGATCGACGCTAGCCTCCCTTGCCACCATCCACGATGACCGGAACAAATTACTGTTCGCCGCTGTGTCAGAAGCGACCCAATACGGTAGCAAATTCCAGGGGGCGCAACTACTTCAGCGCATTCTGGACAAATATAAGGACAGTTTGCCACCGGAGATCGATGCATCTACGCTTCTGAGGTGAGACAGGTCTAAACAGCACAGTATTCTTTTGTTAATTTGAGGAGATGTACAGCTCGCCTTCTGCTTCTAGCACTTTCGGAAGCTGACGAACTCGACGAAGAGCTTCTGTCTCGGCTATGTGGCATCTTCAAGTCAGGTGCGAGACCCAAGATTATATGGCTGTGCGAAGCTGAAACAGGCCAGCTGCAATATTCACACAGAAACAACAGCATAGCCAAGGAACGACATTAGAATATCAACTCCAGGAGAGCAGGTGGTTTGAGAAAACCAGCTACAACACTGCTGTGCAATATCTCCAGTCATGGCCGGCGAAGTATGTCGTCGACCTTCTGCATTATTCGTGCCAGGTAAGTGAAATCAGGTGTCCCCTCGCGTTCCCTGCGGCTGATCACAGGCCTAGGTGCACTTGCCTTCCCACGCTCCAATCCGGGTTCAATCTGAGAAGCCTATCCACGAGGCCAATGCAAAGTATATCCAAGCAATCCTGTACACAATCGAGGCGAGGTCGGCCGCTTCATCGTACACAGCCGAAAACGTCCCGAAAACTGCTTACTCCGGCAAGGCTCCACCACATTCAGCGGCAGAAATCCAGTCTACTTTGTACAGGAGCGTATTCGCCAAGTACACGGAGATTCAAACTCACAGGAACGCCTTACGTGAGAGCTGCAACAGGGGCCTTATCAAGCAGGAAGTGCTCGAGGCCGTCACGCAGAAACTCATCGTCTTGGCTCCCCTGGCGTTCGAGGCAGTGCTCTTCCTGGCGCGCACAAGTCCAACTGATGTTCCGGGCCAAGCTCAGGTTCATGACGAACTCTCCCTCGCGGCGATGGTCGACCAGATGGTGCGCCTCAACCCACCCCAGAAGACGTACTCGATTTTTGCCGACATGGTCCTCTCCGCCTCCTCGGCAGACTCCAACATTCTCTCTGGTCAGGATCCGGCCAGGTGTGCGCCGGTGTCGCTGCTGCTGCTGCCGGTGGCCACAACAACGAACCTGCTCGCGAAGCTGATATCCGGCTTGCGAGAGCACCCGGACTACGACAACCGCCAGGCTGCCAGGTGGGTGAGGTGCGTGGTGCAGATTGTTCTCGACCGGCGGGAGCCGCAGTCCCACCACCCAAAGAGCGGGATAAGGGAACGGGGGAAAGGTCTGAGCACCGTGGCCAGAATCACCGCACACGCCTTGGACCTGGCCAGATCCTCCTCCGCTCCTGGTCGGGACTATCCGCCCGAAGAACTCGAATGGCTCGCGGCCACGCTGTTCAACCTGTCCATCGACCTGTATGCTTCGCTGCCGCGGCCCGCGTCGGGCTCGGAATCTGCCCCGGCCGACCCCAGCGGCGCGACCAGCCAAGGAGACGAGCACGAGAAACAGGGCGGAGAAGAACACCCTGCCACGGCGGCGGCGGCGACGCCGCAGTTCTGGGCAAAGAGAGCCATAGACATGGCGGACGTGCTGGCGGCCAACACCGCCGTGGCCGGCGAGGGTGGAATGCTCGCAAAGGTCCTCCGGGAGAGATGCCAGAGGCTGCACTGGGACGTCTGAGCTACTGTAGCACTATTATCGAACCGGCCCCAGGAAAGAGGACTCGGAGAGGGGTCCAGTTCGCTAACTACCTATTCCATTGGCATCTGGCTTGTCATCCCTTTACTTTGCCAACACTGGATCATGGGCTCCCGAGTCACGTTGAGTTAGGGCTGCCATAAAGGCGCAGCTCGCGACGAGAGGGGCTTAAATAGCAAGCGAAAGGTCGGAACAAGGAGCTACAGATCCATCCTGATCATTCCGCTTAGTTAGAGGATGACGGCGCAAATAGGAGGAGGGGGACACAGAGAATGGGAGGGTAAAAGAGAACACACGAAAGAAGTTGACACTCTCAACTTGCTTCGAGGTAGGAGACGAGAGAGGAGCCTCTTTGGAGGGTGGGACGCTATCATATCTAATTAGTCCTCAGCTTGCATTGACTCTACAGTATTAGCATGGCTTGTCTCTCCAAGGATCTTTGAGGGCAGGCGAAATCGGTCATGTTTTCAGAGCGCCAGCTCTTCGAGATTTTGCGAGAGAGGGAAACAGTATCCGCCTCTGTCTTGCGTGGCTTGTGAACTCTTCTTGACTTGTCCCACATCGTCTGAATCGCCCTCGTATCCATTATCATCCATTGCCAGCTCTTGTCCTTGGAGAATGAGTGCGGACAGTATTAGATTATGAGCATCCTCTCAACACAAGTTCAGGTCTTCCTGAAAGTGTACTCGAACGATGTCGTCAGGTTGTCCTGATGCTTTCCGTGTGATTTCCAACATGGCGAGAAGATTTCTTTTCTTTTCTCTTTTTCAAAACTGATAAGGAAATTTTCCTCAGTAATCCGCCCTCGGCCATAAACGTTTTGTCCAACGCGCCGTTTCTGTCATCAAAAGCTTGCGTAATCTCAAGTGGGTATCTTTGAAGAAGTGGAAATAGGGAGAAAGTATGTAACGCAAAGAGATTTTGCACAGGTTGAAATGGTTGTCGTAAAGCGGTTGTCATGTCATGTCGTTCACTTCTTTCTGACTGTTAAACGGGTGACCCAATTCCGGTCGTCGTAATGTCGGACTTCTGGCAAGGGCATGTTGTCCATTGATCGCTGGTCCAACGGGAGTACATTCATTCTCCTGGCCGGTCATTGGCGCCAGCCTGGAACGTCACTGTACAAGAGCATCGGCGGACCTCCACTTGGACCACTGATGGGCCGCCCGGTCATTGGATCTACCCCGACTTTTGATCTCAGCTCTTCGACCTTTTGCTTCACACGCTGGACTTTGGCCACGACAACCTCAAGCTTCTTCATTGTACTTTGCTTCCCCATTTCTTCAAGTTCGGGGACCAAGTCGTAGAGTTCCGCATAGGCACGTGCTGTTGCATCTCGCCGCCGTTGCTCCGAGTTCGTGTGATTAGCTTTCTTTTGCTCGACGCTAAGAGGTACTCGGGTAGACGTGATACTGAGACGTTGGACCTTTGATTTGGGCTTGATGGGTGTTGACGTATTCACACTGGCTTTCTTCTTACGAGAGGGCTTCGGTGGTGGCGCCTTTGTATTTCGGGGAGGGCGAGCTTTTGAGGCCGGCCAAGGTGCTGGAGAAGGTGACCTGGGTTGTTCTGTAGCATCATTTTCGTCCTCTCCTTCGACTTCCACCTCAGGATCTGGCTCCTGCTCGCTTAGGCCGTGGTTATCAGGATTGAGCGGAGTATGTGGTTTGCTGTTGGAAAGAGGCGTCGGCGGCTGAGATATTGATGCCCCTTTTTCGGTCTTGACCACTGATCGTTTCCTCCTGGGGTTGGACTGCGATGGAGACGGTTGAGCCATGCTGGTTTGTTGGGCAGAGGCGATAACGCCATTGCGAGGCTGTTGATCTCTTGCAAAATCGTCGAAATTTCTCTTCTTTGACCAAGTGGGACTTGACGGCTGGGTATTTGGCTGTGTGTTCGGTTGAGTTGTGCTCCCACTTGCGGGTTCCAACCATTCGCCAATGGGGTTGTTCATCTGTAGCCCTTGAGGCAGGTCAGGGTCCATGGGATTGTGAGGAGCTGCATAACCACTTGGTTGGAACCGAGAATCGGTGCCAAAGTCCATTCCTAGGCGACCTGCTTGGGGCATCCTAATTGCGGTCTGAGGTGGATATGCCTGTTGCCAACCTTGAGTGTAAGCGGGTTGCATTGATGCGGCGGACTGGAGTTGAGCAATGAGAGGATTTGGGAATGTTGCATCAGTGTACGAAACCCCATGCATTCCGCCGACCAGTGGAGTTGCCTGTGAGACTGTGTTCATGTCATGTCCCAGAAAGCCATCTCCATACGGGAATCCAGCTCCTGCTAGCTGATGCTGTTCGATGATAGACCGCTGAGCCAGCGCCGTATCTGAGCCGACGAACATTGGTGGCATATCAAAGAGTTGGTCATGATCGGTGTGAGGGGTGAACTGAGCATGGGTAAGTGCTTTATTGGCCGCGGCATTTTGATCAAAGCCTTGGAAGAAGTTGTCCAGGTCTTGATTCTCGTGCGCATTAAGCAATGGCTGGCCCGGAGGGGGACCTGGTGTCATAAACTCAGGCAAACCAATTCCATGAAGGTTTTCCGGTTGGTCTAATGAATAGACGTAAGCAAATGCATCCCCTGCGAAAGTGAAGGAAGGAAAGGGAGAGATAGGAGAGGTGTAGGCCGTACAGCCAAAGGGAAATGTCTGTTGTCCTCCATGGGACGACATTCTTTGAGTCGCCAACATCAATCACGCGACGCTTCCACCTCTTCTCCTAGGCTGCTCTGAGGCAGCCTAGACTTGTGAGATATAGCCAGTGAATGGACCGCTAGCAGACGATGTATTGACCAGGGTGGAGGGGGTGGGTTGACGATTGGGTGAATGTTGTGGCAAGTCGAAGATGAGGCGGGCGAGATAACAAAGACAGGCGTGGGAGAGGAGGACGAGGTGGTGAAAGAGACGAGACAGTAGCCGTCAAACGGAAGACCGCATTGAGACGAGGGCGCAGGTTGCAAGCAAAGTCGAAGTCAGGCCAGAGAGACAGTCGGAGGATCTGTTGGGAAGTGTTGATTCGGGGAGGTCAACGGGCCGAGAAGCTGGCAGAATACGGTAAGAGGCGGCAGTCATGAGGGTGTAGCGAGCGAAATGAGGTGAAGATGAAGACGGTGTTGACTTTGGACTCTTCCTGCCGTCTGATACAAGTCAACGGAGAGGAGATGGGAATAGAAGGCTAGGAGCAGTGCAATGGATGAGGCCACGGGAATCTTTCACATGCGATTTTCTGGTCGTGGGTTTTGCGAGCGCAGTTTGCAGGTGAAAAAAGACAGCACCAGACAGCAAGCCGCAGCTGCTCACCACCATCCAGCATCCCGCATCCTGCATCTTGCATCAATGCCAATCCGTCCATCCGTCCAATCATCCCACCAGTCCCGCTTCCTTGTGTCAAGGGTCCCCCCAACCTCTGCCTCTGCCTCACCACCGCACCAGCCCTTGAGCGCCGGACCCGACCACGAGGTTGTCCACGGCAGTCCAACGGTCCATAGCTATGTTCTGAGCCACGATGATCCGAGACTAACTTCGTATACCGAGTACCAACCGTGCCCGTGACAGGCTATGCGGGATTCTACCGAAGAACAAAGCTTGATGACTACTATTTCAATTATGGATAGAGACTGATACTTCCTCGAGTACGAGGTACGCCGTCCGGGGCCATGCCACACCCCCAAAAATCAATGTCGATCTTCAAACCAACCCACGCATCTTGCTTCAGCCTCACCAGCCTTATGCTAAACCCCAAACCCCTCGCTCCCCCTCCGGCCCCTTTCTCATCCATACCCCGGATTGATGTTTGCCTTCTGACATCGCAGCGACCACTGCCCCATCCCCAGAGATCCATTCCATAGGTACCTTCGTCGTCAGCCTATCCGAAAGAACCAAAAACAACATCCAAATATGCCCGAGCATCTCTCCCCATGTGAACACCCTAACCTTCCAAAGACTATCACCTTCCAACTCCTTCGTCATGCGTGTCGCCCATCCCACCTTGCCTGATTCAATGATTAAGGTCATGTTCTTCCAGAACTGCAGAAATTCTTCCTCTGTCCACAGTGTATGACTTGGGTTCTTCAGATCCCCCTCGCCCACAGCCTTTTTGCGTTTCTTCCGTGCGGTGGACCCTAAAAGCTTTAGTGTTGCCCGCGGAGGTTGTCTTGATTCTTTCACGATGCTCTCCGCCGCTGTTTTGATCCAGAATTGCCAATGTCCTCGCTCAAGAACTTTAACGTCTCTGTGCACGACTGCCGGCCGGAAATGCTTGAGCAAGGGTGCCTTCCCGTTCGTCAGCTTCTTCAAGGTCTCGGTAATATGCGTCGTAAACCTCAACTGCCCACCAAGAGGATTCGGAGGTCGGACATCTGCAGGCAGGAGTCTTATTTGATGGTGGACTTGTTGTAGACGTGGAGCAGAATCGGCGTAACTGGCAATCGGCGCGACTGGCGATGGGTGACTGTTCAACTCCACTTGGCGAGCGACGGGACCAACATGGACTGGGCGTTCGCAGCGATCCGGGCTGGTCAAATCGATCACACAGCGACTTTCTGCTGGCTGAGGCTTGCGTGCCCTCGCTCTCAAAGTGCCGTAGACACTCAGCTGAGAAGATGATGCGGACTCTGTAGAATCCGTCTCATCGCCGTCAGAAGCTCTGGGTGCAGATCGGTTGACGACTCCGACATTGCAAGACTCGATCTCCGTCCGCGGCTTCTTTCGTCTTCGCTCTGTATTTGTGGAAGCCAAAAGATGTTCAGTCGAGGCAACTGAAGGCTGAGATTCTGATAGAGAGGCAGAAATATTCTTGACCCCTTGCGCGCCCACATCAGCGCTTCTGCCATTCGGATTGCAATAGGCCGAAAAGGAGTCGCTGATAGAAGTCTCGGAGGCACGCCTGCGAACCGCTCCAGCTGGAGGTAATCCGGTCCGATCGCCGCTTGAGGTCAGTTCGGGAGCAGTGTTTGGGCGAGGCAGGCTTGGTCGACGCGAGAAGGATCTCCTATTTCATGGTAAGCCTTCCTGTAGCAATGCAAAGGTAATCTCACGCGACGAACACCCATGCGCTGGGTCCTGGACCGCTGAGTCATTCCGACAAATGTCACACTACGCTGATCTGCAGACACTGGACACCAACCTAGTATTAACGGGGGCTTCTGGTTCATCATTGCCGTCCAACTCTTCCCCAGAAACGGAGAGCGGCGAGAAGCCAGAAACTCTTGTGATTATAGCCGGCCCGAAGTTCAGAACGGATTGCGCGATAGAGATGTAGCGTCTGTCATCTTGTGCGGTGCTGGGAGCACTGACATGGACTAGGAGTTCGTTCTCGGCCGTCTCCATTGTAAGAACAACTTTCGACTTTTGCCCATGTTTGGCCAAGGGAAGGGGAGGAGTGTCAAAGCGAAAGGGTCAGAAGTGAGAGAAGCCAAACGACTACCCAAGATGGTAGTGCAAGATCCTGCTTCACTGATGGAATGCGCCAATCCACGGTCCTTGATTCGCGAATGTGAATGAATGGAGTTGGTGCAGCAACGCGCTGGTGAGGTTGCGTCTTCGTTGGCTTATCGATCAGAGAAGCAGTGGCTGCATGGGAATTCCAAATTCCCCCCCAAATCAAGACTGCGGACCGAGAATCAGTCGACCCAGCCTGTACCAGCCCACCAATCATGGCGATCATCAGATCCCTTGGGTTGAAGAGGACACGCGGGATGCATACCATCAGGTTGGGATGCAATTGTGTGCATGAATCAGTCAGTGTTCCACCGCCTGTCGCCCCTCCTCCTGTTGGCGATTTATACCTGTCCTCCGGACCGTTTCCTGTTCGCGTAGCAGATCGCTGGTCAATACCATGTACTGTACTTATTGTAGGTTATCAGCAGCCCATTCCGGAGATGCTTCTCTCACCAAATGATGGATTTGCTTTGATGAATCGCGTCACCGAACAACAAGCATATAATTCCATGGCATCAACACAGCAGAGTTCCGCTTGGCTTGGTAGAGTCACAAGGAACGAGTCCCAATGCGCTCTACGCCTCGCCGCACATCTTCAAGGCACACCTGAAGTCAAATGCGATCTCGCAAGGAACCAAGAGCCTCGAAGTCCTTGAAACTTGACTGCCGGTTGCTAGATCGGACAAGGGCAATCTACCCAAGAGACATAATGGCACATCATGGTTGCCGCATCCTTTTCTGGCAATTATTCGCATCAGACGATGGCAGCGCCACACAAGGACGGCAGTTAAGGGAAGAAGTGTCCTTTTCGCTAGACAAGGCGGATCACGACGAGAAATGTTGTACAACAAAGCTGGTGCAACAGAGCGCGGAAGCAAAAGCAAGGAGCAAAAGATTCCCGCACAAGATTTTCGCAGAACGACTTGAATGCGGTCGAGAACAGGAGCTCACAGTCAGCGAACGCGGCGATCGAGAGAGCAAATGAATCCAAATGAGCGGATGAAGGCAAGAAGCAGCTGGTAAGTGCATTCTGGTTCACGAGATGGCACAGGGGGAGTCGACGGCTGTGTGCAAATGCTGGAGATTGAGTCGCGGCACCGCTGCCCAACACTTCAACCACCTTTCTACCTCTGTAACTCCCCTTGGTCAGGTATTGCAAGCTCTACAAGTCACCGGATCCGGCAGGCGTGGTATGTGAAGAATACAAGACATCTCTTCAAGGTCTGTTCCGATTTCTGTTATACCTGCTGAACTTTTGCCTCACAATGGGCCACATGCGGCTGCCGCTACGGCTTTAGGGCTAAGTGATTATCCCGGGGCCTCGTCTAGGCTCGCAAGGCTCTTCTTTACCTGGAGCGTTGGGCAAGACTAGCCTCTTGGGCCCCTCTTTAGTGGGCGCCGTTGACGCAATGATGCCTATACGGCGTGGGTCTCTAGGTAGCCTGACTAACTAGGCGCTTGGCCGAGCACCGGCGGTATTGTGCCTAGGTAGCTTAATGCCCTCCAGTGCACAGGCCTAGACTCACCAACTCGTCCCGCATAAAACAGTGGAATTCTGACACCGGGCACTGCCGGAGGAACGAATGGCCTGATGCTGTTGGCTCTGCCCAAGGCTGCAAGTGCTTATACAACTGTCACTGTGGCTGTGCTTGTGACATTTTGATGCGACTACGATGGTGAGTGAGTTGTGCCTCTTCTCACTGGCTTCGGCTGCTGACAGAACAGTTGATCCCCACCAGAGAAAACGAACAGGATAAGGAAGAACAAGTTTGCCTCTCCTCTCGCTCCTCTGCCAAAGCCATCGATCAGATCACCGACCTACGACCTACATAGCTACCTGTCCATCTCTTCATCGCCTTCATCTCAGTCCACCTGCGCATCCGATCGCGACACAGGTTGCGCAGCTCGCGTCCGTCCTGCGTTGTTTCCCAATCGTGTAACGCTACATCCCACCATCTAACCAACCCCCCGACAACCCATCACCCTCCTTTTCGCCAATCGTCAAGCGTCGTCATCTGAAGCAACGCCGGTGTCCCCCTCCCCGTATTCCGAGGTGCAGCACAAAGACGAGCTGGGGCCCCTGCAGGAGAACTTCTGCCACTACTCAAGACCCCTTTACAACCCTTTGTGCCTGCATCCGCCGCTTCAACGGCCCAGTTGCGGCGATATAGACCCTCCAGCCTAGGTATACTTTGCACGCAACGCTACACGACTCTGCCAGCCAATTGATTGCGAGCGCATCAGAATCACCAGTTTCTTGCTCAAAAAGCATCCACCCTACGCTATCCCTCACCTAAAGCAGCGGACGAGCCATCCAAGTGAGGGTCCTTTGTCCTCTGGCGACCTCCGCTTTCTGTGCTTCCGGTCTCGAATTTCAATGCTGCGCCATCACGGCAAGGGTGTGTGAGCTTCGCAACCATCCGGTTCCGCCTTTGCTCGATCACGCCGCTTCAGTTTCAGCTTTCAACGTTGTTTTTTCTCCGCCTTTCACACCCTTCGAACACGTCTTTTGCTTGCCGTCCGTTGACTACAACTCCTATCAGTCCGTCGTCGACTTGCGAATCGCCCTCGCTAGGAAACCTGTGACGGCATTGTTGCACAGATTTCCCCTACCGCGATCAGCAATCTTGTCCCGCCATAAAAATATCACCTCGCGCTCGACCCCTCCATCCAGATTCTGCTACCGTCCACATTGGCTTTTCGAGGCGCAACTCCAATCTTGTCTCATGATTAGTCTCAGAACGACATGCTAACTGCCAGATTCCCAAACCGATCTCTTCGTCATTGCCTCCTAATTTCCATTCTGGCCTGAACGATTGCGTGGCCCCTCCCAAAAACAAGAACCGCGCCTCCCATCCTCGACTGACTGTTACCGGCTTCTTCCAATTCCGAGCCTCTTTTGTGGCCGACCTCTTTCCGATCGGACCCCAGAGCCCAGGTGTTTACCCCGACTTTCTATCCTAGCGAATTGCAAATCAAATAATCTAGCGCACTGTCGAGGAGGGGTCGCTCGAGTAGGCTTATTTGTTATCATATCATCGCATCCCGGCTTGGGTGCATCCTAACATGCAACAACCTTCCGACATGGACCCATCGACTTGGGCAGGTCAAGATTATGCGCCTGGTGCGTCCTACCGTGAGTCGCTGCAGCTTCTTCCCTTCCCAATTTGTAGATTTATGAGAGGGCGGATATCTTGTTGAGATGGTCGGATGGCCTTTTACTCCAGTATGCTGGGGATTGATATGCCATTACACCACCAACTCAGTTGGTCAAATGCAAGGATCGCAAAATGATGTTCGAATTTGCCACAGGAGATTGATCTTGGTTTCTCGAATCCTGCCAGTCTAGTACTAATCAGACCTCGAGGACAGACAATGGAGTTCCCAGCGATGCAAAAACCCCTGGCGGCACCGTGAACATGGGCTTTCTGAAGGGATTTGGCGGGATGCAGAAGAGGATTACCAGAGGTATTCATCCCTGGCTTTACATGTTCCGGTTCGGAACTGACCCCAGCTAGATGGGCAACCTGCCAAGAGAAGAGGTCCTAAACCAGACAGTAAACCAGCACAAACCCGACGACAGGAGCTCAATCGTCAAGCTCAGAGGTACGCGGAGGTTTTTTGTGCCCCTTGAACTATTTGCTAAGGCGACGGTTTGTCAGAACGCACCGGGAACGAAAAGAAAACTATATCAAAGCCCTAGAAATGGAGCTCGCCCGTCTGCGTGAAGTTTTCATCTTTGAGCAAAATACGCGAGACACAACCATTCAGCAGCAAAAGTTATTGATCGAGAATCAACAACGGGAGATTTTGGCGTTGAGAGAGGTTCTAACATCTCGGGGAATCGCATTCGAAAACGAACTCGAGAACCGGAAAGCTATGCTTGCGCTAAAACCGAAGCGCGAGGAGAACTCCATGACCCCTCCGTCAATGAGTGCTTTAACCGCCCCATCCGGTGGCAGATCGGTGGGTTATGGAACTGTTGTGACAGGACCTGCTTCCGCGACAAGCGGCTATTCCCCTCAAGCATACCTCAATGGTGGCGCCATGAGCGTATCAGGTCACTCACCCGGAACCACTCACTACACCAGTTCGCCTCAAGGACCGGACATTCAAGAGCTCGGAATTAAACAAGAAGAAGGAATCACGCCCGATATGCCGGGCATTTTCGAGAGAGACCCCCAATTGGGCATTGATTTCATCTTGAAGTGAGTGACTATGCTGCCACACATACCTCAGGTTGTCGGGACTGACCACAAGCTTTCAGGCTGGAGCAGACTTGTCGTGATCACGAGGAGTATCTTGTCAGGCGGTCGGCGGATTCACCCAACAACGAAGAGGAAGCGTTGTTTTCTGGACATGCCTTGATGGCGACGTGCCCACCTCCAAGCCACATCGCACGAGTGCCCCCGCAAGAGGGCGGTTTGGTGCCAACATACGAGCACAAAGTGCCCGATGCCGAGTCAGTCCAGATACTGAATAACTTGCTCAATCTCAGCCAGACACTCAAGGGCAGCGCCATCCCCAGTGGCCAAGTGACCCCCATCATGGCTTTACAATCGCTCAAGGGCCATCGAAACTATGCTACGCTGACGCGGGATGATGTCTTGGGTATGATTGAGTCCATCCGAAGCAAGGTCCGATGTTATGGATTCGGGGCCGTGATGGAAGATTTCGAGCTCCGGGATGCTCTCTCGAGTATCTTTGCAACGAAACCAGAGACCTACGACCAACTAGGAACGGATTACACGGCTGAGATTGACGAAATGTACTCATGATGGAATGACATAGGCGTCCAGCTACTGCGCTTGTGCTGAGGTGCATTTATGTTGCTGGATGATTTCGGATTCTTCTGTGGATGGCTGTCTACGATATGAGATGTACCGCCATTGTTGACTCGACCTTGTCGGAGCTGGCAAACCTCCAGGATGTGACGCTTGTATGCAATTCTCCAACCTTTCTCTCTTTTTGTTTGTAGAATCCCTCCCAGTCTTTACAGATGGGCTGTATATAGCATTCGCCGCCAGGCCAATTGATTGTCCGCACACCAAGATGAATATGTGCATTATTAAGAGTGGAAGGACGTGTGATCGACATGATCGACGCGTCGGTCGCCGAAGGGCCGAGATATTAGTTATCAATGCTATCGAGCCATCTAAGATACTGTATATATACCTGATCTGGTACAAGTGGCTGAATGTGTTGCTATCTACCAACTATCCGTCTCGGCAACTACACACCCCCTTACGACTATTTCAATTGATATCCGCCAAGTAACTACAGTAGGTATCTAGGAGAAGAATGGCATCCGCCACCGGGTCGGAGCTCATTGTCCTCACATGCGCCAGCGGCAGGCAATGCAGCCAGATCATCCCCCTTCTGTATCAGACGCCATCGCCAGCATCACCACGTCCTGCACTCCGTCTGGTGGTCAACTCAGAGAAGTCGCGCGCGCGGCTCATGGAGCAGTATCCCGATGCCCAGGTCGTGCGGGCGAACCTTCAGGTCCCTCAGGAATGCGCAGCGGTCGTTGACGGCGCCACCACCGTCTTCTACGTCGGGCCACCCTTTCATCCGTATGAAATCACGATGGGCATGAATATGATCGACGCCGCCGTGACGGAGGAGTCTCATCGACACCAGCAGCAGCAGCAGCAGCAGCAGCAGGGTAACAGAGTGGCGGATTCGAGCTTAAGCTCACCGTCCAAGTTCAGCTTCGTCCACTTCGTCTTCAGCTCCGCCCTTCACCCGGAGGCTAGCAAGCTGCTGCACCACGACCAGAAGCGGCAGATCGAAGAGTACCTCACGGAATCCGGGTTGTCGTACACGATCCTACAGCCCAGCACTTTCATGGACAACTTCATCGGCCAGCTGCTGAGCCAGAGGGACTCGTCGTCCTCCACGGGCACATTCATGGCGCCGTTCAACCCGGCCGTGCGCGACCACGCCGAGGTCGCGGTCAAGGTCGTGCGCGAGCGCGAACGCCACTTCTTCGCCACGTACCAGCTCGTGAGCACCCTGCCCATGACCACGGTCGAATACGTCGACTCCATCGGCGCCGTGCTCGGCAAGCGCTTCGACGTCAAGCGCATCCCCTTTGAGCAGGCCGCCGACATGTTCGTCCAGATAACCTGGGGTGATGGCGACGTGGACCAGGCGTTCCGAGACGCGCCCGAGCGCATGCTGCTCTACTACAACAGTAGGGGTTTGCTAGGGAACCCGGGCATCTTGGAGTGGTTGTTGGGCAGGAAACCGACCACACCGGCTGACTTGGCCAGGTTGAGGCTCAAAGAAGGTGGACTCGCAGACAAATGACTGCTTTAAAGGAGGCTAGGGACAGTCTTAGAGGGGAGCGGGTTTCATGAAATTCCATTCTTCCATCCACCATCTTCTGTCTCCATGAACCGGCCGCGACGAGGCTTGCTCCAGCCCGCTGAGAGACTCAGTCGTGGATAGAATAGACATGGTCCGTTAGTGGTACTGCGTTTTGCAACTACCTTCACCGCGGCATACTCTACATTTTCGGGACACACTTTCTTCGTAACAATATCGCACTACCTCAATACCTCCCGGTGACAACTAACGATTGTCGCCTCACTCTAGCCCCCTAAACGTCTCCGTTTCTACAATTCAATCCCAGAGCACGGGGTCAATCTCGAGAAATCCCCCGGGTTCCCACAGACGTCGCAGGATCCGCCGCCTTCACAGTTTCCCCTGCCGGCACAGATTGCGGCGGAGGGCTCGACGCAGGCAAACTCGAGTTCTTCCTGCGCGGGGCATTCTGTGGAACAAAGCCGGGGAGTGTTAGTTTTTGGGCAAGGAGGAGACAGAGTATATCGCGAAGAATCAAGGATGCTGATCCTGGTGCGGCTGAGAGCAAGGAAACGGGGTGACGGGTGATGAGAGAGGAGCAAGAGAGGGCACGTACGGGAACAGACTTGGTCGCCTGGACAGTCGTTGCGGGTCTTGCAGGACGCTTGCGCGAGGCTCGCCGTCGTAAAGACAACAGTGAGGAGGGCAATGAGACGCATGCTTGAACGTGGCGGGAGGCAGAGTTGACCGTCGGATGTATGTACTCGGTATGTGTTTGAAGACGGCGATGAGTTGATCGCAGTAGGTTCGGGCTATTTTGACAAGAGCTGGACAAGGCACAGTTAAGGAAGGAATCAAGGTCTATATAAGACATAGTCATGACAGTGCCCGAACGTGGTGAAGTTATGCACGACCACTGACCAGCATGCATCTCAGCTCGTGGGCGGCCTTGGACGACGTGCATACCTATCAGCCCGTACAAACATACCTAGGTAGTCAGCAAGGCACGTCGACTGGTTTACGGCCGCGAGTTCTGACGTTGTTCCCCTGTAGACGGTTGGTTCGGCGACGATGGTATACAAAGTCCAAATTCCACAGCCTATCGCGGAACAGGTTGGGCTGCTCCTTGGAGTTAGGCTGCGTCGAGCGGCTGAGGATTTAACGCCAGGCAAGCTGATGCGCTGTCATGACGCATGAGAATACGAGCGTAATATGGACTAGCCAGCGGGAGAAAATAGTGTCGAATTCGTTCTGAAATCCCTGGATGTAAGCTATTAGGTAGGTATACTAAAGGGGTTCGGGCGCAGCTGACTCGAGTACATATACACATAATACATTTCACGGGGGGAACAACAAGCATGGCCCTGGAGAGCTTGTTCTTTACGCGTGCTGGAGCCGCATAGCGCGCACCTCCCACCCACTATGCCACGGTTCAGGCTTCTCCAGTGTGAGGTGGTGAACTCCTGACCTGCTGATACCCGCTCCCTTCGAACACAGACCGCGGCATCGTCGCCGGTGCCCACCCGGGAGTTACACTGCCGTCATGCGATATTCCGGCAATGTCCTCCTCGTCAAGTTCTTCCCTGAAGCTGCCTGTCATGGAGCCCGATCTCCCACGCTTCCGCTGCTGCTGTTGTTGGTGCTGCTGCCCCTCACTAAACCGTTGGATCTGGATCTGTGGCGGGCTGACACCGCCCCTCTCATTCGAAGTCGGTGCAGCCGCGTTGGTCAAGCCTTGCCTCTCACCCCAGTCGTCCATGTCCACGCCGAAAGCGGGATCCTTTTCGCTCCATCGTCGCCAGAATGCGAGCCCGTGGGATTTCCGTTTCGGTGGGGGAGGCGGCGTGTTCAGCAGGAGCCGGACGGTATAGTCCAGATGGTAGTTGTCGTACGCGACTGTCGCGAGGAAGATGACCTGGGAGAAAACTATTAGCGCTAGATTTCTGCAAAGTATGTCCATGCATGACGAATTGGTTGACGCTGGGTTCGGGTCAGGAAACAGAGGGGTCACGTACCCAGCACCACGACAATGTCCACTCCGCCGGAGCCGCAAAGCTGACCAGTGTCCAGCAGACTGGAGTGAAGATGAGTTTCCCTTGTTCCACTTTGGCTGTGCAGCTATAGATGCCGATGATCGCCATGATCCCAGAAGCTGTTGTCGTCTATCAGTCTCTTGCACCCAATAAGGACTCCGTTTGAACTCACGCATGGCAACCACCACGGCGATTCTCTTCCAAATCCTCACCCTTTCAATGAACCTGTTATTGGGTGTCCTCTCTCTCATCGCTCGGACGAGATTCCAATCACATGTCTTGGCCAGAGCCATGAAGCAGATCTGGAAGCTGGTGAAGATGAGATGCAGTTTATGATGGACATCATCGCTGGCGAATGACAGCGCAATCAGAAAGACCGAGGAGATGCTAGAGCAGAACAGCTTCCCTCGCCGCCACCATATTGCCACAGGAGCTTGTCTCCCCACAATGTAGTCGATCCCAAACCCCGTCCACAGCAAGATGGCCACGGTGATGGACACGGACTCAAAGGAGAACTCTCGCACGGCACCGACGCATGAGATAAAGGGAAACAGGGCATATGAGGGCCCGATCCGAGGCCACGACCCGTCTTCTTGCGCAGGTCGTGTGATAAAGTAGAAGATGAAGTACACCATCTGCGCCGACCAAAAGATAGCGGCGAGAGCAACAGGCAGGGCTCTCCAAAGGCTTATGTGACGTCGGAAGAAACCTTGCCGTTTATAAGTGGTTGGCGGGAGGAAGGGTTTTGACTTGTAAGGTGCTGAGGTATTTGCGGATCGACCGATACTTTCAGACTTCGCCATCTCGTCGAGGGCGGGTGACAAGGCTGCACTTCCGCGGTACGGTGGAAGGGTCTCATGGGAGGAATTGAGCGCGATGAAGGCATGGTTTGAGTTCATTCTGTAGAGTGCGAGTAGAGAAGAGATGGAGGGTCCTATCAGAACACAGGAACCGGAAACCTGCGCAGAGGGCGAGGACTACAGTTACTCACCTCAAGCTCGACCCTCGAGTATTAGTATCTTCGGTGTCATCTTGCTTACCTTTGCCTCGTCACCGGATGTATAATGCGACCGCCTAGTATACATCAAAGATTTTGCGCTGTCGAACAACATTGGCCTGGGCGTAAGTGCGGAGCTGTCGACCACCCAATGACTAAGAAATCCTGGAGGAACGGGCAATTTAGTTGATTGTTAGCATCGATTCGCCTTGTCAGAAAGTGCTCGAGGCTCCATTGGAAATGCGCCAGGTACAAGACAAATATACCGACCCCAGTGGGGGCAAAGAGCGAGGAGAGAGCCCGGCGGTATTTAGAGTGACGTTGATGGCGGATCTGTAGTCAGTGCCATACTCGAGACCAGATCTAGCAATAGATTCCCATCTTCGGTTGGGCATCTCCATACCTCTGGTGGACCATGTGCGGCCATTCCCGGAGCAGGAAACAGTCTGGGTGTATGTGAGTCGAATAACATATCTTTGTAGACCCCGATCGCCTACTGATGGTAGCCTCACTAGTCGATATAGCAGGCTGGGTTAACTGTTGTAGGAGTGGTGTAGGCCCACATAGGCACCCGGTAAGATTGATAGGGGGTCCAAAGAGTGAGAAAATCCCTTGGCGGATAACATGGTTACATTTGCGCATCCCTCAGCATATCATAGCACCCAGAAGTCTTTCTGTAATGGGATGAGCTTTGGCATAGTATTAACCGACTTCTGTGCCCCAATGGGGGCAGCGTTCTGCAAAGAATGGGCGGCCTGATCAGCAACAGCGCACTTTGTTCCGAAGATGTGGTGTTTTTCTCAGCCACGTTTGCAATATGCGGACCGTTCCGTCAAGGCGCAGTCAAGATGTACCTGGTCTCAGCCTCAGGAACGATTGCAGGGTGACCGAATGAGGAAGGGAGATCTGCAACAAAATATGTAGATGGCGTCAGGGAGAAGACCAGTTGAAAATCCAAGACCTCGTATATTGCGCGAGGCTGTCGATATCGTGCCGCCTTTAGTGTCGTGCACTAGCGTCCAAAATGAGAATGGATCATTGGTCCTCGCGACCAACACTTGTCCGCCAGCATCAAGTTTCAGCTCCCTTAGAGTCTCACCCGAGCCCCGCTGCTTTTATAACCGCTCACCTCGTCACTCATCCTCTTCTGGCCCTTCACTCACCGTCGTCCTCGAGGGGCTTTAATGTTCTAAAGAACTACCCAATCATGAATCTCGTTGTTAAGCTCCCCGTTTTTTGAGTGTCGTAAAGGTAAGTTAACTTTGCTTGTAAAGTCGTTGCCCAGAAATCCGCTTCCGGTTTAGACTGCCTATAGAAGATGATGCAGTAGAATTACCTCAATACATGCTATCTCAAATGACATCTCCAGTAACCTTTCACTTATATATACTTCGCCCGCAGCTGGCTAATCAGTCGTACGTCGTCCTTGGAAGGCGCTGTTGCAATGATGCTTTCGGCCAAACCAAGCATCTCCCGTTCCCAGTTCGGCACTTGGGGGTTATTGCGCATACTCGGCACTCTCGTCAAAACCCAAAGCAGCCCGGCGAGCACGAAACTCGGCGCCGCAACACCAAAATAGTATATCAATTTGGGTGTGACACTATTTCCCAACTTCTGGACCAGCGCAAGCCCTTCCTTAGCCGCCCCGGCACTCAGATTTGCTTCTGCCCATGTCACTCCCGATTTCCTCTTGGCAGCCGCAACGGCCGCGCTCATGACACCAACGACGATGGCGGCATGTGTGCGTAGCCAGCTCTGCATATCAGGCTCGTGGACACACTTAATCCCTGCCGAGGAGAAGATGGAGCGCCATTCGGGTGACGAGACAATGGTAATTTGGCCGAAGCTCAAAAATTGGTGCACCAATGCTCCGTCATGGAAAGAGGCCATGATCGCCGGAAATCCCACGATGCAGCGTTCTTTTCCCAAAACGTCGAAGTATCTGTCCAGTGATGCAAAAGTGTTGAACATGAATAGAATCTCGGTTGACTTTGGACATGCCTTGAGCGTAGCGAACAACTGCTCGTCAAATTGGTGCTCGGTAACGGTCAGGAGGACGAGGTCCCAGGGTTGTGAGGTGTCGAGGGATCCGACGGCGACCACAGGAGTCTTCGAGATCTCAGGCGCTTTCTCCGATTTCTTTGTGAGAACACCGCCATTTGCCTGGAGACTTGCAAGTCGCTGGCCACGACCTACGATTGTGACTTCGTGTCCGGCCTTCACAAGATGCACCGCGAAGGCGCAGCCAACTGGTCCAGCGCCAATGATGGCAATCTTTTTCTTTTCCGTGGCCATGTGGTGAAATGTAAAGTCGGCCGAGACAGACGAGGTCGTTCTGTGGAAGTCGGACCACGCAGATTTTACATCAACGCTTGACTGAAATGAAAGAGCCGCGTGCTTGATTCACAAGACGTGAAGATGACGGTGAAGAATGGGATTTGTAGCCAGGACACATTGAACGGACAATTTGTTCGTCCGTCGCCGCGGCAATTTGACTCGAAGCCCTCATGCCTCGTGTGAGGAGCGACCTCTAGGCAACATTAAAACTGGAAGCGCTATACTGTGATAAGTATCACCCCAAGCTAAAAAGACGATAGCGGCGAAACAAAGGGGGCACTTTACTCGTACTCGTAATGATGGTCGGTGCGAACACGGCCTGGCCCCTGGGAATGCAACCCCACGTTGGAGCCGGGAGCGGGAAGACCTAGCTCGCTGGTTATGTAATATGGTATTTGTGCCATGGACGCCAAGGCGCCAGGGCTTTTGGGGTTGAGCACAGGGCGGCATCACCCTCTTCCCGAAACGGGGTGAGTCGCGAGCCAGTTTTTCCATACCTTGGCGTTCGCATTTACACCCCACTATTCGTGCGCTGCTCGAACATTTGTCTATGAACAAATTTAGCCTCGAGCCTTTGCAACCTGTCCAGCATCCAACATGTCCGAAATCAGTCTTGCGGAAACAATCAGTGCAATCAGCGTCAACGACGAATGGGGGCCGGCGATCACCACCGCCACCACTCTCGATGGCGTCCCTTACGCCCCATACTCCAAGAGCGATAAACTAGGTCGTATGGCCGACTGGACACAAGAAGGCAAAGAAGGCCGAGACCGAGGCGGTAGACAATATGGGCGAAACTACAGGGGTGAGGTTCTGTTGGACTAGAACAGCAGGACGTAACTGACGGTGGGCGTCTAGATCAACAAATTTACGGCGCAGGCACATCCTCCCTTTTCGCCGTACAAGCTGCCGAAGATGAAGCCACCTTCTCTGTTGTCGACAACACCAGAACAACCGCAAAGGGCCGTGGCTTCGGTCGGGGCGGTGTAACAGTCTTCCGTGGCCGAGGCCAGCGAGGAGCTGCCCAACGTGGAGCAAGAGGAGCTTTCCAAAGAGTCGGACAAGGTCGCACTGGAGGTCAACAGCAAGGACAGTTCTTCGACAATAGGGGTGGCCGAGGCGGCAGAGGTCGTCGATTCGGGTGGCGAGACTACGACAAGCCGCAACGAAACCGTGATGCTTCAGTCAACATCCGGCCCGATTGGACCATGAAGGAGGAAATCGATTTTAACCGACTCGCGAAACTCAACCTCGAGACTTCCGACGGCGAAGATATCGACAGCTACGGATTCCTCTATTATTATGACCGGTCTTACGACAAGGCTCCGGTGAAGAACACGGAGCGCAAACTCCTGTCCCTTGAACGAGCCGCGTACAACGTGACCACGTCGGCCGACCCCGTGATCCAAGAACTGGCCGAGAAGGACGAGGCCACCATCTTCGCCACCTCGGATATCCTCTCCATGCTCATGTGCGCGACTCGATCTGTGTACAGCTGGGACATTGTGATCCTGAAACACGGCAACAAGATCTTCCTGGACAAGCGACCCGACAGTTCAATCGACCTTGTCACAGTCAATGAAAATGCCGCCGATGCACCCCTGGAAGCAGACACCTCGACCACGCCATCCCAACAACAAACCGGAGTCAAACCGGACAGCATCAACACTCCCTCCAACCTGGCCATGGAAGCCACAATGATCAACCACAACTTCGCCTTCCAGACGGTGATCGAAAACCCCAACAGCAAGGTCGAATTCCCCCACCCGAACCCGTTCTACAGTGCCTCGGAGGAAACCGACCCGCTCGCCTCGAAAGCATACAAGTACCGCCGCTTTGATCTCTCACTGGAGCGAGACGAGGAGCCCCTGAACCTGATCGTGCGCACGGAGCTCGACGCCGCGATCAAGAACAACATCTCCGGAGAGGACCAGTTCCTCATGCTGAAGGCGCTCAACGAGTTCGACCACAAGGCTCAAGGCAGCGGCGGCGCGCTGGACTGGCGCACGAAACTCACCTCCCAGCGGGGTGCCGTGGTGGCCACGGAGATGAAGAACAACAGCTGCAAGCTGGCGCGGTGGACGACGCAGGCCATCCTCGCCAGGGCGGACCAGATGAAGCTGGGCTTCGTGTCGCGCGCCAACCCGAAGAGCGCGGCCAACCACGTCATCCTGGGCGTCGTGGGCTACAAGCCGCGCGAGTTCGCAAGCCAGATGAACCTGGGCTTCTCGAACGGGTGGGGCATCGTCCGCACCATCGTTGACCTCGTCCGGAGCATGTCCGATGCCGCCGACGAGGAGGACGAGGGGGCCGCGGACAAGGAAGAGGGCGCCCGCGCAAAGGACCGCAAATACGTCCTGGTCAAGGACCCGAACAAGCCGGTCATCAGGCTGTACGAGGTGCCCCTGCACACTTTTGAGGATGAGGACGACGGGATGACAGGCACGGTAGGCGAGACGGACGGCGCTGGCGAGGAGGCAGAGGAATAAAATTAAGCAGATGCATTTGGAGCAAGTTGCAATGAGATGGGAGTCGGAAAGCGGAACACTACCACAACGACTTTCCATTTACCTACCTGGACCTTCGTACGTAGGTTAGGGAACACCGATCCCACACAGCTCTCAAAAGGGACTGGCCCCGAGACATGACATCTCGAGGCAAGGCACACGGAACAATCCTTCCGATGAATTCGCCATATGAAGGGGGGGAAGAAAGGGCGATACCGCTGTGCTCTGCACCAGGACTGGGACTTGAATCATGTCATTTTCACGCAGGCATAAACACTACCAGGATGAAAGGGTGGATGGCGGGAGGACCGGTTCTCTCGCGATCCCGGAATGGATGCTGGCGGGGGGTGGAAGGAAGCGTTTGGGTGCTCTCCCTGCGATATTCACGACCACACCACGACGATAGACGAGGCGCAAAAACGCCATCTCCAAAAGTATCACACAAGAGTCTCCCCCTCCCTTTGTGGAGACTTTTAAAAACATCTTTTTTCCGGTCAAAGAACAAGGCGAGTCATGTCCGTGGGGGGAGGATTGTAGGGTCGTATATCTCTGAATGTAAATCCATTGCATGCCCTCAAGTCTAGCTGGGTATATATTATCCATCTATTTGTGACGCCAATGCTATGCTACATATGCTATACAAGACTTGCAACAAAGGCTGAAATTTCAAACCCATTGGCATCAGTTTGCGAACTTTTGCGCTCTCTGTAACATTCCACCCAGCGGTTCCGCCTTATCGGACTCGGCCCATACTCTTGCCAATCTCACTCTCCCAATTTGCTGCCCTCTCAAAACCATTCGATGAGGTCTGGAAATCCATCATGGCTTGGTAGATGGCTTCTTTGGAGGTGGTCACAAACGGGCCGTACTGAACAATGTTCTGATCCAACGGCTGACCTGCGACGAGGATGAATCGCGCTCCTTCTTGGGCGCCTTCTTCGACTGAAGCAGTCACCACGTCACCGGCCTGCTCGAAGACGACGTTGTGGTAGGGAGTGACTGTTTCCGCTTTATGTGCATCGGAGCCGTTGGAGAACGTCGCCGCGCCTTCAAGCGTGTACGCAAACGCGTTCCATCCATGTGGAATTTCCTGCGTGATCTTTCCACCGGGTTGAATCGAGATATCAAGAAGCCACACGGGGGTGTAGGCCAGATCCTTGAGTGACTCAACGCCTTCACTTTTCCCGGAGATGACCTTTACCTCGACCTTCCCGTCTTCGGTCTTGGCGATTGGGATCTCCTCTGCACGTAGATCGCGGTACCGGGGTTCGCAGGATTTGAGGTTCTCGGGCAAGTCGACCCAGAGTTGCATGCCGACGCTGAGATCTTCGGTTTGCACGGGCATCTCAGCGTGTACGATTCCCCGGCCGGCAGTCATGAATTGGAGATCACCAGGCCCGATTTTTCCTGCGTTGCCGGCAAAATCTTCGTGGTTAACCCCGCCTTGCAGGAGGTAGGTGATTGTCTCTTGTCCTCGGTGAGGGTGGTCGGGGAACCCTGCACCAGGAGAAATCCTGAAATGATCGAGCATGAGGAAAGGTGTAAAATGGCGCAGTTTAGGTGTGCCGACCGAGCGCCGTACGACCGCGCCCGCGCCTTCTGACTGTTCGCGAGCAAGGAACGAGAATTTGATCTGTCGTGGAGTCGTCATGTTTGCTGTCGTGGTTGAGGCGAGACGAGAGGGGATTAGAGGTAGTCCTAGAAAGGGTGTTGTTGTAGATTTGGCGGTGGTTGTTGGGTTTATACGGTGTAGGATGTCGCTGAACACTGGTCTGGCTTGCTGAAGAAGCGTCTTCGAGGAGGCCAGAGTGCTGGAGTAGTATGCAATCAAAAGTGCTGTTGTGATGGTAATCAAGAAGGAGTAGATTTGCTTCATGGAAAGGAGAGGGAGGTTACTTATACCTTCAGGACACCATGGAACCTCGAATATGCTAGAATAGGCAAGCAGAATTCAACCATCAACATCAGAGGGGCAGTTTGTAGCTTATGAAGATCTTTCAATAGCATTTGTTGCTGCAAGGCCGCGGCGCAGAGACATCGATGACCAAATGCCGATGGATTTGGTGTCGGAAAACCTTCCGCGGGGCTGATTGTGTAAGAATCAGTCAGCAACCCATTCCCATGCGCCGAGTCATGTGACATGCCAAGAAACGGGCACATTTGTTGCCTCGCCGCCATCGCCGTTCGAAAGGCTGTCGAGACACAACCAGCTTATGTGGCCATCACCTGCACGGCACCGCGGGGACCTCTTCAACACCGACCTAGTTGTGTACGTGTGCCGGATTTCTGTGAAGAAGCTGTCTCGGGTGTCCGCCCGGTCATAGCCGCGAGCTGCAAAATGCCTTCTCTCATGCTCTGGTAGCTCCTGATGCCTGCTATTACCAGCGACAAGGCACAATGGAAGATTCCGACAGTCAAGCGTCAGTTTCCGAAACAGAAGTGTCTCCCACAGCAGTAAATACCGGGCCACCAGGGCCGAACTTCGAGCTCGTCATCATCTCCTACGGCCATGCCAAGGGCCCGCTCACTCTCCCAGCAGAGAGTGGCAGTGTCGAGCGGCTCACCTTTTCCGTAAGAGACATCAAAAACCCGCCTGCCAGGCTTCGCAGGACGCATACGGGCCTATCCTCTCATCTGCGCAAGGAAGTCATGGCCAACCAGGCCGCCGACGCAAGATTGAATTTCATTGTCGAGGCTGTGCGGACGAAGATGGGTGAGATGAAGCTCGCCCACGAGAGAGGCAGCACAAGCACGGAGACACCTTTACCCTCGAGAGGGCAGTCAACGCTCGTTGTCGGTATCATGTGCGAACGAGGGAAACATCGCAGTGTCGCCTTTGCGGAGGAGCTTTCTCGGAAAATCCAAGCAGATAACTCTTGGGTGGTCTCGGTTCAGCATCGTGAGCTGGGACTGTTGCCAGATGGCAAAGGCGCTGTTATCGGGGATGAGAACATCCTGACGGGAGGTGGACAAGCCGGAGACAAGCCCAAGACACAACGTCATATGCCCAGGAAGAAAGGTAGGTCGTCAGACAGAAGGTTTGCGCAAGAAGCTGTCCCTGATGTCGAGGAGGACACTTGAAAGCCCCTCGCATGGAGAGGAACAAGAGCTATCATTCTACCGGCGCTGAATGGGCCACTTCCGATGGTTGTTTATAGAAATCTGTCCATGCTTTGTAATATCGCAACCTTTGCCCTCCCGGCTACGTATCTCTATTACCTGCACAAGAAGGAGGCCAGCATTCCGCCCTGGGCATCTCGGAAAGCAGATCAATCGGTTCCTCGATCTGCCTGGGGAGCTACTATTCCGAGTTGAGTAGCTCGGTCTGGCCGTCCTCTCGCACCCATGCTCCGACTCGCCCGCTACAACCTTGAAGGGGTTACTTTCCCTGCCTGTAGGTAACTGGCAAGTCCTCGATCCGGTTCGCGGGGAAGAAACGACCCATCGTCCTAGCTACAGTCTGCAGTCTGCAAACTGGAGTTTCGAGTCTGGCGAGCTTCAGGCCTGCCCCCACTCCTCCGCCTGGGGGCCATACTCATCCCGTCTTACGGGGTACGTACATCCATATTACGTCTGTGCAATCTATATATATTATACAAACCATCCTCGGCACCATACATTGTTAAAACAATCCAAACCTGTGAGGGTGTCGCTCTCTCTCCCATCTCGAGGGCTGCTTCTCTTGCTCTGGGTCCTCTTTTTATGTTTCACGCATGTATATATGCCTTTCCACCAGTTTCCCGTATCGCAGAAAACCAGAGTTCTTGAGGAGGCAAATTTGATCGTCGTCTCGAAGTGAAACCATGTTCTACGAACCGGGCAAGACGGAGCATAACCTGCCCTATGATCCGTTCAAGGTCAGTCTCTGAGTTTTGCTCGGTCGCTCAATCCAATTCGTTTCGATTCCAATGGTCTGCCCTTCGTCCTCAGTGATGGTTGCCAGTACATGAAGAAGGAGACGAAGAAACATGTATGCTCGAAGATGGACAAGGGATACCTCGTTTTCCTATTTCCATCGCGATGCTCTGCTTTGCTCTCTCCTCACGATTCTCACTCTTCTGCACAGGCCTGCGTCATCCCACGCCCGATAGGCTGGATCAGCACCGTCTCGCCTCCCCAACCATCCACATCTACTTCCGACTCCGCCAGCAGCAATGGCCACCTCGAGCCAGAGACATCGCCATCGGGGTCGACATCGGGAACAACAACGCGGACCGCCAACCTCGCGCCCTTCAGCCAATTCAACAACCTGACCTTCGACCCGCCGTTCGTCATGTTCTCGGCGAACCAGACGCCCTCGGGCGCGCAAAAGGACACGGTGCGCAACGTCGAGGCCACGGGCGTCTTCTGCTGGCAGCTCGCGACCTGGGACCTGCGTGAGGCCGTCAACATCTCCGCCGAGCAGGTCGCCTACGGGGTCGACGAGTTCGAGCGCGCGGGCCTGGACAAGGAGTGGTCCACCGTGCTCACGACGCCGGTGCCCATGGTCAAAGCCTCGCCCGTCAAGTTCGAGTGCGAGTACCACTCCACGCTGCGCTTGCCGGGGAATCCGCCCATGGGCACCGTCGACGTGGTGATTGGCAAGGTCGTGGGGATCCATATCGACGACCGTGTCCTGACTGAGGACGGGAAGATCGATGTCGCAAAAACGCTACCCATCGCAAGGTGCGGCTATTACGACTACGCCGTCGTCCGGGAGACGTTCGAGATGATCATTCCCGGCACCACCGAAGCCATTCGCTACGGCATGGAGGGCAATGTGAGGAAGCACAAGGCGGCCAGAGAGGCGGCCAACAAGATGGGCGTCAGTGAGTCGGGTCCACCGTGACAGCAGGATCATCCTCAACCATACGGTACCCAAGTCCTCAAGGGTTCTCTATTGACATATCGTGCTATCCTGATGCAATATACAGTTGGGCTTGAGCGTGATTTTTGCCATTGAATTCCAAAACGAGGGGTCTGTGCCAATATGGTATACTTCCCCTAGCAATACCTGTAATTTCCGGAAGCTGGCACAGCACTCGGCTTGATATCTCCCATCATCAAACAATGCCCTTGCACAATCGTTCGTCCTCCTCCATACCCTCGGCGGGGTCTGTAGAAGTCGCTGTCTTGAGGGTTTCGCCAGAGCCACTGTCTTGAGATGTTTCACTCCCTGCAGACCATTTGCTTTCGATTGTAGTCGATCTCCCCCGATTCAATGGTCGTGCATTCAAGGTCTCACTTCCCGTCTCTGAGCTTCGACTTTTGAGACGCTTCAACCGAGGGATTCTTGTTGTATGTCCGCGCACAGGTCTGTGTTCGGGTTCGGTAATTGGATCATACGTGGAGCTCGAACCACTGGCTTTGCGAGGTATGAATCTCCTCAAGACCTCCGCAGCTCTGGCTAGCTTTTCTTCTTCTGTATCACGAGGAATGTATGGTGGAGTGCTTACTGAGCCAACACAATCGCTCCGGCCCAGACTATACTTGTCAGGCTCAGTCGTATTGTCGAGCCCACATTGTTCAACACGTCCGTCACCGCAGTTTGATGTCTCTTGTCCGTCTTCGAAAGGACACGACTCGTACTCGTCGGTATGTAATCCGTAACCAGCTCTTGCTGACGCACGTATAGACAAAGGCGGCGGAACGCATGCTGGAGATGGGGTATCCCGTACACGAGGTACCGTTGGCCAGAATGGACTGGCTTTGGAGCTGCCCAGATCTTCCGCAGACCCTTCTTTTTGGGTCTATGTAGTGTTAGTATCAGATTGATTTCTTGATCAACGTGGGTGATTAGAAGCTAACCTCCGAATTCTCAGGAAACAACAATGCCCCGCCGTCTGGTTCGCTTTCACTCATAGTTACTGCAAGCGACGTTGACCTCTCGCATTTTTTCATACGAGGACCAGGGAAATAGGGGGAGAGTTGTCTCGGTTTGTTTTCCGGAAATGGTCTCTCGCACCGAAGGGCGAGCTCTGCCACCCAGGGTGGGTTGTGAAGAAAAGTCTCAGGTACATACAAGTATGGGTCCTAGAACAGAATCAGTGTCCTGTCGCTGCCAGCGCTGTTTCTCACTCACTTCGTCGGAGGTCGAATGCCGATAATCCTCTTTCTTCCTTGATTGCACGCTTGTCTCATCAGCAGTGGCAGAGGGCGGAAGGTGAAACGGACTCCATTCTGCAGTCGAATCTGGCAATGGAGCGATACCTGCTTTTACACGGATGTTTTCTTGCGAATTTGCATTCGAGTCTGAAATACTGTCTGTATCACAAGACTTCGTGGGCTTATAGCACTCCGGGTGCTTGAAACGGAGACGAATATCTTCATGAGTTGGATTTGCGTCCCATTTCTCCTCATGTTCACCTCTCTTCAACGATGAACCTGCTAAGACAACTGATTGTCCATCGGAGCAATCAGAGTCCGTATCGCTTTGAGCAGCCGCAGAAACGTCGAATTTATGCCTTGGCGCACCGTCTTCGAGCACATTTGGGGCTTCGATGAACAGTTCAGACGGACTGATCTCGCTGGAAAGCTTTGGCTCGTTTGCGCTTTCATCATGTTTGCGTGGTTGCGACACCAAACCCAAGCTAGAGATTGCCACCGTTGCTGTCGTGGGGCTACCTTCGGGCAGACATTGAACTTTTTCATCATTGGCGACGAAGTCTTTGTCAATGACGATGTCTGCGGATTGACAAGGTTCTGTTCCTCTGCCGGGAAACTGATTATCGTAATCTTGAAGCATGGTCCGCTCGATTTCTATGTCACGCTCATCATCCGGGTCTCTGAAAGGGTTCTCCACGGCGGCCATTGCACCCAAGGGCAATGGAAGTTCTGACACGGGTGTGTTGATGGACGAGACCTCCTGCAGCTCGTCCTCGGTGATGGATGTCTGGGCTGCAGCCATCGCTTGGCGGAAATTGATGGTGGAATTCAGTACTCGTGGAGGGGGAGGCCTGCCAGTCGGGATCAGATGTGGGTGGTCAGTCCCAAAGTATTGGAGAAGAGGCGTGCTCGCTAGCTGAACAGGAGGCAAAGAAGGCGTTGCTCTGGGTATATCGATAGGAGAAGACCTCGGTTCATCCTCGATAAGTGACTTTCCAGGCTTGAATCTGACCGACTTCTTTGGACTGACACTCTTCCCTGGGGAATGAGGTTTATTGATTGATGTATTGGTACCCTCAGTCTTTGAGTTGATCCTATTCTCCTTGTAAAACAATGAAGTCGGAGCCCGAATAGCGTCAGCTAATGTCTCGAGGAAGGTCTTTGGAGGTGATCCCGCCTGAGACGAGTCTGAGTATTTGCTGCTCGGAGTGCCCCGGCTCAGTTTAGACAATCTCGATAGAGAGGATGCGGCTGACAGCTTGAGAGGATGAGGGCTTGGTGTCCGATAGTACCGCTTAGATTTGTCCGATGTAGAGGAACTTCGGCCAGCTCTGAAAGGGTCGTCGTCGGGAATCGAGGCATCGTAAACAGAGGATAGTTCCTGCTCGAGGACATCATGCTGAGGTTTGATCGGCGAGGGGCTGCGACTCTTGTTAGCGGCTGGCTGGTCTGGCAGAGCCCAAACATACCTTGTATTGCCTCTCTTCCTGACCGAGCCGATGAGAGATGTTAAGCTTCTGCGGGGGGTCAGGCCAGGGACGGTCGCCGAACGAGCTCGTGGTGAAGGCGAGGGAGACTTGTGTTCTTCGGGCAGTTGGACCGCTTCGTTGACAGTCCGCCGGCGGAGGCTGGGAAACGGCATCGTCGATTAAGCTGATACACATGTGGATACAACGATGAGAAAGAAGTGTCGTCAGGCCTCAGTCCTCGAGAGAGGAAAGGCAGTAGGCTGGGAAAGTGTTTCCGGACTGAGTGTTTTGGACCAAGGCAGTGAGTGATCAAAGGTTGCCGCAGACTCTAGTGAGCAGGTACCAGGGAGCAGTGTGAGGTCAGTGCCACGGAGGAGAGTCTGGAAGGTGAAGGAGGGAAACAAGGACTTTGGGTCCTTCTGCGACTAGACCTAGAGTAAGGCAATGCAGCAACAGGTGAGATGAAAGAAAGAGGAAGCTGAGATTCTTCCATATAGAGGCTCCAGCCTGCGCCAGTCTGCGCCCGTCTGTTCCGAGGTGGACGTCCTCGACAATGGTCTGTCACCTGTCGCCCATGCAGCAATGGCCCTCAAAAGCATCACAATGCCGTGATCATGATGCAGCGTCCTTCGACAGTCAGCTCCAAGCCCATCGACCTTCGCCTTTCGAATTCACATGTCAATCAGCAGGCCTGTTCCCCGAGCCCTCATACCAGTGTGGCCATCAATGGACCAACCATGACGCCCCCAAGCTTGATATCTGTCTCTGATCTCTACAAAGATCGGGTAGCTCTTGCCGATTCCCACTGAGGCTGCGTTTCCGCGACTTCATCTTTGCCCTCTGTCAAGTCTGGGGGTTTGGGGACGAATACTCTGCTTCACAGTTCAAGTTCGACTTCGATGCTTGCTGGTACTGAGCTGCAAATGAGAACGCCATCATCTCCCTCCAGGATCCCGTCGATATTTCCCTTCAAGAGCTTGACTTCACAAGTGCCGCAGGCGCCCGACCGACAGCCATAGTCAGGAGTCAACCCAGACTTTTCTGCTAGTTGCAGCAGTGATAAGCGATCCTTTGCCAACCACTTGGCCTTCAAGTTGGACTTGCGAAAGGTGACAGTGGCCTCTTCGATGTCTTGCATGATGGCTGTCTTTGTCGAGCCTTGATTTTGTGGGCGCTCTTCTCCTTGGGGCTCCTTGACGGTTCCGTCACAATATTTAAACGATTTGGACGTTGGTTATATTGGTCGACGATCACAGCAGAGGCTTGCACGATCAAGAGTTAGGTTTGATGAGAATGATGTTGCGCCTCCGGGATCACTTGGGAATTGATGACAGGTCGTATAGGGACCATCACAGGCAGTGAGATAAGCTCGTGTTGGGCTAGTGAGGCTCACTGGGCTTAGCCGAGAATCTCGGTTTTCTCCGCGGTTGTCTGCAGTGGGATGAGTTTCGCAACGACTAATGTCGAGGTCGGACTGTCGAAAACTATACTCTACTCACAAATGCGACATCAGGATACATGGTTTGGATTTGGTATAGAAGAGACAACGTGAAATCGAAATTCGAGGAAGGAAACCTTGTCGCCTTTGAAAGTCCCTCCGAAGCCTGATGGGCTTCTCACGCCCTCTACCGCCTTCCGATTAATCGCCACAGTTGATGAAATCTCTTGCCGAGTGAGCTGAAGGCAATCAGTGTCTCTTCATCGACTCCAACACGGGCTGCACATTGGCGAAACTCAGTTCATCGATTGTTTCGCGCCACAGCTTCTCGATGACTGCTTTTCCTTCGGGCTTGTATAGCATCGCCGCAAACCTCAATTCAATCCTGTCAGCAAGCGAGAAACACCAAAAGACAGGAGAAGGGACAGTCACGGCCAACTCACGGCTTGATTTGCCAGCCCATTATGAAGCACCCATGAGACTCCTTTCCCTTGATCAGGCACGCATCGAGGTAGGTTGAAGCGCCATCCCGAGTACTTCTGGCGGTGAGTGCGGCAAATATGTTACCGAGAAATACTATCAGACCCGGTGCATCGCGCGCGAGCTGTGTGCCCTTGACAAAGCCAGGATCCACAAGGTTCACAACCACGTCGTCGGCCGACACCCAGTCCACGAGTTTCCAGAGGAACATGTGCGCCAGCAGTTTGGACGTGTTGTACGATTCGCTCATGTCGTAGGCCTTTGGATCATCGAATGAAGGGATCAACGGAGTTTTGTCCTTGTTCGGGAATTTTGCATCGAGAGACAGCGCTGCATTGACGATAGTCAGGCGGCCAGGTGTTCCTGCCGGAGCTTTACTCCTCAAGACAGGCAGCATCAGGATAGCAAGAAGAGCCGTCGAAAGGTAGTTGATTTGGAAGAGCTCCTCGTGACCGGTACCTGGCATGGTGCTAAAGTTGTACGCCCATCTTCCAGAATTGAGAATAATGATATCGAGGCGTGACAGGTCGGTCTCTGCGCGTCGGACAAACGCTTGAATGGAGTCATACGAGGCCATGTCCAACTGCCAGACATCAATGGTCGCCCGTGGATAAGTGGCATGGAGTCTTTTAGCTGCCTCTGCTCCTTTCTGAGGAGAACGGACAGCTAAGATCAGACGTGAGAGGTTGAACGAAAGGAGTTGACAGGCGCTCTCGAAGCCTAGGCCTGTAAACAGAATGTTAGCAAGGATCGACATTGGCTCGACCGGACAATGATTATGATGCGCTCCAGGTGCAAAATAGGACGAAAGGAGATGAAGCCTTACCTGTGTTGCCTCCCGTGATAATGACCACTTTCCCAGAGAGATCAGTGCCCTTTGGCAGCCGCTGAGGTTTGGCAAGGAACTGGTTTCGGATGAAAAGCCTGGGGAAGAACGGGGTGGTTATAGGTGGCAGGTCCTTGGAGGAAGGCATCACGAGCTGATCCACGTCAAACGGATTGAGGTACAACTGGGCAATTAGAAAGCAGAAGCCTGGGATGAATAGACAGTAAGGGAGGCTCTTTGGCTGCAGTCATGGCAATATATATGTGCTCCCGACCGTTGCACGCCTCACACACTGGTTGTTTCGGCGCCGAGCTGGCAACATTCTGGTCAATGAAACATATGGAAATCCAATTTGACAGCTGACCGGACCATGGTCAATTCCCTATAGACTGACGTTGACTTGGGATGGTCACGATGGTGTACAAGGTTCTTGATGAGGCTGGGCAGATCCCTAGCAACGCTAGCCTCGCTAATACGTGCCTCCTGATCGAAAAGGGTTTAATCAGCCGAGACTATACCTGAAATGGCAAACGATATGTGCATGAGGATCCCCGCCTCGAAACAAACTTCAAACCACAAGCAGCAAAGTTGGGCAAACCTGCCTCGAAACAAGACTTGCGGTCAAAGTAAATGCTAACAGGCCAGGCAGCATCTTATTTGCAACCGGGTTCTCAATATCTAACCTGAAAGAGGATGTGATGCGCCGTCGCTTTGGGCAAAGAATCATCTCTTCTTCGCCTAGCATCTCCTAAGGCGCACTCGATCAGGTCACAATTTTGGTGAATTCGACATTGCCCGTCCATCGATTCTATGCAGAGTTCCGATATGCCCCAAAAAAACTCGTCGCGTGAGTCTCCGGTCCATACCATAGGGGTTTTCATCGAGCGGCCTGGGCCCAATGCTGACTCCGCCAATCGACGGCAGCGATGCCATTCATCGTAACAGCGGGCGTGAAGAAAAAAGACGATCCACAGACACGCAAGTTCATAAGGAGCCATGTGATGCTAGGAAAGAATTTGGGGAAGTCTCGACGGGCCAGGCCCAAAGATCCCCTGCCCTGGGAGGCTGAACCTACCTGGGACTCCTCTGATGGCGGCAAAGCAGCACCAACACAGCAATCGTCCGCCATGATCCCCAAAAAGGTCGGCTCCGAGTGGTCATTCACCCAGCTAGCAGCCGAGATTGAGCCAGCCGCAATCGCGGATATTCTGACTTGTAGGTCTATCCCGTTCACGTGGATTCAATGCCAGAAAATTCTGAGTACTTACTGCGTGGGGCGACCCAGATTCTTCTCTCGCAAGGCAAGCCACACTTCCATTGGAGCCATGCATTGCCTTCGACAAGAAAGACAGAGTGCTCGTCGGCCCTATGGCATCCGATGCTGCCTTCCTCCATGCCGCTGCACTAGGGACTCATGCATACGTCGAATTAATGCGAGGTCGTGAAGATCACAATGCACTCCAAAGCACGTCACCTCATTTCTCGAAGGCGCTGCAGCTGCTTCGCGAGCGACTGGACTCAACAGACGAGGACCTGAAAATTGCTAATCCCACCATGATGGTGGTCATTGCCCTTGCACTCCATGCTCGTATGATTGGAGACTATGACACAGCGAAGCATCACATGGATGGCCTGCGCATGATGATCAACCTCAGAGGAGGTATAGCCACTATTGTGCCCAAGACGAGGCTTGCGATGGAAATCTTCAGGTATGGACCCATGCAGCGACCTGGCAGCCTTGCTCCTACATTTCCTGGTCTGGTAGAATGCCTGATTGTTTGGATAGATGCGATATAGGGCTGGCGATCGAGACCAATTCCACGCCGACCTTTTTCTCGACTACCTCTTCTGGTGAGCCCTTCACGCCATTTCCCGACCAGATGTGGGTTCCCATTCCAAAGTCGGTCGATACGGCGGCTTGCTGGCCTTACTCGGAGCAATTTCTCAGCGCAATCAATGAAGATCTGGCTACAGCCTGGAGAGCTATGAAGAGATTTTGCCTGCAGATCAACCGCGCCGCCAGGACCAAACGCAAGCTTTCTGAAGAATTCCTGCTCGAAGCAACGGCTTCAGTCATGTATCGCCTTCTCCACATGACGTTTGCAACTGGCACTCTGGACGCGGCCGTCCGGCTCGGACTGTTAGCATTTTCCTCGCAAGTCTTCTTGCAACTGCCAGACGTCAGGGTACGAAGGACATCTTTGTCCACTGCCTACCAAGAATGTCTTGTGGGACTCGACATCTTGAAAGAACAATGGCCTCCACTTTTACTTTGGCTTCTCATAGTCGGTGGCGTTGCAGTGCTCGATGAGCCCGATAATTCATGGCTGAAGCCATGGTTGAAATCGACCACTGAACGATGTGGAGTTGGTTCATGGAATGATTTCCGGAACATGATGGACTCGTTCATGTGGATTGGCCTGTTGTTCGACAAACCGGCGAAGGACGTCTTTTACTCAGCGGTTGCTTCATTGGAGTCGCTGGAAGCTGGCAGTACACCAGCTAAATAACAGGGCTAGCTAGCGCATGCAGCCATTCCATCATTTCACGGTTTATGCGAGCACGGTGGAGGTATTGACAGAAGGCTTAAGACTGCTGGGGAGAGACGGTTCACACACAAACGCAGCAAATCCGCCAAGAGCCTCGTCTCGGATCCAAACAAGCTTCCACTGGTACATGCAACCCATCATAAACATCTACGGAGTATTTCCCAACGTATTCAGGCTGGGGTTTTTTGGATCATAAGTGCAGATATGGGATTATAGAGCTTTCTATCTAAAGGCAAAACACCGACACTGGATGCTCCTCGACCCCTTGCCATGAGCTCTCTGCGCGCCTCGGGCAATTTACCCGGCTTGACCTCTGTCTGTCCCCTGTTATCCAGAAGAAAGGCTTTACATCGTAAGACCACCATGCCGCATTGTTGTTCACTCCGATTGACTATATCAAGCCACCGAATTCCAACGCGTCTGTCGCGGCTCAAGCCGGAACGTCTCTTTGTTGCATAAGAACACTGGCACCTGTCGCCGCCTAAGCTTCACTGGAGCATGCACGCCGACCCCAGTCAACTCAAAGGCGTCAAATGGCCGTGCCATTGGCAGGCGCCTTAGCTCGAAAACTGTCACCCGAGGATACAAGACCGCAGAAGCCGATGGTCAGGCAGACTCAGAATCATTGAGTGGTTCATCCCATTCTCGACAGCTCAACTCAGGAACCGTCTCTGCAGTGTCCGAGGGTCCAACGAGTCAGGAAACCCATCATGTCCAGTCGCAAATGAGATGGGGGATACCTCTTCGCGAGAGAGTCAAGGGGTTGATGCGCCATGTGCCCCATCCTGTTGCCGTGATTACCTCGACCGACACATCCGTCAACGCCAACGGTGATCCTTCTGCATGGCGAGGAGCTACAGTATCTTCGTTCAACACTGTGACACTAGATCCGACCCCAATTGTTTCTTTCAACATCAAGCAGCTTTCTTCAACATACGAGGCCATCAGAGCCTCGGGCCTTTTCAACGTTCACCTGTTCCTCTGCGACCATATGGGGCAGAAAATCGCCGAAAAATTTGCGCGCGGCAACGCGTCTTCGCCCTTTCACCGGAGAGATGGGACTCTGGCTTCGTTTGCGCGGTGGCGGTCGGACACAGCGCCGGCATTGCGACCTAATTCACCCCCAATCATTCAATATTTCCCGAAGTTTCAGATAAAGTGCCGGTTCCTGTCCGAAAAAGCAGTGGAGATTGGAGATCATATGGTAGTTTTTGGAGAGGTCGAGCATGTCTACGATAGGTTGGAGGGCGTGGATGGGTCGGACATCTGTTTGTACTATGTGAACGGCCGCTATGCTCAAGGTCCCCTGGGATCTACGCATGGGTGGTGAAACAGAGGAGCCGAGAATGGTATTGGCTGTATCTGCAAGAGCAATCAGAACAGAGACGACTGACTGCTAACGGATAGCAGTCTGGAATAGTAAACTGCGGTGTATATTGTGTACTAGTAGTCTGATATCACAAGCTGCCGGCCTTGCCGCTATTTGGAGCTTCGAGGCTGAGCAAGGCTGTCCAAGGTCGATCGTGATTGGTCCAAAGACTAGTTCTCCGACCTCAACGGCTTGTCCTCCTGTTTCTACACCACATTTATTTCATCGAGTTTTGTGAGAGAACGATGCCGCAGAATCAACTTTACTGACACCTATCTGCTGCAGACGTCATAGGACGACAGACCAAGCAAGATGCCGGCGAAATTATCTGTTGCCGACACGCGCTTTATTTGCGTCCAATGCCGAAAAACCCTGAGCTCGTCCAGACGGAGACGATTCGCATCGACGAATGCATCATCACCCCCTGAAATTTTCGACATTGTGACAGTTGGCGGAGGACCGGCTGGCCTAGCCCTCCTCGCCGCGTTAAGTTCGTTGCTTTCCTCCTGGTCGCCACCAACGGGGTGACAGCTAACCCACTTTTAACAGGATCCTCACCCATCACATCCCACCTCAAAACGGCATTGATTGAGACCCAAGATCTGTCAAGACTCCGCCAATGGAGCTCGCCAGCGGATCGATACTCGAATCGGGCCAGCAGCCTGACGCCCTCGTCGGTCTCGTTTCTCGAGAAGACGGGAGCATGGGACCACGTCGACCAATCCCGCGTCCAAGCTTATGACGAGATGCAAGTCTGGGACGCCTCCAACGATGCGACGATTCAATTCGACTGGGCGGCCGAGACCAGCAAGTACAACGCGCCTCCGAGGACCGTGGCGACCATGACCGAGAACGCCAATCTGACGAGGGGCCTCCTTGAACGAATCGCCCAGCTCGGCGCCGAGTCGTCGCTGTTCTCCAGCACCAGCGTCTCGTCCATCATGAACGGCGAGGATGACCCCAGCGGCCTCAACCTGTCCTCTTGGCCGGTCCTTACGCTCGAATCAAAATCACCATCCCATCCTCCAACAACACCACCACCACGACGTCCGTCTGTCATTGCAGCCCGCCTCCTCGTCGGCGCCGACGGCTTCAACTCGCCCGTGCGCACCTTTGCTGGCATCGCGTCCCACGGCTGGGACTACCACCGCCACGGTGTGGTCGCGACGCTCACGGTGCAACCCGCCGAGGACGGCTCCGGAGCCGACGACTTCGACCTCTTCTCCGAAGAACCCCTCGGCAACCGCGCGACCGCGTACCAACGCTTCCTGCCGGAGCTGGGCGGGCCGATCGCCGTGCTCCCGCTCCCCAACAACCACGCCTCTCTCGTGTGGTCCACCACGCCCTCGCACGCAGCGTACCTGAAATCCCTGGCCCCGGAAGCGCAGCTGGCGATGATCAACGCCGCGCTGAGGCTGTCGCAGACGGACATCAAGTACATGTTCACGCTCCGCGCCTCCTCCTCGGATGGGGAACAACAACACGAGAACGAACTCCGCTGGCGCCTCCAACACACGGCGGGCCCTGGGACCTCTCGCCCGCCACCCATCGTCACCGGCGTGCAGGAGAACACGCTCGCCTCGTTCCCGCTGCGCCTGCGCCACGCCGCATCCCTCACCGGCCCGCGCGTCGCGCTGGTCGGAGACGCAGCGCACACCGTCCACCCGCTCGCGGGGCAGGGGTTGAACCTGGGCCTCGCGGACGCCGCGGCGCTGGCGGACACGGTCGCCTACGCCGTCGAACACGGCATGGACATCGGCGACGGGTTCGCCCTTGAGAGGTACAACGCCGAGAGATTCGGCAGGGGCCTCGTCATGGCCGGCGGCGTCGACGCCTTGAACTGGACGTACCAGCTGGGCAGCGGTGGCGGGGACGGTATGTTGAGCCGCTTGGTTGCGCGGGCGAGGGGCCTGGGCATGAAAGTCGTGGACTCGGGTCTCGTCCCTGGATTGAAGGGGTTGATCATGAAGCAGGCAAGTTAGGAGAAGACGGCTGAAAAGTGGAAGAGGGCACGGTGACTCGCCGGGGCAAAATATGGCTGTCGGAAGGCTTCCCGAGAAGACCGACAAGGGATATTAAGTTTTGTACAATACTTTCAACTTGCAGACTTGAGGAGCAAAATTGTAGATTGAATAGAGCAGATGGCCGTCTGCCCTTTGCTGCCAATATCTTGGTTGTGCTAACGATTCTTTCCAGACCCGCCCCATCGCCATTCGCTATGCCATTCCCTTCATGAATTGCGTCCCGGATCAACCGTCCCCCAGGCCCCAAGGGCCCAGCTCGACCCTCTCATCTGCAAACATCTCTACTCTTAAAATCTCATCGTTGTTTCTCGCGACCCCATCGTCCTCACCACCCTGACCACCCTGCGCCAACCGCTCTAGAACAAGCCACAGACCACTAGTGCCGGGCACGCAAAGCGACGGTTGCAGGTCAATATCGACAATCCGAAGGCCTGACGAGACACTACTGAATTCCTCGTTGTCGATCTCGCTGGTCGCAAGAATCTCCTTGTATGGCCCTTGACCTCGCTCTAGTGTCATCTTGAAGAGGGAGGAATTCGCTTGCGCAGTGGTAACAGTTTCGTATCGCGCGACAAACGAAACCCGCGACAGCCGCAAAACCGTAAGAGGCGCGAGCAAGCGATTTGTGCCATTCCGGAACACTGCCGGGGGACTCTTGATGCTCAAGCGGCCCGCACCTTCGGCTGGCAGCTGACAAAAAATTGCACCCTCGCCGGCTGAGGAGGAGTAGTACAGGTCGAGACTGAAATCCGAACACTGGCCTTGATCGAATGTAGAGCAGATGATGGTATAGTTCCCAGGCCCTAGCTTGGTTTCGACAACAGCACTCCCCCGTCGGTAGTCTCCCGAGTGCGCAAGGACATCCCGCGGGCGAAGTCGGGTAATCCTTGACCCGCTGCTAAAGAGCACCAGGATTTTCACGTTGGTATCAGCTTTTGCTGCAGCGGCAGGCTTGACCGATTCGACAGTTCTGAGAACTAATGCAATCCTCTGCGCAGTAGACAGCGACATTCGAAATTGGGGATTGGATAGGTAGTTCGCTGAGTCCGAATTTCCTCCGGCATTCGCTCTGGTCCAGGCGCAGCTGAGGCTGGATTTCTGAGAATATGGCAGCCGTGCTTCTGATAGCGCCACCGGATCTTTTGACAAGGCCGAGATTGTAAAGTTCATTTTCCCTGGAGGTAGATCCTGTGACACAAGAACTGCGGTGTAGCACGATTGAGCCGTAGCTTTAAACCTTAACAAGGTGTTGGGAGAGTCCACGAGTGGCCCTCGTATCTTTGCGCCTTCGCTCGAGATGACCTTATTGCCGTCACAGGCATACAAGTATAGGCCGACATATCCATTTTCTCTTGTAGTCTCTTGCGTGTAGTCTCCTGTTCGAAAATGCCGCTGCAGCAGCAACCAGACGTCGCCTGTAGCGGAAATTGTGACTGCAAACTGGGGATTGTCGACAATTAAATTGGCATTGGTGATAGCATTAGCATGGTCCCAGGAGAAATGGAGGTCTTCTCGGTAAGAAAACAATCCAGGATTCCAATTGAGATACATATTCTCAAAGTACTGAAAAACACTGTTGAAATCCATCCAAAAAGTGCCTGGCATCATCTCTTCGTTTTCGGGCGTATCGACCGAGGATCCTTCGTCGTTCCGATTCGGTCGACGTCTTGCTGCCCCCCGCCATACATCTCCATCAGCCCAGGGGTTTTTGACAAGCATTTCTTTGGTATGACCATTAGTAGACATGTCCAGGACCGCGTAGTCATGCTCTGCTGCAAGACCGAGGTGCTTTTGCTCACGACGAGGCAATTTGCCGGTTCCAATAGTGACGAGAACATTTCCTCTTCGAAACTGGGTAATGATCTCCTCCCAGAGATGATCAGGTTCAACCTCCTCGTCGTGAAGAAAGACTTGTTGAGGAATCCATCCGGTCAGAATGGCGAGATCCGTACCAGAGTTGCTCCCAGGAAAGTCGTAGCCACCGCGAACCTTTAGATATGCTTTCTCAACCAGGGCCGGCCATAGTAATCGGGGATGACGGCGGTCAATCACATGCAGTACTCGGCTAGTCTTGGAGGAAGGCAGATAATCGTCAATCTCCACCCTTCTCCAGCAACCATTAAAATACAACCTGAGAATGTATTTTCCGTTAGGCGACAGTATCATTCGATCGGTTTCGTAGTTGAAAGGATGTACTACGGTCCGCAAGATCTGGGTAGGGGTTAGTGACAACACGGTATTTCATAGCCCCGTCCTACCTTTGGAAATCCCCGTTCTACCCTGGAGGTCAGAGCACAAAGGCTTGCAACCACAGAACAGTCCGATGTCATATCCTGCACGAGGTCTATAGGCTCGGGCAAATACATGACAGCCCCGCCGGCACCATTTTGGCCATTGGGGTCACTGTGAACAGACGGAAGTGCTTGCTGCGGTCGTTTCCAACCATCAAATGATTCAAGCTGGCCCGGAGATAGAGGCAGGGAGCTCGAGTCTGTGAATAAAAGGCCGCCATCACGAAGCGCAAATTCCTCCGAGGATGGTGGAGCCGTCCATGGGTTGAACTTGAAACCATTTAATCTACCGCCCTCTAGAAGTATGATTTTTTCTCTCGTGGTGAGCTCGCGTTTCGAGATAGGTGGTTTGAGGACATCTCTTGACGCTGCCGTAGGGACCGGTCTTTGCTGTTCATTCTGGGCTGCTTTGAGCCGCTCGGCCCGCGCTAGGAGTTCGTTGAACCTGGCATCCAGCCTCTGCTTGTCTGAAGGTTTGTCAGCGAGGTGAAGAGCCTGGAAGTACAACTCAGCAGTCTTGATGGTGGCATCTAGGACCGCCTTGCCGGTGGATTTGGAAGGGATTGTCCTCTCGATCGAGCGCGCCTGCTCTTCAAGACTAGAGAGGCTCTCGTCCATTACCTAGGCAACTAGCTCGAGATAAAAGGCTCTCGCAGACGTCAGCGGGCCATGGGCCATGGACAAATGTCGGAGGCGGGCCGGGATTCGGGAGAGCGAGAAGAGTGAGAGAGGGAAGCGCAGGCTGAGGGTGGACAAGCGGAATTGCCACTACCTCGGCTGGTCAGGATCGAGCTGCCATGACCGAGCCACTCAAATCCCACTCAATCCATGTCCCACGGGGGTTTCGCATGCGAGATCGCCCATGCCTCTCGGGCAGATGAGGAATGATCAATGGTTGCTTCCCCGTCTAGCAAACTAATTACGCGACCATTCTTCTCCTTCGACCATATCATCCGCAGCTCCTCCAACTCTGACATTTCGACCAGCCGACAGAACCTCAATTCCTCCTCCAGAACTCTGCAGCCCGGCCCTCTCTATCACTGCGTAACGGTCCGGAATTGAGCTCAAGAGCCCCTCCGCCCTCGTCGTCCTCCTCCACTTCTTTTTCGACGCTCTAAGAGCGGCGCATACTAAACCATGACGAAACCCGGGGAGCTGGCGCCGTGGGAGAGCGCCGTTGCAGGTGCCACTGGTGCTGTCCTCGCAAATGCGCTGGTCTACCCGCTGGACATGTAGGGAAATTCCAGACTGAAATTCGAAGATAAGCTTCTAATTTGGCCGCAGTGTAAAGACAAGATTACAAGTCCAGATAAAGAAGAAAGGCCATGTACACCAACACACGGCCGAGCACCATCACTACGAGTCGACTTGGGACGCTATCAAGAAGATTGTCGACCATGAGGGCGTCATCGGCTTATACTCGGGCCTCAACGGCGCTCTGATCGGTGTTGCCTCCACAAACTTCGCCTATTTCTACTGGTACTCGGTGGTACGGTCGCTATACACAAAATACCGAACTGCCCCAGGAGGACATCCCGGTACAGCTGCCGAGTTGTGTCTGGGCGCCGTCGCAGGGGCCATTGCCCAGATATTTACAATTCCCGTGGCGGTCATCACCACGCGGCAACAGACACAACCCAAGGGCCACAAAAAGGGTCTGTTCGAGACGGGTAAGGAGGTCGTCCACAGCGAAGATGGGTGGACTGGACTCTGGAGGGGTCTTAAGGCCTCTCTCGTGCTGTGTGTCAACCCAGCAATCACATATGGCGCCTATCAGCGTCTGAAGGACGTCATGTTCCCGGGTCGGACTCGACTCCATCCATGGGAAGCTTTCAGTGAGTCGGAAAAAGCACTGTTGATCAGCGTGCAGTCATCGTACTGACCCGCGTGTATAGTCCTTGGAGCAATCTCCAAATCGATCGCCACGATCTGCACCCAGCCCTTAATTGTCGCCAAAGTTGGCCTACAATCCCGACCTCCCCCAGCTCGGGAAGGTAAACCATTCAAGACCTTCACAGAAGTGATGGCATACATCATCGAGCATGAAGGACCACGTGCTCTTTTCAAGGGCATTGGCCCTCAACTCATGAAGGGTCTCATGGTGCAAGGTATTCTCATGATGACCAAGGAAAGAGTGGAGTTGTTGTTCCTGTTACTCTTCTCCTACATCCGGGTTTTCAGGGAGAGGAAGCTCAAGGAGGCCGCCGCCAAGCTCAAGCAAAATGCCAAACCGTTGGCGGAGGGGCTCAAGAGCCGAGCCATGCCAGTCGCAGAGAATGTCCTGGAGAAGGCAAAGGCGAGCGTACCTGCTACCATGAAATAAGCGACGCGCGTTTGGTGAGTGGGCTTGAGCTTTTGGGATAGATCTTGGTGGGGAGGCTGGTGCTGGAAGCAAAGACAACAGGCCGGCCAAAGATCAGCATTTACTGAGTGTGCATGGCGTTCGTGTTGCGTCAAAGATCCGTACGGCTTTCTATGTGGGATGATTTCCTGCTTTTCTTGTTGTGCACGTCCTGAGTTTAGTGCATTCTGTCTAGACTGTAGCATCAGGCGGCAGGTTTCAGAGGCAATATGAAGACAGAAAAGGCGAGCAATGAGAGTAGATGTTAATGCGCATTTGTGACCTGCTTACGAGATCAGATGAACATGATCAGTTCAAATGATGCCTGAAGGGAGATCATGCCGATATGTCGCCCGGCCGTGGTATGGTACAAATCCTCCTTTCCTTAATCCTACAACATAGACCGACGATGTTGGTAACAGTGGGTGATATATTCTGTTGATCCCCGATTTAGGTCCATCCAAGTACCTGTCTCCGAAACACGCGACCGCGGGAAGGCGGGCAATTAACGATTTCGTTTCTTTGCCCTGCCGGTCTGAGTTTGGCGCCACTCCGCGGCAAGTGCTGAGGAAGCAGGCGACGTCTTGCGGAACAGTGCAATGAAGCCGCCTCCAAAGGTGCGCTCCCCGACGAGCGGTCGGCATACCATTACTGGCTGATCGTCTTGCGATGTCGAGGAGCTGTCGCTGTCGCTGTCAGGAGGTTCCTCGTCCTCAGCCTCCTTGTGGTCCGCACGATCCGGTTGTTCATTCTCACCCTCCGGCCTGGAAACCACCACGGGAACCCGCTCACGGCCCGTCCGCTTGGTCTCTCCGTCGGTGGAGGGGATGGCGCCCTTCCGCGGCGTCACAAATCTCACATCCCACTTCCTCCCCGAACTGATACCTTCGCCTAGTTCCAACACCTTGTCCATTTGTAGCGGCAGGGAGAACTCTTGAACAGCCTTCACACAATCCGCGATTTGCGTGACTGAGGGCACGAACACAACCAGCTTTGCGCCGTCAAGCATCGCGGGCTCGATGTGTCGGATCTGTGAATGTACGCCAGGCATGTCGAGGAGAACGTAGTCAAGGAATTCGTCGTTTGCGTTCTGGCGGTCCACGATCCATTCCTTCACGTCTCCTGTGTAGAAGTCTACATGCGGCCAGTACAGACCTCTCCGGAACCCGCGCACTATCTTTTCGGCATGGATGCTGTTCGCTGGGACCGCTTCCACAGTGTGTATGACCGCTCGACGCTTTTGTTTCCATTCGTCCCACGCCCGCATGAGCGAATCAGACTCCGATGAATCGTCTTCGGCTACAGGAAATGAGTTTGTGGGCTTCTTGTCCGCCACTCTGCGTGGACTAGGGAGCTGGATAGTCGGAGGAGGTGGATTCGCAGCTGCTATTGCTCGAGCGAGGTGCAGAGTGAGGCTGCCATGGCCTGTACCTGCTTCCAGGATCTGAACGCGGAGAGCTGGACCGCCACTGTTCGGAATTGTGGTAGGTGGTTCAGGGTGAATGTCTAACAAGGAGACGATTGACGATGCATAACTGGAGTAGACTGGAGTCACAAGCCTAGGGGTGAGCGTGACATAGTCCTCAAGCGACGGGAGTTCGATCTTGTGTAGAGAGCCTTTCGAAGATCGAACGTACGTAGAAGTGACTGGCTTGCCGATAATGTCGTTCAGAGGGAGCTGGCCCTTGGACAAATCGAACTTCGAATTTCGCTGGAGAGGAAAAGTGAGTTTGGACCCATCCACGAGCACTCTGTCACCCTCAGCGAACCGCGTCAAATCTCTGGCGATGCCATTCTGGAGGACACAGGGGGTCTTGTCCGGGGATCTCGAGAATCCAAGAGCTTGTCTCAGATATCGAAACACCCCAGACATTCCACCACTCAACTCAACCCAATGCTTCCCCAAAGTTTCCTTCCCTTTTGGAACATCTAGGAGAACCAAGGGAATGTCAATGTAATGTCTCTACGCTGGAAATTCTCCCAGAAGAACACTATTTTGAGGAAGGTCGGCCGAGACCCCGGATTCAACTAGTCTGCTTGCGGTAAAAGGGTGTCGATCATTTTCTTGTCCAAATATTCGGATCAGAGACCTAGGCATCGCAGTCAAGTGGGTTTGCGGGAGTAATCCATCGGATGATCCAATACTCCTCTCCGGAGAATTTCCAATGATTATCAGTACTCTGACCTTCCATAAGTTTGAAGTTGCGAGTACTCAGATCAATCCAGAGGGCGAGCCCGCTCAGGCCGCCTCCTCACATCGCATGCGACCATGACCAGGAGACTTGTATGTGCTCGATCGCGACATCAACCCGGTGTGCATCGCTGATCATTGTCCTAGGTTCGCACGGGCATCCAGCTCGGCTTGCTAGTCACCATCGTCCTATTCCTTGTCGTATTTCTCGATAACAGATACCGCGTCCTCCCTAATGCCATCCACAGCCATCTACCTGCGCACCATCCAGGCTTTGTGGTCACCGACCTTACAGTCGTCACCTGCTCATCGTTAAACCCTTTCAGTCGATGTACAGTCGACGGCGAGGACTGGCACCGGGTCGAAAAGGACTTGTACCTTGGGAAAGGCTTCTTGTCGAAAGCCTACCTCTATGTACAAAGACAGCGCGAGGATGATTTAAGCACGCACGCCGAAGTGGTCACGGATGTCAAGATTGGCCGCTTGCAGCCGTCGGCCGTCGACCCAACTTCAAAGGATGAGAGATGGGAGTCTCGTCCCGCCGGGATATGGATCAAGTTGTCCTCGAAACGGCACGATAAAATGGTGACAGGAGTTGACGTCCTCTTTGGCGCCGATGCGGTGGATCCTCGCTCGAACTGGGAAATCCAGGACATTTCCTTATTCATTGATGCAGACCGCGAGTCCCCCGAACCTCGTCTCACGGTCCGCAAAGGCCCGGCTTTGAACGCCGAGAGACCCGTCCCTCGGATACGAAAAGATGGTAAATTCAAGATTATGCAAGCAGCAGACCTCCATCTTGCAACGGGCTTGGGGAAATGCCGCCACGCACTACCCGAGGGACAAGAATGCGAGGCCGATCCACGTACGCTCGACTTCCTCGCTCGCATGATTGAAGACGAGAAACCAGACTTCGTGGTCCTTACTGGCGATCAAGTCAACGGGGACACTGCGCCCGATGCTCAAACCGCGATCTTCAAATACTCCGAAATGTTTGCGCGACATAAGATTCCCTATGCCGGCATCTTCGGTAATCATGATGATGAAGGAAACCTCAACCGCGCAGAATCCATGGCCATTATGGACGGCCTCCCTTATTCGCTCTCCACTGCTGGTCCGGAAGATGTTGATGGCGTGGGCAACTACGTGGTGGAAATCCTGGGACGGGGATCTACCTCCCACTCCGCGCTGACGCTGTACATGCTCGATACCCACTCCTACTCCCCAGATGAGCAGCACTATCACGGCTACGATTGGCTCAAACAATCACAGATTGATTGGTTCAAGACCACGTCTCAGTCTCTGAAGAGGAAGCACAAGGAATACACACATATACACATGGACCTGGCATTCATTCACATCCCCTTACCAGAATATCGCAACCCGGACAATCTGGCCTGGGTAGGAAATTGGACGGAACCACCTACGGCCCCGGCATACAATTCGAATTTCAAAGACGCCCTCGTGGAAGAGCACATTCTCCTTGTCTCTTGCGGTCACGACCACGTAAACGATTACTGCCTACCCGCCAACGATAAAGACAAGAAGGCCGCACTGTGGATGTGTTATGGTGGCGGCGCGGGATTTGGTGGATATGGTGGCTACTATGGATATCACAGAAGAGTGAGGTTCTTTGAGATGGACATGAACGAGGCCCGCATCACGACCTGGAAGAGGCTGGAGTGGGGCGATGAAGAGACGCTGAAGAGGAGGATTGACGAGCAGATCGTAGTGGATGGTGGGAAAGTCGTCACGGGTATGTGATGCAAAGAAAGAAACCTTTCCGCCCGAACGTGACATCGTGGGTACGGGAATTTTGGGCAATTGACGATTGCAATGATTTGCTTGCATTGCTGTTATATCGTTGGCTCTACAGAAGGGGAGCTTTGTCATGACCAGATAGAGCATGTATATTCGCATGGCGTTCAGCGTTAAGATCGGGCTGGGGTGGGTCAGGTTGATTTCGAATTGTCGTATCACCAAGGGTTTTGTTTTTGCAGGCTTGAATCTGTCACGATTCAGGCGCTCGATTGACATGGTACAGAGAGAAATGGCCGCGGACAAAAGCATTTGAAGGGGTTGCGCAACGACCAAGGAAAGGAAAGCCATGATACCCTGAGAGAAAATGTATAAGATCATTGATCTCCCTTCAAACCGCTCCTCTTGACTCTTGAGTCCTCGCAAGGTCTTTCTACGGGTGACTCCTGTTTCACCACCATTTCTCGCAAAGCACTCTCCTGTCCTCCATCCCTGGCGCTTTCTGCAGCAGAGCGACGAATTCGTCTGTCATGGTGGGCAAGCCGCAGACGTACACGACCGTGTGAGCTCTGTTGCCTTCAGGCCCGAGGGCGTCAAAAAGGTCATCATGCTCGATCCGCCTGTATCGCGTTGCCATGTTTCCTGGTCCGACTTCGTCTTGTTTCGTTCCTTCTGTCCCAGACGGTCCATTGGTCACGAAGAGAGTGTATTTGAAGTCGACACGGTCGTGGCCTTTCCACTTCTCAGCTATGTCTTTCAATCTCTTCTCAAACAGAATTTCTTCTTCTGCACCGGTCTCGTCGTTCTTCTCTCGCCGTGAGGCGTAGAGCACTCTTACAGTCCTTGTCATCCCACCCAATTTATCCGCGCCCAAGACATGCATTGCGGAGATCATGCTCATGACGGGATTGATCCCCACCCCTCCCGCGATGAAAACCACTCTGTCCAATGCCCGGCATTCTTCTTGGTTCAACGTTGGCGGCGGGTAGACGAAATTCCCACCCACGCGGAATGTCATCGCTGAGTCGAGGATTTGTTGCGCAGCTCGCCAGAGGTATGCCGCCGGTGGGTTTGACGGAGAGGACTGGATAGCCAGCTCTATGTGCGGGTCATCTTGAGACGGGGAAGACGCTTGAGGCGGCGAAGTGATGGTGAAGCCACCCACAACGTCGATGTTGGGGATGTACAGGTCTATGTATTGACCCGGAAGATGGCGGAGAGGTGGCTACTAGAATTGTTGTCCATGTGAGCCGCGGCGTCTTCTTGGGAAAAGGCAAGAGACATCTGGGTAGTCAACCGAAACTGGGAACGATCTCGAAGAAAACAGTCATAAGCCATTGGACACTGTGCAGCTTCCCTTACTGGAAAATAAAGCAACGCAGAGCGGCTCGACCATATATCTCAAAAGCATGCATTTCTTTTCCGAACATGGGACAGATGGTCGTACGGGGAGAGAGATTCTTTATGACATGATGGAAAAGGGCACATACTCCATCTCTTTGCAGGCTCAGTCTCAGCAACCGGATCTTGGAATTGATATGTCCGATCTTGCTCAACCGGGCTGGCCATATGCCCTTTTGCCGGGGATCCTCAGCGGTCCTGATGATATGGGGTACCGAGTCTTTCACGGTGGCCATGCTTCTCGAGCCTGTATGAAGAGAAAGGAAAGATGTGAGAGCGAGAGTCCAGCGGAGACGCTTGAACGTTGGTTCGACAGCTCGTGCCCCACATGAAAGGGATTTGGCAAGGGAGTTCATGAGACGGTAATAAGAGAATCGTGGCAACGCCTGATTGAGCTCATTATGTTCTAAGGCTGTATATGAGAGGAACTGGTTGAAGTTGCTCAGTGCGAGTGGAAGTTGAAGGGTTGAGCGCGAGCGAGTGACGGTGTCAACAGCGTGGATACGGAATGACCCCGCCTGCGTACATATATCCACGCAAAACTGCGGCGAGTTGATATCAACCACAAGCAGCACATCCTGACACAGAAGACAGGCTGTATCTAGGGTATTTCAAGTGTGGCTGAAGAGGAGATAGGCGCCACCATTCCAGCCGTCGTTATAGATGTAGACAATAGCTATAACATCGTCATTATGAAGGGCCACAGAGATACTCGGAGCACAAGACGGTCAACTCGAACGCAAGGTTAGAGATTGCTAGATGTACTTTATTGGTACAAGAGTTTATGTAAGTCTTCTATTGTTTCGTCTGCTTTTGCTACGAGGCAAGAACAAGGCAACCGGTGAACAAAACCTGTCGCCTGCGCTCTGTCACGAGCCGGTCTCTGCCCGACGACATCTGTGATGACCATCCTGGAACAGGCCACGCTATTATTTCCAGCCTTTCTGATATTGAGGGTCTTTGAAACATCTGTGACGTGCTTCTTCATCTATTGGCTCTTGCATCTTGATCCAGCTGCGAGCCTACGCTCTTGATCATGTCCCTCCCAATCCCTGGTTCCAGTGTCGAAATTCGCAGATACCTGGTTGATCGAGGCGATGGCCTGAACAGACGGCTGACTGTGGATAGTAGGATAAAGTGCCATAAATTGGCGGTATGTTAAAGAGGAATTTCGCGAGCACCAGGCGGGATGGCATCGAAGTGCTCTGTCGTGTTAGCATAGCTGTAGATATGTACACCAAGAAGGCACGAAGCAAGCAGGTGTCAGTGATTCACCTTCAGATGTCTATTCATATCACGACCAGCGGTAAAGCGTTTTCATCGATTGGGTAGAAGCCATACCTTTTTCTTCATATGAGCTTAGTATTGGTCTGTCGGCTCAGCCGACCAGCAGCATGTATCATTCAGCAACGAGCCATCAGATATGGGCATCAATTGCATCGTAATCATCGGATAGACTTATGTGGGCACCGACTCTCTGATGAAATCTTGATGGATGAACGGCTAGGCCCCGTATCAAAGGAATATGTTCCAGAAGCTAGGTGGCGACAAATTTTTCACATGGCGACGATATGTACCACGACTTCCATTAAATGAGCATGTAATAGTCCAGAACATGTGTGGACTCGACCGAGAATGTTCTGAGATATTTCTCTTTATGGGTCTCCGTTCGTACCAATGCTTTTGAGGGTATATCATGGCCAGCGCAGGACGAGAGGCTGCAGCAATGAGGGGCAGTGATGGGTGCACCCGAAGGGGAAGGGTAGGAGTCGAACCGCAGCTGGTAGTCTCACGAAGAGGGCTCAAGAGCTGTCGGGGGGGATCGCCATGTAAATGAAGGAGAAGATATCCCTCGTCGTAGTTGGTTTGATGATATACTGGATGATATGTTGGACGAAGGACGAAGCGATGGGATGAGTTGCGGTTGCATCAGACTCGGCTGGTCAGAGCAGCGCCGAGATGCTCCAATTTAGTGGCGGCGACACGGCAGGGACTTTCTCTCTGTCAACCTCACTCCTGCCAATACATCCCCCACGGCACGTCCAGTCTGATAATGCACTCTGGTCGACCTACACCCCCTTTGCGAACGGCGTGGAGGATCAAGGGCAAGACCTGGACAGGCTGGACCGGCCAGCTGAAAGAGTTTGCGATATTAGTGGAGCATATCATACCACCAAGGTCAGGGAGGGCGCACCAGGTAACCGATACCTCTCACACCCAGTCTGCCCGCCTTCACCCTGACAATGCTAATGCTATACAGTCCCCCATTAAAAGACCAATTTCGATCATTTTATTTACTTCCTGACCCGTCTTTCCACATATTGCCCCTGGCAGTCGTCAATATCAAATCCCTCGTTGATGACCATATGACTTTATGGCGGCAGCAATAGCAATATCAAACACCAAAGATATCATGTCTACCACAATACTTGGCGTTGATGTGGCAAAGGTGTCGATTGCAGCTGGTTCAAGGTATGCTGGCTCGCTTTGTGCGTCTTGGACGTAGCAGAGGATTCGTCATGGTGGTGTTTTTGATACTGATCAAGCCCAGTCATGATCAAACCATGCATGACTATTCGGACGACGATTCTGTCATCAAGATGGAAGATGACTCGGACGATGCTTCATCAAGCGGCCCAGCCTCAGTCTTACGAAGCCTGCAGCTGGAAAGCGAGAACCGAGACTCTCCCAATAGCTCCATGACCTCGGGTTCTGTCACCTCTTCGACCGCAGAACCAAAGACTAAAATCACACTCAAAATCGAATCCAAGTCTGAAAACTCGAACAATGTAAGCCCGTACATGTTCATGAAAGCCGCGACCACCTGCCGACCCAAGTCGTCCATTCCTCCGAGGCTATCCCCTTCCGAGTATGCCAGTCAGTGTGTGGCAGCCGCCGAAGCCTCGAGGCTCGACCCGTATGCCTTGCACGAAGATGAGCATAAGTTGTTGCAAGACAAGTTGTGCTACTCTCACGTCACGGTATATCTGAATATACGGAATGGCATTCTCAGGTTGTGGTCCCGAAATCCAAGCGTAAGCGTCAACCTTGATGAGGCGATTGGTTGTGCAAGAGATGAGAGATGGACCCGTCTTGCTTGCTTTGCATACGAATGGCTCGTGCGACGAGGCTACATCAATTTTGGATGCGTCGAGTCACCCTTCATCAACCGAAGTGTCGGTCGTGGCCGTAAGAAGGAACCGTCACGGGAGACCATTGTAGTCATTGGAGGTGGCATGGCTGGTCTCAGTACCGCACGCCAGCTCACCAACCTGTTTCGGCACTATCCTGATCGTGCTCCTCCAAAGATCATTGTCTTGGAAGGCCGTGACAGGATAGGTGGACGTATCTACTCACACCCACTTACCAGCATGCGATCATCCAAGCTCGCCTCTCATCAGAGGCCTACGGCCGAGATGGGTGCACACATCATTGTCGGCTTCGAACGCGGTAATCCTCTCGACACTATCGTTCGTGGGCAGCTTGCTCTCGAATACCACCTCCTACGAGACCTCTCGACCCTCTACGACATCGATGGCACACCTGTCAACGGTGTGAACGATGCAATGATTGAAAGATTATACAATGACATTCTCGAGCGTACCGGTCATTATCGACTCAAACATACTGTCAAGAGAACTGCACCAGGTGACAAGGATCTGATTGAGGCGGGACGTGATCCTCCAGACGAGGACGGAATCACCATCAAACAGTTTGAAGAAGCCACTGCATTGGGCACAATCGACCAGCTTTTGCCAAATAAGAAATCAAAAAGACGTGGCGCAGGCCACCGCGCTGCAAAGGGAGACAAATCGTCGGAAGAAGTGGATACAAGCATGGAAACCAAAATGCAACTTCCCGCGGCCCAAGCAGCCAAGGAGTTTGGGTTTCTGTTGCGAAAAACAACTCAGATGCATGAGACGCTCGAGCTAGATGGTCTTGCTTCGGAGCTCAACCAATCACTCGGCGCTGTCATGAATGCTGGTGTTGACCAGTATCAGAAATTCCTTGACCTCAAGCCCTATGCCCTTCGACTGATCAACTGGCATTTCGCCAACCTCGAATACGCAAATGCTGCCAACGTCGACAAGTTGAGCCTCCGTGGCTGGGACCAAGACATTGGCAACGAGTTCGAAGGAGAACATGCTCAGGTCGTTGGTGGTTACCAGCAGGTTCCGCGTGCATTATGGCGCCATCCGGAGCCTCTCGATGTTCGAACCCGAAAGCCTGTTAAGAGCATTCGATATAGTGCTGTGGGCTCGCAGGCGAAAGCCACTATCACTTGTGAGGATGGACAGTCGATTGAAGCGGACAAGATCGTGTTTGCTGCACCACTTGGGGTGCTGAAAGACCAATCAATTCAATTTGACCCGCCTCTGCCTCAGTGGAAGCGCGACGCCATCAGAAGGATGGGTTTTGGATTGCTCAATAAAGTTATCCTCGTGTTTGAGAAACCCTTCTGGGATATCGGCAGAGACATGTTTGGTCTCCTGCGAGCTCCTCGGAATGGACAGGGCACCCACCAGAGAGACTACAAGGAAGGTCGCGGACAGTTCTACCTGTTCTGGAACTGCATTGACACAAGTGGACTTCCCGTCCTGATCGCTCTGATGGCTGGCGAGGCGGCACACGAGGCCGAAAGGCTCGGCGATGAGATCCTCGTTGGACAATGCCTTGAGCAATTACGCAATGTTTTTGGCGCCAACAATGTTCCGATGCCGCTGGAGTCAATTGTTACTCGTTGGGGCTCGGATCGTTTCGCTCGAGGGACTTATTCTTATGTCGCAGCTGAAGCAAGGCCCGGCGACTATGATCTCATCGCCGCGCCTATACAAAATCTTTTCTTTGCCGGCGAAGCCACGATTGCAACTCATCCGGCAACCGTTCACGGTGCATATTTATCTGGCCTTCGCGCCGCCCACGAGGTCTTCGAATCAATTGTGGGACCGATAGCTGTCCCACCAACACTGGTGCCCGCGGCCAGCGCAAAGAAATCAGGCGCTGCGGTCGAACTAAAACTCATGGAAACTCACATGGCACAAGCTGGTAAGAGAAAGGGCGACGAACTACTCCCTGCCGGCACCTTCACACGGCCTGTCAAGGAGAAAGACAATGCGCTGCATGAAGCTTGGGACGCAGCCATGTGGGTCCGCATTTATGATGACTTGGGTCCTCCACCAGTCAAACCAACAAAAGCGAATGTGAATTCTTTCCTCCTCTACTCTGGAGAGCATTGGGAAGAGGTCAAGAATCGTCTTGCAGAAGAACGAAAGAGGAGCGGCAAGAAAACCAAGCAATCAGAGCGCGATCAGGTGCGAGTCGAGCTTGGGAAGATGTGGGCGGCGCTCTCAGAAGAAGAGAAGAAGCCATACACTGACCGCACGAACAAGAATCGCGAAGACAACGAAATGGCCATGAAGGAATGGTCAATCAAGGCCGCAGAATGGGATCGACGCACGTGGGAAGTTAAAGACGTGTGGATCAAGGAAGGCAATAGTTTTGAAGAGTTTTGCAAGCGGAAACGGGAGGATGAGGCAGCGATGGATGCCGAGGCAGCAAAACGAGCAAAGGTCTAAAGTTAGTGCACAGATACGTTTGCACCGTCGTTGGGATGGCTCGTGGAGAACCCGAGGCATTACAAGGCTGAAGATCCAACCATGGGGACGCAGCCATTGGCATTCTGCTATGGACTTGATGGGGACCAAGACTTTCGGGTATTGATATCGGCGACTGACAGGTAGATCAAGCGACACACAGCCAATAAATATTGCATGTTGCCGACTCATACCTGCAGCCAAAACGTTGAACATCTCTCGCAACAAACTCAGCCTCGTCGCCTTGTACAGCCTCGCCGTACTTGGGGTTGCCGATATCGGCTGCACCCCAGAATCCGAAAGGGTGGGGTCACCAAGGTTGACTCACATGAGATGTCAAATAGTACCTCGCCAGGCTCATCGTATGCGGAAGTCCTGCGAATACGTCTGGCCATCGTCCATCTGCATTGCATCGGAGGCCAGAGAGATAAGGGTATCCGATCCGGGATCCATGAGACGTGGGATCTAAATCGTTATTTCACCAAACCTTTTTCGCGGGACTTCAGACCGACTTCCCTTTCCCCTCTATTGCTCTCTCCGTCACCATTACTCCGATTGTTCTCCATCTTACGTTTCAGGCGGGACATAGGCCAATACACGCCATCTCTCATCACTCTTCCATGATCAATACGGAATCCAAGAAGTGAAACCTAGAGACAAAGCAAAATGGGCCAGTTCTACGAAACATTCCCACCCTCGCTCGTCCAATGGCTCCTGGAGCAAAAGGTCTTTTACATCGCCTCGGCCCCCCTGTCGGGCGATGGGCACGTCAACGTGTCTCCTAAGGGCGTCTCGGACAAGGGCGGGCCGTTCTTTGGCGTCCTCAAGGAGCCCAAGAACGGCTCGCCCGCAGCGGACAAAAGAGTCGGCGAGGACGACGAGGAGAAAAAGGCGACAAACGACAAGAACATCGTCATCCGCAAGTTCTGGTACATGGACCTGACAGGCTCGGGCATCGAGACGACCTCGCACCTGCATGAGCCGGGCAACGGGCGCATCACCGTCATGTTCAATGCGTTCTCGGGCCCGCCGCGTATCTTGAGGATTTTTGGCAAAGGTGAGTACAAAGTCTTGGATTGACGTTGAGCAAGTACGCGATCAGGCATGTATACAGAGCACGAGGAAGTGAGATGGAAGGAGAGGAGGCTTGGATGCCTTCTTTGTCGCCTACAGCTTCCTCACGGGTCATCCTCCCTCTCTTAGGTCAAACATGCCCATCTCGAGTTAAACACATGGCGATCCAGCTCAACTGACTCATCAATTCCCTTCTCTCCGGAACAGGCACGCCCTTGGAGTACGGCACGCCCGCCTTCAACGACATCGTCTCGTCCCAGAACATCACCATCATCCCCGGCACGCGCTCCATCATCCTGGTGGACATCCACCAGGTGGGCACGTCGTGCGGCTTCTCCATGCCGTGCTACGATTTTGTCAGTTTCCGCCCGACGCTCAACGACTTTTTCGAGAAGCGCGTCGCGAGCGAGAGGGCCGGGAAGAGGGAGGACGGGATCGAGAGGTTCGTGCTCTCCTTTATTCTTCACTGTTCTCTCTGAAATACTTCTTTTCCCTTTCTCCACTATGCTCTCTCTATGATGTCGATTGTCTTCTCCCAATCGCGACTCCATCTCTCTTTTTGTCCCCCTTTGTCGAGGTCAAGTTCCGACTAAACCCGCCGCTTACCCCCGCAGGTACTGGGCGCACAAGAACGCATGGAGCATGGACGGCCTGCCCGGCCTGCAGCGGGGCGTCAAGACCGCGCTGACCGACGACGTGAAGCCCATCAAGAAAATGGTTGGGCCGTACGCACCGCCCTCCAACGGGGGTGGTCGATCGCGGAGGCCGACCGGCGCGTTTGCCCCGGGCCATCTGATCCTTGTGGCCATCCTGAGCTCGCTGACTACAGCTATCCTAGTCCTGGTCCTGTTGAGAGTCAAAGGTGAGCAAAGAATCATGTTGGGGAGAGGGGTGTGGGGATGAAAAGCGTCGTAAAGAGTTGAATCGTGACAAATGCATCAGAGGGGAAGTTACGATAATGGAGGAAAATGCGCAAAGCAGACCAAGCAGACTCGTTGGACAAAAAGGAATTGGAGGAATTGGGTGGATGAATCGTGTAAAACCTTGAGCAGATATCATATGTTCTGCAAAGGTTGCCATCGCTAATTGAATATAAACCAGCAAAACTCCCGCTAAAGCTGAATACTATACAAAATGAATAGAATATTAGCTAACCCCCCTGAAAGCCCTTCCCTCAATCTCTGATCAGAGAGGCTGAAGTTGCTGCACCAACTCTTTGCAATGTCCAGTTGTCAGAGATATCTTGACATCACCATTGCCACCCAGAGGCGAGCTGCTCATAGTATTCTCGGCGGCTCGTGTCACAGCGGGACGGTCATCCTGGGACTGATTGTGGGATTTCTTATTATTTCGCGAATTCGACAAATTCGTGAATAAAAGATCCAATCAGGCATAGTCCCTTTAGACGCCTTGCCTTAAGTAAGCGGGCGAAACAAGGCTAGCATTGGGGGCGGCGTGATCTCGTGGCGTCGACGTGCTTTTGAGAAAGTCCCGTGAGGGATGCAATTCTCTCCTGAAGAGCACGTTCCTAGCCTGGACCATTGATCATGGGACCCTGTGCCCATGATGTGGGGTACTAGCAAGAGATACCAGACGCGGATTTCTGGCATTCAGCCTTTCTTATTCCCCATTTCGGAATTGTCCTGTACCAATTGGCACACGGCCACTGCGTTCCTGCCCACCCAGTCCAGCTCATAAAAGAGCGAATTGGGCTTATCTCTGGACCGACGTAACATCCGGTGATTTGGGTTGTGTGTTTTGCTGCTCTTTTTATTTCGCCGTCGCAGTGATTTCCGTTCAATTCGGCCGTGGAGAGCTTTGGACCTCGGGAATAAGTTTTCAACGAGATATGGTTTGTAGTGGTTGGTTTTGGGATTCGGCTCAGGGGTGTGCTCTGAGGTTGTCCAGTCCTCGTCACTGGAAGGAGGCGTGGGGCTGAGGGTGGTACGCTCGAGGTCGCGTGGGTCGAGGAGGGCGAAATGACCTTCAAGATACAGGTTGTAGGAGTTGCGTCTGAGGAATCTCGGTGTTTCTCTGGTTTGTTCGAGAGTGTCTAATCGTGACTGCAGCTGTGTGGCAAAGAGGTGTGCTGTCTTCTGTTCCAGGAAGCCGCGGATGCCATCGTCTGGGATGACAGACGGCGAACGCGTCCTTCCTTCTCTCCAGCCGCTATCATCCAACATCGGGACAGACTCTTTGTGGCATCAGGTGTAGAGGGAGTGGGTGAGAGGAAGTTGTCGTTGTGTTGAAGTGCGGCAAATGTCGTTGTCGCACCCGCCCAGCCACTGCGCGGCACGTGCACCGGGTGCCAAGCCGGCAAGCACGGGAAACTCCGGTTCTGGCCGAGCGCAAATGCGACTCGGCGGCTCGTCGACTCGTTTGTCCATTGTGGACGAGCACAACAACTGAGCATACAAGCATTTGGCTGGTTTCTTCGTCGAGTCCTGTTCCCTGGCCAGCAGTTGATGAGGATCGTCACAGAGTCACGATGCAGGTATAAATCACGCCATGAAATGATGCTGAAGCGATAGCCAGGGCGGTACACCACGAGCCTTCGTGGTGCGTCTGCCTATTTGCACTCGACGCCTTTTGCGAACAGCATTCCTATATAAACAACGGGTCTCCCCCAAAGACAACCTACGCCCTTCTCCCTCCTGGGCATGTCATATGCAAGATGGCTGAGGCGGACATTGAGGGTCCTGAAACCCTGCCCAACACGCCAGATACAGTGCCCCTGGATGACCACTTCTTCAGCCCTAGAACCCGCGCAAGGCTGCAGGGCGACTTCGCTCGCCTGGTCCCTGTCAATCACGCCGCCGTGCTAGCATTTCATTCAATCGCCGAGCGGGCGAGGCTTGAACCTGACTGGAACCCTCACATTCGCAAGTTCCTTTTCATCGAGGAAACCGCCCGGCAGCTGTCTCCTGAATGGGATGGTAGTGACGCCTCCAGTGATACGACAGGCGGGCACCCTGCTCAAGTGCTGATGGGCTACTACCGACTTAGCTTGGAGATTTTGACCAACCACACTAGACTCGGCTGGGTTATTGGGAGTGGCAGAAAGGATCTCGTCAATGGTGGCGTTGATTTCCTATTGACCCTCCAGAAAAACAGACACCACGTCCACGGTCGACATGCTCGGCTGGTCCACCATCCTCAAAATGGTGCGTTGATGCTCGTTGTTGGCAAAGGCAAGGTTGTTCTTGTCAATGGTATTGAACGACTCGATGGCTCACAGCGAGTTCTTGGGTCTGTGCGTACTGCCCTGTCCTTCGGCAACCTATCCTACAACCTGGAGTTTACGGGCCTGAATGAAAATAATTATCGGGAAAAGCTAGGAGAGCTGTTCACCAAGCTTCATCCTGATGGTGACGTGCCTCCAATGTCTCTTGAATTGACACCTCTTGAGCACCATCATGAACTGCACGGGTTTCTCATCCATTCTCCGTTCGCATCTGGTGCCAGCGGTGTGGTTTCTGCGGGCTTTGAAAAGTCTACCGGCCAGGCAGTCGCCGTCAAACGTGTCAAGCGTACGCCAGCGACCGTCGCCCGAATCCAACTTGAAATCCAAATTTACAAGAAAATAGGAAACCATGTGAGTACTCCCGTCAATCTGTGGCGTGCAATTACTTACGTAGGAAGCCCAATCTCTGCCATTTAATGGCTGATCTATATTCTGGAGGCGATGAATACAGCACAGGCAAGTCCAAGATCAATGATGTCTACCTGGTCCACTCTCCGCTAGCCAGACAGACATTCCTTGACTTGACCCTCTCGAAAAGGCCGTATGAAGTTCGCATGTCTGCCTTTCACCAAGTTTTGAAAGGACTTGCCCATCTTCACCAGCATGGTATCATGCACAGAGACCTGAAGCCCACGAATATGATGATCGTCTCGTACTCACCTATACACGCAATTATTATTGATTACGGGAGCGCCACTTTCGATGCTACTTCGACGGACCACTACTGCGGAACCATCGCGTATCTTGCGCCGGAAATTCTCAAGCTCAAGTATCAAAATGTGACTCTGAACCCGGAACCCTATGATTGTCGCGTGGATGTTTGGGCCATGGGACTTTCGGGCTATCAGCTTTTCTTCCAGCAGCCTTGCAGGTGGGAGAAAGGTGTCAGCAGCGCCACTCATACAGATATCATACAGACCTTGAAATCCCGACCAGCGCCTATCGCTGACGTGCTCGAGAAGATGCTTTCGTGGCAACGTGTGCATCGCCCTCATGCAAACGAGCTGCTTCGGTCCAAGGTTTGGTCCAGGCTTGTCGACGACGCTGAAGCCCCAAACATCGACATTTCTGCACCTTCGCATGTCCACAAAAAGGTGAAGAGGTGAGGTTCGTGGACCGGCGAGATTTTCCAGGTTACTCTGAAGCCATGTCCCTGAATCCCTTTCAATGGGTTTGGGACTGTCAGTTGCGACTACACGAGCAAGACAGTGTAGCATTCCCAATTTTCGGGAAGGCTTCCTGCCGTTCAGCCCACGTGCAGATAACTTTCCACTGTTTTGAAAGCGATCATTTACGTCTTCAAACACGTAGACTCAGCACCAGTGTCTACGGCAAAGCCTTTATGATCACAGCCACAGCACCCTCGGGTGGCCGTGAGGAGTGCCTGGAGTGGTTTCTCGGGAATATTTTACAGGACAGATGGAGAGGATCCTGAGTCGCTTCCCCCTTGAACTCTGCCAGTTGAAATACGAGGTATTTCTATCTTAACTGAGACATTAAAGCCTGGGCAGCTATTCGCCGCTTCCCGATTCACGAAGCAAAGATCTAGCCAACTTTCAGCCGGACACTCTCGTGAGTGAATGACAGTCGCCCCCTCCTTGGAGGAGAAGCATACTTGCAGCCTGAGGTCTTCTTACGGTCAAGAGTATCTGTCGTGGCAACCAGAGCAACGACAGCCGGCGCCCAGCAAATCAGGGTGGTGGCAACCTGTGCCTCGCCCATGGTTGGCTCCGATACAGAGACATTCGATAGACATTCATCTATCACGGTTACACATCGCCCCCATGTTGTCACATGTGATATAGTGTCAAAACAGGGCACCTGGCTCAAGAAAATTGCTGTTAACGCCACCGTACAGTCGAAAGTCGCAGTCTGAATCACTAACTCGGCCGCTTTTGAATCTCCCCTTGCTTGGCCTCAAGATCTGACATAGATTGCTTGAATCTAGAGAAGTCTATTGATGAAGTGGCAAGAAACGCTCATAAGAAGACACAAATCGACAGATCAATTGCTGCAGTTGTTGAAGTGTTACTAGTTCAACGGGTTGAACGGAAACTTCACCGGAACAAGGACGAAATCAAGTGCCTCGACATGACAACTCCAGCGAGATCACTAGGTGTCAACGAGATTCGCTTAGTGGGCATTCGAGAAACCGATGGCGTTGCTGCATACTCGTTGGCGACATCGGTATATCCCATAGCTGAAAATCGACCGTACACCGCCCTCTCCTACGTCTGTGGAAACACGGAACCTGAGGGATCCGACAAACCTGAAGCGTCCGATAGACATGACGAACCTCACCAATTCGAGGGACCCAAAATCTTTATAGACGGGGTGGAGAAACCAATATACGAAAATTTATACAATGCGCTGCCCTCGCTCTTTACCTTTTCTCAGAAGGACCGGGGTGGTGGGAAAGAGGAAGCACACTTCTGGATGGATCAAATTTCTATCGATCAGAATGACGAGCAGCAGAAAGCAAATCAAATGCTTCACATGACGGATATCTACTCTCGAGCAGAGAGAGTCTTGATCTGGCTCGGCCCAGTCAGCGAGAATCTCAAAGCTCTATTGCAAACTTTCGCCGAAGTCATCGGTCCAGGGGCACGACGAGCTGGCATTCTAAGTATAGGGCCAGAGCTCGCCACCAGCTGGCCGGCCTTCCGAAACAATCCTGATCTTAGACCTGTGCGTAGGCAGGTTGTGCGCTTCTTCTCCTCTGAACCCTTCCGACGCGCATTTGCGACCAGGCTCGACATGTTGCTAGCCTTCGAGGCGCTGACATGGAACAAATGGTTTGCACGTACCTGGACCATCCAAGAACACACCGTGTCTACTTCCACGGTTTTCGCGCTGGGTGTTGACACCTTTGTTGATGGTGACGATTTCATGGCATCGATCCTTTGCTGCACACTATGGTCTATAAACACAGCACGACCCTTGATGCAGTCCCGTTTTCTGCCACTGCGGCTGTTTCGGTTTGCACTGCTTTGGTATTACGAGAAGCCTGGGCTCTTCGACTACTTGATCGATACCGTGCGGTTGAAAGATCCCGATCGGCCCAGGGGGTGGAACTCCCGAGCAAGTACCATGCTTGGTGAGAGACGCAAGCGCCTGAGGGCACAAGACGGCGACCACACACAGACAAGCTTGAAGGCTTGCCTCGTGCGTACCTTCATCCCAGAGTCGACCGAAGCTTCGGAGTGCACCCGGGAGATTGATCGAATCTGGGCGCTGTTCGGAATGTGCACGGACCGCAGCATACTCGAAACAGGAGGCTTCCCACTGAACTACAAAGTGCCTTGGAGAGAGGCGTACCGTGAGGTTTCGAGAACACTGATTCGCCTCGGTCATACGGATATCTTGGGAATCGAAAGGAAAGGGGAAGCAGGGAGCGCTCAGACCAACATGTCCCGCAACGAGACACAGCTACCCTCCTGGACGGCGGACTGGTCTGTCCCACTGAGACGGCCACTATGCGGACTCCTAGAGGATGGCCTCTTCAAAGCCGCAACCCATCTCCAAGTTAGCCTAGGCGAGCAGCGTCCACGCGTCTCGAGCGGCGAAGACAATACCCTCACGATCCAGGGGTACTGTCTGGGGCCCATTCGAGCGGTGGGAACCGTCTTCACCACATCCAAGCCCGACAGCGAGCTCGACTACGCCCAGGCCGAGATCTACCTGCGAGAGATCGCGGCCTTCGTGGAGCAATCAACCCTCATCCCCGCGCGGCTCAAGGCCCACGCCAAAGCCTACATCCCCGTGCACGGCCTCGAGTACAACTATCTCGCCATCGCGCGCCGCGCGGAGCCCACCAGCGTGCAGCGCGGCTACGATGACATGAAGAAATGCGCGGTCCGGGGCGCTGGGCCGCGCTTTGTGATCAGCCAGGAACTTCTCTCGTACAAGGCCTTCATGGAGCGGTGTCTGGGCAAGCGTCCCTTCATCACGGCGCGAGGCCACGTCGGGCTGTGTGCCGGCCCGGCTGAGGCGGGCGATGTCTTGGCCGCCCTCGCCGGGGCTCCTGGGCTGGTCATCTTGAGTGGATCGGCGGCGGCGGCGGTGGCGGTGGCAGCAGCAGCAGCAGGAGGTGGTCAAGACCACGCAACAACCCACAGTGAGGACGTCGGCGCCTTTGAGGTCGTGGGTGAAGCGTTCGCGTATGGCCTTATGGATGGGGAGATGGCTGCGATGGAGGACCTGGAGGAGACTCGCTTCGTGCTTTGCTGAGCTCACGGCATGCCGCATATATTTCCTAGAGACAATACATACCCCTGTAGGCGAGATGCTTGCATGGCGGAGCCTCAATCCAGCGTGATCATGTTGAAAGGTGTCACTTCAGGTGAAAGAGAGGGAGACAGTAGATTTTGTGCTCCGGTGAGGAAAGGACGCACTATGTGAGCCAGGACATCAATATCACAGGGGAAGCAGTAAAGAAAGACTCCAATATAGAAATATACACTTCGAAAGGAAGCAATGGTCTGGGAAGAGCTCTCTCTCCTTCCTATGGAAATACTTCACAACACTTTATAGCCGGCTCTTCAGCTCTGGACCCGGCCACCAGTCCTGCACTTTTTCCATGACCCAGCCGGTGATGCCCGAGTTCACTTCCTCGGGACACTCCAGGTTGCCCCAGTGGCCAGCCTGGATGACGAACTGGGTCAGATCGCGGCAGTGGTCCCTCATGGCCTGGGCGCACTTGGGGTTGTCGACCGTCTGGCAGACGGCGTCGTAGGCGGTGTGGACGAAGAGGACGGGCATCTTCAGCACGCCGTGGTCCACGCTCTTCTCGAGCGTGTACTTGCGGTTGGCCGCGTGGTTCAGGTACCAGGCCGTGGCGCCCTTCCAGCCGTTCTTCTTGACGCTGGCAATCAGGGCGTCGTAGATCTCCTGGTCCAGCACCGTCCTTTCCAGCGGGAGGTCCGGGGTCGGGGCGTCGGGCCCGCCGAACCAGCCCTTGTGCTTGGTCACCTGGGCGGTGCGGGCTCGTTCGTGGCCGCTCTGCGGGCTGCCTCTGGAATACACCAGTTTCAGGTAGCGCGGCGCATTGGACTCGAACTGCTTGTCGACCGCCTTGGGCTCCTGCTCGTAGAAGACCTGGTAGTCCCACTGGCCGTAGGGGAACTCGCCTTCCGGGTACAGGTCGCGGTCGACGAGGTCGAGCAGCGCCGGCAGACCCATCTCAAGCGTGCGGTACGGGACAGAGATGCCCACGATCGCGCGGCATACCTCTGGGTGGTGGCTGGCCAGGGCGTACAGGGGCCCGCAGCCCCAGTCATGGCCGACCCAGAGGGCCTCCCTGCGGCCCAGGTGCTTCAGCAGCTCCAGCAGATCCGGAACGATCTTCTCCAGCGCAAATTCGCTCGGGTCGTCGCTCGTCCAGGTGCCCCCGTACCCGGGCATGTCTGGGGCCACGCAGTAGAAGCCCAAGCTCGACAGTGAGAGCAATTGGGGTTTCCATGTCAAGGCGATCGCCGGCCAGCCGTGGAGGAAGACCACAAGGGGTCCATTGGAGGGGCCGGCGGTGAGGTAGGTGTATGGCTTTGCGGTAGCTGGGGAGGTGAAAGTGTGGGATGTGATAGGAGAAGACATTTTTGTTTCCCTCTCGGCGGTGGTGGTATCCGTCGGGCGACAGATGGGTGTAATGTTGTCGTCCTCAGGGGGATTTGCTGCGGATATATGTATAGTTAGTTGTACCCTGTGTTTGCCCAAGTGGATTGGTCACATTGGCGAATGCAAGTGACTGAACACAGACGTAACTCCCCCTCCGCCGAATCGGACGACGTTTTGTACCGAGTGCACTGGTATCCACGACATGCTCTCACTCGCCCGTGGGAAAGTAGTTGTAAGCAAGTAAGCATCCAAGCAAACCAAGCCTCGGCTTTGCTGTCCCCTATGACTCCGCCTCCGGTTCTCTCCCAGCTCTTGGGTGTCACTTTACGCGCGAGTCCAGCCGCAATGACGACCAGGAGGGGTGTCTGGGCAAGCTTGCAAAGCCAGGCACCCCGGTGTGATTACTGATCTTGGACATGTCTGAACAATCGCAGCATGGTGGGAGCTTGAGTGTGTAGGTGGGCATGGAGAGACCAATGAAGGATTACACGACGATATGGTCAGATGGGGATCGATCCTTCATCGATGCTCTGGGATGGGTTTCGTATGTCGGAGGAAGTCAAATGGATACGCGTAGGTAGGTAGGTATGCGGAGTAGGTGAAGAGCAATGCAATCGATTCCCTCGATCCATGCACAAATCTTGCTGTACGAGTCTCCGACTGCGGATGTGCCGGTTGACGCTCCGCCCAGCAGTGCCCCAGGTCGGATATGAGAGAGAGTTTGCCATCAGATTGAGTAGGGTGTTCTGCTTGGGAGGGGAGTGTCAGTCACAGGTGTACGCCATCTCTCGCGAATACGCCGAGCTTCATAGGGCAGACACTTCGTCAGCATATACCAATTGCCTAAAACTGGGTCTCAAGGGGAGTTGGGGGAAGGATTTACATAGGAAGCCGGGGACAAAAAGGTCCGATCAACTGGTCAGAGGGAATAATACAGTGCGTGCCTAAGCATGATGCATGAGGCAGCCCCTGGTGGGTTTTATCTGGGGAGCTGGTAGAGATGTGCACAGAGGTGTGGAGAGGTGGCGACAGAGGCGCTCTAGGTACCGTCCAGTTCACCGCGGGCCGCCTGGAGCGGTTCACTAGTGACCGGTGCCTGCGGGGGCCACTGGGTACCTAGGTGCGCAGTAGGCTTTAACTAATTGCTGCCAGATAGGCGGGCCGCCGACGGCTGTGCCTGCGTTAGAACCCCAAAGTCAACTTCTGACTTCAGCCAGTTGGCCCGCATGATGGGGAGCGAGAGATGATCATGAAGCCATCTTGTCGATCCTGGGTCCTCTGATACCTCATGAGTATCCTGAAGGTTTGTCATTGGTAGTTAGTCTATCGAAAAAGACCTTTGGCTCAATCAAGGTCCATGAGACGCATGCAGCCAAGGTATATCTGGTGAAATCAAAAAGTGAAGAAAGAAATCATGACACCGGCCTTCACATCCCCTTCCTTTCCCAGGGGTTTGGACATTCAGGGTATAGATGACTGCTCAAAAGCCGTCCATACCGAAAGGACTGAGACACTCCATCCTCAACAAAATCGCAATTCCGGTAGATCTTCGTCACCGTTGCTCTTATCCACCAGCAATATCCTCAGCGTCTATATCCACGGCGACGCTCTTGCTAACGCTCTGTTGAGGCCATCTCTTCATAAGCTACCCCTCCTAGGGAATGCTACTCCTTCGACCGCTGCATCATCTGTGAACCAGCTCACTTTCTCCCCGCCTCCCTCATTGACAAGTCCACAAGGCAAGCTCCTTCCCTCGTCATCCGCTTCCAGGATCTTCTTCAGAATGTCCCTCTTCCCACCTCCTGTGGCCACGAATGCGATCTTGTGGGCGTGCGTCAATACGGGCAAAGTCAAGGTAATTCTTCGAGGCGGCGGTTTTGGGCTGTCTTCGATCGCAGCCACCCAGGCATCTGCTTCCCGCAGAAGTTCGTGGCCAGGGAAAAGGCTGCAGGTGTGGCCATCCGGCCCACAGCCCAAGAGGATCAGGTCAAAGATTGGCAGTTTCACGGAGTCCTTGCTGGCAAATATTGACATGAGGACTTCTTGGTACCGGTCCGCCAGCTCTTGGGTATTGTCGAGTTGCGACACATCGATAGGATGGATAGCGGGCGTCCCTTGCTCGGGGGGAATCTTATCGAGAAGGTCCTTCTTCAGGAGACCATAGTTGCTCTCCTCGTGGTCAAAAGGCACGGCTCGTTCGTCGGCGAAGAAGATTTGCCATTTCGAGTATTGGGGTGCGAGTGCGGGGTCTTCGTGGCGACCTGGCTTGAGGAGCGCCTTTGCGAGAGTCGCGGGAAGACTGCCGCCTGAAACGGCGACTTTAAAGCTATCGTGTCGGTGAAAAGCCGCCTTTTGGCAGGCGAGGATGTAGATGCGCAGATGCGCAGCAACCTCGTCGACCGTGGGGTAGCTAAAGAGGTTGGGTTGTTTTCCCATCCTTTTTTTTTTCTCTTCTGGCGTTGGCGGGGCTAACTCCCGGGAGTCGCGACGGCTCACTTGTCCCTCGGGCGCAGCGCAGGCCGCGAAAAAAACAATGCGTCTTCCGTCCAACGGTGTTCTTCCGGATGAGGGTGAGGAGTAGGTGAAGGCAAAGATCACCTGAGGATGTGCGCCTGCGGTACAAAAATCAAATTGTATTGGGGAATCTGACCAGGTGGGGGGGCTATCTTCGGTGCAAATTCGTTTGGTGCCGTGCTTGGGGCGAATCCAATCGCCTAATGAATTCTAGGCTAGGAGAAGGAGCGTAAGGAACAGAAGGGAGGGTGAGGATGAAAAGCAAGGTCAACTGGAGGCAAATGGTATATCTTCACACCTGTGCGCAGTATCGGGCAGTGGAGGAAATATAACTATCTCGCTGTCTTGTCTTGTCGCAAAGTTCGCAGTCGTCGATCAAAACGTGGGCCGGATAAGACGCCCATTTGCCTGCCCAAGTCTGACGTCATGCATACCTTGTCTGACAAGACGATAGCAGGGTGAATGATTGGAGCGGCGCAGGCGGAGAGCCGATGCTCCAATGGTCAGACAGCGCATTATTGAGTTCCTCGTCGACACCGAGCTGATCACTGATAATGGGATAAGCTCCAGGTTGCTGACTTTCCTCGAGGTGAATGACTAAGCCTTTATGTCGGACTGGCTACGACGGACGAATACAGGAAGGAGGACGGAGCAGTGCTCCTGGTGCGCGAAACGCTTCTGAGCGAGGCATTTGTTCAGAAAAGCACTCGGTACTGGCGGGTGAAGACTCCTCGATCTGTACTCTGTACTCTGTACGACACGGCTCGGCCTTCGTTTCTCGGTCACTAGACGCCCTCTTCGGTCTTTCCGTCCCGGTGAGATATCATATGGTCCGTGTGAAACTATAGGTGGTGGCAGTGTGGTTCTGCTACATCCATCTTTACAGAAAGCATCGGCCAGGCCATCTGGTCCAGAGTCCCGGCTCAGATGGTCGTTCCATCCCGCAAATCCTGGAATGAATGACTTCACATATATGCTGGAAAAGGAAATCCGCCGGGACCGAGATGTCACTGCCTTGTGGAGTCGCAGACAATCTTCAGCACCAGTTGCAGCGACAGTGATGGCCGCAGCAGGCTCATCCAAATCTTGCTCGACCCATGATCACATACTTGTAGATTCTGGCGGGTAAATTCGCTCGTAGTGAGTGATATACTGTGCGGGTGGTGATGACCCCTGAGAGTACCCCATACCTTATGCCTCAAGCCTCAAGCCTTTATGCCTCATGCCTGATCATGTGTACAAGTAGGTACTCGGGACATTGAAGCGAATTGCCATTGTGGATCATGACTCCAGTCTTCCCTGGCGCTCTCGCGCAACTATTAGAAGGATCTTTGCACGCATGCATAGCTGTTGGCCCAGGTGGTTGCCGTGGCATTTTCGCGAAGCTGCGATCCGAAACGAGAGCGATCTCTGCAACTCTTCAAGGATGTCCTCGTACGAACGCCTCGGTTCCCCTCGGCCTAGCAACCTAAAACCCAGAGATCGGAGATGACGAAAGGCTGCTAGAGAGGAGCAGAGCGGAAGATTAAGCCTGAGCGGGGCCCCCGACTGCCCCTCCAGGTGTGGCGCTCGCAAACAAGACACTTGTGGTGCCCGGAACTTGGGCCCGCCAGTGAAGAACCCAGCCCGGAACAGGCACAGTCGGGTCTTCCCAAGCCCATGGGTTGCAGTGATTGGGGGCACCAGCCGGAAAACCACAATAGGCCCCGGATAGAAGAGCCACTTCTTCCCAACTGTGAGGCGTAAAGGGCGGCCTGGGGCCTGGGGCCTGAAGCTTGCGGGCAGCTGTGCCCGTCGAGTTCCCTGCCAGTGCCAGTAGTGCTGCTAAGGTTTTCTGTCCCGCCGCGCGTAAACGTAGATTTGGTTTCCTGCGATCGAGTTCGCTGCTGGTCATCGAACATCTCACATTCCACTGATTGGAAGAATGCCATGACTGTTTCCCATGCCATCGAAGATTTCATGCCCTTGGGTGCCTCCCTAACCAGCATCATCTGCCATCATTTGCCCTTCATCCCGTCACTATCCAGTTTCGACCTGCGCTAGCAATTCCCATCCGGCCCCTGGCCGCGTTTCATCGCCTTCGATCCAAGCTTCCCCCATGGCCACCGTCAATATGCATATCACAACCCGTTGCAATCCCGATCCCTCGCTCTGGCTCAGCGCTTTCCGCGCCGACTTAATTGTCTGCTCCTGAACAGCATTAATGCCCTGTTGCCAACCCCTTCCTCCCTGACTCCTCCCATTGTCTTCGTCCCATATTACTGCCAGCTGAGAAAGATTCGAGTCCGCTTGAGGGCCTCTTCAGTGTCATCCCAAGGCACTCGTGAGCACCTACCCAATTCCCACAAATGGCTTCGTCGACGCCTCCATCCATCCTGCAACTACAGACACTGGCTGCCAATGGCTCCAAACCCACCAAAATCACGCCCAAAACCAATAAGAGCGACGATAGCATCAACACCTTGTCATCGAGCGCTTCCGCTTCACCCAAAACCTCTCTGGACATCGTCCGCTGCTCTCGATGTCAACGTTCGCTGAGTATTGATACTTCGCTTCCTGCCCAGTGCAGTGGTGCGGTCAGATTCGGCATGAACTCATACTACTGCCAAAGATGTGCCAACGTGGTTGGCTTTGTCAAATGAATGAACCGCTCTGTTCGGTTCGGGGCCGTTCTTCTGAAGAGGCGCGCCTCTTTTACCCCTCCTCCGATTTCAATTCCTCCTAAATTTGCCCCCTGGAACACTCGGACGAAGATTGGACGCGGTTGAGACATGTGATCAACGAGTAAGAGGGAGAGATGAAGACATCCGGGAACAAAGGACATCTCGTACTACAACAAATACAGCACACGGAACAAACACGAATTTTGCCCTATTGGCCATGACTCAAGGAGATGGATATTCGGGACCTGTCGTGGGATATTCTATGCAGGATGATCTCTCAGCGGTGCAACCAAGTGGACCGTGAGAATGGATCAAAAGCTGCGAGATGAGTTGGCTTTTGCAACGAACAAGCCCCGATGGGCTACTTTTAAAGGGTACCGGTTCAAACGGAGAGCTGGAGGCTTCTGCCACTTGTTCCGATCTGGGATTTCTGACAAGACCACGGGCGTACAAAGTGCATATTATCTTAGCCACATCCTTCTAAGAAGAGGGCGCAACATTCACTGCGCACGCACATTGGGTACATTTCGGGGTATTTGAGCGTTGGAAGCATATGTTTGATCTTGGATACCACGTACGCGGCAACCTTCTTGAGCCATTATTTAGCAGCATCTCATAGTCTTTTTCACGCACAATTGGGCGCAGGTTCTGAGAATAGCTTAACGGCGTTGCAATTATTATTTCCGTGCCTGCCCCTTCCCACCCACCCCTCATCTCCAATTGTTTGCGTCACACACTACAACCTGCAATCCGCAAGTAAACCTGCTTAAGGGCATACTGGATGCGGGAGGATGTCTCTTTGGCACGCTAACTAGCCAATTGATCGAAGATCCAGTGCCCCCAAAACGACAGCAACGCTGCATGGGCGAATGAACAGCGCGACCCAACCGCTGCCGATCGGTGGCCGACATGATCGCTGCTTGGCCTTCCAGTCAAACAAGCCTCATCCCACCTCCTTTGACTTGTTTCACGACCACCCACACGCGGAAAGTTGCACAAGCAGCTAGTTGCAAGCCTCCAATGAGATCGGGGACAATCTATGTTCAACGGTCGAGATCTCGATGAGATAACCTCTCCATACTCTGGCTATCTGAATCGGATGACAGTCGCATGTAAATGCACCGAGTTTGGACCTCGCATCAGAGCGTGTTCAAGAGTCAAGAGATCAGGTGGGCCTGCTGTACCACCAGGTGAAAAATGGGGCACAATCCCTCTCAAATGTTAGGAGACCGCCACATGTCTGGGTTCTGGTTTGCTTGGACAAGGGCGAAGTTGGGCGACACCGCACCTCGTATCAAACCAGCACAGGCAGCGTATCAGACTCGCGGTGATGGCATCCCAGTCACAGACAAGGTGTTTCCCGTTTCCCCGGCGTTCCTCCTGACGACTTTGACAGCAGCATTTGTCCTTGAGAAATGCCGAACTTGATCTCTTCGGGCGCTTCCTGCATGTTGTACGGGAAATCGAGAACCGAGATTTCTGGCGTGCCACCTGACCCTAGCAAGCCACCAATGCACTGCTACGCGAGAGCTTTTCCAAGTCCAAGAGCCTACCAAGGCTTGTGGCATTGCACTGTCCCCCCCTCCAGAAGCCTTCCGGAGCATTCTTTGATTCTAGTGCGCTCTCCCAAGAGGCTGCTCAATGGTAGTGAGGCGAACAGGCTGCAAACTTGGAACGACTGCTCTGTTGTGATCGAGGGCATCTGCCAGACCCGAGGTTGGAGCAACGAACATCCCAGCAGGGGTCTAAACTCGGATGCCTCAACGAACGTGTTTAGAGATTGGGAACACAGCCCTTGGCACCAGCCTTTCTCCGGTTCCATGACCGAATCGACCCTTAGCGGTTGGGCCCGAAGGTCTCTTATAAGCTCATGAGAGCTTTCGGACCCAGTTGAACCAAAGAATCTTGTCTCGACTTGCAGCAAGACCTTTTTCTTTTACGTCAGGCTTTGCCCAGGGATTCCTCCAGCCAGCCTCTTTGCACAGAACACGGGTCCCCCCTCCCCGACCGCAACTATTGTTGTTGACAGATTTCAAGGGTCCCTCCACATGCCTGTCAAGACCTTTCTCCGCGAGACATCTGGCTCCGAACAGATTTTCTGGGACCACTGACATTCTACTGCCGCATCGACTTCGATTGGACGCTGTTAGTCCCTCTCCGAGCGACCTAGCACCCACATTGTGGTCGAGCGTTAAACAAGGATATCCCCGAATCCCCGTGTCCGATATAGTGCGCCTCTGTATTGTGGGAGGCTTGCTCAGCTGGCAAGACTGCCTTGTGGTCGCTTGCTCCAAGACCAGAGATGCCTCATCGCCTAATATGCAAAGTACTGGTGATCTGATATCAGATTTTTGCCGATGGGGGTCACCTGCAAGCTTCAACGCGACCTCTGTTCATGGACCTCCTATTGGGTTCGACGCAGAGCTTCATTGCCATCTTCTCCACCTCGGCGAACCTGAAGCAGGTGGCGGCGGCGAAGACATCCTCCACTAGACAAGAGATGTACTGCATTGAGGCCTCAAGCCACTGTGTGCCATGGTCGCAAAAGTTTGGGTAGGTCAAGTCTATAAATCAGTCCTCAGTTTCCCTCAAAGGTTGGTCTCCTCTTCAAACCAAATATCTTCTCTGTGCCAGAAGTCCCAGCCAAGGGAATTCAGAAGTTTTTGCCTCCTCCTGCTGGCTTCCCTCGGGAACAGGGCTCGTATTTGTCGCTGAGCCACCTGGTCGGGAAGAAGATCCATGATTCCACCTCCTGACCCTTGTCCACCCTAGGGCCGCCTTACTGCTGCTTGATAGCCTCTTCCTCTTCTGGCGATCTCAAAGCGAGTGGCCCTTTTGCGTCGTTTGGAGGGGAAAAGTGGCCACTGGCCAGGTGCTCCACTCACAACCTGATCCATATGCATCAGTTCGAATCTATAAAGGTTGACCTTCACCTTCTGTTCTTACACAATTGCGGCGAAGGTGTCTGCCAGCAAGAGTGCCAGATACACTGGCCAATCGCCAGTCGTATGGTGGATGAACGCCATAGAACAGCCGACAGCTTTGACGGACGCCCAGGTTTAGCTTCGAAGCATTGACCGTGTGAGTCGTTCTGACAGTTCTGAAAAATGCCTCAGCGACAGGAACGTCATCGACCTCGTCATGCAAGCAAAGACGAGCAACCTTATATCATCCTCGTCCATGATGTGAGTCAAAGTGTTCCCATCTATGGGAGCCCTAGACTGACCTGGATTGCTCAGATTCCACGCCACTGCCGATGGCAGGAGCTCAAGGACATGACTAGAAGTCTGGGAGGAGAACAGAGCTTAAAAGCCGAAGTGTTCACTGTTTCGGATGGATCACAGCTGGGACATTGCACCATCAAGGGCAGGGCTGACGCCGTCAAGGTCTATGGTGTGTTCATTTCTCAAAATTACGGCGCCCACGCTGACGAGACATAGAAAACCTCTGCACTAAGGGCTGGAATGGCTATCGCGTGCGTGTCAAATTGGTGGCCCAGGAAAAGGACGGGAGTTTGACAAAAATCGAGGGACCAGAGGAAAGCAATGGGATCGTCCCTTCTGAGAGACCGGCTGGGCTCTCGCATGCGGGCCTACAAGGACCTACCGCGATAGCACAGCATTCTGTGTATGTGTTTCGCGTCAACAGCGCTGTACATCTCTAACCTTTGTGAAGAAACCCCCTTTTCCCTCCCTCTGCTCTTCCACCACCCTCCATGAGCTACACAACACAATATGCAACAATGACCTCTTGGACTACTCAACCAGGAGTGCCTTCACTCACTCCCACTCTAGGTCCAACTGCGGCATCACACTCATCTGGCGTCGGTCCTCCGCGGCCTTCGTACCTACCACCTTCAATCCATGGAAGCACCATTGCTCCTCCAACCCCGTACAGCACACACTTCCCTAGCGACTCCAGACGACCTCCATCATCGCCTACCGCACCTCTTCCTGTCCGTCGTGTCAATGACGGCAGTAAAATCTTCATCTCAGGATTACCATATTACCAATCCGAGAGTGAACTGCGTGGCCTCCTCAAACGTTATGGCCACGTTATCTACCTTGAGATTCACCCTGACAGCCGTAATCCTGGGAAGAACAAAGGCACCGCACGAGCACGATACAAAAGTGCATCCGAAGCCCTCAGCGCCGTCCGCGACCTTGACGGCAGATATCTCTCTAATCGCAAGATCAGCGTCAAACAGGAGAAAGATGAGCCTTCGACGACGACGACGACGACGACGACCAAGAATTCAAGCTCGGGCTCATCAAGGAGTGATTTGCAGGAGACAAAGAATGGGAGCGGCTCATCGAAACAAAAGAAGAGCGCGGCATTCTCTTCCAAGGCTTCCAGCTCAAAGTCCAGACGACGTACCGCTGCACCAGTGAAGGAGCCAGCGAGAGGCCAGTCTCGGGCAAATAGGCAAAGATCAAGCTATAGCAGCGGCTCGACGTCACCCACCGGTCCACTTGTCGTCAATGGTGCGAGCCGTTCTTCAACTCGACGAGGTAGCTGGGGCGAGGAATCCACCGAGGATAGCGATGACAGCAGTGATGATGCTGAAGGCAGTGATGAGGGTTTTCCGCTGGCGGACGACGACGATGGGGTAGAAGAGGAGGAGGAGAACGATGATGATGACGACGACAGCGTACAAAAGGTATGTACACCTATCGCGCCTGTTCATGCAGGAACACCCCGTTCAGGACTAACATTGCCCTAACTGTACTTACAGATGGGAGGTATGCATCGTCGAGGCAGACTCTAAACTTGCTGAAACCTAGCACATCTCGACACTCCAACGCATCAGAAAGCATGTGGTAGCGGTTTGTGGGCTGATGACCACTGAACCACATTTTTGTTCTCGACAAGAGACGGAGGAGGAAGACTATAACTCGACACACCGGACCGGCACGAGGCCTCGGCCTGGCAAGGGACTTTGATAGCCCACGAGGCCTTTTTATGTGCCGGTGTTCATTTCATGGGGCTTGATGTTTGCATTGTTACAGTGTCAGCTTTCCACTGCCGCGTTTCCCCCACTGCGATCGTTGCTTGCTTGCACCTTGGTGACTTGGCTCACTCAAAAGTTGTTGATTTTTACTTTGCTGCAAAAGTCTTTTTGTTCAGGAAACCCTTCACTCAGCACCGTTTGAAGTGCGAGGGAAAGCCCAACCGCGGCTTTGTTGTCTGCTACACTCGAACTAGTATGTACTTATTTAGGCTACTTCTATAGTTGCTCGCGAAAATGAAAAAATCATATACTATGAGATAATCGGGCTGATTATGTATCGCTCAAGATCTACTCTCTTGTCTACTTGGGTACTGAATATGTACAGCTGTCGAGTCTGGACTCGAGTCTGAGGTCATCTACTGAACGACTACTATACAGCTTCGGGAGGGACGAAGTACAACTCAGAATACACACGAGGAGAGAAACGCGCTCGGCGATTGGGTTGCTGATACGCGCTTCCTCTATAGAGCCCGACCTACTTTACTTCTTCCAGTTGAATCACGTCGACAGCACTAGCACTCCTATCACAATGTAGACTCCCTCCTCCAGCAGTAGCAGCGGGGACGCCGGCCATATTAACCCCGTCACCATAGTCGATACCGCCGTCGTGATTCCGGTCCTCACCCTCATCCAGGCCGAACTCGGTCTTGTTCTTCGTCCGCATTGGGACTTCCTTTTCCAACAACACCAGAAGCAGGCCCGTGCCGGCAAAGGCCACCAGGGCGTAGAAGACGGCGTGGACCGCGCGCTCGAAGACGGCAATGACCTGTCCGCGGAGCATGCTCTCCGACGACGACGGCAGGGAGTCCAGAAAGGCCCTGGTGGCGAGCTGGTAGGCCTGTTCGTCGGCAAGGCGCGCGGCGAGAGTTGAATTCGTGGCGAACGCCGATCCGTCACCGGTGCCGGCGGCCGTGACGTGGCGCTTGACGACGTTGTTGAAGATGGCGGACGGGATGGTGACGCCCCAAATGGCGCCGAAGCCGCGGGCGAAGCTATACATGCCTGCGGAGGTCGCGGCGTGGCGCTCCGCGAGCGGCGCCTGCAGCGCCGGCAGCAGGGAGATGGACAGCGCGTCGAGGCCCGCGGCACCCAGGACTTCAAAGCAGGCCCACGCCGCGGTCGACGAGTCGCGGTCGAGAGTACTGCACAGACCCGCGGCGACCAGCATGGCGGACCAGCCGAAGACATGGACAGGTCGATACTTGCCGACCTTGGAGAGCAGGATGCCGGAAACGACGGCAAAGGGAATCACCGAGGCGGAGATGGGGGCCAGGGCGATCCCCGAGCCCACCGGGGATTTCGCAAGCACGCCTTGGAAGTAGACCGGCAGGAAGTAGAAGGTGCCGTACATGGTGATGGAGTTGACGAGGGTCATGGCGAGGACCGCCGAGGACGTGCGGTTGGACACGATGGCGCGCGGGAACGAGGGCTCCGGAGCGAGGCGAGGAGTCCACTCGAATGCAACAAAGGCGCACAGGCCCAAGAGACCCAGCACCAGGGGCACCAGGATTCGCGCGCTGTCCCAGTGATACACCGGGCCGCCCCAGGTCAGTGCCAGCAGCACGGCGACGACGGCGCCGATGAAGATCGCGTTGCCGCCGAAATCGATGCGCTTGACCTGGGACGACAAGGTCTGACCGCGCCGGTGCCGCACTCGGAGAAAGAAGAAGAACATGACAAGTGCAACCCCGCCGAGGATGGCGTTGAGGTAGAAGACCCAGCGCCAGCCTAGCTTCACGACGATCAGGCCGCCCAGGAAGGGACCGCCAATGTAGCCGAGGGTGGTGCCGATGGACACGTACGACAGGTACTTGGCGCGATCGCGCAGCGGCACCAGGTCCAGGATGATGGTCTCGCAGAGGGTGTCGACCCCGCCGCTGCCCACGCCTTGGACGGTGCGAGCGACAATGAGCATGGTCATCGAGGTGCTGGCGCCGCCCAGGGCGCAGCCGAGCACGAACAGCGAGGTCGCGCCCAGCAGCATCTTCCGGCGGCCGAAGATGTCGCTGACCTGGGTGTACAGCGGGAGCACGGCGATGGATGCCAGGAAGAAGGCATTGGGCACCCACAGGTACAGGTTGGCGCTGCCGCTGCGGCTCAGGGCTGCAGCGATGGTGGGCAGCGCGTTGACCACAATCGTGCCTTCAACGGAGCCGCACAGCGAAATGGCCGAGATGGACATCATGACCAGCCAGAAGCGCCGAGTGGGCTTGAAGGGTTTCGGTTCGGTAGGCAGGGAAGGGATGTCGTCTTGGAGCGGTGCTGGCAGGGAACAGCCATTGCGGTGCTGTTGCCCATGTGTGTTGGCAGAGTCGCTCATGTCGATGCTGGCGCTGGCTCTGCTGTCGAGCGTCGATGGCTCTCTGGTGACAGTCGCAGTGGCGCTCTCCATGGTGGACAGCAGGTCAGACCGGACTGATGCTGGTGGTGAGAGGTAAAGTCGAGGTCGAGAGCAGCTGTTCTATCATCAGTACCCACAGAGACTGCGATGAACAGCGCAACCTGCCAGCTCTTGTGTCAGTAGGCGAGGCTACAGAACCACCGACGGGTGGGAAGCATCAGGATGGAGAGCCACTCGCCAGGTATCCTAGCAGGAGGTCGAGGCGCTGGGGGTTTCATGAACCGCATATACAGATGCAGGGTGCGCTAAGGATATCGAGTCGTCGCTGACGAGGTTGGCATGTCCAAGATGTCTCCAGGGCGTGAAAGAGTGTGTCGAAGGTGTCTTGAAACTTGGTCCATAGCTATATCTACCTTTATGTGTAGGTAGATACTGTGGATGAGATTAGGTAGTTTTCGAGGTGGAGCCGTCTACTTAGAGCCTTGGCAATGTCAGCCTAGCGGGCCACTATTGCGGTCCAGAGCCGTGATCCAAGCTGGTTGAAGCTAGTGAGGCTTCCCGAACCACCTCTATTCCCTTACCTCGCACTCCCACTTCCATCATCTCCACGACAACTTCTGTTGCATTTTGAACCCAACCCAAACAAAAGCAGCCTGTGAACCAACGTGTCACAGCCCTGCCACAGTCAATTGCTTTTCATGCCCCGGGAATCTGGCCCAGATATGTTCAGTTGACCCTCGATCCTCGAACGCTAGATCATCCCCTCCAGCCCTTACGTCTTACGCCTCAACGCTCAACGCTGGCTGCAGCTGGGACCCTCGAAATGCCCGATCACACTGCCTCGCGGCCTGCCTGGAAGCCTGCCTCGTTTCCTTCACGCTCCATGTCCGCTGTTCCCTGTTTGCGGTTGTGGCTATGGCCCCGCACCCCCTCTGTGATATTTGCCGAACCTGTTTTCGGATTTGACCCCTGGAGCTCTCTGGAATAGCCTAGCCAACCGCTATAAGACAGAGCCCCCAGACTCGAATGGACCCAGCCTGCAACCGCCCTTGCCTACGGCCAGAGGCGCCTCCTCCAAAGCCCGTTTGTCAGTCAGACTTCGGAGCAGTCTTGGCAGAGGGTATGTCTCTCGCCCAAATAACCTGTCCTTGCGGGTTCGGTTACTATGATGAGGAGCGGCACTGTTTTATCCCTGGGTCGCTGGTAAGGAGTGACAATGCGCCGACAGCAGAAGAATATGTAGCCCTCTTACGAAGGTACAAACACCAATGGTGACACCATTTTCTGGCCTAATATTCCATGGAGTTCAAAGGAGCACAATAGAAAAATGCTTTTTCGTCGATAATCTGCTTCTGTCCACATTTCTTGGAGGATTCGAGGGGCGAGGAAAAATGGGATTAGGGCTCGGCATCGGATTCGTGGTATCCAACGCGAAAGAAGAGGTATCGTAGCGAGCGCTGGAATCCAGAGGAGCTCAGGGCTCGGCTGCGGCTCAGGGGATCGAGCGGCAACTCGAGATCGCTATAGGATGGTGGAAGCCGACCGTGGTGGTCATCGCGACGGGGCGAATTGCCCTTCCCATGAAAGGCTGAATCCCGCTCAACGGATCGTGATTTTGTCATGCACGGCGTCAGTGTTGGTGGCAGCCGAACAACCAGAATCGTCAGTACCGAATGCAGTACTTACGAGAACAGAGAGAGGAATCTCGCCTCCTGGTTAGACTCAGCAATGGCAGAACAGGCGCTTCTGTACTATCCGAGTCGAAAACAGGCATGGCTGGAACCCGAAATCTTGTTGATTCTTCACCTGGTGATCGACCACATGAAACGGATGCAGAAGCGACATCCAGAACTCCAATTCCACTTCCCGTACTGCCAGGATTCAGGTTGTTGCTGAACGCGCGTTTCGAACGCTGTCCGACCACCTGGAAGACCCTCTGCCAGAACCTGACCTGGAAGGCGACTGCAGACTCGAGCACCTGGTGACTACATGCCTATACTCTTTGGACAGCGTCAAGCGACGAACACGAATACCACGGTTTGGCCAGGCTTGGTCTGACGGTGTTGGGTTGTCTTGGGCGCTGAGATGGTGGCCATATGGTGTATCAAACGGGGCCCATTGTGCCCTCTTCCCCCGTGCTCCATAGTTGATCTTCACATTTATCAGGTATAATTTTGATTCCTGCGTCCTTTCCCTTACTATCGAGCCAGCACTCATCAATGAGTTTACGAGCGTGTATGACACTCCCCCGAGATAGCTCAATGCCGTTCGCTCTGCACACAGGCCCAGATCTACGGATAGTCCCCCTTTCCACTCACCCCATCCCAGCCCACAACTCGTGGAACGCATCTCTCGTCCAATCATTGTATAAAATGCAGAAAGGAAGGGGGAGAAAGGGCCAGATGGCACAAGGGCCGGTGAGAAAAGAAGAAGAAAGCGCTGTGCTGCGCGCGCACAAGGGAGGGAAAGAGGTATACTGTGACGAAATGAAGAAAAAACGGTCTCTTTTTTCCAATTATATGGATAAACTCCTGCTGAGCAACTTCAAGGATATCGGTTGTTTGGAGGCACATCAGGACAAAAACAACCCTCGAGCAAAACACCGGTGTCGTCCGTACATTCCCCCTGCCGTTTTTTTGTTCCCCCCCTCCCGCTCCAATGGCTTGCTTCAAGAATAAAAGGCGCTCTTCTGGAAACTTTCTGCGGAAATGTCACCTGGTCTGCTGTCCATCTTCGGTCCTTTAACGTCAACGGCCGCCTCGGCTGGGGTGGGGGTAGGCTTCTTCTTTGTCGCCGGAGCGTACAGCGCGTTATACCGTGCTTTGTACTCCTTGTCCCGCTCGTCCAGCACGTCCATTATGGCCTGAGACCCAGGCTCTACTTCGCCCGAGTCGCGAAGAAGTTTTGGTTTGTATGAAGCCATCATCTCGTCCGTTTCCGGCATCTGTGGAGTGGCCTTCCCCTCCGTGATTTGTGGGGTGGCCTTTGGTATGGGTCTCTGGATCGGTTCGAGGTAGGGAGATGGGAGGTACCCCATCTTGCCGTCTCGCGCGCGACACCTCCACCATTCGCTCGCGTTGCCCATGGGGTCCGTCTTGGAGAGCACTGCAACAAAATCGCCTTTCTTGGCCTCGAGATCCATCCCTCCAGACTGTGGTGTGGGAGTGTAGTCATACAACACTCGGCAGAAGTCGAGTTTCTTGGGGTCGATGGGGATTTGCTCGCCGTTCTCGCCCGTAATCTGTGTCATCGCCCCAACTTCCAGGCGCCGGCGCATTTCTTCTTCTTGAGAGCGGGCCATGGCGCGGATTAACTTGCTCATGAGATAGGGCAGGCCGAAGACCGCGATGGCGAACATTATGAACGGTTTCCTCGACGGGCGGGCTGGCGCGGGCGAGCCGTCAGGCAGTGTAGCAGGGGTAGAGCTGTGGCCGCCATTGAGGAAGGATGAAAAGGCCGCGGGCGTGAGGGCTGTTGCGTCGGCCGGCGGTGGGCGACCTGTGAGTTTTGCGACCAAGGTCCGAAGCCAGCGCATGAGTGTGAAGATTCCAAGAACTGAGCCCAGGGTCTGCCGTAGATTCCCGAGTTGTTCGGCCATGGAGACCATTGCTTTTCAAAGCAGTCAGCCTTGAGGACGTTGTGGCCGGGAGATGACTTACCGAAAAATGAAGAACGCGTCGTCATGTATGAACTCTCCAGCATTTGCGCAAACCCACCAAAGGCGCCCACAATACTCTCCATGATCTGAAAAGTTGCGGCTGTGCTGTTATTCCATGTCTGGGTCAGACTCTGATTATTCGGGTCGCCTGGCATCCCTGGATAGTTGCCATATCCCCCATACATGCCACTGCCGTACATGCCGCCATATCCCCCATACCCGCCTCCGTACATGCCTCCGCCCATGCCTCCGCCATACATGCCGCCACCGAACCTCGAGTAAGGGGACGAGTATGACGAGTAAGGGCTAGAATATGGAGTGTTATTCATGCCAAACCGGTTCTGGTTGGTAAAGTTGGACGCATTTTGGTTGACCACGTTGTTTAAGGTAGAGGGTCGGTCGGGGAGAGCTGGGGCCGCGGAGTCTGTCGAGGTGGAGGTGGAGGAGGCGTTCATGGGTGAAGGCGCGGTCATGGCGGTAGAGGTTACAGGTGTGCTTGTGCCAGAGGGAGCTGGAATGGTTCAATCGTCAGTATAGACCATTTTGCAGAAGCCTTGGTTTAGCTGGAGAACTATTTACCGGTTGATCCAGCACGCTCCCAAGGTTTGGGCGGCGAAACTGTCGTCATTATTCTGTTATCTCGTCATTTCTCTATGGTCGCTCATATACTGCGGGTGGTTGTGGTGTTGAGGATGGGACGGGAGAGAGGATGGTCGACTGTAGATGAGGCGACGTAGAGCTGCTGTGGTTACGGCCGAGGGTGAGGAAATGATGGATGATAGCGGTCGCGGTAGTGGTGGGTTTTTCTGGGGCTGACATATGAATTCGCCGCCGCTGGAGAAGGAGAGGGAGAGGCTGGAAATTCGCAGAAAGATGCCGAGGAAGTTTGCGGAGTCGGCGAACGCTAGGTTGGTGAAAATTCCTCGTGGTGAAGGGCCTTTCCCCCGAGTCAATCGCGCCCACCACCCTCCTTCGCTTATTTGTCGGCGGGAATCGGATATGCGGTGACGAGGGTTTCCTGCCCTCTGATGGAGTTGCAGACCAGCCAGGACAGAGTATATACACGTAGCTATTGAGATGTCCAGCGTGAGACACAGGCACTGATTGACCGACTGGCGCATGCGCCCCCCAGTGCTTCGGTGCGGTTCCTCCGCAGTGGTCCACCGTACCACCTACGGCAGAGCATTGTCCCCGAAACCGAATTATTCCCCAAATCCACATGGGCGTTGTCCCCAAGCGTCGTAACACATTGTGGTTACTGTAACCCGTCCAGCCCATCCACGGGTATAGCATTCGTCTAGGCTGCAGCTTCCCAATCCTCTTACTTCTCGTCCCTCTTCGTCCTGTTTTAGGTCTTGCGATAGATGGTTGCTTGACTTCTCCTCTCTCCTTACCAATAAAACCTGTGATCCGAGCATCCAGAGCCAGAAATTCGCGACCACTACTCTGTTCCTGCCTGACTGACATTCTGTGCTTCGCCGGTTGGGAAGATTGCAGGAGACTTGAGCCAGCGGTGATGATGCCCACGAAGCAATGATTGTGTCAACGTTACCTCGATGAACTCGACCCCGGATGAGGGCGAGAGCTTTCTGCGCGACGAGGATGTGGGCGAGCTTCAGGATAACATTGGTCAAGAGTCGGGAGTGCAGGATGACCACGACGTGCCAGATATAGCAGCGCCCGAACCACACGAACCGGTGGATAACGTGGTTGACGCACTTGACGCAGTCCTAGAGGAGGAAAATGGAGGAGGCCCTGGTCAAATCGACGACGAAGGGACTCCAGACGCGCCGGGAACAAATGGGACCGACAATATTCCTCCGTTCAATGAAGCCACCAATATCCTGAGCATCGACGACTCGCCCTCGACCCCCGACGACACGCCCTCCGTCCAAGACTCTGCACTTTCCTCCCCTCGAAGCGATGCAGCCTCAATCCGCAGTCCCGCTCGCAGAGGTAGTCCCGCGACCATACATCGTCCCTTCGATATTCGGTTTCAATCTCGGCTTTCGAGCTCCCAACTCTCGCCTCTACGCTCGAGCTCACCTGCATTCCTCGGTGCCCATTCGCGTCACTCCTCTACCGCAAGTCAGGGTCTGCACACGCCTTCCGAGCCAGACGATACCATAAATCCATGGGATGTGATCAGGTGGAGCAAGTTCAGAAAGATCACCGGGCAAGCCTTTTCGGAGATTGGGAAGAGAAATTTCGGGAGCCCAACCTGTCTGGCGGTGTCAGACCAGTTAGTGCTAGGGACGTCGAAGGGTATTGTTCTGGTCTTTGACCACCATCAAAATCACAAAGCAATCATTGGTAGCGGCACGAAAGCCGCTGAAAGTGGCGCTGTGACTGCCCTTGCGATATCTGCTGACCATACTACCATTGCCGTTGGACACGAAACTGGCCACATTTTCACATGGGAACTTGCCAGACCCTCCAGACCTTTTTTACACATCCAGCCAATTGAGGTCTCTCAACCTCAAGCTCGAAGGGGCGACGGTCACGTCTCAGACAGCGCTGTTCTTCACATCGGGTTTCTAGGTTATAGGCATACCGCGCTTGTCTCGGCCGATGACAAGGGTATGGCCTTCTCGCACCTAGCAACACGGGGGATGGGAGCAGTTGGCCGTGTTGTCCGCACCACTAGAATTCTCGGTCGATACCCCGAAGTTGTCTCACGGTCCTCCAAGCCCTTGAGGAAAAGCTCTGTCCTAGCGTTTTCGCCGTTGCCTCTAGGAAATATCGAGCAAAGGACAGATAGCCTAGGCCTCGTGGCAATGCTGACACCATATCTGCTCGTCATTGTCTCGACGACACCGGTAGCACAGACCCAACATAAAGCCGCCCGTCCCAAAGAGGTCGCAGCGCACAGCGCAATGACTGCGGCACTGGCTTGGTTTCCAGCCATTAAACTCAAGTCTCAGGACTCCGAAGTTTCAAAGACCAAACTTGTCTATGCTTGGTCTAACATCCTCACGGTCTTGGAAGTTCATGCAACCCAGGGGGATGACGACACCGAAAAGAACAAACCTCCCGACCTGCAATTTCTGGCTCGAAGCCGATATCAAGCTGACGAAGCAATTGTAGCCGTTCAATGGTTGAATAAATCGGTGCTGGCCGTGTTGACCATCACGCAACAGCTCCTTATCATTGAGGACCTCACGATGCACGTAACTGAAGCCTTTGACCTCTTGAAGAAAAACATCTACCATGCAGACCTCTACTCGCAGCAGCTACGAGCTATTATCGAGCAGCTCGACGAAGAAGATACGTCCATGCATGGTGTGGTTGCGGATGCGTTTCACATGAGTTTCCGGGCATACAAAGGCAGGCTGTTCCTGCTTGGCTTCAATGATGTTTGGACCGGCGTCCTTACAAATTGGGCTGATCGACTTTTGGCCATGATAAACGTCGGTGATTTCATTGGTGCCATCCGGCTTGCGACCAAGTATTACCAAGGTGAAGGCGAAAAGGTTACTATTGGTCTCCCTGAGGAAGACAATGTTCGTGCAGGTGTCGTTAGGGAAAAGCTTGTCGAGATGATGAGCGCCTCCTTAAAGTACGCCTTTGGTAAGAACCAACAAGCCGGGAGCGATCAGATCGAAAAGCCTCAGATGGCGGAGCTTGCAGACGCTTGCATCAAGGCATGCCTTGTCATGGAGGATCAGGACTTCCTGTTCGAAGAAGTCTTCTCTTGGTATGATGAGCATGGGCATGGGCCCCTGTTTGTGGATGTCCTTGAACCGTACATCCTCGATCAAAGGATCACCTCCATACCTCCGCCCGCTCTGAAGACTCTGATCAACCACTTTGTACAAACACACACTCCGTCGGTGCTGGAGGAGATCATCTGTATGCTGGATACTTCGACGATGGACATTGATCAAGTGACAACCCTATGCAAGCGATATGCTCTATATGATGCCTACGTCTATGTCTGGACAATGGCCCTCCACGACTTCACGACTCCGTTGATGATACTGCTCGATCTAGCAGACAGTGAGGACCTTCCACGTCAGCAAGTTGTCAACGTGGTTGATAGATACAATGTCGCCCAGAAGATCTTCCCTTACGTTTCCTTCATCTTGACGGGTCGCGTATATCCCACGGGAAATATGCTGGGCGAAGAAGACTCCCTGCTTGCCAAAGGCCAAGTATATGACTTCTTCTTTTCAGGAGGAGGCGCAGGTGCAAATGGTGTGGCTAAAAGGAGGATCGAACCTGTCCTGAAACCCGCAGCATCTTTCGGGTATCTATCTCGGACCCTCCATTTCGATACTGCAAGTTTCATCGCCGCTCTGAACGAGGGGTTCGAGGACAGCTATCTCAATCTGGGTGACGATGATGCACTGAATAGCCACGCGCTCAATCAAGCTGCAGCCACACGCACCTATACCCGCCAATACATTGTTCGCATATTGTTGGAGGTGATGTCCTCGGGCTTTGACACTGATGACACTATCTATCTGGACATGTTCATCGCGCGCAACCTGGCAAAATACCCCCAATACATGGTTCTCTCGGGTACGGTTCTACAAGAGATTTTTATTCGACTATGTCAGTATCCGGAAGACGACATGCAGGAAGATGCCGAGTTGAGCGTCGAATACCTCCTTTCCGTCTACCAACCGCCCAATGTACTCGACTTTGTTCCATTGCTCCGGGAAGCTAGATTCTACCGCGTCCTCAAGTCTGTTTTCAGGCAAGAACGTCAATATGCCAATATGATATCAATCTTTTTCGTGGACAGTCAAGACCGAGCGGGGGTATTTGCCTCAATTGTTGAATGTCTTCGATCAGAATCATCTCTAGCACAACGACAGCGAGAAGAAGTCAGAGAAACCGTGCAGAGACACGCCCTTGACCTGATCAGTATCGATGTCCAAAGATGTGCCGCTACTATTGATGACGTGGCGCCAGATTTGCACCACGTTTTCCTGCAAACAATGACCGATGACGTCTCTGACCAATTTGAGTATCTGAAGACGCTTCTGGAGCCCGAAGACCATCTGCGCACACGTCGAACTTATGACCATGAGATTAGGGAGCTTTATGTCCGCCTCCTTTGCCAATTCGACCCTTCACACGTGAGAGACTATGTGGAAAATATTAAGGAGGGCGACATTCGGCTTGCCGAAGTCCTTCCGACAATCGAAGATAGCGGCATCATTGACGCCGTAGTGATCTTACAGGTTCGCCAGGGCCGAGTGAAGGAAGCAATGGATCGGTTGACACGGCACTTGGCGTTTCTGGGCTCAACCCTGAAGAGCTTGAAGTCAGACTTTGTCGACCAGGGCGACGATGCATCCGTCCAACACCCGACCACAAACGTCCTCGAGTCATTAGAAAAATACACCAGAGTGGGCATCTGGTTGTGTCAGGGGCAGACGAAGAACGCTCCCAAGTCCCTGGCGGTTTCGAAATCTCCGAGAAGATCTGCCAGCGCGACCCGTGCATTATCTTTTGAAGAAAATCTCTGGCTTGAGCTTATTCTCTGCGTGGTGTCGATAGCTCGAGACGTGTCAATCCATGCTCCGTTGAGGGAGGAGACACCGCAAGACGACAAAGATGTCGAAATCACGCAGGCCCTTCGAACAACCATCCAGCAGGTCTTCACTGCCCTCTTGACAAGCACTACATCGGTGCGCGATGGAGCCTCGGGACGCGACATGATGTTTTTACGCATCCTCCGTGCATTCCTTTCTCATGCTGCCGAAGCAAGCCCATCTCTGTCCGAACTTCGCAATGTGATCAGCTCCATATTTTCGGCGTACGCATATGAAGAGTCACTTCTGGGCCTCTCGAACTCGATGCTGGACAAGGATGTGTTTGTACGCTTGGACGAAGTGGCTGCTCTCAGGCAGCGGGGCTGGAGACCTCGAGGGCAGGTATGCGAAGTGTGTCGACGACGTGTCTGGGGCCCGGGCGTCGGCGAAAAGGTCTGGGAGCAGTGGCAGAAAAGAGAAGAAGCTAGGCTCCTCCGCCGGCGACGGATCCCGGACGTCGAGTCTGTGGTCGAGGACGATGAGACTCGGGGGAAAGGCAAAGCCACAGTCGGGGTGAGCTCTCAGGAGCCAGTGGAAGCTGAGGGTGGCGGTGCAGGCACTGACCTGGCCGAGGAGCTCGGTCCCATTGTGGCGTTTTCGTGCCGCCATCTGTACCACCAGAAATGCTTGGGACAGGCCCGCGTGGAAGATGGTGTCCCTCAATTAGTGTGCCCGGCCTGCGTATAGCTCGATACAAGAATAATCATCACGAGAATAATATCTTTTCCTTCTCCTTTTTCTTGGTGGCTGGTGGAGCCTCTTGACACGGCCCAAGGCGCTGAGACAAGGAATGTTTCGAACTGGCCGGATGGAGTCCAGCCTGACACGTGACCATAGCCGGTCTGTGCTCTTATTGGCTCTTGGCCGCAACCTCAGACGCCCCTTGAATGCTTCCACTTCCACTTCCTCCCCTTTTTGCCTCTTCTCTCCCTGTTGCCCCCAATGCCCAGCCCCATGACCGGTTCGGTCAGTGCACAACCCACCTTCAAGACCCAAGATCAACGCCTGTGCCTTTTTTAAAGTTATCAGGCTTATCCATCCTTGCCGCGTTTCAAATATGCGGAGTGATCGCAGAGACACCATCTGGCGCCATCGTTTCAAGCCCATCCCTCGGTCCCCATTCTCTCCCAGGCTGTTCACCGGCCCTGCCAGCTCAGCGCAGGGAGGATGTCTCTGCTCTCCTTAATCAGGTCTTCGGCAGCCATTCAGCAGTCCGCCGCCTTCTTTTCGAGGGGTTCCCGATGTTCCTGTCCTTGCAGTCATGAGGGGCGTGGCTGGTATGTTGTTGATAGTTCGGCTTTCCTCGCTTCGTGACCCGCTGGTCCACGTTCACATGAGCCTATACGGAGTCCCCCTTACTCCTCAACAGCGCTTTCCGGCATCGATGCGCCAATCCATGAAGCCTATTGCTCTTCTGCACGTCAGCTGTGCATGACTGCCTCGACGCGGACCGATGGATACTGGTGTCTGGCCCCGCCGGCACACAGACGCCCAGGGCGGGATCTGGACCATGGTTCACCCCTTTCTCTACGGAGTACGTACCCAAGGCCCCCTCTTGGTATACATATCTCAACGACTTTGTCTTGGACAGTTGGTCCGTACTCTTCCTCGTGGACAGGTCATTCTTCCATTTCTTTCTTCTCAAGCCAGCATTTTGGCGTCCATTCCTTTCTCATTTGAACTGGCGTCTTTTGCAGTTTGTCGCTCCTTTCTGTCGATCTTTTCTTCCAACATTAAGCAAATATGCTGGCATCTTCTTTTCTGGTCACCCTGGCGGGACTTGTCTCTTTGAGCACAGCTGGATATGTGCTGGAGGATGACTACAGCACTGATCAATTCTTTTCCATGTTTGATTTCTTCACTGTAGGCCCCGTCTTCTCTGCCAGATTCCTTTCCGGTGCTGACCAAGTATCAGGACGCCGATCCCACGAATGGGTACGTGCAATATGTGGACCAGAACACTGCCCAAAGTGGCGGGCTCATCAACACCGACAATGGCGCCATTTACATGGGTGTTGATCATACCAACGTTGCGTCGGGCTCCGGCCGGCAAAGCGTTCGCCTGACAAGCAAAAAGTCTTACAACCACGGCCTGATCATTTTGGACCTCTCCCATATGCCAGGCGGCATCTGCGGTACCTGGCCTGCCTTCTGGACTGTCGGCCCCAACTGGCCAAGTGCAGGTGAAATCGACATCATCGAGGGCGTCAACTCACAAGCATCCAATGCCATGACCCTCCATACCGCCTCTGGGTGTAGCATCACCAACAACGGCATGTTTTCGGGGTCAGTGTCCACGCCAAACTGTGATATCAAGGCCGCGGGCCAAGCGACCAACGCGGGCTGCCAAATCTCGACTCCCAACGATGCCACCTTCGGCAGCGGTTTCAACGACGGCCAAGGCGGTGTCTACGCCACTGAATGGACCTCATCAGCCATCAACATCTGGTTCTTCGCCCGCTCCGCCATCCCGTCCGACATATCCTCGGGATCCCCCGACCCCAGCAACTGGGGCCAACCGCTGGCTTCCTTCGCCGGGGGTTGTAACATCGACGAGTTCTTCAACGACAACCAGATCGTCTTTGACACGACCTTTTGCGGCGACTGGGCTGGAAACGTGTGGACGTCCGACCCCGTGTGCGGCTCCAAGGCATCGACTTGCCAGGACTTTGTGCAGAACAACCCCTCTGCGTTCCAGGATGCGTACTGGTCCGTCAACTCGCTCCAGGTCTTCCAGAGCACCGGAGGCGACAACTCCAGCACCACGGCGCCGTTTCCCACCGCCTCCACACAAGCGCCCACCGCCTCTGTCAGTATCCCTGGTGCACCGTCGGGGATCCCGCCCATCGCCTCCGGACCGCCGTCGAGCGTGTCGGTTCCTACGACGGGCTTCAGCCGCGGCGGCAACGGCCGACACAGCAAGACATTCGGGACGGTGGGCGCCACGGCCGCAGATTTCGCCGCCCAGCCAACTACAGCGTCCGCCTCCTCGGCGTCGTCCACGGTGTCCTTCGACGCCCGAGACCCCTCTACGACGGTGGGCCCGCCGTTGGCCGTGGCGGTCGCCTCGGACGGCACGGTCAACGAGGTGCAAGAGTCCTCGTCGTCGTCGTCGCACGAAGCTGCACCCACCACCACCGCCACTGCCTCCCCGGGTACCGCCGACTCCAACGACGCCGCCGTCACATACACCACCGTCAGTGCCCTGGGGTACCAGGACTTCCACCACGAGCGGGAGAGGAAGAGCCGGCGCGAGGCCGGGCCCGAGCCTGCGGGCGTCCTATCACCGTCCTCGTCTGCTGAAATGGTGCCCTTCTTCCCCGAGCACGCGAAGCGCCACTTGACCCAGCATCGGCGCATGGACATGCACCGCCATCTGTTCAGACACGGCGCGGGCGTTGCTGCAGCCGGCGGCGGCCCAGGGAGCGAACACGACTGAAAGAAGAGGTCGCCCTTTTCCTGTCCCAGCGGGGTTGGTTAGCTATGGAACAACCGGTGGCAATCTTGTTGTGAGTTCGAGGGAGGTGGAGGAGGAGGTGTGTGTGGTTTTCGCTCTTGGACCGACCGACATTACACTTCTAGAGAGCCGCTTTTTACACACATCCTCCCTACCTTGCTTTCAAGATGTGATAGACATTTGGATGGTTTTTTCCTTCATTTGGATGAGGCTTCTTTGGTAGTGGTGGGCGGTGCAAGGCAGAGACAGAAAAAGGGGGAGGGGAGGGGGGGAGAGAAACGCGCTTTTATCGTAACGACGGAATGATGGACGAAACGAAAAAACCCTGAAATGAACATTCAAAATTCAAAGCCCAATGCCATTGCAAATGCATTCGAGGATCACAATGGTTTTGGGTTGTTTTTTTTTCTCCTTCGTGTGAAACCAACGAAGGGAGGTGGGAGGGAGATAGATGGGACGGACGGACGGATGCATGGATGGATGAATAGATACAGGCAACAATCGCAACATGGCAACGTGGAAGATCCCAATGATGATGCCCCGGTGACAATTTACACTTTGCCTTGCATCAATTTTCTGATACCCAAGCTATCGACCTCGCATGTCGTTTTATCGTAAGCCTTGGGCCTCGTCATCGTGGGTCTAGATGACGGTCGCCGCGGCAGGAAAATAACCCTGGGACATGTTGTCCCCAAGACATTTGGTCTCTTCTGCCATGCGCCTACATATCTCTTAGAGCTTTGCCGGCGTCTTGGTCTTTGGGCCCACGCCCGTGGGATCCTCGCCCGTCGTCCACGTGATGGTCAAATGCACCCTCTCGATCCTCCACTTGCCGTCCGCCTCCTTCCTCAGGATCCAGTGGTAGAACCCGCCCTCGTCGAAGTGGTCGTCGTACACGTCCCTCTTCTTCATCCACTGCGCGATACAGTTGGTCCGCACGTACGCGCGCTTGCGGCTCGGCGAGAATTCAATGTCGAAGTTGGACGAGAGGAGCTGGCAGCGCTCGAAGTAGCTCACGCCGCCAAACGCCCATGCTCCCTTCCCCGCGCGTCCGACGTGTTGGCCGTAGGGGTAGACAGCCACCCCGTCCTCGCAGAACAGGTCCTCCCATTCTTGGCGCTTGTCGAGGTCAAAGCACGCGTCGTCGTGGAGTGCCGTGTAGTGGTTGAGCAGCCATTGGACGGCCTGGATGTCTTGTGTCTCTGATAGCGACTTCTGGAGGGAGGACACGGTGGCCCGCAAGGACGCCAGTTCAGCGAGGACCTTCTCTGTATCGGCCATTGTGAGGATGCTAATGGTGATTGACGTTGCGTATTCGTCGAGTCTCAATGGATATGGTATTGACAGTAGTGACAGGCGTCGTGGAACCAACCACGTCCTTTATGACTCGACTGCCCGTGGTCGAAGCAGAGCTACCAACGTTCGGATGGGATCCAGACCTGCAAACAAGAGTGCCCTGTGGTCTTCGGAAGGTCAGAAGAAAAGATGCTACGAATCTCCCTGCTGTCCGATTGGGCGGCTCTGCCTTCTTCGTGCTCGTTCTGGGTATGCTTCGAGGTGACCATCATCCATCCGGGGTCTGGATTTAAATAGGGTATTGAACACATCCGGGGAAGCTGCAAGAGTTTCGTCCATACAACTACCGACTCCGCATCCATGCGAAATTGAGTCCACGAGGTAGTAGAACTTTGTGGGGTTGAGGCTCTCATCCAATGGGAATACGTGGAGGGATGCTGAGCGTCCAATTGGGATGCGTGGATGGGCGTTTCCGCTTCCTGCATGAGGTGCCTCGGCGGGCTTTGTAACTCCACAGGCGCTGAGAGGCAATCCCACGATGCATCTGGGTATGCAACCTGAGGGCATATATTTTCAGTCTTGTCCGTCGTTCCTGAGCTGCCAGGATGCCAAGTTCGCAAAATCTCAAGCAACGACACCATGTCTCAACGCGGCAAACCTTTCTTCGGTCTTGAAGGCTCTGCTCTGTCATGGGCAATCAGCCTGTGCTCTGCCAGCGCCTTTCTTTTGTTTGGTAGGGCCGATTGCTGAGAGCCAACAAGTACAATATTGACCCAGGGTTCTCCAGGCTACGACCAAGGGATCATGGGGAGTATCATTTCTACTCCGTTCTTCCTCGAAGCCGTCGACATCGCGGTGGGTATTTCATTCATCTTCCCGGAAGTGGTGCTGACCGGATCCCAAAGGCCACCGATGCCGATACCCTTTCAACCGTTGTTTCCATATACGATATCGGCTGCATGGTCGGATGTCTTGTCGCTGTAGTTTGGGGTTCGTCTCTTGGTCGGAAGCGTACAATTGGATTCGGAATGTCCATAATGGTGGTTGGCAAGTAGAATGGTCCGCAATGGATATATCGGAACTGACTCTTGTTCAAGGCGCTGTACTGCAGGCCTCATCATACAGTGTGGCTCAACTGATTGTCGGGAGAATCATCTCAGGCATCGGCAACGGGATGAACACTGGGACAGTCCCAACCTGGGTCTCCGAGACATCCAAAGCCAAACACCGAGGGCAGTTGGTCGCGACTCAATTGTCAATTGCAGCCTTCGGTATTGTAATTGCGTACTGGATGAATTATGGCTTTTTCCACCTCACTGGGCAGGTTGTGTGGCGCTTCCCAGTTGGTACGTTACAAGTCTCTTTATCGTTGCATCAAATGATCCTGATCTTGTCGCAGCCTTTCAGGCAGTGTTTGCTATCGTCACCATTGTCAGCCTTTTCTGGCTTCCGGAAAGCCCGCGATGGCTGTATTCGAAGGGCCGAAACGAAGAGGCGGACGTGGTCATGTCAGCCCTGAAGGGTCTGCCGGTCGAACACGAAGTGGTCCAGGCCGAACGCAGCGAAATTCTTGCCGCGATTGCTTTGGAGGACCACTTTGGCGAATACAGTCTGAAAACCATCTTCTATGATCGATCTGGTCAGAAGATCCCTTTCCGAATGGCCCTGGTGTTCATCATTCAGATGATCCAACAGCTGCCCGGCGTACGGCGCACCCTGGCCTTCAGTCGATGATCAAATCGCTAACCATAGGATCCAGGTCAACATCGTCATCTATTATTCCAGCACTGTCTTCTTGCAGTTGGGAATCTCTGCCCAGCTTTCTCTGGTCTTGGGCGGCGTTGCATCCATTAGTTTCTGGGTGGGCTCATTGTTTGGGATTGCGCTCATCGAGCGAGTGGGTCGGAAGAAGCTGTTGGTCTCTGGGACAATCCCGATGCTGATTGGGTATTGTATCTACACGCCCATGGTCAAGAATGGAGGGACAGGGCAGCTCTGGGTGGCCTTCGGAGCAACTTGCTTAATCTGTGTGGCTTTCGGCTGGAGCTGGTTGCCGGCGTAAGTGAGCGATCGTCGAAGCTTTGGATGATAGCTGACGTGTTACAGTCCCTGGTGTCTCGGCCCCGAACTTGTGCCTGTGAGGTACAGGCATATCGGAAATGCGTTGAATGCCTTTGCAAACTGTACGTGAGCTAGCCCAGGCCTCCAAGATACTTATAGATTCCGAGTCAATGCTGACATTTGGTCAACCCAGGGACCTTTACTTTTATCATTGGTGAGTCCCGGCCATGCCGCGTTAAACTGTCAGTCAATATCTGATGTTTTGCAGTCAAGGTGGGCCCCATCGGTATCGCCAACATCCACTGGCGATTGTACATCGTCTTCATAATCTTTACCTTCCTGCAACTGCCCATTGGTAAGATCTGTGCGCGCTTTCTTCTCCTGGCCGGCTGTACTGACAGAATCCTAGTCTGGTTCCTTTATCCTGAAACTCGTGGTTTGACCTTGGAGGAGATCGACACGCTCTTCGTCAAAGACCACGTCGTGACAGATACTCTGGCGGAAAAGGCGGAGCAAGTGCGCCATTTGGAGAGCAAACATGCTGGTGTCATTTCATCTGTAGATGGTGCGTAGGATAACAGGATGAGCCGGACAACAGCAGGTAGCATTTTGCAGAATCGAAGTGGCATCAACTTGAGTGGATTAGCTGCATAGTCATGGATGTAGGATCATTTTCATGGCTGTGTCTGCCATAAGAGGAGCCTGACAACCATGTCAAATATCTCGATGAGCAGGGAGGAACTTGCCGTCCATCTGCTTTGGTCAAAACGGCCGTAAAATCCGTGATCGATGCATCTCACCAGATCCAGAACGAGCTGCAGACACGGTCCGAGGTGGACGTTTGAGGCGATCCCTTTCCGTGTGTTTTCCCGTAGTCGCAGGAGAGAGTGTTGCATAAGAGTGGAAAGCAGATGGCGAGGTGAAAAGGGGGGAAGAAGCAAGAAGTGACATTTGGGCATTTTGCGGGGTGCATGACACTAGGCGCAGGCCGTCTCGATGCTCGTCCTTCTCACTCCACATCAACTTCCACCAACATGTCGTCGACTCATCATCCCACCAACCCTGTCACCCAGCTAGAGTCCAATCAACCTGTCCGCGAAGATGCCATGATGCAGTTCAGAGAGATCGCTCCTGATCGCAAGAGAGAGCACGAGTCAAACCTAGGCCTTCCTACACCACTCGCACCCTCGCAACCTAACGTCAAAAGAACCAAAACCGAACAGGCATGTTCCAATTGCAGAGCGCTCCGTCGCAAAGTACGTCTCTTGTTCAATAGTCGTCCTCGCAAAGGGGGGAATTTCTGACTTGGGTTCAAAAGTGCAACGGAGGTAGCCCCTGCAAAACCTGTCAAGAGAACTCCCTTCCTTGTCACTATGGAGGCGACGTTCGTGCCCCGGAGAAACTCACGCTGGCAAAAGCGATGAAGTGAGTTCTTGATGGCTCTTGGTGTGTCTATGGCAACTCACAGTGGCCTGCGCGTTAGGAGAATTGCCCAGCTTGAGGACCGCTTGCGTATTTATGAGGGATACACCGCAGGACAGAGTCAAAATGAAGCAGGCTTGAGTCCTCCTCGCCATTCCGACCAAGTATACGCGACTGCCACCGAAGCAAGTCGGAGTGAGGACGACATGGCTCAGTTGTTGCGAGGCGTAAACTATCTGACCATCTCAAGAAACCCCGAGTTCTACGGAGGATCGTCATCGAATGCTATCATCAGTGCTGTGGAAGCAACAGAAGAATTAGGAGATCAGTCGTCTACCTCTCGGATGGAATGGCCCCTCAACAGAGCTAGCCTGTGGCTTGAGAATGCCGCCAACCTTAGGTTTGCCAAAGTTGCAGGATCATCGCTCCCTCCAAGACCGGTTGCGGACGACTATGTCAACCGATACTTCCAGACTGCCCATCGGCTATACCCTATTTTGAATCGCATCAGTTTCATGGAACGTTACCGAAACTTCTGGGAAGGCCTTCCCACGGAAGGAAAAGGGTATGAACTCTGGGCAGCTGTCTTGTACATGGTCCTTGCCCACGGTCATCAATGCAGCACTGTCGACCCAGATGATCGAGTCAGAAATGATGCTCTTGCTTCACAACATGGTGAGACCTGCTTCAACCTGGCCAAATCCACCTTTGTCGATGTACCCTTTTCTGGTGGCGACATGTCTGCGGTGAACTCCATGTTCCTCGCCGTGAGTGATGTCTAGATGCTGCAAGGCCTCTGATCCACCGGTTGCTAATAATACGGTCAGTTTGTTTGGCTCTTCAACCAACAGAGGTTGCACGAGGCATACGCAATGCTTGGGACTTCAGCAAGGATCGGCTACGCCATTGGCCTGCACAGAGAGCTCAAGTCGGTTGACGCTCATGTTCTTGATACTAATGGCTGGTGTGCAACTTGGTGGTGAGTCTAACGCCGTATTCCAGCCCGCTTGAGATTCATACTGAGGCAGAAACAGGTGCCTATTCATATATGAAACGTCCGTTCGCTATCTCTTTAGCAGCTTTGGCCTTTCTGATCTCTCATCAGGGAACTCGCGACGCTATCTGGTCGCCCTTGTGGCATCCAACCACGAGAGGTTGACGTAAGACCATTTCCTCTGGATACCTCGCCTATTGACCTCCAATATCTTGAGCGTATGCGGCAATTTTCCTACTTGGCTTGGGATGCGTATGAACAAGTTTACTCACTGGCCTTCAAACATTCTGGAGTCAGCGAACGTGCAGCGGCCCTTCGTGCAGCAGATGGAGCCATTTGCGCATGGTATGACGGTTGGTATCATGACTCTACATGGTCAAAGGAGCCTCATGGACTTGTTATTCGACTGCGTACGTACTTTATTACGCTTGGCTCAGGCCTGGTACTGTCGAAACTAATCGTCGTGTCAGGTTACCTAAATCTGAGGATCCTCCTGTACCGAGCCTTCCTCAACTTGGTCGTGCAGAAAAGAGAAAAGCAGATGGAAGTGAAGGAAGAGTCAGTCGTGGCGGCTGCAAGGTGCATCGAGATGGCGATGTCACTTATCCATGTTACCACCACTTCCATCAACGTTGGGAGTTCTGGTACCCTCCAAGCAGCCCTGTTTCATACTATGGGTTATCTTTGGAATGCGACACTTGCGCTTCTACTTTATGTGAGAAGCGAATCCACCCATGATCTTCTGGCGGCCACGATCCCTGACCGCGGCAAAATCATCGACACTATCGAATCTGCCGCGGTGTTCTTCACTAGGCATCAGGAAGCCTTACCGTTTGCTCGTGTGGCTTCTGAAAAGATCCGGCGGTTGTTAAAAAAGGTAGCCACCGGGTATGTCTCAAGTGACACTCCGAGTACCTCGACAGACATCCATGCTGGGTTCGCTGTCCCCAACCTGGAGTCACCGGATCGAATCTTGAATTTCGTTCCGGGATTTGACGTTCCAGCATTTGATATCCCTCGGTTCAATTTTGAGACGGCCTTTCCAGGATCCTCGCCACCAGTCGAGCTCCCGGGCCTTGAGGGTCGAGAAGACAATCGTGCTAACCCTCATTGGATTCCCGAAGGCGAAGGGTTCTATTTCTATGGCTCTCCTGACGCAGGATAGCAGGACCGACGGCCGAGGGCCAGAACAACCAGGCTCACAATCCAGATATCGTATTGTCTGGAAATGGAGACGGAAAAGACCCCAGGATCACTCTGCCGGTGGGGGAGCTGTTTGTACAATCGCGAGTTGACTGGAAATGAAAGTCTATTGCTTCCGCCAATTGGAATGCGTGGAGCGACTCACTCCGCAATACGGGGAAGCTCCAAAATGTGCCTGCACGTCGGTAGAAGTCCCCCGCTCCAACATCCCTCAACGATCCTTCAGCGCCCCATTGGGGCAGCCACCATGGCAGCCGGTCCAGGCAATGTCCATTGGAGCCAAAAGACATCAGACATCAGAATACTTGGAGGACATGCGGGCTTACGATCGTCCACCTTGACCAGAAGATACAGAAAACATATCGGCAACGACTAAAGAATGCCTCCCAGGCTAGCATTACTGGCAGTGCAGCACCCGTTATGCTACTCCTACTCAGAGCCCATAGCACATACTAACGGGTCACAAAACGGAATCAAGTCCGGCGACCCAAAACCCCTTTCGTCGCTAGCGAACCCAGAGACCATCGAGGACAGGGTGAGATACCTGTACGAACATCAACAGATAACAAACCTTCTCAACGAGTACGCCTATGTCCTCGACGCGTGCATGGTCGACCACGCCGCCGCGCACAAATGGGCCGCCCTGTTCACCGAAGACTGCGCCGTCACATATCCCTTTGGCAGCCACAGAGGCCGGGACGGGCTGGCACAGTGGGCGATGAACGCCGAGACGAGGTTCTATCGGATGCTGGTGAGTCTCGACACATCCCCTGCCCTCCTTCTCATGCACCCCAAGCCAGAAGAACCTTCCCGCGTACTCTATAACACAAAAGGTTCTTCTCTCGCGCATCGCCGCAAAGCATCTAACGCCCACTCGCATCCAGCACTCGTCCTCCAACGTCACCATCTCCTTCACGTCCGAGAACACAGCGCACGCCCGCTCCGCGCTGCACGCCATCTGCGGCACCGACGGCGACGACATCGGCAAGGTCTTCCAGGAAGGCGGGTACTATTACTGGAGTTTTCGAAGGGAAGATCAGGGGCAAGGTCAAGAACAGGGACAGGGACGGGGCAAGTGGAGGATCTCGTACCTGTTCCTCGACGTCAACTGGACGAGTGGCGATTCATTGGGACTGAATGAGCCGGGCGCGGCGGACTAATAATTGGCCACGAGAAGGGTCTTGCCATAGGCACGGAGGACATAGTTGTACTCGGTACACCCATTGGATTTCGGAATGGAAAGCAGTTCACTCTGATCACGCCATGTTAGAGCATCTGGGGGAATTTCTTTGTGTGGTGAACAAGTTTTATAAATATGGTTCTTCGTCTCGTCGCCTCGTCTAGAAGCGGAGCAGACTGAATTAGGCCGTCTCAGTAATCTTCCTTTCTTCCACGAGCAATAGTCCCCGTCATCCATCTCGTCTTTGGTCTCTTTCAGGACTCTTGATGTCTTTGAATAATTATTGTTCGGAAATCTTCCTCGATTCCGTCTCCAGATATGCAGTAGCTATTTTCACAAGCCAACCCCAGTTCGCCATCGAAGCTGGTTTGTTATGGGTATCATTCGCATGCTCTTGCAAAGCATAAAATTCTTCTTGCTTTTTCTGACAGCGAGCATGAGCAAAGTGTAGGGGCAAAAAAAGAACAACGTGTAGTACACAAACGATCGTCAATGTCATGAGATGACTAACACAAAAAGGAACAAAATAAATCTGAGCTTGCGAAATCGAGCATCAATCAACAAACTCTCAATATGTTGAAGGCCAATCTTGATCACCAGCGCTCGTGAGTCCCTGCGGTTCCAAAGGCGCTTCCTCTGTCGCTGGCGGGACTATTTTGTGCCGCAAAGAACGTCAAAGAGCCTCCGCCGGCACTGCCTCTGTCACCGTTGACATCGGTGCCGAAGTCAAAACGCTCAAACTCATTGAGACTGCTGACATCCGATTTAGCCTCGATATCTTCATAATCGTCGGCATCCGACACAATGCTAGCTCGAGCCGGGTTGTAGTGGATCGACGCTCTTTGGGGAAGATGTATCGCTTGATGATTTGCACTCCCACCAAAGAAGCGATCTTGATTCTCCTTCGGACTCTCTCGAGGTATCAGTTGCGAACGAGTGGCAGGTGGAGGTAATTTAGGTGATGGGGTGGGCTCGCCAGGAGTGTAACCAAGGCGAGAGGAGTTGGCCAATCGCGCAATGCGGAGATTCTCTTCTGTCAAGCCATGACCAGGAGGGCTGCCCGAAGTGGGTGACTTGACCCCTTTTGCTCCAAGATTGGCCGTCTTGATGGGTGGCGGTGGTCGTTTGCTGGAGGGCGGCTTCGCAATGACGGGTGTATCTTTCACAATCGGGGAGTATTGCGATATAGACGAGGCGCCGTTGTAAGCACCAGGTGAAAGAGCCTCAAGCCGCGATGGTGCCTGTGCTCGGTTGCTTAGGTTCATGGTGGGAGAAGGATCACGCAAGCGGAACGCCGACGAGGCTCCCGGTCGTGGAGAGGCATTAGGGTTTAATCGCTGGGGTACAGGACTTGGCCCGCTTCGTAGGACGGGGCTTGGGGCTGTCCTCGGGATCGGACTAGGGCCTGAGCGTGATGTTGGAGGTTGGCCTCGCTGGCCCGGCGTGCTGTTACTTCTGTTCCTGTTTGATCCTTGCTCCCAGGTTGAGGGTGGCTGCGCTCCTCGTCCGGATGTCGATGGTCTCGCTGATGCGCCTGGGCCGCGCATGTTTCTGTACGGGGAATTTGCGGTCAGAGATCTTGGTTGATCAAAAGATCGATCCTGTCCAGAAGATTTCGATTCTTGAGGGGTGAGCGGACGAGCAGCACCGATTTGCACCGAGGGCCACTCAGACATGGGAGTTGGTGGCGAGGTGGAAGACGGAAGCTCGGTTTGAGTGACCGCCGGAGACTTTTTCTCAAGGCCCCTGGGGCTAGATGTGGTAGACCTGCTGCTGCTTGAGCGGCTGCTCAACTTTTCACCCTTGCCTGTCATCACAAACTCTGGTTCAACTTGCAGGTCCCTCCGATGCCTCCGTCTCATGAAGAACCAAAATAGACCCAAGGAGGCCAGTAATACCACAGCTATAGGGACAACGATCGCTGGGATCAAAGTACCAAGGTTGGAACTGGACTGCTGGGCTGCGGCACTGCTTGTTGCGGCAGCCGATGTCGTCGAGGACCGCAGAGTTGTCGAGGTGGAGGACGCAGCCGCGGCTGCTGAAGTGAGGGAGGCATATTCGGCTGGGTCGGTGATGGTTCTGGTTCTTTCAGTTGTAAAAGTGGTTTCAATGCCTTGACCAGTAAGGCTCTGTTCTAGGGTCTGGGTTTCGGTGACGGTGGTGAATCCCGACACTGCCTGCGCCGTTACGATAGAGGCGGTGACTGATGGGTCTGTGTTGACAGAACTCGGAGCTATTGACGGCGGAAGACCCGATGTCGGGTTTGGTATGATAGAAGGTAGGGAGGAGGTGAAGGCCGAGTTCTGAGACTCTCGTTTGTGAAGCATTTGGCCGTGTCGGAACATCCTGCCTTGGATTCTATGGCAGCAGGCAGGATGGACTGAACTCGTCGGCTGCAATCAGGTCGCAGAAGAAGACGGCGAGAAGCGAAGGCAAGATCGGTGAGGTGCTGGCGGTACAAAGGGTGTCGTCGCAAGCTCCTTTTGCGTGCGGGCACTATCCCAGTATAGCATGGGGCCAGTACCTGGTAAATTGAGAGATCATCGGGCGAAGAAGGTTAGCGTGAGGCCATCAACGGAGGGGAAATTGGATGTGCAGTCTCGAGGAAGGCTCATGCCACTGTAGAGACGGTGAGGTGGCTCGCAAGAAACTTTGGCAAGAATGATAACGGCAGTGCAGAAAAAGAAGGTTCTCAACGGCCTGCACACGCGTGCCGGATTGAAACGTGGGCAAAGACATGTGCGAGAGAGTTTTTGATTCAGAGCAGTGGATAGAGGAAAGGCGCCTCACACAGGGAAGGCTGGTGGGCGCGTTGAGGGTGGCACAAGGGAAGGAGGTGTTTCGGGAGGCCCAAAAAGGAAAGGATACGAAACAAGGTCAAACACCAGGCTGCGCTCCAAATGGGCCCTGGAGTGACATTCCGGGCTGGTGGCTCCAGGAAACACCAGTAGCAGTCTGGATACTGGAGTAGCAGTACCCACCAGTCTGGAGCACAATCATCAACCCACCTTTCCGACCTGCCGATCGCGAGAAAGCGTCGAAGCTGTCCAAAGGGGGTTGGAGGGCAGTCCAGTGGAAAGAGCTCGCTTGACAGCTTTTGACGTGATGACTCGCATTATGTCGTCACTGGCTGCAGATGGAAACATTCTGATACTTGTCTCATACAGTCAACGTCTGCATGCGCGAACAAAGAATGTGGTTGAAGGCAACAGTGAGAGATCGACGGAGGGGACGAGGTGGGATGAAGCTCAGTGAAAATCTCGAAAAGGGGGAAGGTTAAAAATAGATTAGGTCACGTGCCAGCCAAGCTGGATTTTTCCGGGGAACTAATTTTCCGATGCACGAGGCTGCAGCCTTGTGCACAAGATAAAATATTGACGGTATATAGGCGTATAACCCTAGGTTCTTGGGTGGGCGCAGGAAAGCCTTCATTGGAGCATGTGGCTGCTGGGAATGCCCGAGATAGTGTCTCATTCTCTGCGCTCAATTAATTCAACGAAAAAGACTTATCAATGTAGTCTCTAGGTTGGACGTGAAGTAGAAGACACTTTACAAGCTTGCTGAAATCAGGAGACTTTCCAACACAGGATTGTGCCGCAGCGCTTCCGAATTCATCACTGAGTGCTATCATGGCTTTGGTGGCCAGTCACAAATGTCCCGAAGAACGCAGTCACACTCTGAGCCTGGTGGCCTGGAGAAAAGAGGAGATTCGGAATTATTTGCTGCAGGCTACTGGTCGCTGATTAGGCCCTTAGGATTAATAAACCCAACGCCCACCGGTAAGTCGAGCCCCGTGGCACTGGGCGAGCACGGGCGGGGCTCCTCCTAAGCCCGGCGATTCGATGCTTATCAAGTTCTATCACCTCGCCGCCAACCAATCGCCTGGGTGTGCTTATCCCCCAGTCACCGCTGCGAGGGTCTTCACACCCCGCCTATTGGTGCTTCCTTGAAATGGCTCGGCGATGCTCATTCGCCATCTCGACCTGTAAGCGCCTGCTGCTGGTGCTGCCATGTAAGCACCTCCCACCTTTTCCATGGCCGGCTTTTATGAGACCTGCGCATTCTCTGCGGCGTCTTCTCTCCTCATGCCATGCCAATAAGTCGAGATCCCTGTGTCCTTTTGATGGGTACTGAGAGACTCGACATCCCACAGCGGCGACATCCAGTTTGAACATGCAACGGTATTAGTAGGCACATCTCATCTACAGACGGACCAACGCACCTTCGCCTGTGGCCCTTCAGACAAGTGAGACAAGAACGCGTTCTCCAGATACCTTCGCCATGAAGTTCTTCCTTTCACGGCGTTGGAAGCCGAACAAATGGCCTTTCTACGGCCTGGTAGCCTTGGAGATCCCATTGACCATCGCACTTCTGGCATTATTCGGCATTGCCTCTCCAGACACCTACCGAACGAGGCTCTGGCAAGATGGCGCGGACAATGGCTTCAACTCGAGCCCGTTGACAGGGCTCTATGCCGCGGCCAACTATCGGCCCTATACCACTCCCAAGGTCTGGTCGCAATTGTGAGCCTCTTCCATTCAGACTCCAAAATCGAACACTGACCTCTTGCGACAGCATTACCGACTACAATGTCGCAATTACCGTCCTCTCCATGTTCATCATGCTGGTCAAGTCAATTATGTACATGCTCCATGTATTCCCTCCGATCCTCTCCGTCCTGGTTCACACCGGCCTCCTCATCTTATACGCCGTCTCCGTGGACTACCAAGCCAGCAGTGACACCACCGACCCCGATCACCCTCAGCACGGTGCACCCTGGTACATCACCAAATCCTGTAGCGTGGCTCATAACAAGAACAACATCGGGTACTGTACACAGGCGAAAGCTAGCTTTGCATGTACTTGCGCCATGCTGGGCGTTTTCGTTACATATTTCGGCTTCGCCGCGTACTCGTGTTTCCCCAGCAAACAACAACGCGAGGAATATGCTGAGAAGCAGCGAATCAAGGCCGAACGCTGGGCAAAATTTGAGACTTACCAGGACGATGTGACGGGCGAGACAATTGTACAAGGCTACCCTGTGCCCGATACACCAGGTCTTTCGACTGGTCGACTGAACCCCATGACACCGCGAACACTTGCATTCAACACGTTGGGTGGAACGAAGGATCTTCCATTGCGGAACCACTTCAGCTCTCCCAACGTCCAGGGCACTACCTCTCCATCCTTTGCGATTCGGAGTCCCGATTTGCCTAGAAGCCCGATGAGTCCGGGATTCGTTCAGCGAGTGGGCACCGGCTCCGAAAAAGCGAATGGCAAATCCCCTGAGATTGGCATGGGTCTGGCAGAATCAGCTACACCACAGCTATACTTCCCTCCTCCACCAAAGACGTCGAAGAAGTGAGGACTTAACTGATTTGTCTTCTCTCCTGATGGAGCATTCTGGTATGAGATGTGAGCTATGAGCTCGATGATCTGGGAGCGTGAATCGCTGATGGAAACTGATAATTTACAACCAGTTGATATTCGATGTGGGCGCAGAGACCGGTTATTTGGTGGTCAATCAGTCTTATGATGAGGCGTCACGGATTAACCCCTGGAATGAGAAGAAGGGAGGGAGCTTGCACAGAGGAGCTCAAGGGATCATAAGGATCTATGTACAATCTTGCACAATTCAGAATCGAACTCTTATAGACGCTTGTCCAGGATGATGTGAGTTGACAGGTAAATTGCCGTCATACGCTCTGTGTAAGAGCACACCTCACACGCTCGTTCGGGATTGAACATCGATCTTAACGAAGAGTCAGCGCCCCCCTGCATTAGACCACGTTATCAAGGCTATGTACCTCGTATTTCGAGACCCGTGTCGTGCAGTTTGGACTAATGAGTATCAAGAACATACTCACCCCGTCGCGGTCTCACCCCAACGGTCCTAATCGAAAACGAATTCCTAGTCTCTTTCACGCCAAGGCGCGTTACAAGTCTGCGCGATCATGCTTCAATGTACCTATCAACCTAGGATCTCGAGTCTGTGCTGGGCTGGAGTGTTTGGCTCTCCATGTTTCTGCACGGGCTCGGGGCGGTGCGCCGTCCGCACCCTACCCTGGTTCAACAGATGGACGAGGGTAGTTTCACTGAGTCTGGCGGCAGTGTTGGGGCCAGGTCGGGCGAGCTATGGTACCGTAGCTGTTTAAGAAGCAGCAGCAGCAGCAGCAGCACCTCGGATTCCATGTCAATGCAACCCAGAGACGAGGAGTGAAGTCTCTAGTCGTACTTCAGCCCTCGTGGACAAGTTCTGGAGCGGTGGATAAAGAGACCAGCGTGTCTTTGACAGCTTGATGAACCACGATGCATTCACCATGGATATATATAATACTTGGTCGGTATAAAACGCATGACCCATTCGTAACGCCGTTACATCGATCGATCAACCATCGACAACCATTACCGCGAAGAGACGCTCTGGGGTCGCACAGAGTCGGTGGCAGGTCCGCCCGTCAAGTTCGCCACAAACTCCTGGTATCGAAATACATCGCCGCCTTTCTTTGGGGCAGGGTCCTTCAGGCCTCTTACCCCAGCGATACCAATAACATTTTTGCCCAAGATTCTTCTCCCTGTGAAGCCCTCCATGGCTCGATCGATGTCCCTCCCCGTCAGCTGCCGTTCTCCTGGATCTGGCACTGTGCTCAATAAGGCTGCACGGAGCTCTGCAACATCGATCTGCCCACTATCGTCGTCGTCGAATGCAGAAAGAGCATTGAGAAGCTCTTGTTGAGGTGATAGTCCGACCAATATGTTCGCTAGCTGATTGAGATATTGGGGAAGGGACATTTGTTGCGGCTGTCCCGGTGGAAAGAATTGGGACAGATTGCTCTCGTGTAGTCCAAGAGATTGTAAAGTTTCGGCCACAGAAGAGGCGTCGATTGTGCCGTTAGAGTTGGAATCAAGGACAGAAAAGGATTCGCGCATATTATGCAGAAGTTGTGGCGGGAGTTTTGAGAGGCTATCATTTTGAGAGAGCATACCATTGGAGACGAGCCTTCGTGGTTCTCTGCTAGTTGCATTCTTCGAATTGGCCATTAAGAGCGGGCCTGTCTCATATTTCGAGGGCGAAGAAGCTTGCGAAAGACGAGCCGTTGTTGGTGAAGGAGGGGGTTCAGTTTGGGCTCTTCTGAAGGGCGGCTCTGTGGTGGTCTTGGAGGGGGTCGACACCACGATCTCGTCCTCCTCCTCTTCTGACACGGTATAAGCATGCTTGAGTTTAGATGGTGAAGTCAATGGTGAAGCGGCGCTTCTGTTGGTTGGAGGAGTTGCGGGTCTCCCTCCATTGACGAGTGTAGGGGAACCTGGTGAACCAGGACGGCGAAAAGGCGAGGAACGGGGAGAGTTGTTGAATGTAGATTTGTATGATGTCTGCATAGATGAGGTCTTAGTGAGCATGCAAGACAGATGCGAGCAACAAGAGGGATCAAACCTACCATTGTGACCGTCAATCAAATCCTATACTCTTACGTTCGCTTCAGTTGCTGATCCGAGGGTTACTGTAGTTGGTAGTTTCGGCGCAGACGAGTCCAGTCTTCTCGGAAAAGTCGCTGCTTCATGCAGAGAGGTAGTTTGCAGTGTTCACTCGGTTAGAGATAGCTGGTAGGTGGTGGAGTGAAGTCCCTCTCGTCAATGTTGTGAATACAACAACCATCTCCAGGCATGTGATTGTGTAAACAAGCTGATGTTGGCAGGGCAGCAATATCAGAAGTCATTGGTGGAAGGTTTTGCGAGCTTCGCGGGAGGGGGCATCTGGGCGCCCGTGGCGTCTTAAACCAAAACTCCCAATCAGCACCATTCAATCCAGTCTCGGGCGCTAAAATGCCGATCTCAGGGGCTTCTTGGGCCAACGATCGCAGGGGTGAAATTTATGGGGAGCCTCCGCAGCGCAGGGGATCGGCTGCCCCCTTCAACATGCAGTCCCTTGGAACTGAGAGCAAACCTTGGACCGTATCCCAGGCGCTGCATGTCGGATCTCTGGCACACGTTGACTGCCGGGGGCCTCTGACACGATCCGCCAGAGACTGTGGACAAATACAGCCTTCTGAGACTTTGATACTTCCTCTCAGTCGCCTTTCGCCTCTCCTCTCCTGCGGCATGCTCGACCCCGAACAGCGCTAATGATAAAGACACGAAACATTGTCCCTACCCAACCTAGAAGACCTGACGACGACAACGACATTTACGAAGCCATGACCGAAACGCTTGTTTATCGACCTCACCCTGTGAACGTGAGCGGGCACCATGACCGACCAAGATCTACCTCTTCCAACTCGGGCTCTCACAAGTCCACCTTCTCTCATTACAAAGTGTCCTCGCAAAGCTCCCTTGTCCCGCCATCGCCTAGGGGCTCCTATCGGTCTTCCCAGAGAGTCTCCACGGTCTATGAGGACGGACCTTTTCGTCCCTCGAAGCGATTGAGATCGCAATACCCTCTACATTCAAGCGAACCTCATGTGGAATACATCCTTGTTGCTTCGTTCGATATTGATCGGGGCCCAATTATGGAACATCAATTCCCTGGTGCAATTAGCCCAGATGAGAACATGTTGGCCGAGCTGATGCTTCCGGACCAAACACATGTCCGGCCACAAGACTGGACCATGTTCTTTTTGCACAAAGACGCTGGCACAAGTGAAGATGAGGCCGCCGAGCGAGAAGCTCGAAGGCTCCAGCGGGAGGCAAGGAGGCGCGCAAGAGAAGCTGGTGAGGCTGTGGATGTCGAAGGAGAAGATTCCGCAGACGACACCAGTGGTGATGAAAGTGACGCAGATGACATGGACAGCCCTCCACTAATGTATGTCTTGAACCTGGTCAATACCAAGCAAGACAGCTCGGTGAAAAGAGGCGCCATCGTAAAGGCAATGGCGATTTGTACGAGGCACTCTTTTCTCCACATATACAAGCCGCTCTTGCTGCTCGCCCTCGAGGACTACTTCAAGTCACCGACGTCAGACACTCTGGAACTCTTGTATAATGCCCTGAACGCCATGGACTTGTCTCTGATGCCACGACTGTCACTGCTAGAGCGACACATTTTACAGGCAAGCGACGTCAAGGACATGTTTGTGGAGAAATTTGAACAGATGATTGCCCAACGGTTAGCAGACGAAGCCCTTGCGAAGACCTCAGACGCCCCCGAGTCGCCGACAAAGCAAGAGCAGAAATACTCGGTTCCCCGAGACACACACGAGTTTGAGTCAAAGATCGTCTATAACAGCATCCCGATCCCAGTCAAGATCCCTACAGCTTTATCGCCCGAGACAGTGGGCGATTTCTCCCTCATCAAGCTTGTCCAGATTTTTGGCAATCCCCATCTATCTCAACCTCAGCCTTTTGCTTTACATCCCCATCTCACAACTTCTGGCGCCTTCACGCATCCCATTATTGTCCTCATCAATGCCATGCTCACCCAGAAACGAGTAATCTTCCTAGGCCACAATCGACCATCCGGAGAGGTCGCGGAAGCTGTTCTCGCGGCCTGCGCATTGGCTTCCGGTGGCGTGTTAAGAGGATTCACCCGTCACGCGTTCCCATACACCGATCTGACCAAGATCGACGAGCTTCTGAAAGTCCCTGGGTTTATTGCCGGTGTCACAAATCCTGCGTTCTCCTACCATCCTGAGTGGTGGGATCTCCTCTGTGACTTGCCGTCGGGCAGAATGAAAATCTCATCCTGCATTGAGGCTGCACCAGTCACAGAGGGGACAACCTTTTTCCAACAGCACGGCCATGCTGTGCTGACCCACAAAGATCACCATCACTCAGATGCTACAGGAGATGGACTCTTTATGGAAGATATCAGTCGAAGCATTACATCTCGAGCCGGCGAGTCTATCATTCGAGCTAAATTTCGAGCCTATATCACCAAATTCACTCGCATAGCGGCGGCCTTTGAGGAGACTGTGTATGGAGCCAGCAATCTCACAGTAATACCGCCAACAGAGGTAGACAACGTGGATGCGACTGCTACCACACCAGCTCCCCCAGCACGGCCGATGTCACTCAAAACATCCAGTAAGAACCTGAAAGGGCATGGTTATGTCTGGCCGAGCGACGAGGCCAAAACTCGCGAACTGGCGGCATCCGCAGCCAGAATTGAAGGGTGGCGTAACACACGATCCTACTACGCATTCATCTCCGACCTGGCGGCGCATGCACAGGACCCGATTTCTCCAACCTCCCCAGTCAGTATGACCAAGATGCTAGCTCGAGCACCTACAAAGCCGTATGTGGATCTGTATCATTCGTTATCCAAGCTACGGACTCTACACCTGACTCCGACGGAAGCCGGGGCCATCTATCTAGCTCTGGACGCATATTGCACTGACTACGAGAGTATTCTGGAGCTGCTAGAGATGGCTCCCATGTCAGAAGCAGGACTCTTCTACGTCGCTCTGGGTCTCTGGCATGAAGACTGGCGAGTTCGAGAAGCAGTGACGAGTCTCCTGGACCGGGTCAGACAACACCCCGCGGGCCGAGTGTTTTTCAACCGAGTAGGAGGTTGGGCTACCATGGGCTTCAATAGACGTCTGCAGGAGAAGGAAAATAGACTACGCTCCCAGCAACATGAAGCCGAGCTGGGCCCGCTCGTCCTCGACGCCGACCAGAGACGAAGCTGACGTGGAGGATCGTGATTGTTGGAGAGACAATGATTGTTCTGGGCCGAAGCGAGAACATGTCACTCGTATGACATGACATTGATCTGTAGATACTGGATGAAGCACTTGGATTGGCCGGTGGCAGAGGAAGAGACGGAAATGACCAATTATATAGGATGACCAATGATATGACGACGAGCCACACAGACGATTTCTCCCATGCCATAGAATGAGGATCACAAAGGTGAGTGACAATCGCCAGCATGACGAATTCGAGGCGCAGTCGGAGACTCTCAGATGCCCAGATTCCCTCTCGTCGGCCCCCTGATTCTCGTCATCTCTCGCCATGGTGGACTGTGGTGGTGGTGGCTGCTGCGACTATTGAATCTTGGCAGTTCAAGCGAGTCGCCGGTAAATTCGTCTCCTTCACCCGCGTTCGAACTCGACCCATCAGCCGGGAACTCCTCATCAACGTCCCCAGAGCAAGTACGAATGCCTCCTCTCTACTGGCTGAGGCTCTCTCAAGGCGGACTATTCTTCCTCACTGTGTTTGATTTGAAATGCCTGAACTTCAAATGTGTTGAGCCTTGACGACGGCCACGTTCTCGTCCAATTCTCTCATGCGGTTATTGCCCTAGCGCGAACCCGGCGTCAGCCCCTTCCGACCCCCGTCAATCGCTTGGACCTCTTCTCTCGGTGTTGGACAGCACTTTCTCGTGCTAAGAGGTGGAATGGGGCTCTTGATATCGGTTAGACCAGGAAATGATCGACCGTCTGACACTTCTGGACCACGAAAGGGGGCCCAGAATCCCTCTAGGTTGGCGAAATGAACATCCCCTCGTGGTTGAGTGTCTCTGGCACCAACGACTATGGGGAAACGGAGGACCACGAGAGCGCCACCGAGCGCCTCTCTAGCCATAAGCCATCCAAGTGCTCGGACGCTTACCAGAAGGAATTTGAGGCTTTCCGCTTTCGAACGCCTCCTTAACGCCCTGTGGATGCAACAATCCAGGCTCGCATGGAACATGGTCCAAAAATTGTCCACATTCCAATGGTCGGCTTCTGCTAACGCTGACTGGTAAAGATACCGCTCAGATGCTTTCGATGGGCCCAATCTCCAAAGAAAACATGGGAATAAACATCCTGGTAGGTGTGTGTTGACTAACCTGCCGGGTTGCTGCAGGTCTGATCATGTTTCTTTGTTTTCTTCAAGCTTTTGCTGTGAGCATTGTTCTTATGTCGCTGTCTTCCGGTCTTGCTGCGACAACACAGCGAGAACAACCAACTAACCTTTAGCCATTCCTGCGGCTCAGACAAGTCTCGAACCGACTCTTCGCTTGTCCACCTTGAAACCATCTATTCCCGAAACGGCACAACGTTCTGTTCCGCGGCAGATCAGCAGGATCAGCGCCCAGGGTACAACACGTGTGACATCGATCCCCAGACTCCGAATCGGGTGGGATCAACTGAATATCAGCAAGAGAAGACCTCTTGTGACGCTTTGGATCTGGATCTCTACGAGGGTGAGGCTCTTACAACGTCTAAGAGACTCGATACCTATCTCAGCATCCCTAATCTTGATGTGATCGCCTCACCAAGGGTCACGACTTGCCTGCTATAGTCCGTGCCTCGAGGAGAACTCAGAGGCGTCCGTTCTTTACCATCGACCATTATCTTTACTCACGCTCCTTGCAATCGCCTGGCGCTGTCAAAGACGCCGGCGGCCATGTCAACCTATTCCACAAAGCCGCTGCAGCTGCGGGCGCGAAGGCACATCCACAACTGTACGACAATAACGACAACAATAATCTCATTAATGATGGCCCTAATTGTCATGGCGACACCGACGTGTGCGCAAGTGATGGAACTGGATGTGCAAGTTTATGAATCAAGTTTCTACCAAGAGTTAGCTGCAAGAGGGGAGATACACATTGACCGTCGGGAGCCTCCCCCTCGCCGGAATGTTTATCTCGAAAGGAGACAGGCCGGGGACAGTGTCGTGCCGACAACAGTGACCGAACCTACCTCTACCTCGACATCTTCGACCTCGTCCTCAGAAGTTACAATCACTTCTTCCGCCGACCCGACATCGGCTATCAGCACTGAAACCAAGACTCCTCTGTCGACACCGGGCGTCTCGACACTAACCGCACCTAGTGTTACAGTCGTCACCACTCCGTTACCTACTCCCTTCGACACCTCTTTAGGCAGCAATTTCACCAGCTCGTCCTGTCCCGAGTTTTTCTCCAACTTTCTCAACAACTCGACCTTTCAATCCTGCGTCCCCGTGTCCCTTCTTCTGCAAAACTCCAATTCATTCTTCCGTGCGCAACGGTCATTTACACTCCTTACGCAAACTCTTGACGCCGCGTGCAATGCACCCTTGGCGATCTGCTCGCCTTTGCTAAGCAGTCTCGCCTCACAGTTGATCGACAACGCCAACTGTGGCGAGGACTACAAGCAGCAGAATCCACTCGTGTCGCAAGCCTACGCGGGATTTCTGGCTTATGAGCCGATCTATCGCGCCACATGTCTCAAGGACCAAAGTACGGGCAATTACTGCTTCAGCGAAGCCATTACAAACTCGTCCAATGCGGCCGATTTCTACCCTTACTACACGGCGGTAGGGCTGTCCATGCCTGAGACAGCACGACCCACTTGTAGCCAATGTCTTCAGGAGACGATGCAAATCTTTGCCGGGTATGCAGAGAACGCGGCGCAGCCCCTGGCCAAGACGTATCTTCCATGCGCGACCCAGGTGGATCAGAGCTGTGGAAGCGGGTTTGTGAATACGCAAATCAAGGCTGGTAGCGTGGCCAGTTCGAACGCTGCAATTGGGGGAAAGAAGCTAGTCCTGAGCTCGCCCCTCCTGGTCATTGCAACACTGGCGATGGCACTCCTTGGCGTGGTGTACTGATTGTGATGTTTCTGGTACATTTGTATACCCAGTGGTGTTTGTTGGAAGGGAGGCCGGTGGCGGCCACAGGCAGTCACGAGCGCAGTGGGATATGGTGGCTCTGAAAAGACCATGGATGGCGGGGTAGAATTTTTGACACAAATAGCGCAGGCGTTGGTGGACAAACTGATCCGGGCTGTATGAATGATATTTGCAATGAACAGAAAGGAGACAAGACAGTCCTCTGGGCCTCTGACTCCTGTATGTAGGATCTAACGCCTTGTTTGGCGGATTGATGGTTAATGGCACTAGCTTTCCAAATCCTGTGCCGCGTCACGTCCGATAATCTCTTCCATGAGTACAGGGCCCAATATAGAAACAAATGCACAAAGGTATAGATATATCCGTGGTCGCCATAACCTAGCTATACTCATACTTATCCGGCTAAAATTATCCGTCCGGTCGGCCATGCCAGATGCATGACTCTGTATCTTGGGTTAGTTCCACTTTCTCTAGAGGGTTGCGTGGCCGCTTCAGGCAATACTCGTTGGTCCCTGTGAGAGGGGTAACGAGTACGAGCAATCCGGAGAGGACTCCAGAGGCTTCCTTTCGCCACTCCGGCCTCTCTCACTGTGGCGGTAAGTTATTTGATGGGTAGACCGACACAGCAGTAAGCTGGTTCGGAGGAGACTCGTCGCTCTTGCGTAGAACCCGAACCGGACGGGTCGGGTCCAGAGTGTAGTGCGCATTCGCCCTTGTAATATCTACTGCTACTGTTGTTGTGATTGCTACATATATCTCCTGCTTTGTCTCCTCCAGTGCCTCTCTTACTGAGAATTACCAAGCTCTGCACCGCTCCGCCTGCTTCCCTAATAGCTGGGCGGGTGGAGTCTCGAGGATCTGGCCAGATGCGCTCTGGCCAGGTCAAGGATTTCCGCTGAATTTGTCGGTCAGTGGCCGCTGCCTTGGAGACTTTCCATCTTCGAAACTCACGGGACCTACCAACGTCGTTCCTTGGGTCATAGCCTTTATCTGACTTGACTGTCCTTGGCCAACATCTCTCGATAGCCTCGAAGATCTACGCTCCCTCATGCACCACGCTCAGCCCCCAGGCTTTTTAGATTAGGGAGGTGAGCTTCAAAGCCAAAGTACTGTGAGCTCCCCGAGTCTGGACCTGGCAGCCAGGGATTAATATGGTTAGCGCATCTAGATGATACTCGTATAGCCAATCACATATTTTAGAATTAGTGATGGACTCCACCATGACTAGCGAGAGGTCCACGAATAGTAATCACCGCAGGTTGCGATATCATCCATTAGAACAATATACCGACCTACTCCTATACAGACTATCCATGTCCAAACGGTTCACACAGGCTTGATCTGACCGGTTTCTAGTTTTCTCTGCATCAATTAATACAACTCGAGACCTTCGCTTCTACTTTGGCTGGTCCTGGCTGAGTCCCCGGTGCGACATTGATCCCGCGCGCCATCTCTTTCGAGAATGGCAACAATCGTACCAAAACCCAGTAATGTTCCAGGTGGGCCGACCAATCCAAGACGACGACGAGGCCGCCCTCGTCTAGCGGACCGCCAGCTTACAGACTCTATCGAAGAACCACTTGCGGTATGTTCATTGATCCCTTGCCTTGTTCCGCCCTCGACGCCTATTCCTAGCTGTTGCTTTGGATGTGCCCCTTAGTCGCATCGTACAAAACGCAACAAGTACAACGCATGTTGTGCAAACCGCCAACTCCACTCCCGTCGAGCCATTCTCGTTGGTTACACGCCAGCTAAAATATTTCGTCCTGACAGCGCCGCCGGCTCTATACCCGCCTGTCGCAGCGCGCGTGGCGGGACCGCCAAAGGCAAAAGCTCGCCTCTCAAGAGGCCATCATCAATGACATCCGCGCTGCGGTCTTGCGCTTGGAGCGTCTCGCTGTCCAGAACAAGGTGGTGGAGAAGATGCCCCGGTTTGCCACCGAGGTGTTCAGGTGCGTGGCGTTGGTCAGGGGCGTGGGCGCTGGGATCACAAGTGGAAGCGGGAGCGCAGACGTAAGTGGGAGTGAGAGAGACAGTCGGGGAGGGACAGGGACAGGGACAGGCACCGAGACGAGCAGTATTGCGTCGATGGCACCGGATCATCTGATGCATCCTACCATGGATATAGAAGCGAACACTGGGCGTGCGAGCGTCGACATTGCCGTGGTTGACGCCGGCGGTCGAATGCGATCTAATGTCAATGTGCTCGGCGGGGCCGTCGGCGACAGAATGATGCAGAGTCAGGACGGTCTGGGGTTTGAGAAGCTGGGACAGAACATCGCAGACGATAGTTCTTTGCAGTCTCTTCTAAGCCATGGTCACGGAGCCAGACCCATGTTCAGCTCCTCTTTATCACCATCAGCAGCAGCATATCCTGCCGCCCGAGACCACAATTCTACGAAGCTGTCAGGCTCCGTTGTCTTACAAGTCAGTATACTTCCTCAGACAAGCTCTTGTATTTGCACCCTCCTCTATCCTGTCCCATCTCTTTCATGCAAAGACTCTTGGGCCAAAAAGCTGAACTGTCCAACCCAGCCGTCACATCCCAGCCTATCTTCAGCCTCAGTTCCCGGCCCGATGCGCACCATCACCCCGCTCTGGACCTACAGCATCCACGAGACCAGCTTCTCGCGCCGCCTCCACCGCTCCTGCATCGAGCACTGCTACCGCCTGCTCTCGTCCCACCACACGCGCCGCGCCGAGCTCCTCCGGACGCTGAAGTTCCCGCTGGCGGCACGCCTCACGGTCGACGAGCTGCGGCGCCGCGCGAGGGAGCTCTTGCTCCGCGGCACCGACCAGAGCCTCCACTACGAGGCAGCCGTGGACGAGGGCGATAGCATGTCGCAGGTGATACGGCGGATCGTGAGCAGCTCGAGGCGGCCGCTGACGTCCTTGCTCCCGAGACCGGCTTCGACCTCCTTCTTCTCCTCCTCCACCTCCTCCTCCTGGACCTCAAGCATCACGACGCTCGAAGAAGGCGCGGATGCACCCCACGCGGCGACCGTCTCCGAGATCCACGTCTCGGGATACGAGGGCGCGTGGCTCGGCCCAGACGGCGTGGCGCTGTACCTGCACACCCTGGGCATCCCCATTCAGGAGAGGCCCTCGAGCATGACCGTGCCGTGGGCCGTCCCGAGCAATGCCCTCGAGGACATGGTGCGAGGGTCCACGAGGGCGCCGTATCTCCCACCGCCCATGCCAGCAATGCATACGCACGCGCAATTCTATCCGCCGCACGCGGTGGTGGTCAACATGGACCTCGATCTCATGGTGGACACCCTGACGCAGAGGTCGGTCTGTGTGGACACGCCTATGTTTCGGAAGGAGGACGTGGATAAGATCGTGGTCGACGCGCTGGTCTCGTGGTACAGGGCTGCGTCTGGTGGTGAGGAGGGCCGGGACTGTTAGGCGGGACTGTTAGGCGGGACTGTTAGGCGGGATGGGCGTGGGAAATCAACCAAGTATAAAGTGGAAAAAAAAAAATAATATAGATCCTCCGTTACCTCTGTCCGCGCTCTATCAACAAAAGTTCCCCCCTCCAGATCGCGAGATGTCTATAAAAGTAACCGAGAAAAACACCATACCGGACGGGAGCCTGAGATGCGAGCAATTACGTCGCTCGATCAGACGCCCGCAACAACCTTCACGAACAATCTCTCTCGTCTCATCAGCAACGCCGCCACCAGCGTGACCGCGCCGGCCGCGATGCCCATGATGTACACGCTGTCGATGGCCCCGATGATGGCGCCGACCGCGGCCTCCCTGACCTCGGCGTTGCCCTGCTGGAAAATCACAGACTGGGTCCCGGCGATGGCGTTGCGGATCTCCGCGTCCGAGTACCGGGTTGCATTCGTCCCGCCCGACACCCCCGCGAGCCCGCGCTTGAGGTTGTCGAAGGCGACGTTCTGGAAGACCGAGCCGGCGATGGCGAGGGCGACCACGATCGTGCCCGTTTGCGCGACGTTGATGAACCCGATCGCCGCCGCGGTCTCGTGCGGCGGGACCTTGGTCGCGGCGACGCTGTACGCGGACTGCATGGCGCAGCCGGAGCCGACGCCGAAGAGGATGCTGTAGCCGTAGATGCGCGCGGGCGAGGTGTCCGGGGCGATGGTGTGCATGAGGCTGGCGCCGACGACGGTGAAGACGCCGCTCGCGACGTACCACGGCATGTAGTAGCCGAACTTGGGCATGAAGACGCCGTTGAGCAGGATGCACGCAATGGTGAGAGTGATGAAGGGCAGCAGCCGCACCGCCGCCATGAGCGGCGAATCCGCCCGCGCGAACTGGAAGATGAGCGGGATGTAGTACGCGCCCAGGAAGAGGCAGGTGACGGATGTCGACATGCAGATGAAGCAGAGCACCAGCGTCCGTGAGCGCAGGAAGTGGCCTGGGAACAGCCGGTGCTCCTTGGTGGTGAAGACGGCAAAGTATTGAGTGGCCACAAACGCCACCAGGATCATCCCGCACACGGTGACGGTGAGGATGAAGCGGTAGTTGTCCCAGGCCCATTGCGCGCCCCCGAATGTCAAGGCCAGAGTGTACGTGGTGTACAACGCCGCAATGAGCACAATCCCCAGCCAATCCATGTGACGAAGCTTGTCCCAGAGCGTTTTGTCGGGATCCGGCTGGTGGGTGGGCAGGAGGAAAATGAACGCCGGGGCCATGACGCCCGCAATCACCAGGTTGATGTAGAACGCCCACTGGACAGGGGTTGTTGGGTCAGCAATTTCTCGACCACAAGTTGAGGACGACATCAACTTACTCTCCAAGTGGCCGACGACGTGGCAAAGCCGCCCCCCACAAGAGGCCCTAGAATGGCACCGAGCCCCCTGAGGCAGATGTACGTGAGATTCTTCCTATGCTTCGTCTCGTTCGACGGGGGTGCTCACCAGACCATGCCGATTATCGAATTGTACAGATTGCGCTCTTCCAGCGTCGTAAAGGTTCCGAGATAGTTGAGCACACCCAGGTACATGCCCGCGCCACCTGCTCCTGCGATGACCCGGCCGACAATGAGCGCATTCATGCTCGGTGCAGCCCCGCAAACTGCGCTGCCCACCTCGAACAGGATGATGGAGGAGAGGTAAAGCGTCTTGATCTCGAACAGGCCATATGCGTATCCGAGGGGGAGGATGACGGCGACACCGCCGAGCGGAAACCCGGCGCCCACCCAGGCCAGGTCTTCAATGTGTCCAAGTGACTTGACGATGTTTGGCTGGACATCTGCCGCGATTGTGGTGTCCAACCCGTAGAGCAGGCCGGTGAGGTAGATGGCGACGCAGGTCAGACCCCATTTCCAACCGTGGATCGGGCGAACTTGGTGGGCAGTCTTGGTAGTCGTCGTCTCGTCGGTGCTTGCGGTCGTCTCGGCTTCCTTGGGAGAAGGAGAAGAGGACATGTCGCCTTCGACAGAACTGAGTCCAGATAGCGACTCCTGAACACGAAGCGAAGCCTTGTTGTTCTCGAAGATACGACTCTGGGGGTTGCTCTTGTGCCGTCACATTGGTCATTTTATGTGCGCGAAGAGGCTTTATATGAATAGGTTGTAAAGTAGATATGAGACAGGATGCCCCCTTGACGCCGATTTGTCATGTAGATCACATCTCGACCAAATTAGTCGACACCCAGTCCTTTCCGGACCAGTGTTGCATCGTTTGTGGGTAGACAGGCGGCATTGCAGCCTCCCCATAGGCCTTTGCTATTCGCAAAATGTGACGTCGTGAAATGGGCATGTCGTCAACATGGAGAGCAAGTTCTGTTGGGGGAACCTAGAGGACAAGGCTGACTGAGTCTCGACTAATTCTGCTCTGTATGTGGCTAGTCTGCGTACTGCCATATCCAATAGCATTTTGGCGAATTAATTAGTCGTCGATTGATCAATCAGTTGTTCAAATCGTTCGCCAGTGGGACTCCTTTCATATTTCTCCAAAGTAATTCAGGCCGCGTAATAGGAGTGCTTGAAATGTGCAGCATCTCTTTGGTGACTCTCAAGATAGTGATGAGCAAAGGAATGAAGACACGGCGGACTCAACCATAGCATGCAAGCAGTATGAGAGCAGCAGACCAGCTGTGATCGAGTAGAGTAGGCACTATGAGCTCTTTGGGCACATAGCCAGGTTCTTGACCTTTCAACGATACTTATGTTTGTTAATTAGGTGTTTACAGTTCCAGTCGCCCAGAGCCAGACCTCAGGGCATTTACCACCCAAGTACAGCTCTACCAATCTCAATCCGTCCTTGTCGCTAACCGGAGGAATTCGCTCCGAACCGGATTACTCTCGCTCGTGCTTCTTTGTGTGTATATCAAGTGTAGCTAGTGCTAGTTGAGCAGCTGACGGGACATGCGAGAGGACTTGTGTACGAGTACGAGGGAGCAGTCACAGAGCAGGTGATTTAAGCTATACCAAGCCTCTCTTGGCGCTGTGGGTCAGCAAATGCTTGTAATCTCCCCAGCGCTCTAGTCCTGCGAGTTATAGTTACCGAGTATGGTAGTGGCTATCCTCATACCCTACCAAGGTAAACCCCAATCACTCGGTATACCCCCTGTCAGGCAGGCAGGCGGTGGCGGTGAGGCTTTTTGCAGCAAAAGCTGAAACGATGCGGGAAAAGCCTGCTTGTCCTTTTTGTCTCTGTCCACCAAATAACGCCGTAAAGGGTAGTGGGATAGGGTACCACTGTACTCGGACAACACACGGCTGATGTGGCCGACCTCACTACAGTACTCCTGATTGCCTGGCTACGCAGATGCAATGCGATCAATCACGTTGGGACTCTGTCGCCCCCAAATGACAGCTTTGCGCCTCAGCAGGTCCTAAAAAAGAGGTAGGAGTCTTCGGACGGTGCAGGCTGACAACAGCTGCGGCGCTCATCGAACGCATAAATAGGACGGCTGTGTCTGTCCGTCATGCGGAAAGAATAGATTCCTCTCGCAAGCAGCTTCGACGTACCAGTTCATTACTATATCTCAATCCCCAGAACCAGAGAAAAGAGCCCAAGCAAAACAGAAGCAATACACATGGCCAACCTCTCCAGAATGCCCCTCCCCGCCGCCGCCGCCGCCGTCGTGGCCGTTGCTCTCTTCAGCATGTGCCGCTCCGCTTCGGCGCTGACGGTTCAGTGCCACGGGGCGCCCGGCGCGCAGACGCCCACGATCCTGACGACCGACTACGAGACGCTGTCCAACGACATCCTGAGCAACAACTTCAACCCGCCGCTCTCGGACCCGATCAAGCTGGGCCCCGTGCAGCAGCAGCCGTTCCCCAACATCGGTACCGCGAGCGCCTGCCTCAGCAACGACTTCATCTTCGAAAGCGCCAGCATCGCCCTGAGCGACGTCCAGGCCGCAGCCGCCGCCATCTTCTCCCAGTGCTTCCTCGTCCCCGGGGTCACCTCCGGTACGGGTGGACAGTCGACGCTGACCTCCAACGACGGGAGCGGCATCACGGTCATCTTCAATGTCGCTCCGCCGGGGTTGGCGTGCTAACTTGCGGTTTGCTTATAAGCGGTTGGTGGCCATGTGCGTGCATTCTGTTGGGGTTCTGTCTTGACTTTGTCGGTGCATTTGTGAGGCGTGATGGTGAGATGAAAGAGAATCGCAGGTGATGGGCACGGATATGCATCCCTGAGGCGAGCTGTTGCAAATATTTCCCACTATCCATCATTCATTACTGGCATTCAGGTTCATTCGTATCCATCCCCTGCTTCGAGACGTTGTCTTGAGCCTCCTCTTCTGAACGTAATCTCCTGCAGGGTATCAATTGCCCCCGGTGACCAAATGCTGGTCTGACAGCGCAACCTCTGCCGTCGAGGGGATCTGTATTTCACGTCTTTTTGCGCGCAGAGAGAGTCGCACGCAGATCCCCGGCAAAAGCGTGCTTGAAGCGCATCCGAGAGGATGAATCGTCCGACGGTTTGCTCACTGCTTCCTCCTGCTGCACCTTCGATATAATGTTGTCGGATATGGCCTCTCTCTCTTCGTGGTTCTCTTCGTGGTTCTCTCCATTGTCTTCTCCCATCCATTCTGCGAGCCATTCTCGTGCGCCGATGGTTCTAGCATGATCTTCCCCAAGAGTTTCCCCCGAGATTTTGAGACATTCCTCCATCAGTGTGATCGCTTCTTCTTGCCGTCCCGCTTTATGTAAGAGTATTCCAAGGCATTCCATGGAGAGGACTCTGTCTGGATCAACATCGTCACCATATTTCTGTCTCTCAATCTCGACGCATTCATCCATCAAGGCCACTGCCTCCTCCAGACGTCCAGTCTTATCCCAACGTAAGGCAAGGTTATGCATAGTCTTCAGTGTCTCAGGATGACCGTCTCCCAGTACCTGTCGCAGGAATCTGAGGCATTCCTCGCTAAGATCCACTGCTCTCTCGAGGCACCCTAGTTCTTCACAGGTGTCTGCAAGGGACGACATAAAGGTGAGTGTATCAGGATGATCCTCGCCCAAAGTACGTTTACTCGTTGCAAGCAGCTCAAGTTGTAGATCCTTCGCTTCCTCCAGTCGCCCTTGTCTTCGATACGTTTCCGATAAATTGTTGAGACCGACAAGTGTGTCACGGTGCTCGTCCCCAAATATCTTTCTTCTGACCTCCAGCACCACTAATTCCATTTCCTCTGCATCCTTGAGTCGCCCTTGCTCGCGATAGACCGATGCCAAGGTGCCCATAGTTTGGAGTGTGCTCGGGTGCTGCTCCCCGAAAGCATTTCTTCTGATCCTCAGCACACCAGAAAGTAATTCTTCTGCATCCTTCAACCGTCCCTTGTTAAGGTAGGTGGTTGCCAAATTGTGCATGTAGGAAGTCATACTTCGGTGTTGTTCTCCGAAGATCCTTCTCGCCGCCTCCATTGCTGCTTCTTGGATTTTCGCTGCCTTGTCGAGTCTTCCACGAGCTCTATATGATAGTGCCAAATGGTTCACACTATCAAGTGTCATTCCGTGCTCCTCGCCAAGCGTCCTTTTCCGGATTGCGACAACCTGCTCTTGCAGCTCTTCAGCTTTCTCCAATTTTCCGCGGGCAAAGTATGTCTTAGCCAATCTGGCCACGCTTCTGACAGTGGTCGCATGTTCAATTCCCAATACTCCCGTAAGCCCATCAACAGCTCTTTGATTGCAAATCTCCGCCTCGTGGTATGATCCCAAGAGTACAAGACTTTCTCCTAGTTCGCTGCATGCCTCTAAGGACTTCACATCTTCTGGTGCAAAGCGTTCTGTCCGCCACGAAACGACCTTTTGAAGTGCATCAACCGCTTTGCCATACTTCCCATCCTCACAGTAACAATAACCTAGCGTGCGCAGTAGCTCGAACCGTCCTTCATCATCCTCTATCTCCGGTGAACTGCAGACTTTCTCTGCGTGCGGCAAATAACGTCCCAATATTCTCTTACTCATAATATCGGCTGTCGGAAAACAATCATCTAAATGCAGAGCTACCTTTCTAACCCAACCTGCTAGTGAATCTTGCTGCCGAAGCCAGTTTCGCGTTGCTAGGTGCACCAGTCTATGCATGTCGTACAAAGGGTCGTGCTTGCTGCTCTCTTGGATTCGAAGAAAGGCGTAGCCAGTGAGAACTGCGATCGCCTTGGTCATACGATTGTCCTTGAAGCCTGTCCCAAACATCGCAAACGGGAACAGAGACTCCGGAATAGCCTTGAAGTCCAAACAGGCCAAGAAGGCGAGCAAATCCGCGCTCAACGAATTTTGCTTTCGTACCTGCTCGAACGAAATGAGCCAGGTGGCAGCCACCGGTTTCCTCGCTTCTCGATCCCTGTACTCGTCCTCGAATTCCTCGCTGAGCAACTCGACTGTCGCTTCTTCCGTCGAATCCCAGAGCCGGAGATATGCATTGATATCCTGGATTTGGTTCTCGTTCAGGTAGGCAGCGACTTGGACGATTGCTAATGGTAGAAAGGCTAGATGCTCCAGTAATAGAGATGTTGTCGATGGATTCTCGTCTAAAATCTCAGGATGAATCAGCTGGTCCTTCATCATGGTAAGTGCATCATTCTCGTTCAGCTCTTGCAGAGGGACAATATTTTTTTGAGCTATCCTGACAGCGACTTGGTGATTGCGTGTTGTTAATAGGATCGCCCCGGATGAGCTTCTAGGAACGTAATTCATCAAAGGTGTCGTTGATCTCCCGTCGCTGACAGTGCGAGACGTCCAGAGATCCACGTCATCGGCGTTGTCGATAATCAGAAGCCACTCATTCGTCCTTTCGGAGTTGAAATGCTGCTTCAGAAGCAGCTTCGCGTCCTCTTTTGAGTCGTTAATTTGAGCTATGTTCAATTCTTGGCCGATTTGCCGACAATCTCGTTCGAAACTCGAGGAATCCGTTGCTTGGATCCAGAAGACTGAGCACGAGGGGCGTTGTTTTTTGGTCCGATAAGCCATCTCCAAAGCCATTCGACTCTTTCCTACCCCTCCCAGGCCGGTGATAGCAACCTTACCATAGCGATCTCCTGGGAACAGAAGTTTTGTCAATCGGTCCAATTGGGATGCACGTCCCACAAACTTGTCTTTGCTTTCGAATGGTACAAGCCACAGTGGCGTGTATTCTGCAATTCGTCAGTGGATATTCAGCCTACGTCAAATCTAGACCAGAAAGCACATGAAAACGTAGCGTTCTGGGAAAAATTTGCGCGTCCCTTGTGCGGAATGTCAATCTTACCTACCTCTGAAGCAGACATCGGCAGATGGGATGATGTTATGGACTGAATCAATCTTTGGGGTGATCGTATAGAGGATGCCTTTGGCATAAACGGCGGCTACAGCTGCTGCGTATGGTTGCCAATCCTTGCTCTTCTGTGCGTCTCCGTAGTCACAGACGCCTCGAATGACGCCAGGTGCAAGAGTGTTCATTATGCCGGCTGCTTCCATTTCTAGACCAATAATATCGTGCTCATCTCTCAGTTGGTCTCTTTGCGCAGCATCCTTCATCAAAGTGCTCCCGGAGCCAATGGTGCCATACCACACCAACGTGCGTTCAGACTCATCCCGCGGTTGCCGTTTGATCAGAACAGGTTGCAACGCTGGGCCTTTTTCTGGATGACTCTCGCACAATCTATCCTGTTCTTGACTCGGACAGGAAAATTTATCATTTTGGCTGGATGCTTGAAAGTCAGCCAGCCATGTCGCGAATTGATTCCCTTTCTTGAACGGCCTCTCCTTGGTGAGTTGGATGTTTTTGATAGCGGATCGGACAATTGCAGCGGTTTCAGCTTGGCGGCCATTGCGTAGAAACCCCTCTGCGGTCGCTTTGCCAAGATCGTATTGGAAGATTCCAGTGTTCCCCTGGTCGGGTACGCTCACGAGGATATCACCTAGTCGAATATCCCGGTATTTGCTTGGATCCTTCGGGGTGAGGTTTGGAAGACCTGCGGCGACGCCTACCAGCAAAGAAATCCAGAGGCGTGGGAAGCGGGCCTTGACCTGGTTCGCTAATGCAGCGGCAGAGCTAGGGCCATAGTTTTGGCCAGCTGGCCAGGTAGCAATGACAACATTGTGATTGTTGATCTCGCCTCCAATGTAGATATAGTCGTCGCTGCTCAGTGATTCGAAACGGCCCTCGTGTCTCTTGTCCAGCACCCCAAGAGCGGCTTCGGCTTCGATGGGGAGAACACCGATCCAAGCGACAGTATAGTTATTGTAGTCAAGGCGGTCGCCCATGACACAAATACGAGCGGTGGACCTCTATTTGAAACGGTCGAGTTTTTGGTCGGGGAGAGAACATCAGATCTTAAAGACCTCTTAGGTGGTGGGCGATGCCTAGGCGATATGAGGACGCGAGCAGACGATGAGAGAACAGACAGGCCGGCATCTCATTGATGGTAGTTAATCAAAGATGGAATCAGTGTGATGATGGTTGTAGCTGGATGAAGACTGCCAAGCATGCTGAATGAAAGGAGGACGTTGAGGCTGAAAGACGCGCAAAGCGACGGTGGCGGGGTTGACTTTCATCCTTGCAATGGCTGGCGAGGCATTTAGGCCTCTAGGATGCATGCAAGGTCGATGACAGGCGAAGCCCCCATGCTATGGAGATGGTGATGGCGCTGATAATGGTGGTTGGTGGTTGGTGGTTGAGACAGACGCTGCGCCCCAATGGCCTACCGGATTGTGATCCCACGTGACTCTCAGCCTCGCAGCCTCGCCTGCAGAATGCCCCAGTTTAAGATCGGAGGATCATAGACGAACGATGCTGTTGTAGTTAATGTACGGAGTACTGCTAGTATAGATAAGGGCCAAATCCTCGAGAGTTACCGCCCCCGGCCAGAGTGTCTCATGGCAGAAACCTTCTCATAAAGAATCCCCGCAAGCTGTTGTGACGATGCCACCCATTTCCGCACAAGATGAGATGCTCCTAACGAAACGCTCTGTCCTATTATTAACTCTATTTTTGCACATCCTCTCCCCCATCATGTCGAGTCATGGTCTGCTCCCTAATGCTCTCAGAAAAACAGAATCCGTTCGAAAAAAAGCCAGATGCAGGTCCCTCGCCCTTTTGTTTTGGTTTATTTATGGTGGTTCGTTACACATCACTGCAGCTCACTCTGCTCTCAACGACTTGCGGCCGAAAGTTGAATGGCTGCGCTCGAGGGAGTCGTCAATAGTCATGATACGGCTCAAACCCTCCGTGGCTCGAGGCATAGTCGCTTGTGACCGTTGCCGCCTTTGCAGACGTGGGGGCAAGAGAATGTTGTGCCCATCCTGTGCCACTGGCTTGCGCTCGACGCTCTATAACGCATAACATTAGGTCTCGGTTCATAGTCAAGAAAACGGCACCTGGCAAGGGGGCCAAAAACTTACCTCTCTCGAAATCGCCCCATCTCTTCATCAGAATCTTCGAACTATCAAACTCGCCTTCGGCTTCCCCATGTCCGCCAGATTTCTTGGTCTCTCCTGCTGTCTTTCTCGTGTCTCCCCAGCTAAAATCGTCGAACTTCCAGTACGCGTACGCTGGTAGGACGAAATTCCAGATTGGAAGAGAGAGCAGGTAAATACCCATCCATGCGACATATGACCAACTATGCGCCGTCATCACAATCAGCACCGCGGGAAGACCTAAAATAAGACCCAGAAGAATGAGGGGAATGACGGGGACAGGTTTGGCCACGATAGAGATGATGATCAAATAGAACGTGAATGCGATGGCCGCTGGTAATACAAGGGTACCGATGAGTTCGATAAAGACGACAAATTGCATACTGAAGCAAAATGTACCACAGAGGTCGCGGACAAGGACGAGCTCCATCAAGTTGTGGACCGTGGAGTTGATCCAACGGCGTCGTTGAGATAAAAGGACTTTGAATTTGTCGGGCACTGTGGTTTTGCAGACCGCTTGAGGCACGAAGACTTGTTTGCGCTTGGGGAAAGTCTTGAGCATGAGTGTCGACAGATATCTGTCTTCGCCGAGCAGGAGGAGGTTCTTTTTGTGCAGTGTGTCAACCACGTTTTCAGAATAGTGCTCCACAATGTCGGGGTTGGCAAGGATCGGGACCCAGTAGTTCTGCCCACCCTTGGGTGATTTGATCCGGTACATGCAGAAACACCCGGGTAAGCAGGTGACACCTCCGAAGACTGATTCAAAGGATTTGGACAGATGATGCGAGATGAAGTACTCAAAGACTTGGATCCGCGAGACCCACGATTGGGTCTTGTTCGCGATCTTGGTTTCGCCACAGAGGCCCATGATTTCGGGATCCTTGACCATGGCAGAGACCATGTGCGTCAGACTGTCAGGATAGACTTTCGTATCGGCGTCGACCATGAGCACCATTTCATAGAAGTCTGGTGACATGCCAGTGACTTTCCAGAGACCATTGAACATCTCATATTCGAGTTCCGTCATTCGTTCATCGAACATGACCTTTTGGAGGAAGGACATCAAGATGATCTGACTGTCACGCTTGCCTCGATTACCAGGCTTGGCCTTGTCGGCTTCATCAGGCGTTCCACATTTGACGACGACTAACATGGGCACTCGTTGCTGCTTGGTCGGATCGATTTTCGAGTTCGGGCCATAATCGTAGAACCCGGCATAGACCTTGGCCATATTGTGTCGTTTTGAACCGCTGGATACGGCGACGTATGAAAAGGCTTGCACATCTTCGGGAAGAACGACAAAATCGCCCATCATGCTGAGGACAATTTCAGGGGTCGTCAAGTCGTTGCCTTGGCCCTTGATCAGGCCATCACATATCACCAGTATTGCTTTGTGGCTGTTAGGGTAGTCAGTCGTGGCAACAGAGTCCAGAGTCGTTCGGACACCATCTGCATCTTCCGAATACGCAGTAACCAGGCAAATGACGTGAGCGAGGGGATAACCGAATGGCTGCCACTCAGGAGGCGGCTGAGGAACGACATTCTCATGGATGAAGCCCACGGGGCCCCCTGGTTCGAGCGTGTCCATCACAGCTGAATAGCGGGCTTCCTGACCCGACAGAAGAAGGCTGGATCTGCTAGCACCAACGCTCATCCGAGAATTGACGTCCAAAGTGTTTTGACTACTGTTGAATCCGCCTTTGTAAAGCCCACTTCCTGGTTGAATCAGTCGCGCATTTGAAGACTGACTTGTCATCGTGGTTGGTGGGGGACGATTCGTCTTGGAGATACGCTCAACAGCATACGGGCTGGTGAATCGGGACGTTTGAGGGAACAACTGACTTCCGCGCTTACTGGTTCGCGCATCGGAGCCGGAGACTGTGCTGGCGGGATCAGTGATCTTGGGAGCTGGTCGGTAGATATCATCGGCCCAGTCCTCGATCTGTTTGGCCCTTTTCTTTGGATCGGATGTCTGCGAAGTCTTGGTCGCTGCAAATTTCCCAGCCAAGAACCATTGAAAGGCCAGGGCGAGGAAAAATTTCACCAAGACAACGGCGAGAATAAACACCAGCGAGACGTAAAGGACGACCTTTGACGCAATACAACCAACGGTCTCGGTATCAACCGAACCCACTTTTGCAATCTGGGTCAAACACTTGCCGACCTTTTTATCTGCAGAAGATTGCAGCACATGGGTGATGTCTGTTCCACGAATCTCGTCACTTTCCCGCATATCATCAAACTGTTTTGGCCAGGCGACTTGACTCTTGTTGAACCACCTCAACAAGTCCAGATCGACGACGGAACCAGAATACACCACCAAATTTCGGCTGGTATTTTTGACGTCGTCCCAAGTGAAGAAGACTTCTCCCGCTTTTCTCAAGTTGTAGAATGTACTTCTAGACTTGGCGGTAGTATGGCAAGCGTAGCCCAGATAGTAAGGGTTGGTGAGGTTCGGTTGCGACGAGCCGTCCTGATTGAAGGCGTTGCAGGGAAAATACCAAGCAAGATCTCCATCAGCGTCTGTTGGCACGTCGGAGCCAGGTGCAAGGGTGATCAGACCTTTGCAGTCTCCATTGACTTTCTGAAACATGAAACTTCCGTCTTGACCACCGTATTTGTGGGGGAGATCGTAGAGGACGTTGCTGTCGAGGGGAACTCCTAAAGCTGCCGGGTGCATGGAACCATCCAGATTGTAGGCGTCTCCGTGGAATATCATGTAGCCACGATCGACATGGTTGATTTTCAACCTCAGTCCCGGAGCCGGGCAGACCGCCCGTGTAAAGCCAAAAGTCAGAAAACCGACAAAGCCGGCAATGAGAAAGATGATACTGATTAGGCCGACTTTCTCTCTCCAGGCTCTTTTCTGGGCTCTCCCTGGCATACCGCAGCAATGTAGCATAAAGTTGGGAGCCCAGAAAGTGATCACGGAACAATACACATTCCATGCACTGGGCGGTTTGAGCTTTTCCATTTCTTTCAACCGCTTCTTCTCTTCGGCCGTCAGGTCACGAGTGTCCTTTCTCACCAACTTTCGAGGTTGTCTCTTTTTGCCAACGGGCTCAAGTTTTCCAGGCAGGCGAGCAGTGGGTTGGGCGCCAAAATTCTCGTCGGTTTGCATGTTGAGATTGGTGCTTTCAGAGCTCACGGTCCTCTCTTCCGCCAACTCTTCCACCACAGGATCATTCCCAGTGGTGGAAGGGAAGACCTCCATATTCTGCGCATGTTTGCGATAGTAGTAGTTGGGATGATCTCGGTCTATTCGACTACGTTCGGGACGGATCAGAGATTTCTTGCGACCGAGGTCACTCTGGTTCATAGGATTGGACATAATCGGCTCCCAGTCTGCAGTTCGGGAGCTGGGCGAGGGAGGATAGGGATCGTTTCCAATGCGCTGGGCGGAGTAGGGAGAATTGCGTTGGACATTTGCTCCAGTCTCAAGATCGCGCAATCGTCGAGAGGGAGAATCTCTGTAGGGAGAATGGGACTTTTCGCGAGTAGGTGAGGTGGCTGGCCGTGGCCTACGCGGTGGTTCGGACATGTTGAGTTCTATAGGGAGAAAGAATGTTAGTGGGTCACTAGTCACACAACAATGTCATTGTGGCATGCTCAACATACATGTGCTGAGATCTAGTTGCTCTCCCTCATAGGTAACCTCGCAGCGTTGTTTGTCTGAACGAAGGAATGTATCTCGATTGGAGACCAGCGCCCGCGCTGTGTCTATAGGCTGGAGTCTCAAGTGTGCGGTGGAGGGTGCCAGTGTATATCGTCTATCTTGTTTCGAATGACTTCAACAGACACGATTGATCAGGTGAGATTGCTCGTCACCTTGAAGTTGGTCGTTGCAGTTGTGGGTGAAACAGCGGCCTGGTTGCCGAAGAAACTGCGCCACAGATTGCTTTGGCGGGTCGAGCGAAAGACAAAGATGTACGGATTGATCGACTGCTTGTCAGAGATGGTCAAACGAGAGTGATTGAGATGTTTAGTGAATGTACATGTGCTAAGGAAAAGGTTGACAGTGAGAGAGCAACACAGACAGGCAAAATGCAGCGACAAGACAGGGACGAGAACTGGGTAACGACGAGACAAGGATCGGGGAAGGTTTGGCTGTGTCACTGCGTCGCCGTGGGCGCTGCGGTGGAGAGGCCACAACAAACGATTCGTTGCTGGTCCGATGGAGTTTCTATACCAGGTGTCTGGATTGGCTACGCCGCTCTTTTAGCGCATCATACAGGAGAAACAAGAGGCCACCTTCGAGAGGCGAAATACAGATATCCTCCGAACTCAATTCAATGTTTTGTTTTTTCTCCTTCTCCTGAGTCTATGGAGCACAAGTCTAGCGAGCGATCCCCTGAACCAGTCTCTTGACAATCCCAAGTTGCCTGTTCTCGCGTGCTCAGGCACAGATCTCGACTTCAAGCAACAGATATGGCAGACGGCAGACGATGACCGTTCTCGCAGTCCGTGGTGAGATCTGGTGTGGACAAACTGCGGCATATAAGAGGCTCGGTTGTGGCTGAGCTGCACCAGTGATGCTCTCTTACGGGGTATTTTTAACCTTGTTGCCCTGACATGGAGATGCGCTTGTCTGAGCAAATCAACGTATCACCATTGACCTATGTTGAAACCACTGCACCCACCGACTTGAGGTTCGTCGTCACCGTTGAGAGGTCCATAGGGGTTGGGTTGAGTTGAGTTGTTACGGCAGGTCTGTATCGCTGTGATGAGCCCCGAGCAGATGGACAGGTCAACAACAGATGGAACTGACCACCTCTCTACAAGGTCTCAATGCAGCAGTGGACAATGTCTCACTCTTCCGAGAAAAGAACATGACTTACCGCATGGAGTATCCATCTCATGCATGCCCGTACACCCCTATCTCATCGAATACGGCCAGCAGTCATCCGGACAGGCACAAACTGGTGATTAGTACCATCTGGAACGTGCACAACGTCACTCATCTGACCACTTTTCGTTTGCACCAGGCGAGACGGCGACCAGCCTGAGTTGAAGCCATTCCGGTGGTTTGGGGGGGGGGATGTGCTCTCGGTACGAGTAGTCTGTAGCGGTAACGTAGGCTTGTGGGTGGACTTTGTGGGCTTCCCGCGGCTTTCCGGAGCCAATTTTCAGTTTCAATGGGCTGGGTCCCTTACCTAGCTAGGTAGTGTTAGGGAATGAACCAGGTTCTTCTCCAGGCGCCACATGGTCAGCCTCTGGTGGTACCAGGCGCCTACGAGCACTGGGAGGAGAACTCGTAAGGCCCTAAACCTCGGGCACGCCCGCACTCTAATTCGCCCCCCCATACCCCCCCTTGCTTGACACTGGTTGAGCCAAGTAGCCCGAGATCTGGGTCAGCGCCAGAGAAGATCTTCCTCGTCTCTCCCTGCATACGTATGCCGAACATCATCTGCCCGCAAGGCCTAGTGGTGTTACAAAGGGACAACAGGGATCCAGGTGCACGTCAAAGGCCTCCCTTGTTTGTCTGAAGGACAAAGTCTCCAGCTATTTTAGCCATGGAAATAAAGATGGCGCCCGCTGTCCGCCTGTTAGAAAAAGGGGAACAGGCCCTCAATAGGAAAGGCGAGGGAGACAGGACAGTCAGTAGTCGTACCTAGTAGTCGTCGAGAGGTGCCAGTGGTGGGGATGTCTAACTCGCTCTAGCCCTCTACCACCCTCGCTCCCTTACCAGCATCTCCTCCATCCAAATTCTTAGTCGTGGTCACACTCACTCACTCACTACTGGCAGCCCTTTCGTCCACCGACCCTCCACCCTCCCTTTCCGAACAGTTTCTCTTCTGGTTGATACTAACCCGTACATCTGTGGTGCATTTCTGTCGCTTTCCGGCTGTTAGGGACATCGTGTCGACCTCTGTTTTTCCCCCAGACAACCACTTTCTTTTGGAAGCCCGCGCTTCTAGCGGTTGACACTGCAACGCTACAGCATTCCTTCTAAGACCTCTTCAGCGCGGGCCCTCAGGAGCCTTGCCCCGTTTCTCTCGTTTTCAGTCGGGGAATTCGCATTCCAGCCTCTCACCAGCGAGCTCGTATTCACTCTGCAACCATCTGTTCAGTTGTCCAGCGAACGAACAAACGGCCGACTTCGTTTACAATTCCACGAGTTTCCCCCCAGATGTCGGCATTCTAGTGTACTTTTTCTCCTGTGTTAAGATGGCCGAACTCGCAAATCATCCTCTCCCTCCGACTCCTCCCCCTGCCATCTACTCCCCTCCTTTGCGAAGCGACAGTCCTCGGATCATAGAACCCATGGAAGAGCGGGGAAATGTACATATACCTGCAGTCAAATCAAGCAATTCGCAGTCGAGACAGATGAGCTACCCTTCGATATCCATGTCCCCGGCGGACACAAGACCAACAGACGATGTGCATGCTCTCGCAGACGCTGCTGCCGAAGTCCAAATTCACCCTCCGGAAACCGCCATGTCCAGAACTCCTGACCCTGTGGCTCCGAATAGGACGCTGACTCCTCAGCCGTCCTTGCACCTCGATCCCAATAGGCTCTCTCCGACGCCTCAGGCAATGCTCCGAGGCCGACCTGGAGATGGCGAGCCAGTGGGTGCTGACCATCGACGAGTCTCCTCGGAAAATTTCTCTGCAAGAGAAGGCATCGAATTGACGCCTTTTCAAAAGAAGTCCATGCGGCACGCATCGACCTCGGCCATTGATCCAGAAATGTCTGCTGCCACTTCCGAGCCGTTGCGGTATCACCACCAGTGGGCAGACGACGCTGAACTGACGTCGTTGAACAAGCGAGCCTCAAAATTGACCATTGCCACGGATGGCTCTGGGGGAGACAGCATCCGCAACAGCATCTATGGCAGAAGCATGCAAAGACCTGACTCGGGCTTCTCAAGTACTTCCGACTTCCGCGGGCGGACCAACTCACCACATGCCTCCCCGGCTGGTCGGCCTATCTCGCGCGGTTCGAGGTCACCCGATACACGGCCGCTGTCTTACGTTGATCTTTTGAACGTCCCATATCCCCAGCCCGCACCAAGCGGAGCAGAGCATCTGGTGAATTCAGGTCTGCGATCGGTTGTCGGAGCCAATGCTTCGTTAATGTCTACGAGGAAGACCCTGGAGATGTATCGAGCAAATGTCAAAAAGACCCAGGACCCTGCCGTCCAGTACGAATTTGCGATCTTCATGATCAGCGCCGCACAAGAGGAGGGTCTAGAGTCCGACGCCGTGTCCGACGCCGCACACTCTGAGAAATCACATACATCGGTTCGCGAGGACCTATTAAAGGAGGCAAAGCATATTCTACAAAGATTAGCAGATCGATCGTATCCATTCGCCCAGTACTACCTTGCAGACGGGTACGCTTCGGGGCTATTCAACAAGGGCAAAGAAGACTGGGATCGTGCGTTTCCTCTATTTCTGGCGGCGTCGAAACACGGCCATGCCGAGGCGGGCTACCGCACTGCATTGTGTTACGAGTTTGGTTGGGGCTCACGGGTGGATGCAGCCAAAGCGGTACAATTTTATCAACACGCGGCAAGCAAGAACCATCCCGGTGCCATGCTTCGGCTGGGACGAGCATGCCTCACCGGTGACATGGGTTTGACCAAGCGATATCGCGAGGGCGTGAGATGGCTCAAGCGAGCTGCGGAATCGGCAGATTTCCAGTACAACCAAGCTCCTTTCGACCTGGGCTGCCTCCACGAGACTGGCTTCGGCCCCGACGTCTTCAAAGACGAGTCGTACGCTGCCCAGTTGTACACTAAGGCAGCCGATCTAGGACATGTCGAAGCAAACTACAGACTCGGTGAAGCGTATGAGTATGGACAACTCAATTGCCCCAGAGATCCAGCCCTCAGCATCCATTTCTACACCGGAGCCGCAGAACGTGGCCATGCATTGTCACAAATGGCGCTGTGTGCGTGGTACATGGTGGGGGTTCCCGATGTACTGGAGAAAGACGAGGCCGAAGCCTATGAATGGGCCAAAAAGGCAGCAGAACAAGGATTGGCAAAGGCGCAATATACTCTTGGCTATTTTACGGAGATGGGCATTGGATGTCGCCGTGATCCGCTTGAGGCGAACGTTTGGTACGTCCGTGCAGCGGATCAAGGAGAAGAGAGAGCCAAACATCGAATTGCCGCCATCCGGGCTGCTGGGGCAGGGGCAGATCCTCTCACGGCGGCAGCTGGCAAGAAAGGAGCCTTGACCACCAGTAAGAGCACGGGAAATGTTGGACCTCAGGGTGAGAGAGACTTGATCACTGGCCACTGAAGATCGGCAGCGCTAACTTTGATAATACCAGAAGGAGAGAAGAAGAAGAAATTTGGCATCTTTTGAGATCGACGCAGGCAGAGACAGCATGCAGCGGGCCAACCAATATTTTGGGATATAATCCGCATTCTGGCTGGGAGGTTTGTCATCACATTATCGAGGACGAAAGCGTGCATCGGTGCCGTGTTGTATTTGGGGGAAAGAGGCGAACGGCGTCCATCTATTTTGCTGCCTTCATGGGGCCACGACCAGCTAATGCACGGAAAAGGAGAGAAAGAGGCGCATTTTCGAACGAAGTGGACGGAGAGCGTACGACGCACGATCCCGGCGATTCAAAGCATAGCGAGGCTGGAAAAACAAAAGACATATTATGGGTAATCATGGGCAGAGAGATGTAAAAGCGAATCCGAGAGCTGACGATGAAATTGGATGGATATCTCTCAGGGGAAGTATTCAGTTGACCAGTTGCTGTGGCTGTACCATGCATGATAGGGGAAGGAAAGAATATCACAAAAGACCAGACCAATGCGAGATGATTGTCAACTTTGGAACTCGTTGTTTCTCGTTCTATCTTGACCACATTATTGGATGTCCTCACAGGGACCATCTCCCGAATTGTCCTACAAGTGTGTACCGAGTACGACGAGTACTTGTCGCTGAGCCAAGCAAAAACTCCAGTTCTCCCGCCCAGTCCTCCCAGAGCTGTCCTGACCTCTTCGGGAATGTCCTATTACCTCTCTCTTTTCTCATGACAATGACCGTGACAACAAGCAAAGTCAAAGTCGAAATCAACACGAGAAAGTGACCTGACACGAAACGCAAAATGTAAACTTTTTGGGTGGTGTGGTGCTATGGTGTTCAAAATACATTAATACATTGTCAGACAGAAAACCGATAATGGCGCAGGGGGCTCCTTTGGAGGGCCAGCCCGGCAGCTTGCAGGAAACCATCAAACACAACACATCACATATTCACCATTCTCAGTAAATGTCCTTCGATATCCATCCGTCCGTTCCAAACGCCCCCTTTTTATACGTTTTCCTAGCCGCTTGCCCCTCCCGCACGCTAGGAAGAAGGATGAAAATGCCAAATTCACAAATACTCGTACTGCTCGTTCAAATGCCAATGTGTCTCACCAGGTGGAGATTTCAAGCCTTGTTGAACTTTGCGCGGATCTTGGAGCCGAAGAAGTAGAAGGAGAAGGGGATCAGGACCATGCCGACGCCGATGAAGGCGAGCAGCCAGCTGGCCCAGTGCAGGCCCAGGCGGTGGTACATCTGGGTGGTGAAGAGGGGGAAGGCCGCGCCGCCGCCGCTCCGCAGGAAGACCTTGGCGGCGAGGGCGCTGGCGGCGTACTTGGAGTACGAGTCGATGATGTAGTTGTTGACCGAGTAGTAGCACAGGACCATGCCGAAGCCGAAGGCGATGCCGCTCGAGGCCGGGCCGACCCAGATGATGCCGTGGTACGAGGTGGCGCCCAGGATGAACAGCGAGATGGGGATGAAGGGCGCGCCGAACATGGCGCCCATCAGGCGGTCCTCGGCCGTGGGCTCGCGCTCGCGGCAGACGCGCTTGAACTGCTTCTCGAACTGGGGCGTCGCGACCAGCGCGAACGCCGCGCCGATGATGATGGGGATGAACATCAGCCCGATCTGCCCGTCGTTGTAGCCGTACAGCTCGCCGAAGATGACCGGGTAGGCGAAGAAGAAGGCGTACAGCATCGCGTAGATGAGCACAATGTACATGCACATCAGGTCCAGCACGGGCTCCGTCAGGATCATGTTGATGGGCCGCACCAGCGACGTCCTGGCCACCTCGCGCAGCGTCAGCTTGGTCTTCTCCTGCTCCGTGATGATGTTCGGGTCGCCCGTCTCCTTGCGCAGCCGCGCCGCCCGCCGCTTGAGGATCACCGGCGCGTACGTCTCCGGGATCAGGCCCATGACCACCAGCATGAAGCCCGCGTAGCCCAGGTTGACCCAGAAGAACAGGTTAAGCCGCCCCGTGCCGACGTTGATCCATCCGGCCACGATGGGGCCGATGACGGGCCCCGCGTAGGGCGCCGCGGCGAAGTAGGCGATGGCCAAGCCCCGTTCCTCAATGTTCCAGATGTCGGCGATGGTGCCGCCCGCGAGCGACAGGCCGGAGCTGGAGAAGACGCCGCACAAGAAGCGCGAGACCAGCAGGCCGCCGATGTTGGGCGACAGCGCGCAGGGGATGTTGAAGATGGTGTACAGGAACAGCGAGATGATGTAGACGGGCTGGCGGCCGATGATCTCGGACAGCGGGCTCCACAGCAGCGGGCCCACGGCGAACCCGCAGACCATGATGGAGCAGGTCAGGATCGCGACTTCGAGCGAGACGTCGTACTTTTCTTCAATGAGGCCCAGGCCCCCCGTAACCACCGACGAGCCGAATGCGACGCAGACGACCAGAGACGACGCGGCGATGGTAATGTACCACCGAAAAAGCCGCGACCAGTTGTGCGGGTTGTCGGGGTCGTTGATTTTGAACGTGACGAACTCGACCGGTTCTTCGACGCCCTGCTTTTCGAGGTCCGGCTCCGAGGGCGTGCTGGGCCGCGTCCGCCTCCGCGTAGGGACCGTCGAGACTCTCGTCCGGATCTCTTCTAGGGTCTGTTGTGGCACGAGACCCGTCTCCGTCTCGAGCGTGTATTCTTCAGGGAAGATGGGCTCTTCAGGCCGGCCGAGTTCGGGGTAGTTGGGGTCCAAGGGAGGGGGTGTTTCTGAGATACCACGCTCAGCTAATGTCTGCCGGGTCTCTGTTCGGAGGAGCTGGAGGTTGAGCGACTGGTGTTGTGCGAGCTCAGGGCCGTGGGAGCCCTCGGGAGGATTCTCCCGCGTGACTTGTCGAGACATGGTGGTGGAGGGATGTTTTGGTGTTGGTAGAGGATGTTTCTTCCTGCGTGTAGCAAGGGATTGGTGTTTGGTCAGGGAGTTCTGTCCAAAATACTGTGCAATTGAATGCGTGTCAATGCGATATCAGCAGCAGCGAGTCCAGCGGCAAAGGGCGGACACGCTGCTCCCATATATACTTCAATGGGCCGGGCGGGCAAGGCTGCGATTGAGGCCAGGGCGATTTTCCGGATCTGGTGAGCCGACAATTCTCCGCCGACGTATCGCCGTGCGCGATTTGTGTGGTAAGTTGTTGGCAGCCAATGGCGCCAATGGCTGGCGAGGCGACGTCATTGCTAATCAACCAATTCCCAATGCGGCCTCGTCTCTCGCTCCCTCCACCGCACATGCTTTTCTGTGGCTCGCCTGCGTCGCGCACATTTTCCCGGATGGTACCTGGGCTCACAAACGTTTGCCCGCCCTCCAAGCGATTGGTTGCTCTGGTGCTCTATTTGCGGTCGAGTGCGTCCAGGCCCCTTATCGCGTCAACAACCTCATGGGGACAGAGCCCTTTTTTTTGGTTGAGACACGATCTATCTGCATCAGTTGGGTTTCTTTTTCCACGGCGTTCAACATGGCGGGTCAGCGTGGATTGCAGCTAACGGCGAGATAGGTTCAGTGCTGAAATCCTGCAAAACCTGGTTACCTCTCTCCTCGCAGCGTCATCCGTACCGCTCGACGAAATCTCAAATTCCATGTCTCAGGTTCGCGGCAAGTCGTGGAACACATGTCATGGCAGAAACGCTGAGCTGTGTCTCCCCCCGCATTGCAGATCTCATATTAGATCCGGTGGACGTTTTCCTCATCAGGACACAAGAGAATCAAACAAGGCATACGGACAACCAATAGGATGTCTCCCATCCGGCGTGCGCTGCCGACTGGTCCCAGCTTTGGCAGCGTGAAAAAATCACTAAGCACCACTCGTGGTGCGTTCATTCGGTGAGACTTCCCATCGAGCTGGATGGGAGCCAATGACATAAGCTGGTCTTGCCAGATCCCAACGCGAACCTCACAATGGCGATAAAGCAGGATGAGTAAGTCAGATGCGCCGAACCAAGCACAGCAAAGACGGGCAAGCTCTGATCGGGTTCCATGACCGCATCTCACACCTTCCTTCCACAGTATGAGGGCTAAAGCTGAGCAGATCCAGCACCCGAGGACGGGCTCGGTTGTCATCTGTGCAAGGTTTGCCGGCACCAGAATGGCACCTGAATGGCAGCTCCCGTCCGGGACCGATTCGTCCTGGCCGTTTAGGGGGAGAAGTCCTTCACTTTGGTGGCTTGGTTAATAATCTGTTTCATCCCTTCCGGACAACGCAGCATAGGGCCTGCAGAATTCGATGATGTCGTTCTTTATCGTGTTCCAAGGATCCTTGCTCGTCGGACACATGCAGAAGCCCCACAGGATCCATCCCTCAGGGGGTTTCGCGGTTGAGATGCTGCATACCTTGGGCTGTTGTAGAGGTGTGTATTCGGTCCCTCGGTGAGGCGTCATCGATCCTCCTTGGGGCAATAGACCAAGCCCGAGCAAAAAATAGTCCAGCTTGGAATTGACACCAGCGGGGAGCCGAAGTCTTGGTCTGCGTGCCAAGTCTGGAGGCTTCTGCCGTCACGATCTGCTCCCTAACGACTTGATCAGAATAGCGCAGTCTGTCACAACTTAAGTCGGAGAATCGAGTGAGAATCACATCGATAACGTAACTTTTGATTGGATCCGGCATACTGAAAGTCCAATAAGCAATGCAAATATGCTTGCATTTGCACGTTTTGGAGTCCCCAACCAGCCGCGAGAACCACCTCTTCAAACCAGCCACCCTCTCACAATAATGCCTTTGCCGGATGTATCCAGAACGGGAGCCAGGCAACTCTGGATGCAAGCTACGGGTTTTTATGATGCTTGTCTGTAATGTCGGTTGCGGAGAGATGGTAGGATAGATACGTAAGGAGGTTGCTGGACAGTTTATGGCCATGTCCAGGCCAACGGCGCAGAAAGATGTCTAGATGGTCCAGGGTTTGAGGATTCTTTGTCTTCGGTACGGAGGCTTCTTGATGGTGGATTTCGCACATGGAGAAGACAACTTGACAGATACTGAGGTCCGGTTAGGAGAAGGAGTGAGAAAGACTCGTAGACTACTAGGTAGATTCTGAAATACGTGCGTGAAAACCAGCTAGCTGTTCGCCATGTGTGAATCAACACCCCGCATCTCGCAGAGGTGATCTCTCGTCGACCCTGGACTTGGCATCGAGACTCGGTCCAGTTACTATTTTATTTCGTCTTCAAGGAGCACCAGAACCCAGCCCAAAAAAAATGTAGAAGGGCGCATATCCGCCTACTGTGGCGGCACCCGCTGCGAATTGTTAGAATCATCCCCCCAAGCGATTCTCAGAGAGGTACATACGAATCGAACCTATTCAGATGGTTAGGACATGTCATTTGATGGTAGAAGTAAGCCTCCACACATACCGGGATCGGATCGGAGCTGGACACGCCTTGAACGTCACTCGAGAGAGACAGGCGCAAACCACAACGATACATGCTGACCATTACACCATGCCACCGCCCTGTTTTCAGACCAATTTTGGGGTCTCGAATATATTAATATGACAATATTTGTGCGGACTGCCGAGGCATGTGGGGCTCAAGTGGGGTAGTCGGGCTCCTCTCGCCGAGACAGATCAGATCGGTCCCGGTCATTGGCGCAGGGAAAATTCAGAGACTTGTTGGACAACATACCTCGCGCGCTCTGATAACATCGCCCTGCTATACTCCTTGATTTCTCCCTAGGAGATGTGGACTGTTCTGATCTACTTTGAGCACGACAGCAACGAGATCCAGCTTGGTCTTGATGATCGAACTAGAACCAATACCAACACCCTAGCAGCACGAGTGGGAAGGGGTTGGACGAGATCATTGTGATGAGAACCACCGGTGGGGTACAGCGATAAATGGTAAGTCCCGACTTACCTTGGCCCAGTGTCTCCGTGGGTGTGCATATTGAACCTCTCAGACGAGGGACTGCGCACCGCGGCGTGTGTTGTTGACCAGGTTCAGCTGCCAGCATAGACGGGCTGGGAGGATGAAAGATCCCGAGTCGAAGTTTCCTTTCGTGAATCGGGCGGGGCGGTTCCCGGAAGAGTGGAAGAGCGCAGACTATGATCTGTACACGAAACATGCGTGCGGGGGAATAGAACATTGAGGCCACACCGATTAGACGCGTCAAGGATGGTCCGCCATTGTAGTCGATTATGTGGAGCTCTGACCAGACACACTCACTCGAGCTACGTTGCAACAGGATTCCAAAAGCTAGGTCCATATTTGACGGGGAAGCCTCTGCCAAATACCCGTCTCCAATTATTGAGACGACCACTTCATTTGTCTAGTTCTTTACGTGTGTCGAGCATTTGCCTCGCGAAGCTACAGAAGTAGTTCGAGGAAGGACCGTATACTGGATTTCAACCTGCTCGACTTGCAAACGTACACAGAACAACACGACTGCAAAACAGATTGGTAGCCTTGAATGGGTCGCAGCGACATCATCTCGCGGAGAACACAAGTCGGCTTTCGGAACACTGTTCTCCGTCAGGTATAGCCCGAAAGGATCAACATAGGGGCCGTTTCAGCAGGAGCGGAGGGGAACAAGGCAGATCATCCATAGACCATTTGGTAGTCAGGATTGCCCTTGTTTGTAGAGGTCCTAGATGGCAATGGATACAAGTGCACTTCCCATGCTTGCCTTGCCAGTGACCAGACCATAACCAGGTTGCGTCCGCTTGAAATGTATCTCTACCTTGATCTCCAAGGTCATTCTCTCTTGGCTGCTGCTAGCGCTCCTTGGTCTCGAGGCTTTCAGGCTTCTAAGTGGCTTCTCCGCAGGAGATTTCGTGCGTCCGTGTCATTCCTAGCGTATCCTGCATATTCCTACCCAAGGTTGATCCAAGGTTAGCAATTCTTCCCGGCATGTAACATGTCAAGGTTGACATGATGTCTGATGTCTGGAATTCCAATCCCGGCATGCAGTATTAGGCCCCCGACTTGAGCCTAGAAAGATGGGCAGTAGTGGCGATTGGTGGTGAAACAAGGCCAAGGGACTCCTCTCAGTGTACTATCTTCCAGCGCTGATCTTGTGCTGCTAAATGTGCCCTTTCACCGCAAGTGTCGTCCTGCACTCGCCCCTCCCACCAATTTGGCACCACATTGCTGCGTCAGTCTCGACCTTCTGGCTCCAAACTGGGAGACGCTTCAAGCTCATGTACCCACTCGACACTTGCAGGGAACAGGAGGAGCAAAATGGGTTCTCGACTGGTGGGAAAGTTGGTCTCGATTGCACTGACAGTCGATTCAATTCTTTTGATCGACAATTATTAGGACAATCGTCGATTGAAAATCGCCAAGGCGCGGATGTGGGCGTTTCTACCAGAGGAAAGGCCAGGGTGCGCGACCTGTGTGAAGGTTAAGACTAGGCTAAGGGAGATGTTTGCCCAGGTGGCTTTGGGACAAGCGCCAGCGAGTGGGCGCATGATTGCAGGGTACGGGTTTTGGCCGATGCACCCAGTCCTGTGGCTGCTGGGCGAAGCACGGTCACCCAACCACAGCGGAGGAATGATGCATGGAAGTCAAGGGAGGCCCAGAGCTAGCTGGGAACAAACGTGAGAGGAAAAGGTCACTGGCGGTGAATTATATTGGGAATCAACTGAGGATGGGTGCAAGTAGACAGGTGCATGAGTGCAGACGCAAGCTGCAGGTGAGGTGCATGGAGTGCGTGAGGAGCGTGCATGAGAGGTGCATGAGGATGGCAGATTGGGGGCGCCACGCAATGCTCTACCGTAGAAGCTGCACCCAAATTCTACGGCGAAGCACAGCCCCTGCGCCCCACACCACCATTTCAAGACTTTCGAGCTCGACAATACACGACTCGCACCCACACCAAGGGCCTCGCTGTCGCCGAAAGCTGCCTCTTTCCATCCACCCATCGAATACGGACACGCCATCCCCCTACCCACTACGGAATAGCCGCCTATCCCAGGTCCACGACCCCAGCTTCACTCCCTTGCATCTCAACCGTTTGGGAATTCTCTGTCGAAAGCTTTGCACCATCTGCCGGACAAGCTTTCCCCGTCCATCGATGCTCTGGGACTCCGGTCCACCCACTCTGCTCCATCGACTAACCTCCCGCCTCGCAACTCTTTTCTGGCTTCAGCTGTAGAGCGTTCTGCTTCAGAAATCTTCTATACGGCCATATTGTTGTCAGTCTAGTGCTGGCCGCTGCTTCTCTCCGAACGAAAGCACTAGACATGAGCGCACCAGCCTTCCATATCCTGGCGCGCCTGTGAAGAACTGCGCTGACCCCTCATCCATCATGTCTCCAGGGTCTGTGGGAGACCGTAACAGCCGTCCAAAACGCAACAAGACAGAGTTGGCCTGTGACACGTGTCGCAAGCGGAAGTCCAGGTGTGATGGTCGGCGTCCCTCTTGCTCTCACTGCGACAACATGGGACTCGATTGTATCTATCGTCCCCCTTTGACCAGCCTGGAGACGTTAGTATTCCCCTTCAAACGCTGGTTGAAAAGAGGACTGTTCCACTGACCCCCAAAACCCAAGGGATGCATCCGTTCTCACTCGACTCTCCAACATTGAGACGCGCCTATATGCCCTTGACCAAGGTAGAACAGATCTGAGTCTCGCGTCTACTCCTGCTCAAGAACCTCTGGTTATCAAGACCTGGCCACAGGCGCCGAAATTCCACCACGCTGCCGCTCACAAAATGTTCAACTACTGGGCAAACCTGCGGACCAAGCTCGAGGATATTCCCGGCCTGGAGCCGCTCACATACGTCTGCCGGGTAGACGACAATGATACGGGGCTCTTTAGTGCTAGCTTCGAATCCCCAGTTCTTGCAGAGATTCCTATTTCCGTCGTGGTCAGAGGTATCGAATCCTTGTTTGCAAGCATGGAGGGCTTGCCTTTCATCTTCAGACATCTCTTCTTGTACGGAGGACTGTCAAAGGAAGTATGCCTCGACGTGTTTCGCCGATATTTAGAGGTACCCCCAGGTCACGACATCATCCCCACCTTCAAGTCGCAACCTATCGAGCAGCTCGTTGTCCAGGCCATCGCTCTCAAGCACATGGCCGTTGTTGCAGGGGAGAGAATGTTGGGTGACCACGCAGATCTCTCCTTCCGACAAGCACTTCAACAAATGTGGGTAGTGCAAACCTTGCAAAACCCACGAGCACTACCCTTCAGATTCTTGTTGGTCATAATGCTGCTCTATCTGTATGGGAGACCTTATCATGCGTTGTCCATCCTGCAGACTCTTGAACCCCTCGTTTACCACACCGCCCCGAAAGAAAACGATGACCCGTAAGAGCGCTTCCCAGAGGTTTTGTTTGGCACTCGACTAACCACCCCTAGGGCTGTCAAAGCTCAGTATGAGGCCTGTTTATATCAGTACTTTATCCTGGAAAGGTATCTTGTACCGAACTTTCGCTAAGGTGTATTCTAATGCCGACCAGCGATATCCTGAGCGAAGTAGATGGTGTACCCTCGGAGCGTCTGCATACAGTCATCGTTGCGGCATTGACTCAGAACAGAGCGGTGGCCCACCCTAATGTATTTGGGAACGAACTGGTTGCGGCACCCGTGGACAACCATCAATCTCAAGAGATCCGGGCGCACTTGCAGCTCAGAGCCTACATGAACACCATTCTAGAACACATGTACAACGTCGATCGAGCCTATTGCCGGCCATCGCAGGTTGCAGCGGTCGTTACCGATATTGCACGACGTTTGGATCTGTGGTACTGGACCCTCCCACTGAATATGAGATTTCCTCGACACCCGTCATCCTTCTGTCTCGCACCAAGCGATATGTGGCACATCATGGTAAGCGAAGATCCATCTCTGCAGTGCAAGCTCCTCACGCTTCCAGGATGAATTGAGATTTCGATACTATGCAACGATATTCCTCGTCAATCGCCCTATATTGTACCATGTGCTACATGTGAGATTTGAAAACGCCGTCAACTCCCCCAACATGGACCCTCCTGCACCCAATCCTATTCAGGATCCGTGGGTGTATGAGTCTTGTCATAATTGCGTGCAGAATGCGACCATGATCATTCTTCTGCACTCAACAAGACATCAAAGCCGCCGTCACGAATATTTTGAGAGTTGGTGCAATCTTCAGCACCTTGTTGCCGCATATGCAACCATTCTTCAGGTTCAAACATCGTCGATATCGATCCTCCTCCAAGGCTATGGAGATCCGGATCAGTTACTCGACGCTGCCGAAGTAGTGCTTGAACATGGCTTGAACAGGCCTGGCAACCTTCGCGAGTCGTTGGGTTTCCTCAGACACATTCGACAAAGTTTGAAGAGGAACACACCACGCACTCCGTCGATCGGCGATGGTTATGCTACTTCGCCAGTCTACTCTGTGGCGAGCCACCACAGCCAGCCCAGCCATCAGAGCTAGTCCGTTCGTCGTCTCGACCTGGATCAGAAGCACATTGCCGGCTGAGAATCTCCCGTAAAAGGACATCACCAATTCGGCGCTTTCGGGTCATGATGAGCGAGTCAAATGACGTTTGCCTCCCCAGAAACACAAAACGAAATCCCCAAGGGAGGATGAGAAAACGCTCGTTGATCTGGCCGATTGAGACTCACGGGACTCCATCAGGGAGCACTTCCCGATCGTGCTGGGCCTGAATGCCTGCGGCAGGTCAGCTCTGATCCACCTCCGGTTCTGGAGAGACGTTACTTTCTGAGATGGCACCACCCTGCTTTGCGAGTCTGGGTGCTAAACTCAGTTTGCCCAGTACCGCAAAGGAGGATGCTCCGCCAGCGGCAGGGATATTGTTTGCAAGCTGGTGCTTGCACGCAAATGCCAAGGTGGCAAACTTGATGGCCTCTTTGAATGGAGCAGGAAGCCCAAATTCGTCGCTAGTGCGAAGTTCTACTCCATGCAATACTAGCCTCTCCTTCAGATGCCTCATGAGGGTGTCGTTCTTAGTGCCTCCTCCACTAGCAATGACAGTCTTTACAGGTGCTTTCGGAAGGATAAAGTCAACCACTGATCGCTCAATTGCCTTTGCCGTGAAGAGTGTGAGAGTCGACAGCAGATCCTCAGTCGATGCATGCTTGTAATCGTCCAGGATTTTATCCGCATGCTGGCCCCCAAAGTCCAGGCGCCATGCCGAACGGGGTGGCTTTCGGAGGAAGAATTGATGTCCCTCGAGCCGCTCCAGAAGCGTGGGAATGACATGACCTCTGGCTGCCAATGCACCACCAGCATCATACGGTTTGTCTTCTCGAACTTTCATCACATGGTCAATCATCACATTGCCCGGACCGGTGTCGAAGGCCATCATCTTATGCCGGTCTGCGTCAGCAAGCTGAAGATTGGCAATTCCCCCGATATTCAGTGAAACAATGGGCCCTTCGTTTCGGAACGAGCAAAAATCGAGATACTGCATCAGCGGAGCCCCGGAGCCCCCTAGTGCATGGTCAATCGGCCGGAATTGTGTGACGGTGGTGATGTTCGTCAGGGCTGTGACAACACCCGACTCGACGATGAATAGGCCGCATGCAAATCCACCCTTTGTCCACCGATCAACTAGGCTTTGGTTCCCGCTTGCGATATATTGTCTTTCTTTTTCTCTGTCTGGAGGCTCTTGGTAGATTGTTTGGCCGTCATAGCCGACAACATCGATGTCTTCGGGCTTCATGCCCACCTTGTCGAGCAATTTGTTCGTTATCTCGGCATATGCGGCACCAGCAGCATAGTTGAGCCTGCACAGGTCAAAAAGCGGGAGCTCGTTGGAGAAAGCCCGCAGAACGTCAGGCTGCAACTCCTCTGGCCACGGCTCCGAGATGCCATCGATATACTTTGGACGGTTCGGGTGTCCATCTGGTGCAGTATCGATGCTACACAGAACAGCATCGATTCCGTCGAAAGAGGACCCACTGTTGAGCCCGACGATATAAGGCATCTTGCACTTATAGCCGCAGTCGCGACGGAAACTTTCTCCTGTGAGGGGCTGAGGTCGGTACGGTAAAGTCCGCCTCCAGCGTTGATGGACACTCCTCAGGGGAATAGTTCAAAAGTTTCAAACAACAGAGGCTGACCGAGGACGAGTATTTGTAGGAGTTGATGGATGCCCTGCGTCCTCAGGACGGTTGTCGGCTCAAGAAGCACAGAGTGGACCTGCGGCATCGCTATCTGGATATCGAACCATATGCCGGCACCCTGAATCCTTGTTCCTCAAATGGTTCTCGAGCAACCGAGGAAATTTTCCGCCCACAATGAACAAGAGGATATTAACGAGGAGAATTCGGTCCTCTCCCCAATCGGGGGTCCACCGTCGGGGAGGTTCCGAGCTGGATATGATTTGTATAGCGGGAGACGCCCAGCATATATTGAAACATTTTCCTACACGGTCGCATATGTTTGGTTCTTGTTCTTCAGAGCTTGCCTCTCGAGCCCAATGATTGACTTGCCACAGATGCAGACCCTGCACATATGTCCCAATTTTTCACCAGGTCAACCAATGTCCTGTGTGGAAGAGCGAGTGCATGCCACAGGACAATGTCTTGGAAGTTGCAATCTGGTCGACCTATGCGTGGACGAGATGGAGCCTTGTAGGAATGCGCTCGGATGGAGCAGCATCAGCAGCCGTCCTAGCAGAAGAAGCAAACCCATACCATCCTTTCCTATACCCATTTCTAGTCTATGGCCACCCTCGCATGATGTTCGACAGAAGCTCGTGCAGGCCGAGACGAAGTCTCTTTGCATGCATTGTGACGCGAGTCATGGGCATTCTTTTTACACATTGATTTCATGCATCGGAACAGCTCCTCAATCCACTAGTTTGAGCTGTTGGATTATACCCACTATATACGCGGGCAACGTGAACATGCATTTCATGTCAGGACATCAAAGGACAGCGCCTGTCACTGCGTTTAGATCTTCGGGGGCCAGTTCGGTTCTGGTTATCGGCAGCCAGGAAAGACGCTGCGTACGCGGGCAGGTAAGCCGCTAGCTTTTCTCAGACTGATAAGAAGCTCGTTTCTCAGAGTGTGCAGCTCGACATCTGCGGCCGGATGTTTTGAGCGGTCCCGAATTCGAGGAGGTGACCTGTCCATGGAGGTTACGAGCCTTTTCAGCCAGGATCGTGGTATCTCGGATGCCTCGGTCAAGGGCATTCGAATTCGAGAGCAGCGACATCGAGATTCTTGCCCAGGACACGGCACAAAATAGGTCACAGTGAGAAAGCGAGCTCCAAGAGTCTGAAAGCCACACCAGCCATTGGTGTAGGGCAGGCATTGGCCTACGAGCCCTCGTCCCCGAATGTTTTCAAGCTGCAAGTCCAGAACAAAGGACTGTTGCAGCTGGATGACCCAACCACAGCGAAGGCGAGCCATGCTGCTCATCACGCCTTTGGTCTCTTGGGTTGTCTGATTTTCCCCACCCTATCTGCCAGCGAGAACCTCCAGAGTCTTTACCATTTCGCGCGTCCAAAGGCTCTATGCATGACGGCTGTTCCCTTCCACGCAGGATGGGAGGGCCCATTGGACCATACCAGCCGAAAGAAGCCTGCATTGACATGGGAGAAGGGCACCAAGTCTACGCATCTCGAGGGAGTCCCGCTCGACCGGGTTTCCCATCATCATCCATTCGGGACTTTCCCACGCCAAATGCGGGGAAGAGACCGACGGCAGGGCCTCTCATTGTGGCAGCACGCACTGATGCCTCTCTCGGGTGACGATATCTGGCGAGCTGCGTTCTGATACAACATGCAGGGAAATTCAGCGCCGGTCATAGGCTGTACAATCTCCTGGCAATCTCGAAGCTGCAGCATCCTGAGCCCTCTGGATTTGAAGCCTGAGCCGGCCACTGTCCGCCGCGCCACCAGCTGATCGCTTGCTGTCATCAAGACTCTGCGGTTGGTAGGAATTCCATGGGAGGGGGGATTCTTTCCCATTTGCAAGCCTGCATTAGAGGCGAGCTTGGACCACCCTCTGGCCCCTGTCGAGCCATCCTCCAACCCGCATACCCGTGGACTAGGCCAGAGGTCCAAAGGTTATCCTAGGGTGCTTGGGTGCTCTAGAGGACCTTAGGGTACCCCCAAGGAGTCCTGATTCTTCCAAATCAGCTAAGTTGCGTCTAGCTGGGTATCCTCCAGTGCCTATCAACGCCTGAACCACCCACCCGCCGCTATCTCAACTCAAACAACCCTGGTCTTTGTTGACGCCACTACCCGTCGCCATGCTTCAGAAGTCCGGGGGCATGACAGGTGGCAGACGTCCAAGGTGCCAACCACCTGAGCGGTGACCAGTCGATCTTTTCTTTGCTTGATCAAGGTACAGTCCTGCAGGACCGTTGATCGGCTACCTATCGTATAAAGCATTGGATGGTCCCTTCATGGGTGTTTCCTTTGTCCCAAGTACCAGCTCGTCAGCTCCTTCTGCCATCACATTGCAAGTCTCGGAACATTGTCTGCAAGGCGGCTGGACCTTGAGACTGCCCAGCATGAAGATGCACATGTTCAACATCAATTGGGGCCACCACAGATGGGCCGTCTTCTTCTGTGCCATCTCCAGCCTCGGTGCTCTTTGCTATGGGTACGACCAGATTTACTACACCGGCGTGTTGGGGATGAAAAGATTTGTGCACGACTACGGCACCACCCACGACAAGGACGGCAATATCGCCTTGACCACTACCTTCCTGTCCCTCACGGCATCCATCATCTACGTGGGAGAACTGGTCGGGGCGCTTCTCTCTGCTCCCATCAACGATTTCTTCGGCAGAAAGGGAGTCTTCCTTTGTGCTTCGGCTTGCATCATCGCCGGGGCCATCACTCAATGCGCCGACCAAGGCTCCATGGGGGTCATCTGCCTGGGCCGTATACTGATCGGGCTGGGCATCGGCCAGTTTACGGTGACCTGTCTCCTGTACATTGGCGAGGTTGCACCGCAGGCAATCCGAGGTCCGGCCCTGATGATGTTTCAATTCATGCAGTCGTGTTCTCAGCTTGTCGGTTCAGGGATCACCCAAGGCACGGAATCCATCGGCTCGACCGCTTCGTACCGGATTCCGATGGGGTTGCTGGCGTTGCTGCCGCTCCTTATGCTCGTGGGCCTGATCTTCCTCCCGGAGTCGCCGGTTTGGTACATTCGCCGAGGTCGACCAGAAAAGGCCACCAAGGCGCTTCTGAAGATCAACCGCAGCATGCCCGAGTATACGCCCGAGAAAGACCTCGCCGCCTTCACGACAATGGTGGAAACGGAACGAATCCGAGAGGCGACGTCGTCCTGGATGTCACTGTTGAAAGACCGGGTCGAACGCCGCAAGCTCATATACTCGTGCGGGGCAATGGTGGCTCAACAGATCAACGGCATTCAGTTCTTTTACTCGTATGGGGTCGTCTTTGCACAGTCCATCGGCATCAAGCAAGCGTTCACTATCTCGCTCATCACCAACACGCTCCAGGTCATCGCGGTGGGTGTGTCTGTGCTGCTGGGCAACAAAGTGCGCCGCCGCTCGAACCTGCTGGTCACGACCATCATGATGCTGCTCGCATACATCATCATTGGAGGGCTCGGCGCAGGACCCTACACGAAGACCAGCTTCAGCACGACCATCGTCGTCATCTCCTACATTGTCATTGTGGCGTTCAACTTCGGCCACGGGCCGTTGGCGTTCACCATCGCGTCCGAAATGGCCGTGGGGCGCAATCGCAACAAGATCATGAGCGCGTCGATCGTGTCGTTCTTCTTCACCGTCTGGGTCATCGCCTTTACCAGCCCCTACATCTACTACAACGGGGGCCTGGGCCCGATGCTGGGGTTCGTGTACGCGGGGACCACGTGCATCACGCTCGCGTACGTGTGGTTCTGCGTGGGCGAGACGACGGGCCGCAGCCACCTGGAGATCGAGCTGTTCTTCCAGAAGCACGTCCCCGTGCGCAGGTGGCGCCAGCACAAGTTCGCCACCCTGGACATCGTCCGCCAGGAGGAGGAAGACAACGCCTCCCACGCGATCGCGGAGGAGATCCAGCAGGCGCGGCACGAGGGCCGGATCACGCAGCTGCTGTCCGAGAAGAACATCGTGGAGCCGCCGACCGAGGAGGAGCTCGCCGGCCCCGGGCGCAGCGCCGTCGTCGCTCTGAAGACGGGGGACTGGAGGGACGTGCGGTGGGGGAGCAAGAATGCTCCGTTCAGTCCAAGGGACCGCGCGCTGGGCCTGATATGCACATTTACCGTCCACGGCATGACCGAGTCAATGTAGTGAAAGAAGACCGGAAACAGGGAATGTCTTGTATTTGTTGAAACTGGGGGATACGCAACGCATTCATTCCCCTGCGTCGGGTTTCAGTTTTATCAGCAAGCATATTTGGCCACTCACAGTCGCGACGGCCATCTGGTTTGTCGCCCCGAGAGAGAGAGAGAGAGAGAGAGAGAGAGAGAGAGAGAGAGAGAGCGCCCTGAGGGACGTCGACATGTCGGGCCATTTTCCCACTCTTTCTTTTGGGGCTGCAAACGAAAAAGAAAAAAAGCGACGGATTTCATAAAGCAGGACCCCCTGAAGCTTTTGGGAATCCCCCCGGAGGGCGTCCACTGGGACTGCTTTTACCTGGATTACACTGAGATATGGTGATAATGATGATAACGACAATGACGCTGAGAAAGGCGTGTTGCAATGGCGATGCAACGTGATGTGACGTGATAGTATGGTCTGATCTGACCTGATCTGGTATGATATGATAACGAGTGATTCCGAATCCTCCTGGAATAGGATCTGTCTTTTTTTTTTTTCCATCCGTCCTATCCAACGGAGCTTCGTATATCGTGTAGCGGCGGCACTTGGCATCTTCGCAGCAACAAGAAAGAATAGCTCGCATTGAGGCTGGGATTGGAATCGGACTTCTCTCGTGAATGGACTTGAACAAAGCGACCAGTCCTGTATGTATAGCCCGTGAAAGCGCCGCACGGGGCTGGAGAGGGCCTTGAATGCTATTCCAACATATCATATTTGCATCGAGAAGTACCTACCTAGTCACGAGAGAGCAAAGGAACAAACTTCATAGACACAATCGAAGCAGGACGTATTTTGGTTGCGAATAGCCTGACTGTCCCATTTCATCATTCCTCATCCGTCGTCCCACCAATCCCGAGTCTGCTGGTCCTTCGCCCTTCTCTCTTGCCTGGATTTAATCACGTCTTCAACTCCGGCGTCTCCCCAGCCTGGATGTACTCCATGGCCTCGGGATACCGCATGCCCGTGACGGTGCACTCCTCGCAGGCCTTGCGGATGGCGCGGTCCTCATCGTCCGTGACGTCGATCGACAGGGCGCCGAGGTTCTCCTTGACGCGGTCGACGCTGCGCGTGCCGGGGAGCAGGTGGATGCCCTGGGGCCACTGGCGGCGCAGCCAGGCCAGGACGAGCTGGGAGGTCGAGACGCCCTTGGCGTGGGCGAGGAGCTCGATCTGGCGCACCAGCGCCAGGTTCTTGTCAAAGTTGGCGGGCTGGAAGCGCGGCAGCAACGCGCGGAAGTCGCCCTGCACGTCCGCGGCCGACTTGATCGTCCCCGTCAGAAAGCCCCGGCCCAGCGGCGAGTACGCCACCAGCGCGATGCCCAGGTCCTTGCACGCCTGCAGCACCCCGTTGGTCTCGATCTCCAGCGCCCACGGCGAGTACTCGATCTGCAGCGCCGAGATCGGGTGCACGGCGTGCGCGCGCCGCAGCGTCGAGGCCGACACCTCGCTGAGCCCCAGGTGGCGGATCTTGCCTTCACTGTTGGGGGAAGAACTGCGTTAGTCTTGATGCTGTTGCATGATATAGAGCCCTTCTATGGAAACAACCATTGGAGTTGACTTCAGAGGTGAATGTGCGGGCGGGTGGACGGGCAGGGTCATCGAGACTTCTACTCACTTCTTCAACTCGACCATGGCCTTGATAGTCTCCTCGATGGGCGTCTTCCCGTCCACGCGGTGGCAGTAGTACAGGTCAATCCAGCCGGACTTCAACTTGTCCAGGCTGGCAGCGCACGCCGCCTTGATGTGCTCCGGGTCGCTGCGGATGATGTAGGCGCCGTCGGCGTCCTGGCCCGCGAAGCCGAACTTCGTGGTCAGGAAGATGTCCTTGCGCTTGTCCGGGTTAGCGGTGAACCACTTGCCCAGCAGCGTCTCGGTATCGCCGTACAGGTCGGCGTCGTCCCAGTGCGTCGCGCCCAGTGCGTACACGGCGTCCAGGAACGCCAGGCGCTCCTCATCCCCGCCGGCTGAGCCGTACGCGTGGCCCAGCGACATCATGCCGATGCCCATGGCCGGAATTGAGGGGCCGTCGGTGCCCAGAGGCAGGGTTGGGAGGGGTTTGGGCAGCGACATGGTGTGTTTGTAGTAGAGAGGGCAAAGTCGTCAAGATCGAGTCGGTGGTTGGTCGGTGTGCGTGCCTGTGACAGTCTGTTCGCCTACCACGAGCAGTGAAGGAACTCACAGGCTTTGGGGCGACGAGACGAGCGTATCCCCTCGGATCCTTATATAGACTTGCACCATGCATCTTTCCCTGCTTCAGCATGCCCACTCACTGCTCTTTTCTTCCCTTAACTCCGCTCCCACACACATTATGACACTCCGCATTTTTGTTTTCGGCCCATGATAACGTCCCAATCGACTGCTGACGCTATGACTCGAACAAGTAATTAGAGTTGTAACAAGACGTGTGCCGAAGTCCAGCGAAGCCTCGTCCGTGGAACCCTGGCTCTGGGCCTCGGGCGTGTTTGTATGGGGGGGGGGGCGGGCGATTTTCACGCCGCGACGATCGGGCGAGCGAATCAGACGCCAAAACCAGGGACGCAGGCCATGGACGAATCCGGACAGCTTTCGACCGGCCCGCACGATTTCTCACAGGCGAGTTGTTAAGTCCGGCGGTGTTGCATACAGGTACAGGTACAAGGTAGAGTTGAAGAAGAAGGGGTGGTGGTGGTCTCATGGTCGTGTGGCCATAGGCAGATCTGAACAGCAAAAGAAAGAGGAGGAACAGCACAGCGCAGGTGGCTCTTTTCTCCACAGAGTCTGTGCCACAGCCAAATTCTTCCTCGATTGATCCGGCTTCAAGAGTACAATTACGATGCGACTCGACGCCATAAATTGAACGGAGACACTCTAGATCTGTCTGTTCTCAAAGTCTATCATCTCAAACAGTGTAAAGGCGAGGGAGTCACTTCCTCACGCCCCTCTATCAAATCTTCGCAGCTCTGCCCTCCGACTGTGCCTTTTTGCACGGCAGCTCTCGTCTCAGGATCTTTCCCGATGGTGTCTTGGGCAGATTGCTCAACTCATACACTCCCCCACGCAGCTTCTTGTAGCCCGCCACCTGCCCGTCAGCCCAGCTGCGGATTTCAACGAGCAGTCCCTGCTTTTGAGACGCGGGTGTGTCTGCAGGAAGTGTCACGTATGCAATGGGGAGTTCGGTGGCCTGCTCGTCCGAGTAGATCGAAGTCACGGCGGCGTCGACCACGGAGGGATGTTTCAAGAGCAGGTCTTCGAGTTCTGAGGGTGGCACTTGGAAACTTGCATCCGGTCAGCATTTTGAGCAAATGTGGATGGAAATGCCCAGGTGAGCCTCTACCCTTTGTATTTGATCAGCTGCAAGCTGGTTAGCTAGGTCCGAAGAGTTCGCGGGTCACCATTCACCTCTTTTAATCGATCGGTAACCCAGAAGTTGCCATTCTCGTCCACCCGCATGATATCGCCGGTCCGGAGCCAGTCACCGACATAAGTCTCTCGCGTGGCTTGTTCGTTGTTGTAGTATCCCCTGGCTCCTGGTCAGTAACGGGGAGGATCCAAATGAGGGCCAAACCTGACATCATTGTCTGAGGGCCTTTAACCCAGAGTTCGCCTTCTTCTCCCGGCGCAACGTCCTTCAACGTCACGGGGTCGACAAGTCGAAGTTCACTGTGTCAAGGAATGGACAGATCAGCACCAAGCGACCCGCAAAGAAAATGCAAGAGAAACATACGTTCCACAAACTGGCTTTCCTGCAGTACCAATGTTGTTCTCATCGTCGAGGGGACTCTGCAGAAGCACTGTCGGCGAACATTCAGACATTCCATACCCTGCGACTGTCAGCAACACATCGCCCGGGGGATCTTGTAAGTGACAGACCCTGCACGATCTTGACATCACTCCCAAACCTTGCCTTCAGTTTCATCTGGAGGTCTCTTTTGGTCGGAGCGGCCGAGATGAGGATGATCTTTATCGACGACAGCTGGTACCTTGCAGCAATATCCGAGCTCGCCAGTTGGATGGCGACAGGCGGAACTATGTGAGCCCATGTCGCTCGGTGCTCTTCCATCTTGCGGCAGAACAAGTCCAGGTTAAAGGCCGGAATTCCGCAGGTGAACGAGCCTACCCACATGCCGCAAAACACCACAACCCCGAGACCATAGACATGGCAATCTGCCAGTATTCTGTCAGAATCTCCGCACTAAAATTGCAACACTCAGAGCTTAGACCCTTACATGGTGGAAAGAAGACTTCTCGTGAGGCGTGATTCATCATCCAAGGCATTGAGATTCGCGTCTGGATAATGTTGGAGACTATGCTGTAGTGTGACAACTGCACTCCTTTGATTTTTCCCGTCGTCCCAGATGAAAACACAATCATGGCGGTCACGTCTTTGGTGCTTCTCCCGCGCAAGTCGAACATTGGAAGCGACTGGTCAGGGGTTTGGCCCGCAATGTCGTCGGGGAACTGGCAAGAATCAGGCCGAGATCTTCCAACAGAGGCTGCAAAGATCTCACCAGCTTGAGAGTTCCAGACCTTCTCAGCACCGTGAACACTCTCGGACGTGCACTTTCTCCCCAGCCAAGCTCCTGAAAGGCAGAATTGACGGCCTCGAGTTTGCTTGGGTCAATCGCGATATGGCTCGGTTGGACCAACGATAGAGCATGGGCAATGTCTTTGGCTAATGAGGATGGATTGAGGGGTCTGTTGGCGACTTTCGTGAGATATCCATGACCCCCCAGATGCTGGGCAGACGTACGAAAATATAGCTCCAAGCCACAGCGTGGCGTGCGCAAGAATCACGAAGTCGGTCTAGGGTCGGATCGATCAGACGAAGCATTTCCTTGTTCTTGCAGGGTACATACCGAGTTGGGAAGAATGACCAACAGCTTGTCCTGCTCCTTCATGCCCATTGTATGCTGCAGTCCCCATGCGCACCTGGCAGCTTGCTCTCGGAGACCGCCATATGTGAGACTCTTGTTGGCGATAGTATCGACATGTACCACCTTATCAGCAGGGACGGAGTCGGGGTTGTACTTCGTCATTAGTGCTGGGATCGTGATTTTGTCATTGGGAGCCGGCGGGCAAAATGGCCCCGTCATGATCAGTTGATCCATGGTGTGCTGCTGGGGGAGATGAAGCCATTGCCCCCGAGTTCAAGGGGATTTGGCCATTTTGTAAGCACTCACTGAAACATGCACTCGTACTTCTGATGAAGCCAATGAACTCGGCCGAGGCAGTGGACAAGAGACAACACAAGATATGGAGTACCTTAGGCACTCATCCCCCGTCAAGCTGTTCGGGTGGAGAAAGGCCTCCCAATGCTTGAAGCTTTCGACTCCGCATTGGCAGAAACAAGACCTCGGCAAGCGAGTCAGTCGTTCATTAGAGGCAGAAAGAAAGAGACGATCCAAGAATGTTGGTACATTTGGTGTATAAAAGTCTGAAGACAATATGTAGTGTGCCTTGTACCAAAAAGGCCTCTGGAGATGTGGAAGGGTATCTCTTGAAACTTGACTATCGTCCAAGGCGGTACACTGATGACTGCAACCTTTGGTCCTGCTCTATGTCTATGTTTTGGGATCCACCTCACATTACATCCGGTGGGTGGGATTGACCTCTGCTTCTTTTGTAGCATCACGTATTCAGCAAGGATGGGGGGTGAGCGACTGAGGAGATTCGAAGCATAGTGGGTGTCTCAGCGAGATCAAGGGTGTCCGAATCTGGATGCAGGCACAATGGGATGGACGGATGGTTCACAAGGTTCGGGAGAATAAGCTGTGAGATTGGTGGCAGCCATTGGGAGAGCGTGGAATGACGGAGGGATGGGAGGGCATAAATGGAGATTGAAGAGAAGCGACTCAGTCGTAGAGATGCAGGTGAACTGCGACCTGCGACCTGCGACCCGCGGACGGCGAAATGCGGGGGTCGATGCTTGATTCCCCAGTTCATTCTCTCTACACTCTGCGACCAGCTCGCCCACCTTCTTCCTCTGTATCTCATGCCGCTCCCATCCTCGCTTCGCCTGCAATGGGCATGGGGTTCGCTATTTTTATCCCCTCAATACCTCTAGGAAGTCTGCCCTGCCGTTTCTTCCCTGCTTCTCGCTTATCAGTCCTATCTCTTGACTTCCCGAGTGCGGTCGTATTCGGGAGAGCTATTTTCAGTGCCTTTCACACCACTTGCTTGTTGCCCAGTTTATTGAATGAATACGCGACGTTTGCAGCCTCATCTGCATCTTCATGCTAACCACCCATCAGAGGCCGCATCTTCACACAATAATATACCTAGCTAATTACACACAGCTCCAGGGTTCACGGCTTCCTGACTGACCACATTGTACGCCCTCCAAAACAAACAGTGAAGAACATCACTCAATCCCCTTCCCCATCGCGAACATGTGCTTCGGCAACAGCCAGACACTCGACGATCCTACCCAACCCGCTGTACGTGCCATCAACCCGTGGGGTCGCAAGATCCAGGATCCCACGCAACAGCCCATCCGCATCACCGAATCCAATGAGGGCCATACAAGCGAAATGCCAGCCCCAAGCATGAAAGAGCGGAAAGGAAGCCACAAAGACCGTCCAGCTTTCGTGGATGTGACCGATCACGAGTTCAAGCCCATAGCAAGAAAGCTGTCTAGTGTGGAAGCTGAAGCAGCACGCCCCATGCCCAAAAAGAGCGTCGAGAAAAAATGGCGGACCAAGAACCCTGGGTCTTCTACTTATGCCTACGGCGCTGCAATGGGTGCAGATTTCGCCGCCTCTGCATTTTGATCATGGTCCGAAATGCCCAGTGGATGATTGCCGGGTCGTCAAAACCCAGGGATGAAGTGCTTAGGATGGGTTTGTCAAGAGCTGACTCCACGTTTTCCCTTTGAGGAGATGCATGTCGGCACAGACGCTGGGCGCTGTCTCGGTTCTCTATCTTGGTGGAGCTTCAAGCCTTTTGGTTTTCTGAGTGGGAGGCATCGACTTGTATGAGATGGGAGTCGGATGTCGTAGAGATGAGGTCGTACTGAAGTGCAGCCTGCCCGAGTGGAGTTGGATTATTCATCGTTCAATGATACGAGCATGCCAATCGCAAACCTAGACTCACATCTGTCCCATTGTTGTTGACTGTTTGAGCTCACCCGGAGATATAAACTCCTTCCATGATTGTCATCAGTCACGTGATCGGCTCAACTATTTATCCGCAGTCCACTCCAGCGCTTCCACCACTGTGGCCATGACTCCCCCTTTCAACCAAAACCACAATCAAAGCTGCGTCAAAGGCTTCCTCGATCTGGGTAACGGCCGTTTGATGTCCTTCTATGACGTGATATGCCCATGCAGCCCTCCATCACCAGATATCCGCGCGCGCTAACATCTTGAAATCCGGCAGATACAACGTTGAAATATACCAGCACTCCGTACCACGTCAACCTGTCTGGCCTCAAAGCACATACGAGTCCATTTGTCCCTATGCGACACTTGAAAACAGGAAGACTGGTGACCTGAGGGGCAGAGTGAGCAAACAGGTGACTCATGGATCGAAGCGAGTCAGTCACAGCAGACGTGTATACAGCCTGCAGAGGAGGACCTAGATCTCGTACCTCGTGTCGGCCCCGGAGCCTTCCACACCACGCCCAACATGGCTTCGTATCTCGTCGCATTCGCCTAAAGACGCCAATCATCGTCTAAGCTTCGGGCGCCTCTTGGCCAGCTGGGACACGGATCAAGGAAGCGAGCTGTGCCGAAGCAATGACACCGCAAAACTCTCCATCGTGCTTGAGACAAAGGGGCCTACGTGGATATCTGTGGGCGGCCTAAATTTGTTCCGCCGGCCAAAGTCGGCATTCTCACGACCCATTGCACCGATCTAACCAATACTTTCTTGCAAGCTTCATTCATTGCAGCCTCGTCGCTACGCCCAAGGCCATGATGTACTGCGTCCACGGCGAGATGCGCTGCTATCGTTCCGAGAAAATAGTCAGCAGATTTTCCCCTTGATGGAGGCCGTTCGGACGGACTAATTAATCTTTTGGGTGAGTATGAAATGGTATATATCATGATCATGGCAGCTTGGGCTATATTCGCTGCACAAACCCGCTCAAGCCAAAGAAGTTTCTATCATCGCCACCCGTTTGTTTGCGGTCTTCCCAATAGGACCAGCTATCTCTTGGTACCCACACATCCCATTGGTGTGAAGCGTCTTTGAAAGTATTGATAAAGTCCCTCCTGCTCAATTTCGAGCCTCCTCTACCTTACACTTCCCATCCGCCAAAGCTGCGAGATATCCCCCTCTACGATGGAGGCATCACCCGTGATTGCTGAAGAGACAAAGGAGGGGCCTCCCTCTCGAGAGACACAAGCTTCCCAGACATCATCTTCCTCCTCCTCCATCACTTCCGAGAAGGCGGACGTCGAAAACAACAATGGCAGCTCCGGTTCCACCGAGTTCACCATCTCCACCCGATTCATTCTGGCCTTTGTTGCTCTGGCGGTGTTGACACTAATGGTGGCTCTTGATGGCACTTCGATCAGTGTCGCCCTTCCGACCATCGCTAAAAAACTGCACGGCACAGCCATCGAAGCCTTCTGGGCTGGCACCTCCTTCCTACTCGCCTCGACCGTGTTCCAACCCAATTTTGCCTCCTTCAGCCATATCTTTGGAAGAATGCCTGTGATCATGGTCTCTATTGCATTGTTCTTCGTGGGAGTTATGATGGCAGCCTTGTCGAATGATTTTGGTCTGTTACTTGCAGGAAGGGCGGTCCAAGGAATCGGTGGAGGTGGTATGTCACATCTCTAACCCTCTCAATTACACCCACAGACACTCCGATCTGACTGGAAATGAATAGGTGTCATTGCCATGACCGAAATCGTCGTCACCGACCTTGTCCCCCTCCGCTACAGAGGCCAATGGGCAGGAATCATCGCCGGGATGTGGTCCATTGGTTCGGTCTCTGGTCCCATCATCGGCGGCGCGTTTGCCCAAGTGCAATGGCGCTGGATCTTCTGGCTCAACCTCCCCTTTATTGGCATTGGCGCTGTCATGATTCCATTGTTCCTCCGCCTCAACGTCATTCCACAGAGCATTGCCGCAAAACTGCGCCGCGTGGATTGGCTCGGCACAGTCATCTTCGTGGGCAGCATGACGAGTTTCCTCATCCCATTGACATGGGGTGGCGTCATGTACAGCTGGTCGTCGTGGCGGACGCTGGTTCCACTGCTGGTCGGCGCCGCGGGTCTGATCGGCTTCTGCTTCTACGAGGCGTACCTCGCGCCGGAGCCCTTGCTGAGACTGTCGGTATTCAGCAACCGCACCGCCAACATTGCATACGTGACGACGACCCTCCACGGCATGGTCCTCTGGTGTATTCTGTACTACCAGCCCTTGTACTTTGAGGCTGTCAAGGGCTACACACCTGTTGTGTCTGGCGTCGCACTCTTCCCTGAAACCTTCACCGTTGCGCCCATGGCGGTGGTGACAGGGCTGCTGATCACAAAGTTCGCGGCGTACCGCTGGGCCATCTGGGTCGGCTGGGGCATCGGCACGCTGGGGCTGGGGCTGCTGACGCTGCTGGACGTCAACACGACGATCCCGCAGTGGATCTTCATCAACCTGGTCTCGGGGATCGGGCTGGGCATCTTGTTCCCGGGCCTGCAGTTCCAGGTGCAGGCGGCCAGCACGAACAAGGACATGGCGTTCGCGGTGGCCATGTTCGTCTTCTTCCGCTCGTTCGGGCAGGCCCTGGGCGTGGCCATCGGCGGCGTCATCTTCCAGAACCAGATGGTGACCAACCTGCAGAAGTACCCGGCCTACGCCCCCCGCGCGTCGGAGCTGGCCAAAGACGCCGCCGCCCTCGTCGAGATCATCAAGACCACCCCCGCCGGCGCCGGCAAGCTGGCCCTCCGCACCGCCTACACCGACTCCCTGCGCACCGTTTACATCGTCCTCACCGCGCTGGCGGGCTTCTCGCTCGTCGCCAGCCTGTTCGTCAAGGCCTACGATCTGAACGTCGGCCTCGAGACCGAGCAGGGCCTGATCGTTTCGGTCAAGAAGCCCGCCGCGGCCGGCGAGCGGGGCCGGGACGAGGAAGAGGCTGCCGTGGACGGAGAGCAGGAGGTCAAGGTTGACGGCGAAGGGGCGAGGTCAAGAGGTCAAGTCTAAGACTGTGCTCTTTCTTCCCTTCTTTTCCTTTCAGCGGGAGGCCGAAGCGACCACTCGAGTGCAAGCGGGTGGGTTGGGGTGCATAAGTTTAGCATAGCGAAGGCGTTCCATGTTCTCCCATCATGACTTGATGCTTGCGGCTGATAGACACAGAGAGATAGACTTCTTGTGATACTCCCCTTGATGATAGACTGTAATACTAGTCCATCGATGTAATAATGAATGTGTCATGTCCTCTTAATTTGTCCTCGTGCCGTCCAGTCCCAGCACAAAACGCAGATTACAATCACTTTTTGCGAGTTCGATCAAGCATATCCGTTAGCATCACCATTGACACGCCCGTTCATCCCGCCATGAACCCTCAAAAACACCACATCAACTTCCTGGCCCCTCTTGACATCACACGTCACCCCAAACCCATTGTCTGCCGGGTCATGCAACTCTTTGCTCGTGCGTAACTTCCCATTGACATAGACTGCCCAGTTTCCTGGCCCCAGGCCCCGGGCTATAGGCTCGATGCTCACGGTCTCAGGGCATCCTCGTCCCTCGAAATCCCACCCTCTCACAGTGAGGATTAGCGCATGGGCATGTTCATCCCACACACCGCGAAGGACACCGGCTCCATGCTCCCTGCCCGCGAATTCGAGGTTGTCGATCCACGGCGTACGGGCCAGAGACTCTCTCGTCCACGGCTTTTCATACATGATGCGCTGTCCATCTCTAACATTGAGTCGTGCGTACCCTATCGCAGCGTTGCCGCAGAAGGGGGAGATGTGCGTCCACTTGACGCCCTCGCCGTCATGTTTGTCGTCGGTGAAGATAAAAGGCGTGTCGTTACGAGGGTAGAACAGGCCCCCGTTCTCCCATGTGGGGTTGAGGTTTTCATCAGCGTATGCGAGAAGGCCATCAAGAAGCTCTGTTTGACCGAGCTCCGAAAGCCATTGAACTACATACCCGAAGCAGGGTTTGGTGTACGGGAAAGGCGGTTCTGGGTTCTTCGCAAGGTCGGCTTTGGCGAGGCCAATAGCTTGCTGGAGGTTCTCTTGATCGGACTTGGTCGGGGACGCCGCTGCTGAAAGTGTGCGGTAGTGGTTGGCTACAATGGGCGGTTGTAGGCGGATGTGGCCGGCGATGGTAGTGATGAAGCCAGGAAACTGCTTCGGATAGAGGCTCTCCACAAGTTGAGGATTCCAGGAGTTCATAAAAGCACCCGCCCTAAGAATTGGTGAGTGCGAGTCCCCAATAGGTCAGGAAGTGAAAGGCTTACCATGCAGTCCATCCCACATCTGTAGGAGGGACTATGTGGTTTTGCTTGACCATCCAAAAGTCAACAAAGAGACCGTTGGAAGAAACCATGCCCTTTTTGTCCCAAGCGATCTTGTACTTGGTCAGAACTTCCTCGACCTTGTTTGTGCCGTCCCGAGAGTCGTTGTATTTCATTGCTATAATCTGTGGCCTGGTCAGTAAATGGGTAAAAGAAATTTCAATCGACAAGGGCGGAGTGGCAGTACTGGAAATTGGTTGCAGACAACAAAGATCACGTTCGGCTCGCAACAAACGCCAACCCACCCATTCCGCTCCATTTCCCGAGTGATGGCTGCCTGGAGGCTGCGATTGTCGTAGGAGAAAGTCTCGTCGCCGAGACCGAAGAACATGGGGTCCCATTTGAAAACAAGAGACTTGGGCTTCTCGAATTCATCATCGTCAAAGAGCATCGCGTAGAGGCTGGTCATCAATAGAAGATGACCGCTGTACATGATGTTTTCTCGCACGACCGGGTCGGCCCACGGTTCTCTGAGCTTTTGCAAACTTGGATCGGTGCGTTTACCACCTAGACTAGTGTTGAACCAATAGGCCCAGACCTCCTTGCGCAGCATCTTATGAATCAGCTGGCGGAGGAGTGGTTTGAATATCGAGCGAAGGGCTGGCAAATGATGGTAGTGAGTGACGCCGACAGCGTAGGCCATCGTGGCAAGTTGGTAGCGGTAGGCGTCGAGGAACTCTTGAAGCGGTTCTTGAGCGCCCATCTTTGCCCACTCTCCATCTGGTTGGAAAGCAAGGTTGCAGAAATGGCGAAGGTGGCCTAATTGAGCAGTGGACAGTTTGGGATACTTGGACAGGTCCAGGGGGAGGGTTCGGGGGATAGTTTGAGCCATGTTTGCGACAAGAATGCCTGTTGACTGACCGCCGCTGTAGAAAACAGAGCGAGGATGTCACCTACCGTGAGCGACAAGTTGTGCCTTTATAGCAGAGCGGAGGGATGGTGTCAATGCCATCTGCAGTCATAATCGAGCTGAGACGAGGGAACTGCTCGTTCCGTATCCGTTCCCACACTGCCAACAACAGCGGGCCGTGTTGGTCGCTCAGAGCAAGGCCTTAATAAGGCGGACACCCGAGCTCTCAGCACCCAAGCTCGGTGGGATGGCGACTTTCTTATCCTGGCGGCCGAATCCTCTTATAAGCCGCAGTCGAAGTCGCTCTCAAAATAGCAAAAAGAAAATCAGACAGTGTCTTCCTCTTGTCATTCTTAACCAGTATGGCCACCCAGCGTACGGTTTGCTTTGCTCGTCGAGAGGTACTCGTCTCCCTCGTACACTGTTGCGAAGTTGGGTGGCTTCGGCGCCCGGGAGTGCTTGGGATTAGCGATCGCGCAGCGTGAGTGGGGGATCGTTGGGGAAAGCGGGCGATGAACGGATCGCACCTCGCTTCTATTGTTCTTCAATTGGCTGGAGATCAGTAATCCAGTGAATGACGAGGGAGAGGCTTCATTCGTGGACGCGGCTGGGGTTTGCAGCTCGTAGATACGGGGACGCTGCACACTGTCATGTTTCTTCCACTAAGACCATAGCAGAGAGGATGTGGAGATAAAGAGGTGAGGCTGCGACGACGACGACGGACTGGAGCCGAAAAATCACCAGAGGTGCTCAAGGAAAGGAAAAGTGGGAAACTGGGAATGCAGGGAAAAGGAAATGGGGAACTGAGGGAAATTTCAATTTCCCATCCTGCTGGGCTTGTTGCCCCGTGCGCCCCTCAACTTGTCCTAATCATCCTCCCCCCCAAAGTATATGGCGCAGACAGAGGAACGAAGCCAACCTTATACAAGTCTCCTATACCCCGTATACACACCGATGTCTGCTCTTGTTGCTCCCTTTGTTACTGCGTGCTCCAGGACCAGGTCGCTGCTCATGGTGCCGCCGCTGAATTGAGCGAGAATCTGATATACTCAGGGCGCCCAGTGCCTCCAGTGCCTCCTACGTCACCTCGCATTCCGCTTGTTGGTGGCTGAGTCCCCCACTGTCACCCAGGAACCGACAATCCTCGATACCTCTCCTCCAATCGTCCTCACAAGCCACACCTACTGCTTTGGAAATGGTCAGTGGCGATGTCGATGTCGAACCCAGATCAACCGACCACGGTATTCATGTACCATCTCTAGCCTCCTCAGAGTCAACTTCTGCCACCGCCGCTACCGCTGGGCGACGCAATGCCACCGCGTCTCCTGCCCACGATTTCTTTATCGACCTGCCTCAACTCCCTATGGCGACCGAAATTGCACTGGCGGCTCTTGCAGCCCTTCCTACACCAATACTAGTCCTCTCCTCCTTGAAAACTGTGCTTCTCGCCAATTCTGCCGTGGGAAGATTGTTGGGGGCGGATCATGATGATCCCGACCTCAGGGTGGCCGACTTCCTCAAAGGCCAGACGCTGTCGCAGCTAGGGATTGATATGGTCTCAGATGGCGGCGTCCCGGTATGGGTCAGTTGGGAAAGATTCCTCGACAACCTCGCTGGGGACTTGCACTCCGCTGCTACGGACAGAATCCCTCCAGCGAATTCACTGCGCGGTGTACAGAGTGGAGAGACAACTCCCATTGCCGTTGCCGCGGCCGCTGCAAGAGGTAGGTTGGCACTGCAAGATCGTACTGAAAAGACTCGAGACACTGTGGTCGATGTGATTATCTCCAGGCATCATGACCAAGCGCCACATGGCAGCCGTCGGCAGAAATATAACAAAACCCATCGTGCGGCCCGCACTACCTGTCGAATGATTATCACTATCTGGGAATTAGAAGGACAGCAATTCTTCACTTTGACATTCACAAGCTCGGCAGGGCATACACCAACGAAGACATCGTCCCACTCATCAGCCACTACTCGTCATCCCTCGTCCCACTCCACCAGGTCCTCCCGTTCATCACACTCCCAGACACCTGTTTCCTCCATCGGTACTTCTCAGATCACATCGCCTGCAGAGCCGCAGCATGTGGTTTCTTTTCCTCCTACCGCCCCGCCAACCCAGTGTTCTGCTCCGTCCGCCCCAACAGACTTCCAGAAGGTTCTAAAGATGAAAAACGCCATGTTGAGCGCCATAGAAATCCCCCTGATCGCCATGTGGAGAGATGAGAGCGTGGTCTTCCCAAACCTCGCTGCTCGCAAGCTACTGGCAGTCGAGACTGACCCCACATCGGATGAGTCGTACGATTTCATGTCGCGGTTTCGCCCCTGGACTGCAGATTTCTCCCGAGAGCTCGAGGAGGATACCAATCCCGTCGTCGTTCTGTGTCGCACTCAGCAGCCCTTTACCAACTGGCAGATCGGCCTACTCAACGAGAAGACAGGGAAGAAGTCCAACTTCGATGTGAGCGGGCACCCTGTCTACGACGAAAAGTCTGGAGAGTTTCTGGCAGGCCTAGTAGCTTTCAAGGATGTTACACAGTATACCGAAAAGATTGCACACCAAACAGCAGAGAATGAAGCACAATTTCGCCTCATCTGTGATATGATGCCACAAATGATCTGGACCACTAGATCTGATGGCTACCACGATTACTACTCTCAAAGATGGTATGATTACACTGGCCTGACTCCAGCGAATTCTCTGGGTCAGGGTTGGAAACTGCCTTTCCACCCGGAGGATATGCCCGAAACCATGCACAAATGGCGTCATTCTCTTGAGACCGGAGATGAGTACATCACCGAGTATCGCTGCAGAAGATTTGACGGCAAATGGAGATGGATGCTCGGGAGAGCCTTGCCAATGCGTGACCACAAGACAGGTAAGATCGTCAAATGGTTCGGCACCTGTACAGATATCCAGGAAGTCGTCGATGCCAAGAGTTCCGGACAGAGGACTCGACGACAGCTGTTGGATGTGTTGAAGCACTCGCAAATGACCATGTGGATTCTCGACCGGCAATTGAATGTCAGCTTCCACGAAGGCTCCTTCGTTATGGGCGACGCGACCACCGACAGGATCATTGGAGCTCCTGTCCTCGATGTTTTGCACAATCATCTTACTCCACAAGCCATTGACAAATTCGGGAAGGCTCTGTACCGCATCCTATCAGGGGCCTCCGATCTGGAAATTTGCGAGAATGAAGTGAATTCTAGATGGTTTCGGTCCAAGATGGTACCGCTGAAGGGCCAAACAGGACCAAACAGGGTCGAAGATGAAAACTATATCGCTGGAATCATTATCATTGGATCTGACGTTACTTCGCTGCGGCACAAAGAGCAAGAAAACATCATTTTGCTTGCGAAGGAGACGGCGGCTAAAGAAGCGAGCAAGATGAAAAGTAGCTTTCTCGCCAATATGTCTCACGAGATCCGGACACCAATCGCAGGAGTGCTGGGAATGTCAGAGCTGCTCATGGATACTTGCCTGGATCTGGAACAAAGTGAATTCGCCCAAAACATTCAGAGATCGGCCAATTCGCTTCTTACCGTCATTAACGACATTCTTGACTTCTCTAAAATTGAGTCTGGCCGGCTTGATATCGAAGAAGTGCAGTTCAGTCTAGACCACGTGCTCCGCGAAGTTGCCAAAATGCTTTCATTTGCAGCCCAACGCAAGGGACTCGAGTTCATGAGCGCCATCGATCTCAGACCATCTGAGGAACTCATTGTGTTGGGTGATCCTGGCCGAATACGGCAAATCCTGGTCAACCTGCTTACCAACAGTATCAAATTCACCTCCAAGGGCTTCGTCAGGCTCAGCACCCTCGTCGTGGGGGAGACCAATGCCACGGTCACGATTGAATTCTGTGTCGAAGACAGCGGCATTGGAATAGAGGAAGAAGTCAAGAAGAGGTTGTTTAGACCATTCAGTCAAGCTGACTCGAGCACCGCCCGGCGTTTTGGAGGGACGGGTCTCGGCTTAACTATATCCAAAAACTTGGTAGATCTGATGCATGGGACGATTCGTTTGGATTCCAAGCTCGATGCAGGAACCAAAGCTATCTTCAATATCCCATTCAAGAAACTTGAATATCAAAAAGGTTCCCCCATTACTGAGCTCGAAGTCGGCTCGACGCCTGATCGGCTACAACCCGACTTGTCTCGCTTCAAGGAGTCACCACAAGAACAGGCCCGAAAACAGCCGATGATTATGACCCCAACTAGGTCATTGGGAGACACAAGCGCGGGCGGCGAGCATGCTCAGGCGATGCTGTCAAGTCCGGGGGTTGCAACCCTCGTTCCCGAGCTTGAGAGAGATCAGATACACATACTCGTGGTCGAAGGTAAGCGGCGCCGAACAAATACGCATCGGTTCGAGGCTGACGCTCTCAGATAATCCCGTCAACCAGCAGATTGCCCTCAGATTCATCAAGGCGCTGAAGTTTTCTGCTATTGCCGTGTGGAACGGAAGAGAGGCTCTAGAGTATCTTCTCAAAGCCACTTCGGCCGAACTCACTCCGGAGCAATCACAGCAATCTCCGATTCCTTCACTTATACTGATGGATGTGCAAATGCCTGTTCTGGATGGTTACCACGCCACACACATGCTAAGGTATCACGCGCCATTCACGGACATTGAGAGGATCGCGAAGATTCCAATCGTGGCCATGACTGCTTCGGCGATTCAAGGGGACCGAGAAAAGTGTGAGAAGGCGGGAATGGACGACTATATGGCCAAGCCAGTCAAGCGGGCTCTTCTAGAGAAGACCATACTGAAATGGACATCCATGGCCCGCAAAGGCTTCAGGCACAAGAATTGGTCAGAAGTTCCCACAGAATCCCAGCAACCATCCTTCGGGAGCGCATGCACCGACCACTCGTCAACTTGCGGCCATGTCGATGCTATCACTTCCGAGTTCTATGCTCGCAATGGAAAATCAAGCAGTTTGCCGGTTTCGGCAGATGACCGCTCGCGAGCCTCAGCAGACGGGGCTATTGATGTTAAGGGAAAAGCCGCTGCGCTACGGTCCAGCATTTCCAGAGCCATCCTTGCTGAGGAGATCCCAGGAGGAGGAACAGAGGGAGATCGAACAATGAGGAGAGTCGAGGCTGAAGACAAAGCACAGGCACTCCGGGACGCCAAGCTGTTGTCGGTGACCGATTTACATCGTGGCCAGTCTGTCATTGCTCCTACGATTATGGTAGATGGCACCTTCATGTCGAATTCTCACTCGTCCGATGTGGCCCAACCAGTTGCTGGGAGCACCGGAGCTTCGACGGCGTTGGCATTAACCGAAGAGAACATGTACCTCTTCAACAATACACAAGATCACGGGATCATGGCCGCGGACATCCCTTCGACAGCAATGGGGTCTGAGAGGTTAGTCTATCCCCTCTCAGATATTCCAGGGCCACCACCAGAGGGTACTCTTGCCGCAGTCGACCTAGCTGGTGCCAATGCCAATGCAGAGGTCCTGGTATCATCGTTTGGGACTCCGCCATCGGAAAATGTCACATCCTCCGCAGATCCAGGCAAGGATCAGCTTCAGAGCCGACGAGATGTGGGCGGACTCGGTCCTGACAGTCGACGGAGAAGCGACTGGAGCATAAGTACAGCGCGACCGGATCAAGGCCAACGAGGGCTAGAGAGTGAATGATGCCAACCGAAGGAGTCTTGAATGCTCGATTCTGAGTTAAAGCAACCTGATCACGTTCTATCACGACGTTAACGAGTTTATGGGAGTATAGGGAGACTTGGTTGGATTGAAAGGAGCAAACAATTCCTTAACGAGCCACGACATGTACGAGGTACGACTCGCGCTACAACACAAGCAATCTCTTGTGTGGGTTTTGTCGGCAGATGGAGAAGCCGATCAGAGAAGACGCTAGATCTCAGAGAAAAAGGCAGCAATTGAAAGGAACATGAACAACGAGAAGGACGATACCCTCCGTGACACAGTCGTAATGGGGTTGGGGGGTGAGGTCTCGGGAAGGATGACGCCCAACCGGTATCTGTGTGTGTATATATGTATCTACAGGATAGAGAGAATAAGCACTCGGTACATCTGACTGTCTGGGCCACTTCTGAAGGTTGAGATACTTATATGTGTTCACCTGTGGAGTACACCCGCCTCCTCGTACTTATTTAGACGCCTAGGTGTCCAGGTTGATACCAATACCGAGCAAGCAAATTAGGCACCTCAGGGACCCCCAACTGGTGCTTAAGCAACTGGTGGGCTCTAGCCCTGGGCTCCATTTCCCTTTGCCACTAATTACTCCCCCCCGCAGTTGCCCACTCCCTCCCTCGCGCCGGGCTTTGTAGGACGGTCGAGAGGCCAGCTAAAAGTGCGTCATGAGTCCGCAGCGGCACCGTGGGCACTAAGGATCTCTCTCCCCTAGTGGTCACCTACTTGGTAGGTAGGCAGCAATGGCAGCAGCACTTAGGCCACTTTTCAGCCTTATGGGCAAGCTGGAAAGTCGATTAGGCTGTGGCAACCGGTGGGCTCGCCCGCGGCAGCCGCCCCTCTGCCCCTCTGCCCCTCGGCCTCTACTGTGCGGTAAGTATCACCCGCACTTACGCAGCTCGTAGCTCTGTCCCTCTTTCTTTTGATAGCACCAAGTCACCCACCAACAGGAGCCACTGCGGGCGTGCAAGGCAGATCTGTAGCCTAGCCGCCTAGCGTGTCGCGAACCAGTCAACAGGCACCATCAAAGGCTGGATCCTCTAATAGGAAGCCACTGTTCACATCACGCTCAGGCCTCAGGGCAGCTTGTCACACACAGCCTCATCTTCAAGTGCAAAACAAGAAACTCCCCCTCCCCTCCGTCCCTCTTCTCAAAAGAAAGCCTATCTACCAAATAATGCCTCTTTCTAATCTGCACGAGCAAACCTGCAGCACTATTTCGCCCGCAATAACACTTCTCTGTGCTGCTCATGAACCTGAGCTTGAACCTGAAGCCACTTAGCTCCTGCTCCTCCCAAGCCCACCTCCGCTTTCACCATGTCGAATCAGACCATCTTGAGAATATCACGAGTAAGAGGGTTGCTTCTACACGATGGAGGGACATCACTGACAAGCCGCGCGCAGGAGATTACCCAGATCCAACAAGGCAGTGACCTGTGTAAGTCACCTTCACACGCGAAAGCCACCCACCTCCCGTCGTCAACTAACCATTCGCTGCAGCCATCGCTGTCGCTTGCCAGGAGAAAGACGTGCGCCACGTCAAAGCCCTCATCATCGGTCCCCACGGCACCCCCTACGCCTACGGCTTCTTCGACTTCTCCGTTCATTTTGGGTCAGAGTATCCGAGTAAACCACCCAAAGTCGAGGCAAGAACCACAAATGCAGGTCGCACGAGATTCAACCCGAACATCTACGCTGGTGGGAAAGTTTGCTTGTCAATTTTGGGCACATGGCATGGAGAGAGACCGGGTGAAGAGTGGTCTTCCGCACAAGGATTGGAGTCGATATTGTGGTCCATTCAGAGTCTGATGAGTAACAATCCATACGAAAATGAACCTGGGTACGAGAATGCCAGGGGTACAGAGGACAAAAGGATGAATGAGCTGTACTGTTCCAAGGTATGTGTATAGCTTTCCGCTTCGAAGCTGGACTGGGTTTTCTGTTGGCTTACGACAGGCCTAGATTCGTCACGAAACTCTCCGGGTAGCCGTCATCCACAAGCTTGAGGAGGCATTGGGCATCCAGCCAGACGGCTCATTGGCCACTCCTGCGCCTACCACGGCCCAGTGGGGCTCTGAAGAAGAAGACGACGACGACGACGAAGGGATCAGAGAAGACCCCCTTGAGGTCCAAATCAAGCTCAAATTCTCACCTTTTAGAGATCTCATCAAACGGCGGTTCCTGTGGTACTTTGAACACTACATGTGCACCATTGAAGAATATACACCCAAAAACAAGGATGGCTCCGACTTCGTGAAGATGCCCTTTGAAGGTACCGGAAACGGCATGGAAGGGAAATTCCGATACAGCGAGCTGGGCAGAAGATTGGTACGGATCAAAGAGGTGCTTCGCACGGAGACCGACAACTGGGCGGTTGAGGGATTGGCGTTGAAGGAGCGAGAGGCGACCAAGGCAGCAGCAGTCCAACGACAATTCGAACAGTTGGCAGACTACATGACGCGCAAGAAGCTGCACAACGTGGATGTTAAGCTGGAGAACGGTAACCCATTTGTCTGGATCATGACCTATTTCGGCAAACCCAGCACCCATCTGGACGGTGGAATCTTCAAACTCCGAATTGCAGTGAGTCCTCGGTTTCCAACTGAACAGCCTCGCGTCAAGATGGAAACACCCATCTATCATCATAGGGTGTCCAAGGACGGCGTGGTATGCTATTTCTCCAAGGAAGCAGACCAGTTACGGAATCACATTGAGAGTATCGTTGAAGCATTGGAGGAGGAAAGCCCACCGTATGACCCCCGGACGATTGTGCATCCAGAGGCGACCAAGTTGCTTTGGGGCAGCGAAAGTGATAAGAAGAGATATTTCCGGCAGCTCAGGAGATCGGCACAGAAAACAACAGAGGAAGGAATGGAGATGTGAGACGCACATTCTAAGCGCTGGCCGGACCTCGAGAGTCGAGCAGCTATTGTGGCTGAAGTCGATGTTGAGAGAGGATCCAAGATTGAGATGAGAAATGTCAATCCAGAATGCGAAATACGGGTCATTTTCTTTTCTGCAGCAAGCATGGGAGTCGGGGGGTGATGGGGATTCGCAGACATACTCTGTATACTCGAAAAGAACCAGGACCATCAGAATGGCGAGCGGGGGCTAGGCTGGGCCGGATTTGGCGGTTATGAAGCAGCAGTCACCATATTCGTCTTCAATACCATGCCGCGACAGGGCTCTTGATTCTGGCGTGTTGATGTTAAAGACATGAAAGGCTGGTCGGAGATGTGCTGTCCTCTCTGCTACAGTTGAAACTTCAGTTTGCTGTCGCTTTGTGTGAGGACTGCCTTTCCCTGTTGGTTGTTTGCCTTGTCTATTGTCCTTTGAGAAGTCATTGAAATCGCAGAAGTCGATTCTGGGGGGTTTCTAGCAGATCGAACGAGGATGCAAGGCTACGACACCACGACTGGTGACGAGGCTGTGCCACGGTTACGTAATGCTGCACGCCACGAGGAGAGTCTCGATTCCGGGGCTGCGACCCACTTTTCCAGGAACAGATGCCCCGTTGCGTATCTCCAAAGTGCCCAAAAATTTCCCAGAGACGGTCTCGGGCTCGAGCTCAATCGCCTCTCCCAAGTACCAGCCAGATTGCTTTGAACTTTGCCCTGCCCAAAAATGGAGGCAAAGAAAGAGTCTGATGTGGACATGACGCCTCGATCTTACGGCACCGTCCTGGTTGTTGGCGGCTGCGGTTTCCTGGGCTCGCGACTCGTGGACCAATTGCTCAACTTTCCCTCCGAAGAAGCAGATGCAGTGAGCAATGCAGCCTCGTCGCAGCAGCGGCAGGGATCAAACGGTGCCACAGCCGTCGACACCACAAAGAAGCCAACCTCCACTTCCATCCCGACCCCTAACGCCGAGAAATACGACATCAATACCCTCCTCCCCTCGTCCTTCCCGCCCCTGCGCAGCCGCTACCCTCCTATAGACCAGACCTCTACGTTCGTCCATGTGTTGGACTTGAGATGTACGCAACACATCTTCCCCAGCGCGACGTACCACTCCGCCGACATCACCGACCCGAATTCTCTTCTCGAGGTTTTCCGGAAAGTCAAGCCTAACGTGGTCATCAACACGGCGTCCCCGTCGTGGGAAGCCCCTCCGGCCATACTCCGAAAAGTGAACATTGACGGCACACGGACACTGCTGGAGGTTGCCGGCGGGAAGAAACACGGCGACTGGGGCGGCTGTGTTAGAGCCTTCGTCCACGTCTCGAGCGCGAGCGTGGTCCACGATGGCGAATCCGACTTGATCAACGCGGACGAACGGTATCCCTACGTGTGTCCGAACCCGAGGGAGTACTATTCCGAGACAAAAGTCCTTGCTGAGAAGATTGTGCTCGAGGCCAACGCCAACCCGGAGTATAGTGATGCAGGGAAAATGCTGACCTGTGCAGTCCGCCCCGCAGGCATCGTTGGCGAGGGAGACCGCGGAGGGTTTTCCGGGGCCATTCTCAGGACGGCATCAGTTGCCCCGGATTGGCAACTACATATCCAGCTGGGCGACAATGGAAATCTGTTCGACAACACCTACGTCTACAACGTGTGCTTCGGACTGCTGTGCGCCGCGCAGGTCCTCCTGGAAGGTGGGAGGAGGAAAGGGGCGTCGCTGTCTGAAAAAGTCGACGGCGAGGCGTTCAACGTCACCAACAACCAGCCGGCCTTCTTCTGGGACTCGTCGCGCTATCTCTTTTCGCGGTACGGCCGGACCATCAACCCGAGCCGCATCGTCGCCCTCCCCACGTCGCTGGCCACTTTCGTCGGCGGCGCCGCGGAGGCGTTCAACCACCTGACGGGCCGGAAGGGCAAGCTGAATCGCCAGACGGTCAAATACGCCACAATCTCGAGGTATTACTCGTGCGAGAAGCTCATGAACAGGACCGGGTACGTGCCCGTGGTGGGACTCGACGAGGGGTTTGCGAGGAGCGTGCGCTGGTTCAAGCGAGATGAGGAACAGCAACTGAGGGAGCAGGGCGAGTGGAAGAAAGAGCAATAGACACGAGATGAGATAAGACAAGGGCAAAGACAGAAGTCCTCGATGCTCAATCCTGGTTCGACGACGCAGTATCATGTCAGGTCAGGTCGATACAAACGCAGGCAGCAATGCACGCTGGTGGATATAAACAGGACACTGCAAGCCAGATAAGAGGACGGGGTCAGGTTCCAAAGTTGAGCGTAGAGCCGCATTATCCTGATGGCATGGAGACATGGTTTAATGGCCCAGCGGCAGAGTATAGACTCAGGCGTTTGGATGTTACATAGATGCACAGGGACAAACGTCTCTTCATCCAGCCCAGGAGATCTCAGGGTCGGGCCTCTCGGCCACTACGGCGCTTACTTGTATGGTGAATACCTAACGGTGTATATACCGGGAGAGGCCATGCGTGAATGAATGGGATTCCCTACACATAACTGAGTGACTGAGTGACTGAGTGACTGAGTGACTGAGTGACTGAGTGACTGAGTGACTGAGTGACTGAGTGACTGTCCTGCTCTGTGTATGCAGTAGGGACCCAGCGTCTTCCATTGAATTACCATAACTTGAGCAAACTCGCTTATCAAACGGTAGGACAGGACGGGAGGAGCATAATGGAAGAGGAGACTCGATCCTTCCAAATCTACATCTGTCACAGGGTCCAAAGCGTACAGGCACAAAAGTCGAAGCGGTTGTTGTTCTGTCTTGACAAGACTCTCAAAGTACCATTCCATTTTTGTCTATTGCGGTTCGGGACGGTCGCTATCGTCACTGCCACCAACACCAGCACCAGCAGGCCGAGGAGAAGGATGACTGTGCGGCATGTATCTATCCTCGTCCAGTGTCTTTTCTCATTCCTCCCTTCCTTCCTCGGTGGCCGCCAAGGAGAAAACGGGTTACCATTCAGATCCTGGTGCTTGTACTCCGTACTGAAGTGCAGTCGGTCAGTCAGCCAGCCAGACTTCCCGGTGGCGTGGTGAGTTCTTGTCGTGGCGAGACAAGAAGGGTCTTTGTGGCAGCTTGCATTGTGCAACGGGGCACGAAAGTGTGCAGGTTTCTAGCTGACACTTGACCCTTGCTGCCGCAGGAGCGGCAGAAGGAGAGTTCGAGTTCGCGTTTGAGTCGAGTTCGTATTCCCCCCACGAGAGGTGTCTGGAGATAAGTCAGGCCACGACGCCGCCGGGATGGTCAGGCAACGTACACGTATACGTATACTTTACGTATGCGCGAGATTCAGACCAGTCGAGTGAGCCGATGGAAATGCGGCCCGGTATTCTCGCAAGGTGTCGCTGTATACTGCGTACAAGCACAGGGAACAACTCGATACAGACTTGCTTCGTTCGTCGTGTTGCTCCCCGGTGCTGCTGACGCGCGCGCGAAAAACAACTTGTCTCGTGTCCGCAGTCTCTTTGATTCCTCACACGATAGCAAGGCAAGAATGGTTGCGTGATCACTCGCGAATGAAATCGTGGCCAAGTCGACAATCGGAATTAGATCCTCCCTCTTGAGCCTTTCTTGCGACGGGAAAACATCCTAGTAGAGGGATATCGAAACCCCAATGGGTGCTCCCGAACAATTGCTGCGTTAATGATCAGAGCAATTGGGCCCTGGAATCAAAGCCACACCAAAGTGTGGTCGATGTCGGATTCCTGCTCAACAGGGGATTCATCACCTGCTTTCCCCCTCCCCGGCTCACTGCAGAACAATACCTGTACTTACCGCCAGGGAGACCACATCTGCAGGACGAGACATAGCCTCACCATACTCGTAAACGATCTGTTAGCGTCTGCGCACCTTTCCCGGTGTCATATCCCCCTGCATCGGCGGCTCACATAACGTGGCTCTTGCCCTGCACGTGAAAGTCGTGCTGTAGATCAGCCTTTCAAGCGAGCTGCAGGTTGTTACATGGGAGATTTCGGGAAAGCATTCAGATAGGTGCTCAGAGCTCCGATCTCCTTGCATTCCGCCCATTGATGATTGGGCACAAGGGAGGCCCCTGACTTTTCCGAAAAGGTAATAAAGATCGATTTTTGAATCTGAATGGACCTTTTCAGCCAGAGGTATTCGAGAAATGAATGCGCCCTGGACAGGAGCCAACTCTGTCCGCTTCCATCAAAGGATGGCTTGGATGACCTCCTCTAGGATAACTAGCGCTATCCGCTCCTGTCACCCGCCGTCACCCGCCTTTGTGACATTCATTTTGAATCACAGAGCAATAGTAGGGAAGTCACCAGTCCTTCATGATGCCGAAGTACCGACTTAGACATACAATCCATTGATCCTTGAGTGGCCGCATTCCAGGTATTGCAAAGAGATAACATTAGGGATCAGACCTCGTTTAGTGCATGGAATAGAGTCCCTCGAATAGGAGTCTGGCCAACGTCTTGAAAGCTGCAAGGCCAAGTGACAAAGGATCCCATAAGCTGTTCTTGCAGCAGCAGACCAAGACAGGATTGGCAGGAGTAGGGTACAACATGACATCCTGTTCTGGCGGTGTATCAGGCTGCCTTCTCAGCGCAACAGATGTGAACAAGAGCGCGGCTAGAAAGCGAGAGGAATATGTTCAGGCTTGAAATTGCCGACCAATCCAGTATTCTGGGAGTGCCCTGTCTCGCTCCCCATTTCCCACGGATACGGTATAGTTGCATATCATGCGTGAACGAGCAGTCCTTTGCCGGAAAGTCGTGTTTGGTAAGAAAGGCCCAGAGCACATATCCGCATATTCGGCTGCTTCATGCCGGTACATCTGCGGCTGCTCGACGCTCCCTGCTCGGCATTTTCCGAAACCTTCGCTGACTAGATTCAGAGAAGACATAGTCTCGGAGTTTTGGCGGCCAGTTCTGTCCTTCCTGCATGGATTGGAAACAGCCTTCACTGTGCTGTAACTATCGAATAGGATGTCAGGTTCGGCCCTGTGGTCAGCTTGAGCGTCGCCAGGGAGTACCCCCCTCGAGGTACTCCCTACAGATGTGGATTGGAAGAACCCTCCTCTTCCGAGAGGTCATTGCGAATCCATCCGCTCCTCCCACCACCACCAAGCTGGGATATAATAATTTCGCAAGGCCGCCCTCAGCATTGAGGTGGAATTTCCAAGCAACGTCTGGCGACATCAGACCGTTCTCCAACTATGTTTTCTCCAAAAGCTGGGAATGCAAGCTAGGGGATGTCATCCGTGTCACCTTCCCCCAGAGTTACGACTTTGTATTTGGCTGGAGATCGCCAGGGCCCAGATTCCTCGTAAGACGGTTCTCAGAGACTTGAAGCATCGGTTCGAACCCTATTGGCAGCTAGCTTTCACTGCTGAACGATATGTGATTGAGCCCGTACAACGCGTGCGCCAGACGAGACGCCAACACCCTGAGGAGACGTGTCCTGGGTAAGCAGGCGTCATCGCTGCCTCTCGGCCTCCTTGTGGCATGGGCGCACGTGCTGTCTAAAACATCAGAACTGAAACTTATTCGGGGTTCGGGTGTGGACAGAAGCGGTGCCCCGGCAGGAAATCATTCCCGTGGGAGAGTTTTGAGAAACTCGTGGGAGTACTTCCATGGTGCTTCTAGGCTTGTCCATTGAAGGATTGCTAACCCCGTGTCTGAAGCGGGAACAAGGGGAATGTCATCCTTAGCTGCACGCCTTCACGGGTAGGGTGCGCGGTGGACGCAAGAGTGAAGAGCACGAGGGATGCTTGTTGCAGAAAGAAAAAAGCACGCACTTCTCATGCAGTAGTGCAGCCTAAGATAGGGGAGGTGATTGGCGCCCTCTTTTCAACCCTGCCAACCGAGGGGACGGGTCAGCTGAGGGGCCTTGTAACCTCATTTGTGAAGTCAAAAATGCTTTGATGGAGAGGGTGCAGTAGCTCCGGATTGGACATGGAGATCGGGCACGCTGGAAAAAAGAAAGGAAGAGGGTGTAGCGGTAGAGGATGTAAATCGGACTGGACGTCGTCTTTCACCATCCTTGTACCCCCGAACTATTGTCGACGAGGCTATGTAGCGTGGCTTGGTGGTTGCACCATCCTCGGGTCGCCAAAAGTTGTGAAGGTGTAAAAAGAGTACGTAGGATCTTAGAGAATGCATGAAGAGGTGAGAAGGGATACGTCGCACAAGGGGTGTTTGCAGCACAAGCCCTGGGAGATGACACGCATCCTTCGAGTTGAAGAGGGCTGATTGGGCCATCGTCGTTGGCTGCTTGTTTCATCCAGCGTCTGAAGAGGTTTGAGCGCAGTCCAAATTCCTGGTGTGCACGGATGTCATACATGGCCACGATGTCCCTGGGGTGAGAGCAGAGCATACGATGACGAAGTGGGCGCAAAGACTCTGCAAAGGACCTGACGAGCTGGCGCACCCTGCCCTGCCCATCAGTGAGAGGGGTCGACGGGCGCCCACATTGTGTTGTCATCACTTCAGAAACATTGACATTATTTTTTTTGTTTGGGTGCATGATCTCGGAGATGTCATGCGCGTCGACGCAATAGACCCTCCTGTTCCCGTCTGTGCCGTTGCTGAGGGGGACGCACGTAGGGGAAGGCATTAAGCAGGCTATGCTGTAGCCGAGCAAACCGTCAACAAACAGACGGAATCGAAAAAGTGGGGAGAGGTGAGCGAGCCAACGACTGAGGGCGAGCGCACAGGAATATGGATTGTCAGCAAAGATAGATGAGAGGCCAGGGTAGACGGATGGGTTCGCGATGGGGGTGGAAAGATTGTCGGGTTCGAAATAGGGCCGGCATCGAGGTGAGCCTTTGAGCGAGGGGGCTCTTCAGAGGAAGCGCAGTGCCAGGTGCCGGGGTCGCAGGTCAGAAACAGACATTGGACGAGGGAGACGAGAAGATCCCAGCAGGGACTAGGAAGGATGTTGAGTTAATCTTTGTTTAGCTGGCTCGATGTGCCGATGAAGAGACCAAGTGAAGGTGTTATTGGTGAGACGGCGACAGGAATAACGCCCTGGTTTGCATTAGCTGGGTGCAGCCAAAAGGGAAGGAGACGTTGGAGTTGGAGTCGACAACGCCGCAGGCCCCCGGCAGCCCTCGCCTTGGCTCCTGGGTCGTTCTTCGGCGTCCTTCTTGGGCCCTTCTTGGGTGCCTCGATGCTTTGAAAGCGAGGCCCCACCCCTAAACCGCCCTAACGAGATCACCGGCATCTGCAGCCCAGGTGCAGCCAGTAGTACGCTCTCGCAGCAGTGTGGTAGGTCGCAGGCGCTTTGGCTCCCCCGTCTTCATACAGTTTACTTGCAAACTCAAGGGAGACACCCTTACGAGGGGAGGCCCTCAGACCACCCAAGTGCCCGTGCCTTACCCTGCCTTACCCTGCCTTACCCTGCCTTACCCTTTGCCAACTACTGTCCCACTATTCCCTCGAACCCCCTTCGATCACTGGCTGCGAAAAATAATTGCCCAGCGGCAGCAGCATCTGAGCCTTTCTCTCTTGGGCGCTGCGTTTCCTCCAAAATACTCGTACTCCGGGTCCTCCATCACCACATCACAGCTTCAAACATCTCTTGTCTAAATTTCCCCCTTGACAATTATCACCATCGTTCGTTACCTCGACTGCCAATTCGTGGCCCGGTTTTGTCTACCTCCACCTCTGATGTAGTCGACTTCGTCTTTGTCCTCCAACAAACCCCCAGAGAGAGAAAAAAAAAACACGCCGCTCTCCTCGCGTGAACCGCCGCCCTTCCTCCTCACAACCGCTCCCTCCACGATCCCTCGACAATCACAGAACACTCGTTACACTTCTCTACCTTCAACATTCCTCTCTCCCTCCGCAATAGCCCCGGCACCATATTGACGACTCTGCCAGAGATGTCAAGATAACGGGGGACTTTTTGGCTCCATGGTGGGTCAAAAGTCATAAAGGACCCTGCCCTTTCTCCGGTCCCTGTCCCCTCCGCGAACGACTTGTCCTTGAAGGACCGTTTCTCCCGCTGCAGGAGTAATGGCCCAGGATGGATCTGAACAACAATACTTGGAGCCCCCGATCATCACGGCCATCAAGAACGATTCGGGTTATGGGAGCGAAATGACTCGGCATGCGATGGAGAGGTCATTCAGCCAGGACATTCAAGAAGGCAGTCAAGAGCTGAAAGAGGCGGCCGAACAAACCCGGAATATTATTCTTGATCTCAGTCTAGATGGCCACATTCGCTGGGTCAGCCCCTCTTGGACCGATGTCGTTGGCACTGATCTCGAGCATGTTCGAGGTCATAAGATCTCGAAATTCATCAGCGACAAGCCCGATGTCTTCGAATCCGCTATTGAAGCTCTGAAGTCCAATGATTCCAAGAGTCAATTTGTCAAATTTGCAGTCAAGGTCGGCCCTTCTTCCGACATGGGGACTATGCTACCGACAGACGACGGCCAAGAACCGAGTGAGGACAATGTTGAAACGGACGAGAGGGGAAATGCAACCCTCGAACTGGAGGGCCAGGGCATCATGGTCTACGACAGGACGTCCGGAGGAGAGTCGCACACCATGTGGATGTTACAGCCTGCTCAGGAGCCTATTCGCATCGAAATAGCACTGCCTCGAGCCCTAGTGGAAACCCTTGGAGTTGGCGCAGAGATTCTGGCAAAGTACCTCACCGAACTTGCAGAGTTCGGGGCTAACGACCCCGAGAATCACCCACCCCCTCTTCCAATCCTCTGTCGGGTGTGCGAGAGGTCCATTGTCCCATGGTGGTTTGAGAAACACTCGGATCTCTGCGTCCAAGAACACAAGGCTGAAATGGATGTGCAGATGGTCCAAGAAAATCTCTCGGAACATAGGCACGCAATTGTCAAAGTGCTCGACGCTTTTGAAGTTCGTCAAGGGCGAGGCTCAGGCGGCGAAACCCCCCCGCCTTCGGTTCCTGAATACAAGGGTATGCCGATCGGTCCCTCGCCAACCTCGTCGACCGGTGTCTCTTCCGCTTCAGGATCCCATAGTGCTAGTCCGGTGAGATCACGAAGTCCATCAGCGGCCGGCCTAGGTCATGCTCGGGCTCGTTCGTTTGTGGTCCGGCGCCCTCTGGTTCGCATCGTGGAATTGATTCTGGACCTGTGCGACACGGCCAACGAAATCAATGTACCTTCAATCAAAGACAGTAAAAGCTCAGGGGAAGATGAGTTCAAGTCGCAGTCGCCGCAGTCGGAATCCAGAATTTCCCAAATCATCCAGTGGCAACCTCCGAGTAGCCTGGACAACGAGCCTGGCCTGGCCGCCTTGAGTGCGGATACCGAAAAACTGGCTCGTGCCAAGGTCGATGCAGTGCATCGGTATCAGAATGTTCTGGAGTACTCTGAGCGAATACGACAAGAATACATGGCCGAAGTGGATGCGTGTATCAATGAAGCCTTGATCAAGGCCGAAAGGGCTGCAGCAGGCGAGGCATTGTCTTCCAGTGAAAGCGAGTCTGAAGAAGAGCCCGCACTGGAAGGCATTCTCGAAAGCCCAGGAGAAGACATGGAACCAACGCCGCAGCCGCTCTCCATCGAGCACATCGAGCCAGAAGCCAGTCGGAGCACATCTTACGTCGGATTGAAGTCAATGGCTTCTGCTCTCAGAAATCCCAGAGATTTGCCGCAAATCACGATGGGAACTGATAAAAGACGATCGTCATCCCAGGCTGTTTCGACCGGCTCCAGCAGCCCCATCGAATGTCCCACCCCAAAGTCCCATCGGAGCAATCTCATCTCTCAACCCCAACCAGTCTCGAACAGGCGATCGATGTACATTGAAGATGCGAACGATAGCGACAGTAGTCTACCCCCCTCGATGCTGTCGGGTAATTGGCGGGCCGACTCTCCAGCCTCTGCATCTGAACAGGGCCGAACTGCACAATCACGGGACAGGAAGAGACGGAGTATGCATCTGCATGGCCTTAATTCGGCCTCTCCCCATCGCCAGCAGTCTCCGGGAAGATACCCCCCACCGCCGCCATCACCACTGCGAATGACCAAATCTAGAATCCCCAGTGGAGAAATCGCCCAGTCCCCTGTTGTGTCACCATTGTTGACGGCTGGCGAATTCGTACCTCCAAGCAATGCTCCGACTCTGCATAGAAGGCAGTCGTCGATGCATTCGTCTGATCTGAAGACCCCTGCCTCACCCCGGTTGAACTCGGTGTCCCACCCGCAACAACGGGTGCTGGCCCCTTCAATCAAGGATTTTGAGATCATCAAGCCGATTAGCAGAGGTGCATTTGGAAGTGTGTATCTGGCCAAAAAGAAAATCACTGGCGAATACTTTGCTATTAAAGTGCTCCGCAAATCTGACATGATTGCAAAGAATCAGGTCACAAATGTCAAGGCTGAACGCGCCATCATGATGTGGCAGGGGGAGAGTGATTTCGTTGCCAAATTGTACTGGACATTCTCCAGCAAGGACTACCTCTACCTGGTCATGGAGTATCTGAACGGAGGCGATTGCGCTTCTCTAGTGAAGATCCTTGGGGGATTGAGTGAAGACTGGGCCAAAAAGTACATCGCTGAAGTCGTTCTCGGTGTCGAACATCTGCACTCTCGAGGAATTGTCCACCGTGACTTGAAACCGGATAACCTTCTAATCGACTCCAAAGGCCACCTGAAGCTCACCGATTTTGGTCTGTCTCGGATGGGCCTTGTTGGTCGACAGAAGCGTGCACTCAAGCAACCTGATGAGGCCGTGCCCGATCTTTTGAAGCAAGGCCCTTTCACCCAGAACGGTTCAGGGTCGAATCCGACCTCGAGATCCACCTCTTTCGACTATCAGGGCCCGCATTCGCCAGCACCGACACCTCTCATGACACCCGCTTTCACCGGAGGGCTTGATCAACCTTCGTACTTCAGCTTGAATCGAGAAAGCTCCCTAAGCCGAGAAACGTCACTGAGAAACTCTGGCTATCGGAGTGATAGCGGTAGTGGCTCGAGCTTCGATCTCCATCAACTCTTCAAAAAGCTCGGCGTGCAGGAAGACACCGAGTCCCCCCCTCAGATCTTTCCTCGAAAGATTGAAGAAGAGGCCTACAGCCAGGGCAGTGCATCACCTGACCTCTTCCCACTGTCACAGTCGATGAGTAACATCTCTCAAGCCGCACCTGCTCCTTTGCCTTCTCAGATGCTGGCTCCTCCCTTATTTGAGCCTGAAGAGAGCGATCGTCGTTTCGTGGGCACTCCAGATTATCTGGCCCCGGAAACCATCAACGGCACTGTACAGGATGAAATGTGTGACTGGTGGTCTTTGGGCTGCATCATGTTCGAATTCCTCTACGGCTTCCCACCTTTTAATGCAGAGACGCCGGAAAAGGTATTTCACAATATTTTGAATCGGAGAATTGCCTGGCCCGACGACGACGAAATCGAAGTGAGCCCAGAAGCGAGGGATCTCATTGACAAGCTCATCCAACTCGATCCGAGAGAAAGACTGGGTGCAAACAAGGACGAGAAGTATCCAAGTGGGGGCGCCGAGATTCAGGCACATCCTTGGTTTGCTGACATCCACTGGGATACACTCCTGGAAGATGAGGCTCAGTTTATCCCGAACCCGGAGCATCCAGAGGACACCGAGTACTTTGACTCGCGCGGGGCCACCTTGTCGTCCTTCCCTGAAGAACTAGAAGACCAAATCTCACCAGCGGGTACAACCCCAAATGGTTCGGACTATCCCAATCGTCCCCATGATGCACTCTTTCGAGCTAGAACGCAAGCAAGTTCTGCGAAGCGTGGCCTCATGCCTCTCCACATTCCTCCCCATGTGGTACGCGATTCCCGTAGTCGGAGACTCAGCGAGCCTGTCATCGCCGACGACTTTGGCAATTTCACTTTCAAGAACTTGCCCGTGCTGGAGAAGGCCAACAAGGACATAGTCGAAAGAATGAGAAAAGAAGCGATGCAAGCTCAAGCTAGAGGCTATGCTCATTCGCAAGCTATGTCTGCCACCAATAGTCCAGCTCTGGGATCTCCTGGACCTTCCCTTGAAGGCAGTCCGATGATGCCGATGCCGGTTAAGCGGGCGCTCTCTATCAGCAAGGGTCACAGACCAGGCTCTCCATCCAGCCTAGCTACCTCCAACTCGTCTCCTAGCAGGCCGTCACAACCTTCTTCGCCTCTCTTGGTTCAATTCTCCACAGCGCAGCATCACGACAGACGAAAGACTTCTGGCTCTTCTCAAGGAAGCAGTTCTCTTGCTCCGAGTAGCTTCTTCGACATCCCTCACGATGCTATCAAACACGGACCAACGGCCACGTCATCTCCCATCAAATCGGCTCGGATGCCGTCAGTCTCTCCCGCAAAAGGGATGCCTCCACCGCGCACTGCGACAGTTAATGGGCGCACCAGGTCGCAGACCGTCGGCTCACAGGAAAGTGATGGACAGCCTCCGCAGCGAGATGCCTTCGTTCCTGGCCATCATAAGCGCAAGAGCCAACTACTCGTCCGGGATGTTTCACCTTCGTCTTCAGATAACGAATCAGCACAAGCAAAGGCACTGCTCAAGGTGCAACGCCGGCGGCAGAGCTCACGAAGACTGTCGCAGATCAACTTTCTCGAGGGCCCTACATATCGACCTTTGGACGTCCTGATCTGCGAGGATCACCCGGTGTCCAGGATGGTAATGGAGAGGCTTTTTGAGAAATTACGCTGTCGGACAATCACCGCAACCAATGGTCCAGATGCTCTGCGACTTGCTATCAGCCAGATCCAATTTGACGTTATCTTCATGGAATTCAAGCTGCCCCTCATCAGCGGAGTCGACGTTGCTCGCATGATCCGAGACACAAAGAGCGCCAATACCAGCACTCCGATTGTCTGCATCACGGGGTATCTGAAGGATCTTCCCGAAGTCCACCACTTTGATACTCTCATGCAAAAGCCGCCGACCACTCAGAAACTGACCGAGATGTTAGCCAAGTACTGTGCTTGGAAACCCGCCCCGAAAGACTTCCGGATGGCAGTTCCATTGACCATCCCACATCTCAACACACGATTCGAAGCTATGCCTACGCAAGACAGTCCAAGTTCCGTGGCTTCGAGTCTTGCACCGACTATGCCCGACTCATCCTATCGAGGGTCAGGCCGGGAGGATTCCATTGGCAGTGGCGGTTTCTTTAGTGATTTGGAATCGTTCAAGAGTGATGATATTCCGGTCATCGTGTCTCGAGCCGCTACAGACGAATGGGCAAAGGCCGGATTAGGGATTTCCGACGATATCGTCCTCGGACAGCGCCCTTATGTCCAGTCTGGCTACCCTCATCTTGTCCATACAGAATCTGCACCCCCCAGCGCTTGCGTCGACGACGCTGGGGGATACGGTCTTCAAACTCCGCGTCGACAAAAGTCATCGGAGGCTGTCAGATTGAAGCGAGAACTGCTAGACAAGAACATGAACCATGCCGGTGGAGCAGCTGAAGAAGGGGATGACGAAGACGAGGAACTGGGTGACGTCCAAGTGAGGGCGAGGTCACCCATCGGCAAACCCCCACGTCCGTCGTCCAAACTTGGAATCGAAATGATGCGCACAAACAGTCGCGGAAGCGTTATATCCATGGGTGAAGACAGGTCAGCTGAGGCAGACAGCCTTCGGAAGTCATTGGAAATCCTGGAAGAACGCATGGAAAATCTCAAAATTCCCGAGGAGCCCAGTATGTCTTCCTTGACAGAGATCCAGCCGCGGAAGAAGCTTGAGCGGACTGTCTCCCAGCATTCACATCCTGAGCAGCAGTCTGTTCGTTCGCCCAGCGGACAAATCACACCCCCGGTCATATTCCCCCCCAAACCCGGGGCCACTTTTGCCGATCTTGAGATGGATATCACTCCTGTGCCGACCAAGATGATGAACATCGAAGAGGAGCCTACTCCGAAACCTCAGGGCAGCCCCTCGGGACCCGAACTCACACAATCTCAGCGCTGACTTTATCCTACTCTTTCTCATGTGTATATGCGATTATGACTGACTTATGGAAATTTGCTCGAACGATTGGAGCCTGGGTTTTTTTTTTTTTCATTTCCTTTGTACACAATGACCTGTTGCAAGGCGCTGGAGGAGATGGAAGTGCAAGCATAATTGGCGTTTACTTGAAGGTGGGAAAACGGACCGGTGGCACACGTGTATTTCATTCTCTGTGGTCCGTGACTCGATGCATGGTCCAAACACGGCTTAAATACTTTGACAATAAATCATCATTCTCTACAATCAAACAGATCTCGTCCCGCAGTTGCTTGGGCGTGCCCGATGACTTCCTACACCCGGAGTTGGCTAGAGGGTGAACGCTCTTACCAAACTGGATGTCTTACGCCTGCTATGCGTACAAGGCGTGCCCTCTGATTGGTGGTGCTGGTACACTCTTGCCGTGTATTATCAGACGCACTACGTCACTGTTTACATTTGGCCAGATTAGGTTTAGTGCGCCGCGGCCGCCAAGGGTACATACATGTACCAAACTGCGCCCGCGCCCCTGCGCACTCCCTTCTTTTCCTTTCCTTAGACGGCAATTATGGCTCCGAGGTAAGCACCCTCTCCAACGCATATCAATGTCACACATCTGACTGCGGTACTCCAGTGGGTATTTCTTAGATCCACCGAGTCCTCAGCCTCCGTCCCCACCACCCCCACCACCATCACCCTGGACCGCCCCCATGCAATGGGTGGTGGTCACGGGTGTGATATCCCTGGTGGTGGGTGTCCTGGCCTTCCTGGTGGGAGGAGAGAACTTGCGGGCTTAGATAGCCCAGAAGGTCAGGCGGCTTCGGGGCCGTCAAAAACCCCCTGGGGAGGGACCTCCTCCACCGGTGCCGATGGATCCGGTGGGTGCCCGAGGAGAACTCGGGGAGGTGGCGGCGGCCTCTGAAGAGGCGGAGGCTGGGGAGGAGGTGGATGGGGTAAGTTCATATTCACACCTAGGATTGAAGGCGACCGGAATGCTAACTGGTGTTACAGAGGAACGAGGATCCCCCTCGTTAGGCTTTTTTGCTTTTCGGCGGCTGTCGTTGCGTTATATTTTTACACAGGGGGGGCCCTTTTGTGTTCTATAGATCTTGAGCCGAGCATGGTCTCTGCCTCCACGTGGCGCTCGGTGGAAACTTGGGTTGGTTGTCCCAAGGCTAAAGAGACCCGGCCCCCCCCCCCTCCCCAAGGCTTGCAGGACTTCAACGGGCTCATTCTTCGGCGGGCGCCTTCACACATCGACTCTCACACTGCCGATCGCTGCTCTCAGTCAAACAGGGCATAGACAACAACCCAAAGTCAACCTGAAGTCCATCGGTGTGAATGTCCATTCAAACTCCTGTCGACCGCTGCTCTCAGTCAAATGAGCACGCACAGCCAGCCGAACTCAACCTGAAGTCAAATGCAGTTTCTTCAACACCTGTCGCCCGCTGCTCTCACTCTAGTAGTAGAGCATACAGCACTCAACCCAAACTCGTTCCAAAACCCAAGATACTTCCGATCTTGCGTCGACTGCTCCAACCGAGTATGCGGAACTTCGAATCGGACTCAACCTGAAGTCCCCCAGCAGATGAAAATCCATCGGCACCTGCCGCCCACAGTCTTCGCTCCAACAGAAAATGCAGGGCTTAAGCTGCCTTCAACAACAGTTCCTCATGGATTCGGGGTCTTCGAGGCGCTCGGCCGATCATTTCAACTGAGTATGCAAAAGCTCAAGGCAACTTCAACTAAAGCTCGTCAGGAGTTCAATGTCATTGGGACCCTCTGCGACTAGCAATCTCATCTTATCAATGCACGCGCAACTGACCCGTCATATTCAATCCCAAATCTATCGGAGACTCAACATCTCAACAACCTTTTGCCGATCACTGCTCTCGGTCCAATAGAGCATACCAGATTCAAATTATATTCAACCAGAGGCCCCCACAAAGGAGGACATTCGACCTTCAACCTTCCACCAATCAACCTCTGCTCTTCTCTTGCGCCTGGCCCATCTCTTGAACAAACCCTTTAGACTACGGGGTAGGGAAGGCTGTTCCTGTTTCTGCGCTGTCGTTGACACCGGTCGACTATGATACCTCTGATGGATCGCTCAAGGGTATGATATTTAAGCAAGCCTAATGGAACGGTGCGCAACGCGGTGGCGGATACCAGGTGAACCAGCTATTTCGCACTGGAGGAGTCAGGCACCACGACTTAGGAGTCATGAAATCCGCCGTGCAACACTCTGCTTTCTTCCAAACGTTGAGATCCTCTATTATGAGCCGGCATTCCAATCCTTGGAATAGTGTCCAACCTCGTGTATGAAGAAGTTGAAACATTCCACAGTGGGACGACAGCATTGCTCTGGAAACACCGATCCGGAATGCGCAGGAAAGGAAAGGGCTGACCGGCGTTGATGGATTTCGTTTGTATTGGCTGTGGAATTGATCCCCAGGTCATGGGGCCAAATTCTCCGCAGAGGCTCATTGCGAGTAATGATCTTGGTGCCGGGATCTATCGACCCATAATTTCCCGTCTCAGATGGCCAGTCCTTCTCGCAAATAAACGACTCGCTGCAATCCAAAAGTGGATGAGTAAGTGGGCCGCAAATCTCTGGCTCCTTTGTTGCAGCAGAGACTCGATGGAGGATGGCAAGGAGCATTGCAAAGATGATGAGGGTGGGAAATTTTGCCATGGCTGTGCTGCGCTGTGTTGGGTTGTTGTCTCGTGTCGTGCGGAAAGGCTGGCAAATCGCCACTAAAGGAAACTCTGGCAAAGGTGGATGTTTCGAGCTGGTGCCCTGGATCTGCGAGGGAAAATCGCCAATGTCTTGTCTGTGGGTGGAGGTGGTGATCAGAGAGCTCTTAAATATGGACACCGCCAACTTGCGGTCAGCTTTGGAATTGTCACTCATAAGGTCCTCGTGCTCAATTTGTTGGCAAGGTTTGCTTGATCCATGGCAGTCTCTCCAGAATCAAACTGAAAATTGAGGTAATGTTGGCGCGGGACAAGTTCGCGATGCAGGTTGTGGTTCAAAGAACAAATTCTAATGGGCTTCTGCTCTCGGTTCTGGTGGCTTGGGGAAGAGATTGGTTGTCAGAGGGCGTCGAGGATCTTTAGATTTCTGCACCACTGGTAGTATGCACGAGATGGCAAGACGGAACCAGATTGAATAGGTGGCCGACCGCTGGGTGGCTGCAAAATGTCGAAATCAAGAACCTACACCCGCAATATCCGTTGAATTCCATGCCGTGCAACGACTTGAAGTCCCTCGGAAAGCCAGATCCTCAAGGTCCTCACCATCATATATTGACCGGAGCTCTTAGTCTATCAGAGTATGCACAACCAGGACAATTTCAACCTGCCAGCCCTCAAAGGTCAAGGTCCTCAGCCAGAAACCGTTATTTAAAGAGTCTCTCGTGGCCACATCCTCTCTTCAAACAACATTGTCGGCAATCCAAGACCTCAAATCAATCTATTCCAGCAATCTCGCCAGTAGAACCTTACAATCTCCTCCCTGCCAATCAACACAATGAGAGCGAATTATACCTACTTCATCATCGTGGCGATGCTGCTAAATATCATCCGTCAAGTCTCAGCCAGACCTGCAGAGCCGGCGCCGACGCCTACGCCGCAGTTATGCACACCGCTTTGGCATCCGGATCTTCCCTGCGATGATTGGTTTGAATGCAAGAAGGATTGGCCTTCAGAAACCGGCAATTATGGACATAGTAAACACACGGTGGAGCCGAGAGCTCGCGACGCACCTTTGCGCAGGATCCTGTTGGACGGGAATGGGACGAATACCTTGCCAACCAGAAATATAAGAACCCTACACCGATCTGAAAGGGCGTCGGTGGTTGGAACTTTAGGACTCCAAATCGAGCCCCAGTGCTGTCGACCAACAGTCGAATGCTTCAATTTTTTCACCGACGAGCTCAAACTCGACGGCCTCGATTCCAACGGCCGTCTCATAGTGGCCGACGTGCAGGACTGGATGAAAGCAGAATGTTGCATGTCGGATTTCCAACAGTCCAGATCCTGGTGTTTATTCCCCCCCGCGCGAAATAGGTGGGTCGTTTGGCATGATCCTCCAGAATGCGCAGACGTACACTGAAAGGCGTTCGCGTCAAGGCACCTGCAGGGTGCGAATACCGTGGGAGTGGAGGAGCATGAGCGTGCACCGAGATGAGCATTTGGTGTCGGTGCGAGAAAAGCGGTTGACGTGGCTCGGTGGAAAGTTGAAGGTTTGCATTTGTGGGGAGATGTTGGGACCGCATCTCGCCCTGGGCGATGTACCATCTGCTGTTTGTAAACACCATTGGCTATATCCCGACCCAGGAAGACGGAGCCAAGTTGGATCGATGGCATACCGTTGGGTGGCACTAAAAGGCCTTGAAATTAAGAGTCCATCTCCGCAATATCCATCGGGTTCCCGTACCGTGTATTTCTTCGTCCATCCACCACACTCAGCTGCCCTGAAGGAACATCCAGCGTACCTCTGGAAGTCCTTTTGATAAACCCCCTGGATACCTGCGATGTAGTCCCCGAACCAATCAAAACCAGTCGAGGTAGAATGACATCAGTGGCGGTCCTTCAAGGCACTTCAGCCCCATTTTTCCGGCTTGGCATCGATGCCGCTCTCCGCGATCGCGAAACCAACCACCATGGCACCACACAGCGCCATGACACCCAAGACACCATCTTGCCGTCTCCCGCTGTTAAGCCTTGTCATGTTCTCGCTTGCTATCTCTTGGTATCTCTTGGTATACGTCAAGCAACAGGAAGCTTTGCAGCTGTTGGTCCCGTCATGCCACGAGGGCCGTCCACCTTTCGCAGCGTGTGCCAAGGGCCGTTCCATGACACGACCGTCGTGGGATTTGGACGATCAATGGATCATTGTTGCATCGACTTATCGTGTCGCCCATGCCGCGAGATGGCGCATGTATGATCAATGACACTGAGGGTGGTAGATGTTGACTACTGCAGTGGCTGGTATTGGTAGGTTGTTCGGCAGCCATGCGGCAATCTGTCCATCCCCCCTGTCTCGGGCCCAGGATGTTATCACGATGACCTCTCAGTTCAATTGGGTGAGAATGTGTACACACCTCCATGGCACTCTTGGTATATACCCCGCCTGGTCACTGCTCTGTTGACTCCCGCATCTTTCGTTGCAACTTTGTGGTTCTCCTGGATTTCATCGTCTCACGATTTTCTCATTTCTCTTTTTCAGCCGTACACCACATCCTCTGCATGCGTTTCCATCTCACTTACCACACCAGAACCCTGAAATTCCAGCATGGCAGAACACGAACTTCAGGCTGCGCAGTAAAGATACCCTAATGAACCCAACAGGTCGATGTTAAACTTGGCTAATCTTTCCCTTCAGAATGCACGGCGAGAAACACAAAGAGAATGATGATTCTGTGAAAGCCGTCCACGACATCACCGGCGGACCTCTCACGACAGATTCTAGGGCTCTTCCCACCCTCAATGAGCACGGTTTCATCGGCGACGAGAAGAGGCCGCGTTCCCCGACGAGTGAGGACACCGAGATTGGCGAGACCGAGGATGGCATGGAGCCCAACGCGCACGAGAAGAAGTACCTCCGCCACGTCGGCGAGAGCCTTCCCTTTTCCACCTTCCTGGTCGCTTTCGTCGAGCTGTGCGAGCGGTTCACTTTCTATGGCTGTCAGGGCATATTCCAGGTAAAGGGCATTCTTGCAGCACTCACTCTCGCTCGTGGGGTCCTGCGGTTTGACTGACTTTTAGTAGAACTATGTCCAGCGCCCCCTTGATGGTTCAGAAGGGAGAGGCGCACTTGGTCTAGGCCATCAAGGCGCAACCGGGCTGACTACCTTCTTCAAGTGAGCAAGCCTCTTTCGTTTAACATCCCTGCTCTTGTTTCTTCGCAACTAACCAGCAAACCAGCTTCTTCTGCTACGTCACGCCGATATTGGGCGCCATCGTCGCCGACCAGTACCTGGGCAAGTACAGGGCCATTCTCTACTTCTGTGTTGTCTACCTGATCGGGCTTCTGATCCTCTTCACCACGTCGTTGCCCGTTTCCCTGCAGAACGGGGCCGGTCTGGGCGGGTTCATCACCGCCGTGATCATAATTGGCATTGGCACCGGCGGCATCAAGTCCAACGTCGCTCCATTGATCGCGGACCAGTACAAGCGCAGGAAGATGATTGTAAGTTCCGAACATGCAGTAACCAGAATGGAACAAAACAAGAATCTGACAGAAGCAAGATCACGACCACCCCCAAAGGCGAGCGCATCATCATCGACCCAGCCGTGACCATCCAGCGGATTTACATGATCTTCTACACCTGCATCAACATCGGCGCCCTGTCACTCCTGGCCACGCCGTACATGGAGCGCGACATCGGCTTCTGGTCCGCCTACCTGCTCTGCTTCTGCATGTTCTGCGCCGGCACCACCGTCCTCATTTTGGGCCGCAAGATCTACGTCGTCCGACCGCCCCAGGGATCGATCATCACGGACGCGTTCAAGGCAGTTTGGCTCATGATCAAACATCGCGACCAGAACGCGCCGAAACCGAGCTGGATGGCGGAAAGGGGCATTCACAAGACGGTCCCGTGGAACGATCATTTCATCGAAGAGTTGAAGAGGGCGCTGGTCGCTTGCCGGGTTTTTGTCATCTATCCGATCTGTAAGTCCCCATCCTCCCACAGCGAAAATGGAGTTTGAATGTGGGAAACAGCCAATGAAGAGAACAAGTGCTAAAATCCCCGGGCAGATTGGTGTGTCTACGGACAATTCAGCGGCAATTTTGTCACCCAAGCCGGTCAGATGCGAGGACATGGTATTCCAAACGATTTGATGCAGAATTTTGATCCGGTGAGTACACGGTGACGGGATGACTTGAACCCCAACGCTCACGAGCTGGCCTGCAGATCGCCATCATTGTCTTCGTGCCCATCTTGGACAGATTCGTATACCCTCTTCTCAGGAAGATGCACATCCCATTCCCACCAATCAATCGAATTGTCCTGGGATTCTGGGTTGCGGCCCTAGCTATGATGTACGCTGCAATTGTGCAGCATCTGATCTACAGGTAATTGATCGAAACGGGCGATGGAGACTATTGCTGACTAGAGACGACAGCTCTGGACCATGTTACAAGCAGCCACTGTGCGACGCGTCCATTGTTGATGGCGTCGCCGAGGGCAACAACGTGCACATTGCGATCCAAGCTCCAGCGGTAAGTGGAGACCAGATCGGCTTGTTTAGCAGCGTTCAATGACTGACCTTGCTGCACAGTATATGCTCATCGGTATCTCCGAAATCTTCGCCTCAGTGACTGGTCTGGAGTACGCATACACAAAAGCTCCTCCGAGCATGAAGTCGTTCGTGCAATCCATCTATCTCCTTACCAATGCATTTGGTTCGGCGCTAGGGGAAGCATTGACGCCAGTGGCTTATGACCCTGCCATTTTGTGGATGTTTGTGGGACTTTGTGTGGCGAGCTTCTGCGCTGGGTGCTTGATATGGGTGCTGTTCCATGGGCTGAACGAGAAGGAAGAAGAAATGAACGCGTTGGAGGATGATGTCGATGAGGAAGGTGGATATCGCAAAGGGAGCAAGGTTACATATTGATGGGAAGATATGGTAAGGCTGAGCACTCCGCACTGGCTGCTTTGACTTTTTGTGGTCAGAAAAATTGGAAGCGCTCGTTGAGGTTGCGATACGAGAAGAAGAGCGTCTAGACCAGTCCTCGGGGCATTTCCCACTGGAGACGAGGAGGTGATGGTTCGTGTCAAACATGGGTCTGGAGTGGTGGCTGGGGAGCTGTGTTGCAACAATGTGCAGGGGACAAAGATGGCTACACCTTCATCATTGGCTGCCAGAAACCACAACAATTATTGCTTGTCACACAAGAACTCCTTAACGCTGTCATTTTGAACACTCTGCATACCGCATCATGGATCGACAAGCACCGCGCTGCAAACCCCGCGTCGGCTTGAAACAAGGTACAAATCGTTGCAGGGTCAAGTGATCCTCGACGAATCTAATTGAGGTATCGCCATCGCCGAGCAATGGAGGAGCAGAGGCCGGGGAATAAGCGAGAGACACAAGCTCGCACCAAGGTAGGCTAAGTGTGCAGGCGTCGCAAGCCCGAGCTTTAGGCAAAAATGGTGATTCGTGAGATGCGGGATGGCGTCTGTACTGTTTCGAGGAGAAGTCCGTGCCGCATTGCGGGTGGCGTTGAGGGCGCAAGGACGGAGGGCGGCCGCAGGGATCAAGAGGGGAGTCGGGCACGCTACTGCGTCCTTCCTCTGTGCTCGTCACGCCGGACGCAAGATGAGGATCAATGTTTTGGGGTTGTTGGCCGATGGCTGATGGCTGATGGCTGCGACGGCCAACATCATTCTGGCAGAAATGCATGGGCGCAGGAAGGAAAAAAACAGGAATCAGCCCATCAATAATGAATCATGATCAGAAGATGCATGTGTCGCTGAGGGATCCGGCCTTCCCGCTGCCGGGGTTTGGAGCCCACCAGCCCTCACTAAACGGCTTAGGCGGTGCTAGGCACCTGGACGGCGAGTAGCTTCTTTAACTAAACCGGATTTCAGCAGGTGCAAGAGCTGCAGCCTCCCGCCCATGACCACTGCAAACCTGATCACCAGCCCTCCAGCCCTCCAATATTCTTCTGCCGCCCAGCGCCCGCAGTCTGTCCTCGGACTTGGTATTGCGAAGCCGGATTGGCACCAGCTTCCCAACTGCGCCCATTCTCGCCCTCACCGTCACCCTACCTTCACCTTCACCTTCTTCTTCTCCAGCTCCTGCATTGCTAACCGTATATCCCTCACTCTTACCTCCTTTCCACCATCCTGTCCATCTCGAGTTTTATCCTCCTGAAGCAGCCACATCACATCCTCCTTCATCTTACTGGGGATGCTGCACCCGAAGCCGCCGTATTGAAGACTGCGCACCCGCCCTCTGCCCTCTGGGCCAATCCGTTCTCCGCAGCAAACGTTGCTTCTTCCCCTTGAAACACCCTCCCCCTTCACCTCAGGCCTTTGTCACTCGATCCGCCTCGTGTGAGAGAGGATCCAGGCCCATACCGCACGCCGAAGGACCAATCCTAATCTCACCCTTGCTTCGATTGATCGTTCCATCACTCCTCCTCGATAACGATCGACATCACAGTCGACCGCCACTCACTCCTCCCTATCCTTTCGAGCTCGTCACCTCTCCTTTTCGTCTCCCTGTTCATGTCTTTGCCCATCAGCGGCCGATTCGAGGAATAATCACTTCTTCCCTCCTGTATCCGCATTCGCCGGCACAGCTTAGATGCTCCCATCAGCACCCAGTTGCGCACCCACAATCTGCACGCTGACTACCTCTCGGCCGTCGACTACTGTGCCTTGGCTGTCATATCTCATCTAAGATGGCCACTTCGACATCAACTACCACGACGTCGCCCACTGCGAGCGCAACGGGCAACGCTGGAAACAATGGAGGCTCTGGTCCCAGTTCGCCACTGCTCTTTTTCGTGGCTCTGGGCTTTGGCGTTGTCTTTACGAATTTATGGTGAGCCTCAAAATCGTCATCAGGCGTTCCTATATCATCTAATCTTTTTGTGTGTCTGTCAGGATCATCGTCGGTGTCAAATACTGCTTCAGATACAATCAGCGCAACCGACAGCGCATGAATGGCGAGGACCCAGACGGAGTAGATCTTGCTGCCATGCCTCGACAACACCGCCGCAGGCGCGAGAAGAAGCTGATGACCATTGAGGAAGTGAACGAAAAATTCCCTCTGACAAAATACAAGACATGGCGTTCCAATCGTGCCGACGAGGGCTTGCCCACTGCTGGAGGGATCACTACTGCCTCTCGCCCAGCTAGCATACGCGATACTCAACGGGATTCCAAAGACTCGAAGGACATTGAAGCTCAGGAATTGGCGCATGCGCAAACAAACTCTACGGCCGAGGAGAAACCTCCCGAGCATGGCGAACCAGAGGTCGTGGAAGCCGAAAAGAGTGACCTGGAAAATCGGCCAGTCACGCCCTCTCGTCCCAAATCTTCTCCTTCTACAGTGACGCCCGGTACTCCTGTGCATAAAGTGACCAGTCATGACGATGACGACGAAGACGAAGAACGCATACAAACGGCTCTTCCTGCCGAGCAGTTGCCCGATCCTGGCGACGCTTGTGCCATATGCATCGACAATATCGACGACGACGATGACATTCGTGGGTTACATTGTGGTCACGCATTCCATGCCTCGTGCGTTGACCCTTGGTTGACATCACGGCGAGCCTGCTGTCCCCTTTGTAAGGCGGATTACTACGTCCCCAAACCTCGACCCGAAGGTGCCGAAGTGAATCCAGCAAACCTGCAGCCACCGCCGACGGCGTTTTCGATTATTGGGAATGGTCGACCGGGTCGAAGACCTGCAATGATCATCCCGGGTCGATTCATGAGTATCGTGTATCATGATCGCGATCGCCACGGATTCCCGCTTGTAGTGCGTGCAGAGCGGACAGATCAGTCAAACCTAGACCAAGGTCGACGGCGACAGAGAGACAGATTGCCGAGCTCAAATACCGCTGCCAGCACCGAAGGAGGAGATACTCAATCATCATGGAGATCAAGATTCGGCTTGAGAATGCCGGGTCGAAGTCGACAGGCACAGACACCACCGGCGGCTCCGGAAGCCCTGCCCACCCCTTCACAGCTTGAAGCTGGAAGATGACAAGAACTGAACCCCAGAAGCGACGATAATGATATGAGTTTACGATAATCCTGACGAAGGACTTCTTGGCTTTTGTTGGGTTCCCCTGGCCCTTGGATAGGTGACAAAAGGTCTTGGAGATGCATGAGCGCGACTGAGGACTCTGCCTGTATGATGCCGGGTTTGCCGCGCGATAGAATGTTTGCATGGCATGAGCAATAGCCGCAAATTTTCACGTTTACAGCATTTGGCTGGTAAAGCCGGGCATAACACTTGCACTGCGTTGAGGAGTGAACAAGAACTACTGCGATGGATCTTCTTGGGATGGATACCTCGGGATATGATACCCCCGTCTCCATTTCTTGGCTATGTGGCATATTGTATCTTTAGTCTCCCAGACTGTACTTGGACCTAAGACCAAAATGGACTATTTTCTTGTGTTTCTAGTTTGTATCGACTCGGACTTGATTGCGTTTCGAGGTGGTGGTGTCGGCAGCTCTGTGAACGACATGCGCCGGCAGAGGACTCATCAACAGCTCCCTCACGTCCCTCTGCTAAAGGTCTATTCTCCCTTTGCACAAGTCGGCCATACAGAAAGAGTGCTTGGGGACAGGGGAGAGGCTACCTAGATAAGTTGAGACAAGCACGTGACAAGGCTTTCTACGTTGGATCATAGCGCCACAAGGTGCGTTGACTGGGACGGTGCGAGGTACGGTCAACCGTAACTACGCAAGGGGAAATATAGCACTGTCGAGACACACGCAGTGCAGGCAGAGGGCGTTTCACTCCCTGTATCCTCAATGTCTGGGGCAAACTTGTCCTCTCTATATTGGGATTGCATCATTCAACCCTTGGGCTCGTGCACTCCTGTTTCATCGGCTATCTAGACCATCCGATGGGAATCGTCCCATTGCTATGCGGGCATAGAAGGCGGGTCGCTTGGGTGGTGAGTGACATCCTCTGTGTAAACTTTCCAGAAGAGGTTGTTGTCGTCGTCTAGACAGATCCATCTATGTTGGTGAGTATGACATTTACCTTGGTCTTTACAACTCTCCTCACTTGGTTTGGGATCCAAACCCCGCTTCCGGCAAGGCTGAGACCTCCTAAAACTTGGTTACAGGAGGGTCCAAAGAACGGAGAACAGGAAGTACATGAATCAATGACGATAAAGCATGGAGGCGACAGTGGGTCTCTCTACATTGGCTGCAAGCCAACTGGCAGGTTTCCCGCGTCCGTTATTACAGTGTCCTACATGGAGAAGGCGGGGGAAGGGTTTCAGTGAGGAGATGTGATGCTCATATGGCTAAGATATACAGATGCATTGGATGGTTAGTTGCTGGCTGTATTATATCATTGTCAGCGTCGCCCGCAACAAGATTGTCGACTTGTCCGCTGCATCGGCATCCTCACTTCTCATTCATCTCCTCGTCTCTCCTGGCGCCGGCAGGCCTCTTCTCCACGCTGGCCTCGACGTGCTCGGTCATGAGCTCCTTGACGTGCTTGATGAAGATGACGGCGACGATGGCCAGGGCCACGAAGGGGATGATGCTCGCCCACGCCAGGCGGTACGCTCTCGCGTAGGCCCAGTCGCGGGCGTCCAGGGCCTGGTCCAGGATCGTGGCGTTGAGGCCGCGCACGGCGTCGAACCCTTCCCCGGCCCCGATGGCCTCGAGCAGGTCCGGCACCGAGCTTGCCGGCAGGCCCGCGCCCGTGGCCGCCCGGGTCACGTCGCGGGCCAGCGTCGCGTCGATCTTGCCGTTGATGATGGCGTCGAGCACCGCCGAGCCGAACGCGCCGCCGATGGCCCGCGCGGACAGCGCGAAGCCCGACGCCGTGGCGATGAAGGCGTGCGGCGCCGCGAACTGCACCAGCGCGAGGATCAGCGTCAGCGGCCCGGCCTGGCCGATCCCCGCGAGCACGGCGAAGGCGTATTGCGCGTGGTTCTCCGTCGGCTTGATGGTCGCGTAGCAGATGCACACTACTAGGAAGACGGTGTAGGTGAAGATGAGCGGGTTCTTGAGGTCCTTGTACTTGGTCGAGTAGAGACTGTGACGCCACATGTGCGGTTAGATACAATCAGGCGCTGATCATGAGGACAAAAGGGAGGAGGGCTTACACCATGGGAATCGAGAAGCCGATAGTTGGGAGCTGGTACGCTAGCTGGCGGATGGAGATTTGCCAGGACGTCGTCTCCCATCCGAGATTGAGAATGACTTGGGGAGTCACGCTGTTGACGGCGCTGTAGAAGATCCAGCTGTGTCCAAGTTAGTTGGGGTGTTCGAGGTCTTGATGTCCCCATGGACACGAGTGAGGGACTTACCCTTCCACCGCGAAGGCAAAGACCGCGAGAGGGAAGTTGTAGCCATTCTTGAACATGACCTGGACAGAATAATCAGCGTTGTGGATGCAGTCTACCTGGTAGCAATATCTCTCACATGAGCAACAATGCCATCAGTTCTTCCTTTCCACTCTATACCAACGTTAGCCAGTTCCGTCAACAAGAATTGGAACGTTTCTCGATGGACACTTACCATATATTCCGAACAATATCAAGAGAATCACGCCAACGACGAGCGGGGCGATGACATGGGCGTCGTGCCATGCATACGAGCCACCAGTCCAGTCCAGAGCCAAGATAGTCAGAGTGGCGCCGCCGACGAAGAGGACAGCTCCGATGGGGTCGAGAGACCACAAGACTTCCATAAAGGTCATCTTCGGGTAGTCAGACCGCCTGGGCGGGAAGTAGAACGCCAGCAGCATGAGCACGGTGGCGCCGTGGAAAGCGGCTTGCATCCAGAAGATGTTTCGCCAGCCGTCCTTCTCGACGTTGGTCACGGCGCCGGCACCAAGCTGTCCAACACTTCACAAAAAAAAAAGGTTTGTGTCAGCGGGGGCTGAGCAAAAGCAATCAGCAAAAGGGGGGGAAACAACACTTACAGGCCTCCAAAGGCACCGCCGAGAAAGTTGGCCCCGTTGGCTATGGCACGGTACTTCAGGGGGAGGACTTCGGCCGGGATTGCGACTATGATGCCCAGGGACGACAATCCCACTCCGATGAGAATCCCTCCTCCTATCAAGGTGTTCATGGAATGTGCCGTGGCCGACACGACGGACCCAACGAAGGCGACCGATAGTTGAATGCAAGCGAGGTATTTGCGGTCCACCACGTCGGACAGCCGGCCTATAATGGGACAAAGAACGCTTTGCACCAGCAGCGGACCCTGAACACAGTTATCAGCGTTTTGAATCCCGGGTCGACCGAAAACGAAGAAAATGCGTCTACCTGGATGATCCAGCCGGCCAGACCGGGATGGCCCAAGTCTCGAATGATGAAGGCGATGACCGAGCCCGCTGCAACGACTACGAACACCAAGGTCAAGTTGCTGCTCGAGGTCAACAAGAAGAACCTAGCTAATTGCTCTAGGGGAGGGTTGTTACCCAAACATGGTGACGAGCACGACGAGCCATGATCGCCAGCCGAGCGCTACATGCGTGTCGTCCAGATGAGAATCCGTCCTGGCAATGGTGTCGTTGACCTCCTTGACATGCTCGAAAGTCGTCTCGTGGTGCTCGCCCAACGGCTTTTCCACGACCTCAACTGGAGCCATCGGCTCGTTCTGTCCGGAATGCACTGCTCCGCTCATGATCACAGATTTGCAAGGTAGATTGGGGAGAGACAGAGAGAACTACGCAGTGGAAAGAGATGCCACGAGAGCTGTAGAAGCTGACCTCGATTGTGTCAGGGGAGGATACCTCAGGGAGCTGATATGATTGCAGAAAATGACCAGGCTACCACGTGTCGGTACCGTGCCGAAGACTCTGTATCGGCAGTTGTTCGACAGGCATCTGCGAGCTTGATGATTCGTGCCTCAGCTCGACGGGGAATCTCCGCATCTGGCTTCGTGGCCTACTCTCCGAGCGTTATAGAGACCACCGGGCATGGTCGCAGGGGAGATGGCAGGCGGCCTGGCAGGATACCCAAGGACCAAGCGCCGCCCGTGGAAACACATCACCACACGATCCTTACCGTTTCGGGCAAAGCCAAGGCCCGCTACCAGCCGACCTAGCCGTTCCGAGCTATCACGGCATCTTCATGATACGTCCATCTCCACACACTGCGGGGGAGCCTTCCCCAGAGTTGTGTCCCCCCGCCTCTGGGGGCAGGTCGGCAGTTGCTTCTGCGCGAGGGGATAGCAAGGCTCTAGGTGACTGTGCCCTCGGGTAAGCATAAATAGGTTCCCCAGTGGCTTGGAGAAGGGGGTGTCAGCAAGCAAAGCATTTAGCAAACGCGAGCCGCCTGTTCACCGCCCATCCAGCCAGCCGTCCAGCCCCCTTAAACCTCTTGGCTGGTTATCCCCTTAGCCATCTCTCGCCTTGTTTCTCTCTGGGCGACATCTTGTTTGGACGACAACTCCCTGTCACCATGGCACTTTCGACGCCGCTGACTCAGCAGGCGGTCTCGCCTGTCTACCTGGCTGTTGCGGCCTTCGTTACTATCGTTCTCTATCTGTTTGTGCAGAGCAAGAGAGCCCGACTGGACCATATCCCCGGGCCATGGCTGGCCAAGTATACCAACCTATGGCGCGGGTTCCAGGCATGGAAGCTGAACCACCACAACGAGGGCGTCAACAACTACCAGATCAGCACGATCGGCCGGTACGGCGACGTGGTTAGAATCGGCCCCAAGCATGTCCTGGTCTATGACCCCGAGGCCATTGACGTGATATTCGGCTTCCGGGAACGCCTTGACAAGGCAAGTACGGCCCAGTCGAGTTTTGCCTCCTGGATTAGAGTGTTTTTCCATACTTCGTTCTTTTAAGATGAGGTCCCTTGCCCCAGCTAATCCCGAAATCATCAGGGCCCGGGCTACAAAGTTTTCGTGATGACCGGTAAATAAAAACCGCCCGACCAACAGAAGGTTTTCAAGAATGGGCAAACTCACAAGTTTCACAGGCACTGATCAGACCGCCCTGGTCAGCATCAAGGATGAGAAAACCCACGGAATCTACCGACGGCCCATCGCCCATGCCTATTCGTTGTCGTCCCTGAAGGGCTACGAGCCGTACATTGACGAAACCATCGAAAAGCTGATCAAAGAACTCGACAAACATGACGCGGACGGCACGCCGATCAACATGACCCGTTGGCTTCAGTACTGTGAGTCCAGGATCCCGCCCTACCGCCCTCACCGGTCTCACAGGTGGTTCTGACATCGCGTCTAGGGGCTTTCGATGTCATGTCCAAGATCTCGTTTGGCGAGCCGCTCGGCTTCCTCGACCACGGCAATGACTTCAACGGCATGATCCAGGCCCAACGGGAGAACTTCCGATACATCAGCGTGGCCAACAACTTCCCGTTGCTCGACACGCTGACCAAGCGCAACCCGCTCCTGAAGTTCGTGACCAAGAAGCCCAGCATGTTCTTTACCTTTGCCCGGCGCGTCGTCAGCGAGCGTCTCGCGAAGGCCTCCAAGGACCCCGAGGCGCAGTCCCAGGCCCGCCGCCACGAAGACCTCCTGGGCAGCTTCATCGCGGCGCGAAAGGCGTATCCGTTGATGACGGACCTCCGGATCACGCACCTCACGGCGACCAACGTGCTGGCAGGCGCCAACAACAGCGCCCGCGCCATGGACGCCACCATCCACTGGCTGACGGAGCACCCGGAGGCGCAGGAGCGGCTGCACGCCGAGATCCGCGGGGTCAACATGGCGGCGATGAAGGAGGTCGACACCGAGGGCCCCGCGGCGCTCGAGCTGGCGCTGAAGATGCCGTACCTCGACGCCGTGATCCAGGAGTCGTACCGCCAGTTCGGCGCGCCGGCCAACAACCTCGAGCGCGTCGCGGGCAAGACCGGCCTGACCCTGCCCAACGGCACGCACCTGCCCCCGGGCACCGTCATCGCCATGAACGCCGCCTCGATGGCCATGCTGCCGCACGTCTTCGGCCCGGACGCCCGCGCCTTCAACCCGGAGCGCTGGATGCAGCGGGCCGGCGAGACCGAGGACGAGTTCCGCGAGCGCAAGCTGCGCATGCACCGCTCCATGCTGGTCTTTGGCCACGGGAGCCGCAGCTGCATCGGCAAGAACATTGTCCAGCTGGAGCTGTACAAGATCTGGGCCACGCTATTGAGGATCTACAAGGTGAGTTTTCTCCTTCCCTTCTGGTACCACCATTCGCCCCCCATCACATCGCCTTGCGCAGTGACGGGAAAGAAGCGTAGTGCTGACCGAGCCTCTCAACTCCCAGTTTGAACCCGCCGAGGTGAAGCTTCACCAGGTCATGGCGATCCCCCGACGCCGGGAGCAGCGGAGTGAAAAGTCGGTGGAGATTTGATGCCCGTTCGACACCCCTTGTTTCTTCTTTTTCCTTTCTTTGCTCAAATCCCTCAATCGTCCGCGGGACTCGGAAACGGGGTGTTGGGCCCAAGGATAAGGGGGAGGAAGAGGAAAGAAGAGGGAGTGCCACAGTCAATGAAACCCTGCTCAAACCTCATATCACGATTTCTTTGTTTTTTGGTCTTTTGGAGACAAGCATCTCCCCCTCCTTAGCTAGGTGCCTAGTCGAAAGCCCTTCCAGCTCTTTAATCCCTGAAACCCCAGCATCGGTAGAACCCCCACCCCAGCATTGGTAGATAGAAGCGTTTTCGATACCGAGATAGGAATGCATCTTGCCCACTTTCCATGAGATTTTTCTTTTTGGTTTAAAGCATCAAACGTTTCTTGCTGGTAGCCATTTCCACTTGCTGCTGGAAACCACTTAATAGGGCTAGATGGAGGTTTGAGTCTCGCCGGAATGCACTTCTAACAAGAATATCTTTTGAGGGGAGTCTCGATATCAGAAATTACAAGGTGTCTAACTCTAGAGTGGGATGTCTCTTCGGAATAATACACAGACTTTTGGGGCCCCAAGACATAATGAATAAATTGAATCAACGCTCTTTTTTTTTTCTTGCTTTCTTTCACACATCCGTCGCGCTCTTCTGCTCTGCCACGTCCGTGGACTCTTCGGCGTTCCTGGCCTGCTCGCCCGCGCGGGTCTTCAGGCTTCGCCACTCGACGAAGACGCTGCCGAAGATGGTCGCCGCGCAGGTCGCCGCGATCAGGTAGAAGACGTCGACCAGGGCGTCGTTGTAGTCGGCCAGCAGCGTCCGCAGGTCGCCGCCAGAGGCCAGATTGCGCAGGTCGGTGGCGCCCGCCTGGGTTACGGCGCCGGGGTCGATGCCGGGGAGGTTCGTCAGCTTGGAGACGAGGCCGTTGAGGAAGAGGTTCTCGGCCACCGGCAGGAAGATGGCGGAGCCCAGGAAGCGGACGAACATGATGACGGCGGAGCCGGTGGCGATGTCGGGGCGGTCAAGGATGGTCTGCACGACGTTCAGCCCTTGCTGGGCGCCGAAGCCCAGCCCCAGGCCCAGCAGCACCTGGTAGCCGATCCACTTCGGGTGTTCGGTGGTTGCGGTAAAGGTGGACAGCAGGCCCGCGCCGACGGACGTGACGACGGAGCTGAGGATGAAGAACGGCGTGTAGTAGCCCACCCGGCTGATGATGATGCCCGAGGAGATGGAGGCAACGACCGAGGACAGCACCAAAGGGAGCAGCATGATCCCCGATTTGACGGCGTCGACACCCTTGATCGCCTGGAACCAGATGGGGAGGTAGTACACCGTGGCCATCATTGCGGCACCGTTGAAAAAGGAGAACCATATGGCGGCCGCCACGCTGCGCTGCTTGACGATCCGAGGAGGCACGGTGCCGTCCTCCTGCTTCCAGAGTTGGATCCTAGCAAAGGCAAGGCAGAGGACGGCACAGAGCACAAGGAGAACGATGATCCGAGCGTCATCCCACGGGTATTTGGTTCCTCCCCATTGGAGAGCCAAAATCAGACAGACGATGCCGGGGAAGAAGACCAGGTTGCCCACTGGATCGAGCTGCTTCAACTTCCCCCAGAGCCCAGGAGCTCGTGCATCCAGCTTCTGGCTGGAAAGCCGCAGAACGAACATGGTGACGACAACGACCACCGCCCCGATGGGGAGATTGATATAGAAGCACCATCTCCAGGTGACGTTATCGGTGAACGCACCTCCGACCAGAGGGCCGATGACAGACGCAACCGCAAAGACGGCCCCAAAGGCACCCTGCCAAATCGGTCGTTGCTGCAGTGGAACGGTGTGGAACATGATGACCATGACGCCCGAGAACATGCCCGACGCTCCAAGGCCTGCAATGGCGCGACCAACGATGAAGGCTGCAGAGCTCGGAGCCGACCCACACACAGCAGAGCCGACTTCAAAGAGCACAATGCCAGCAAGGAAGATGGGCTTGACCGGGTAGAACTTGTAAACCTTGCCCATGAGAAGCTGGAAGCTACACATGGTGAGCAGGTAGGCACTGCCATACCAGCCAATGTCATCGATAGAATGGAACTCGTCGGTAATTCGCGGAATGGCGGTGGATATAATGTTTTGGTCCTGTTATTGAAATAGCTGGTCAGCAAGGGACGGCACAGTTCCAGCGTAAAGGCTGCGAAGAAGGTGGAATTACCAACGTGACCAGGAATATTGACAGGTAGACAGCGACCATGATCACAATGCGCTTGTGCATGCTAGGATACCCATCGGCTGTTCCAGCACTCTTTTGCTGCGCATGGTCCTCTGGACGATGGTCGCCGTCGCGGGAAGAGGTTTGCGACATGGTGGAACGACTGATCTGACCGTGGTCGAAAAGGAAGGGACGGACGTCGTGAGACAACTCAGAGGTTCCATCTCTACGGACCTGAATACCTGGCTTCTTAAGTATCAGGTTCGTTGGTGGACGCCTGCTGTGGTCGGACTGGCCCCCTTTTCCTAGTATTCGCGTCGCTGCTCGGCGCTCAAAAGTTCAGTTTTGGACTTCCGAGCGCCGAGATCAAGGCCGACAAAGTCAATAACAACGCTTCGATTCTTGCAACAACCTCTCTCCGACCACCGGGGATCTGTCCAGCGAGAGGCGTAGGTGAATGTCCACGATGTCGCGACCCCTGACCGAGGACTCGGTGGTAGCGGATGAAAATGGCAGAGGCTTCTCCTGCTTGGGCTGTCGGCAGCGCAAAATCAAGTGCGATCGCCAGACGCCCTGCTCCAACTGTGTCAAGGGAGACACACCATGCAGCTTCGTTCCGCCGGTCCGCGGCAAGCGGAAGAGAACTAAGCCTGCCCGAGAAGGACTGCACGCCAAACTGAAACGATATGAGGAGATGCTCAAGTCATACGGCGCAAAGATCGAACCGTCTCTGGACAGTGATACGTCCGATGTCGAATCAGCCCCCAGGTCGGATGCCGGCATCCCCAAAGACGCTGAGCCCCAAACCGAAGGCGACTATGGTGCTTTGAGGGTTGATGTATCCAGATCGAAGTTCGTCACCCGGGAAGGGGCCTCGAGATATTTCGAAAGGTATGTTCCTGGCTCTCCCATTCCAGGAGGACTATTTCTAAAGTACTCTCTATAGCGCTCTCTGGTCGAACTTGGGAGACAAGGTGAGACCGACGACCATGTCAAGCAGCTCTCCTTCTAACCAAATGCCTATAGTTTCGCCACCCAGACGAATATGCCCCTGATGGGCTACTGGACGAGGCCAGTGGAAACGAATGTGCCCTCCTCCTAGGTCCGCTCGACCAAGGAAGCCTTCATCCCAGTCCCGCCGACACCTCAAACCTCGTCGATGATTACCTATCCATCCAGGTCTTGCGTAAGATGAAGGACATATATGCGGACCGAGTTGATCCTGTGATGAAGATTCTGCATATTCCGACCTTCTGGTCCTCGTTGACGAATGCACTGCAACATCCACAAGAGACCCCGAACAGCCTCAAGGCGGCAATGTTTGGCTTCTGCCTCGCTACAGTCAGCGCCCTGGACGATGATGAGTGTCAGAGTCTGCTGGGGGGACCGAGACCGGCCATGCTTGCGCGATATCGAACGATAGCTCGGCAGGCATTGATGAATGCCGGATTCCCCCACACTTCGAGCGTCATGACCCTTCGAGCTTTTTCCTTGTTCCTTGTAAGTTGCGACTCGAGAATGTTCCCGTGGTGTATGTCCTAACTCGAATAGATTGGCGTGAGGACTTCCCTGCGACACGATACTCAATACATCCTGTCAGGAGTGGCTGTACGGCTTGCGCTTAAGATGGGTCTCCATCGTGATGGCGAATCGCTTGGTCTGTCGCTTTTCGAAACCGAAATGAGGCGTCGGCTCTGGTGGCACATTGTGCATATCGACTTCCGCGCCGCCGATATGTTAGGCATGAGACCGTGCCGGGATCTGTCCATCGGAGACACCAAAGTGCCCTTGAATGTCGAGGACGAAGAATTCGGTCCCGATATGGTCGAACCCCCACTTGAGCGAGGAGGGATCACCTCCATCGTTCTCTGCCTCGTCAGATGCGATATCATCGAGTTCCTGCGCAAGCTCGCCCCTCCGTTGTCGAATGGTGTTCACTGGGACACCCTCACGAGCCCTGATATCACGACCGCCAAAAAGGATGGCGTGATAAGCCAGATGGAAGATCTCTGGGAGAGAAAGTATCTCCGTTATTGCGATCCATCCAATCCCCTGCACACCTTTGCCTCCATCATGATGCGGTCCTGCATATGTAAGATGAAGCTCCTCGCCCACAGTCCGCGACGACGGATTGCTGGGCGCCGCGTCAAAATCCCGCAGACAGAACGGGAAATCGTCTTCGCGAACGCCACTAAACTGTTGGAATATGCAGTCCTGGTGCGGGGCAACCAGGGATTGCAGAAGTACGCGTGGCGCACCGGCACGAGCTATCTCTGGGATACGATGCTCTGTGTCCTCATTGAGGCTCGACATCGCAAGCCTGGGCCAGATGTAGATCGGTTGTGGCAGCTGATTGGCGTGGTACTTTCCCAGCACCCTGAGGCTTTTAAGGAGTCCACGGGAGCTGTGTATATTGCACTGTGTAAATGGACTCTGGAGGCTTGGGAAGACTACGTCGCCGCCACGAAATCCGACGGTCTTCCGGAGCCAATGCCACCCGAGTACATCAATGCAATCCGCAACAGTTGGACATCTAGGGCAAGGCCTGCGCTCCTTGACCAAGACTATGTCGGTCCCGGTAAGCTCCAGTCCGGGGTGCAGGATCGGAATCCGCCTCAGGCTGAAAACTTCGACTGCTATAATTTTCCCGACCTTGTCTCCTTTGAAACGGATCCGAATGAATGGATTCAATGGGAGCAGCTGCTTTCGGGGCAAAATGGCTTCGGCGAGATGGAGCACTTGTGACAGTGTTCCTGAGGGACCGTGGCTTTCTTCACACCAGGAAAATCTTCTCGACTCCCGGTCTCATTCGAGGCCAGGGAGCTGTAGGATCCCACTCAAAGACTCCGAGCCAGTGCCAGATCTTGCCAGCCTTGTCATTCGAGCCAATTACCCCAAAGACCGCGCCGTTGCAGGGTCCCCGGTAGACATGATAGCCGCTAGTGGCCATGATAGCTTTGGAAGGGAGCACAAACAACGCATGACGATATTTATGCAGCTGAAATTCCTCCTGGGCCCGACTCGACGGACAATCAAAACCCTTGCGCTCGCCGCGCACTAAAGCACCCTTCAACCCTTTTACGCTCAAGAATCTGCTTCGCGAGGTACCGGATACTTCAAATGTTGTGAACTGAGCATCGAGGCCTTCGTCTGTGATCAATGCAACGGATGTTCCGGCGCCGTCGTACACCAGATGCATTGATGGTGATTGTGTGCTCGATGTGATGGCAAGCCGGGATACCTCTGGTTGAGCTGGCGCCCAACCGAAGCCCTTGCATTGGAGCCTGGGATGGGCAGAGAACAATATTCCTGTATGGATGATAGTGTTGATCTTGGATTTCCAAAACATCTCGGCACTGTAGACCGGCGTGGTATCGTGCAGCAAGCTCATGATGACAGTGCTGTCACCCGGACGCGACGCGTGGCGATAAGCCAGCAAACAGATAGACTCTTCCACAGAGATATAACCGTCTCGCCGCCTGACAATCTCTCCTTGAGGATTCTTGGTGAACGGCGACGGAGGTTGGGCCGGAAGAAGCTGCTGATGTGTAAGGAAGAGGTTGGCGATGGCAATTGCGCCCTTTTCATGGACCCTTGTCAGGCATTCTTTGAATGAGATGATTTTGTTGTATTTGCACAGAAGATGGACGTTGTGACGGGCTCTCATCGACTCGAGCAATGTCCAAGACCTCACATTCCAGTCACAGACCAGAAGAGTGGAGAGCAAGGTCTCCATCGTCTCTATTGAGTCGTCGCAAATATCGATGGACATAATGTCGCGATCCCAGATGAGTGTCATCCTGCTCATAGTGAAAATTCTGTTTATATGAGCTATAGCCTCAGAACGCAGTTCGTGATTCTCTGGAATACAAGGCGTATCCATCCAGTAAGAGTCGCAGTCATTCTCGCGAGCCAGCTGAATGAGTCGTGCGTGAAGGCAAGTATTCATCCCTGTATCGGGCCTCCCTCCAGCACCGTGAGCCCACACATGTGAGACACTTAGTGTTTTTGGAGACGCTTGACAGTATCGAATGGTGGCGTTGTCAGAATCTTTGATGGATACCGCTCGTGCGTCCTCGACGTTACGATAACTGGCTTCGTCCCAGACCATCTTGTCACAGTCACCAGAACACCGGAAGTCGTGCGCCGATTGATCGACTATCTTCATGCCTGTAAAACGCTGGCAGTGCTCCGGTCCTTGTCCGTTGCAGGGTTGTGAAGACGCGAGAATACACCTTCCCGGCCTCTCGCCAAACATGGTACCGAATCTTTTTCGGAAGCCACGGAAATCTTGCCCAACGGAAGCTCTATCCAATTTCAACAGCCCAAAGGCCCAGCTGCACATGTACTGTGGCAGTTCCTCAGAGGGATTGGGGGTTGTCCCGTCGCCTGGCAGGGGCTGGTGCATATTCAGAGATGCATTTCGCTCGGCATCGTATCCGGCTCGTAGCTGTAAATCCAGATGATAATGGAAGTGAAGCATCAGAGCACGGCACCAACACGTCCAGAGGAAGCTTTGGGCGACTAGCCAATGCCGGTGATCGGCTGGATCGCTTGGGTTGGCCGCAAGGTTGAAAGCGGTTTCGACTAACTCTGCAAGGGTGTTAACATAGTGCTGTATCGTGCCAATGAACGTCAGCTCGTCACGGAGCTGGACAATCGTCAATGCAAGCCGGATGCAGTTCGTGTCAACCCAGTTGGTCACGAGCAACTCATGCCAGCTGTCCCGGTTCAGCACCAGATAGCCAGAGTGAAGGCTTCCGATATAGAGCCACGGCAATGCGCATTCTTTGAACTGTGCAGCGAGCGAGGCAGGAAGGTGCGGTGTTCGCGGTATCCGTGACAACAGAGCACATGCCTGATCAATGATAGCATCCTCACTGAGAACACCCTCAAAGTTGCAGCGGAGAAGGGATCCCACTGCCCGGTCTAGCAGGGAGATATGGTTCTCCAGATCTTGTGCGGCATAGTAATAGGCTTGACACCACTGCCGGGCTCGCCGCCTCTTCTCCTCACTGGTAAAGACTATCAGCTGGTCCTTGTCTGAATGGATACTGGTGCGGCGAGGAAGAAACATGGGCGGAGTGCCCTTTGAGTTGGCCTCTTTCCACTTGAGGCTGTCCCGGTATATTGACCTCACTCGGTCTCTGAACACGGCGCATGGGTCATCCTGGGCCATGCCGCACTGACACTGAGGGCCTATGCCGGGTCAGATGCACAGGTGCCAGGAAACAGGGAAAAGATGATGAACAAGGCCTGCAGTGCAACATTCATATATTGACCCAACAAGCGAGCCTTGGCATCATTGATCGTCTCTCAGTAGAGACAAGGCTGTGACAGCCTTGTCATCTCATTCAGTCGTCCAGCCATTTATGCAATGTATTGTATTGTCTCGGAGATGAATAATGACATGTTCATGGATAGAGGGGCTAGTGGATGTACCTGACGTTCCAGAGCCTTGATCGAACATGGATTTTTCTGCCCTAGACGTAATGTGTTGAGCTTCGCCCGTTTTTCAAAATCCCACAAGAGGCTGCAACGTAAGCCACTCAACAAGGTCGTCTACTATCGATTGGAATAATGCAGCACCCATATAGAGGGGCAGTACATCACAGCTTCGTGGTTCTCACTGAAAGGGGCACCCCCTTATCTGATTCATCTAACCTGGGCACCCTTCTGGATTGTTCGTCGTGATTGCTTGCGGGCTGATATAGGAACAAGGATAACATCGACAGCCTCTGGAAACATTTGCTCACAATGCCAGCCGGGAATCGAGGTGGTGGAAAGGCAATCACGGGACACAGCCAACGAGGAGGCAGGAGGATATTTGAAGATAGACAATGTTAATACAATGCATAATCGATCGACCCAATCATTGCTCATCCACATCACCAAGAGACTCGGGGCCATCCTCCACCGAGATCGACTTGATCCAGTTCCGCCCATTGCCATCCTGATGCTGCGCAAGAACCTTGCCATCACTGCCAAGCGCATCACCACCCTGGGCAACCTTCAATCCTGGTTAGGGTGCATATGCACTAGGAGCTGCAGTGTCGAGAAGAAGAAGGGTCATGTCGGTGTCGCTGCGGACTCCACGGTCAGAGTCTTCACTGGATGAATTGGTGTGAATGGAACATGGCTCTTGCTTGGTTCACCCTCCTACGTGGAATGTTCGTAGAAGCGGCATGAATACTCAGTCAGGGTCCCGAGCACATGTTCTCCATAGTCCCTTCTCCTGAAGGCCTGGATCAATCAGTCCTCATCGTCATCCCCACCCAATCCGGCATTCTTCCTCATCATGGCAACATCGTCCTCCAGATCTTGAATCTTTCTCGCCAATTTCTTCTTCAAGATGGCATTCGTCGTCTGCTTAAGCAGCTCTCTCTGCTCCGCAATCTTGTTCTGCATATCCTCGATTCTCTCCATGACCTGTCGTTTGTTTTCGTCACCTTCCTTTTCGGCATCGTCACGGTCTTCATCCTCATCCCCACCATCCTCGTCTTCATCCTCGTCTGAAGAAGCTTCCGCCGCTTCTGCGGAAACGGGGGTGTGTGCAGCAGTCATCGAAGGAGAGGCTGATGTGCTTGTTACTGCGAAAGACGAGTCGCCCACTTCTGGAGGATGTAAGGTACTTCGAGCTTGTGCGGCTGTGTCTGTGGCAGGTGCAGCATCCTCGTCGAAGAACATACGCTCTAGTGCATCGAGATCCTCTTGGCCGACCTCTTCCTGCACAGGAGTCTCGGTGAGCATCGGTGTTTCAACAATGGAACCATGCACACCGGGTGGTATGTCGAAATAATCCTCTGGTTCACCCTCAGCATCTTCGTCTTCTTCCAGTTCGGTGCTGTATCCTTGTTCGTCGAGACGCGGATCATGGTCCAGAAGTTGATATTTGGAGCTCAGGGCTGCCTTGTCCGCCTCGAGGAGAGCATGAACCCTCCTTTCAACCGCTTCGATATCATCCACACGCGCTCGTTTTGTTCTTGCAAATCGTCTCTTGCGTACCCATTTCATAGGGGCAGTGAGGCCATGAGCGTACTGATAGGTCTTGGGGTCAACATCTTCGGGTAGGGGATAATTCCTGGCTTCCTCCTCGTTGTTACAGCGGCCAAGCACCAAGAGCATCTGGCAGATGTCTATACTCTTGATCCACCCTTTCTTGTCCCAGGATTTCATTCCTTCAACGATGCATGGGAGATCGACCAGTGAGGTAGCGTACTTGTGGTCCTTGATCTGTAGAATACCTCTCCTGCCTAGCGTATCGAGCATCCTTAGGTTGACGTGTGCACCTCTCGTCAGGACCTGACCGGCTGTCCCATCCTCGATCACTTTTCTCAAGTAATCACAATCCTCTCCAGGTTGCATTCGAAGAACAAAGCCTTCGTGTATGACTGGATCGGCTTCGCGACCAACAAGCGTCTCACCCTTATCGTTCTGATATTCGCTCTCGAGTTCCGAGTCGTAGCCCACGCCCAACGGGCGCTTGGGGATCTTGCCCTTGATTTTGAAAGCCAGGTGTGCTGTCCCTGAGGGCTTGGGTGCGGACGCAGGGGTAGGCTGGGATGATTTCTTGAACGTGAGTTTTCGAAATGCGGCAGGCTTTGGGGGTGCTGGTGCTGGCCGATTGCCTTCATCATCTTCCTCGCCCGCGCGTGATTCACGTTTGCGTTTCTTGGAGGACGACCCCGGAGTTGCGGCGGCGGTATCTGTGTCCTTCTTCTTTCTCTTTGGGTTTTGCGCCTCTTCAGGGCCTGTCCGAGGGGTGGTTGTGCCTGGGAGTTTGAGCTTGATGGACGGCGTCCTTACTGCACTCTGAGGCGCCGGGGTCTGCACCGGTGCAGGTTGTATTCCTCCAGCTTGAGAGACTGCAGGCTTGCTGGGGAACTTGAGTTTCAGGGATGGGCGCTTTGCCTTGTCAGGGGGTGGAAGAGGCGCGTCGGACATCTCGAATTCGGCCTCGTCGCTGTCGTCGTGGGCTACAGAGTAACTGTCGCAGGAAGGCGAGGTAGGTTCATTCTCCTCGTTGGAATTACAGGCGACAGGAGAATCGTCGAGGAAGTGCTGGACTTCGGGCTCTAGTTTGACAGTGACGGACTTGTGTCTGCCTTTCGTAGGGGATGGTTTGGGATGGCTCTTTCTGATGCCGGAAGATGGATGTGGTTTGAGGATGGATCTGGCTTGAGGTTGCTGCCGATGAGCTGGACTATGCAGCCGGATTCTGGGCTTGACTGGGGCACACTTGGACGCCACGGCGGCTTTGCTCTGGCCATGCTTCGGCGCCTGTTTGGCGGTGATGGGGAGCTCGTCATTGGGGGCAAGCGCCCCGTCAGGCGCCTGTGTTGATAGTGGGGGTGTGGCGATCCGGTCGCCAGCCGCCGCGGCCTGCTGGAAGGTGGTGTCGTTATTGGCGAAGCCCTGGATGCAGGTGCCTAGCGAGCCTGGGCGGCCGGGGGAGCCTGGCTGGTGAGGCGCTGTCGGCAGTGCAGGATCATTGCCGCCAGCCCCAGAACGTGGCATGTCATTTGAATCCAACGAATTCTCTTCCGCACCATCTTGGAGTTCTGCATTCGTAGCCTCTTCCTTCTTGACAAACGGGTTGTTGTATCGAACGGCGTCATTCAACGTTACCGGCCATCGCAGCAGCAACTCAGGCCTGAGCCCCAGTCGCACATAGGAGGCTGATGGTGACTCAGGCAGTCGGTAGTGCTCCAGCTTTTTGCACTTCACCCAACGCACCAGCGGGTTTGGAACGGGATTTGGATAAGCACGAAGAGCTGGATCACCGACTGGCGCTGGATTTGCCTTCTCTCGCGATGGCCTAGCCATCTTGACTATCTCACTCTCTCTTTTGTGGAATCTGGTTGACCCACGAAAAAACTTTTGTTCTATGTTTTGAGCAGAAACGCGTCGAGTAGGGCAGTCACAATGACTTCAGCCGACCTTCACACCGCGCTTTTACGCCCGGCAGTTCTTCAAATCCTTCGCGCCGCTGGCTTCAGCTCCGCGCGGCCAGTTGTAATCGATACCGTCACGGATCTTGCAGCCCGCTATCTTCTCTTACTGGCGTCTTCGACCGCCCAAAACGCGTTCAATACGCACAACACTTTCGTGCCGACTATCCAGGATGTGAGACTTGCGCTGACCCAGGCCGGGGCGTTGGCGCCGCAGATGAATACGGTGGAGGAGAGCTTGAGAGGGGATGTGGAGGTTGTGGAGGGAGTGTGGGTGCCGTTCGAGGATTTACGAGGCGTCGAGGCCTTCGTGAACTGGGCGTATGGGCCAGTCAACAAGGAGATCCGGAGGATTGCGGGCTTTGGCGACGATGTGAACGTGGAGGAGATTGCGGCAGCCTTGGATGAGCAGGAAGATTATCTGTCTGGTAAGTTCAATTCTCAACTTTTGTTGAACGATTGTTTTGAATTTTGCAGAGTTTGCTCGCAAAATCTGGAAAGTCGCGTGTGAGTGACAGAAATGTGAACTGACATTGTCGTTCGCGCCGGGCAGCGTTGAAGAAGCGTCACAGCAAAACCGGCGAAGCCGTCCGCTACCAAGGCACCGTTCTCGGCAAGGATACAGAATTACAAGCGGTATCAATCGTGGGCGGCCCTGCAGCTTCGATTGCAGAATGGGCACAACAGGCCTTGGCCAGCACACGAACCTACTCCAGCCTGCGCCCTGGACAAGAAGAGGGTGCGACCCCAGCGACATCTGGCATTAGCAGTGCACCGCTCACCCCGATTGAATCTGAATGAAAGGGAGATCGATAGCGCGCTGTTGCTATCCATACCGGAACAAACCCTTTAGGTGCGGCAGAAATATCATCGTGCATCAACAGCCTCATCCATAGATGCCAAGGCCAAAGTTCAACGCCCACTTCACTGTTCAAACGAGCACATTCCTGAGAAGAGCCTAGTCTCGGACCATACTACCGTACACAATACTAGGCCTAAAATCCAGTCTTCATACCCAAATTGGCTACTGATAGCACGAAATGATGAGGCCGCGAGCCTTTCTGCACAGGCAGGAAACACATGTGTTGGAAAGAGACGTTCACAGAGCATGTTCCAAGCAGAAGCCAACAGCTACAGCCCGCAGTGATAATGGTGCCAAAGAATCAAATGATTCACGGCGGAACAGCCAGGGCAGGCGGTTGATCCTAGCCATTGACATGAGATACATCAAGCTACCGCCCAGGGAGGGGAGGGGGAAGGTCAGACTGGCGCCATTGTGCAGCAATCTGCACAACTTAGAAGGCAGCCTTGAACAGATCCTGTTCTCAAACAATGAGGATGATTAAATTTGGCCCAAAGTATCTGGTCATGATATTACACTATGCCTTCTCCAAAACTGTCCTCCCACGAGACTGGGGCGCTAGATGCGTCCTCCTCGTAATAATGGGTAACATTACTATTGCCGACCTCGCCGGGATTCTCGATGTCTGTCTTGCGAGGAAAACATGATCATCAGGCATCCTCCATATCCGCCCAGGCAGCCTTCCTCTTTGGCGGGATGACAACACGATGCCCCACCCGCGATGAAGGACTCACAGCGGCGGCGTCGAAGCTCGAGTCCGAGGCAGACAGCGCGGGACCAAAGTGCGTGACGAACGTCGTCAGAACATTCCCGTCGCCGAGGGTGCTCATTGCAAACCAATCGCCTGTGGTCGGGGTTGCCGTGCCATTGGTCTGCTGGTCGGGCGATGGAGGGATGGCTGTAGGTATGTCCGGGGGGGAGCCAGGGGAGGCCACGGTGGAGTTATCACCTGTGGGCGACGCTTCTGTCGAGGAAGCAGGTGACGCCTCACTGGTGGCGTTAGAAGGGGCGAGCGCGGTCGGCTGAGACGTGCTTCCTGGGCTTCCAGTCGACGTGGGGGTACTGTTCGCGGTGTTTGAATTGTCACGATAGGTCGATGCCGACGGCGTGGTCCAGTTCCAGTCCCTCCATAGATATGAAGGGGTCAGGGAACACGGCGCGCTGCTTGTTGCATTGGTCCAGTACGGCGATGAGGTTATACTCGCTGGTGGAAGACCCGAGTTGCCGCTAATAGCTGACGTTGTGGTTGTGTTAGATAACCCCGTTGCAGTTGAGTTGCTCGGCGACATGTCGGTGCTAGATGCCGTTGCATTAAGAGCAGATGAGGGCACTGGCAAAACGGAAGAGGTTGGCGTCCATGTTGCATTACCAGCCGACGATGTCACGAGTGAGGATGTAGGTGACACTGAGTCCGTAGGAGGCATCGCTTGGGATTCCGAGTTATCTGTGGATGCTGAATTTGATATCGCCGAGATGATAGACGAGTTGGAAGATGATGTCGTAGAGACCAATGGCTGGCTTGTCGAAACAATGCTCGTCGTATTATTGCCTATCACAATTGTCATGGTGATGGCTGCAGACTCTGTGGGCCATGTTGAACTGCTCTCCGAGCCTGTGCCACTCAGGCCTGTCGTGGCCTGGCCGGAAGTTGCAGACGAGGTATGATTATGTCTCCCCGTAACAGTGGCTGTCAGTGTGATCTCCTCGGGTGGTGGAGTTATTGGGGACGGTGTAATTGGCGCTGGAGTAGCCTCCATAGTGACAGTGATCACAGTGCTATCGCCTTCAAACCAGGTGGCTGTCTCAACTGGTGAGGTATATCCCCAAGCTGATGAGGAAACATTGGTCCACAGTGGACTATCTGTAGGACTTCCTGTGGCCCACACCGAGTATGTGCCGTTGCGTGGGCCACAGCTTGAGCCTGATAGATATGAACAAGAGAAATTGAAGGGAGGGAGGGACCAAATCGTTGTGGTGGACCGAAGCGTTGTGGTGGTTGTTGAGGAGATGTTGGGCCCTGACGTGATTGTTCCATTTGATATAGAAGTGCTCGATTGGGAGGAAGGAGCCGGAAGAGTACTATCACCTGAAGTGATTGTTACATTGCTGACCAAAGAATTTGTTGGTGTAAATGCAGTATTGCCGGTAGTAGATGTCACGTTACCGGACCACGAGCTTGTTGAAGAGCTTGGTATCCCACTGATGGCTGAAATTGCCGGCTCATTTGAGAAAGGCGGTGTTGTAGCAAATGTACTCTGCTCTGGACTGATCCTGAAGCTCCGAGAACTGCTGTCGCTGGCAGAAGTCGCACTTGGAACGATCCCTGATCCTGAGGAAGGACATGGGAAACCACCGAATTCACCTCCACAAGGTCCGTGAGATGGATAGCCCGTAGGCTGAGACTGCCCTGTTCCAGAATGCTCAACTCCCCAAGGCGACGGGGCATCGGTGTCGTTCCCATAAAACCACGGCTGGGTTTCATTGTCACAACGACGGACAAGTCGGTTATGCACGACTTAGTCTCTGTCAGCAATCAGATGATGGGGAGTTGGATGTCAAAGGGAACACACCTGGACGCTGCTCTGCAGATATCAGCACAAAGCCTGCAAGGCTGATTAAAAGAGTGACTAGAACGCTCGTCATTGTGTACAGAAACCTCAATAGTCCAGACCTAAAGGTGTCTTCTAGGAAAGATGAATGTGCTTTCGACAGACAACTTTATATTGCTCGCAGGATCGAGCTCCTGGAAGATTCTTCGAGACGGTGCATGGAGTTTCGTCGCCGCATTGAGTTTCCGCCATAAGCACCTTTGCGAAGGCTCATAATATGATGGAAGATTCGGCGACTGTCATGCGCAATCTCGCGTGGAAGTTCCTGTCCGCAAGTGGAGCAAATATATTCCAAAATGTCCACTCGTTGTTTCTGTCATATTCATGATGGCGACTTGCTTCATGCTCAAGCTCAAGGACGAAGAAAGACTCGTGTTTCGAGCGGTAAAACCGTAGCGGAAGCGGCTGCATTATACCGTCAGAAGTATTTTGGTTATATCAACTGGGAATCCATCAAGCACAGATTTGAAGTTGAAATTGGTATTATCGTGGAGTCGCCAGAATTGCCATCCAGCGACATGGAACTGATCGTCGACGGACAGAATTGGATGTTTAACCGCATCACTTGTGGATGCTATCTTTTTGGTATCGGAGAGGTGCATGAGGACGCGGATAGCTTGCAGCGGTGCCTGGCATCGGGCAGATGTTGTACACTTTCTCCTCGGACCGATATAGGACGACGTTGTGATAGACACCAAGAAAAGCTTCTGAGTAAACACGCATTCTGGACCTCTTCACGACTTTGTCTGCCTCAAATGCTGGGCACATTGAGAAATGCTGAGAAGTGTGAAGGATGTTGGCTGCGTAGGAGACGACCTAGTAACCACACGGCATGCAGCTATGCATACTGCATAGATCGCCGGCTTTGAGCGAACTTGACCGAAACTATCTTCCCAGATTCGTGCCACCAGAAGCGAAGGGTGCTGCTGCAGGGACACGGCCCATGCAGCTACCCCCCTGTGAGTGAGTTTGACACATCACGAGCTCGACGGTACGACGTTCGATCTTCTATGATGTTTTTCTGTACACATGATAAATCGCAACGGAAGGGTAAGGGATTAATTTCGGCACCGGCTCAGATGCTGAAGCAGAGTGGCAGAAGGCTGTGTCGACGATGCCACAACAAGGTGCTCAGATAAAGAACGACCTGTTGTCCAGCTTTCCGAACATTTCATGGCGGCCGCACTCGGAACTCGCCGTCGCTACTGTCACGAGGGGTATTGCACTTGCGTACCGCCTTGACAGAATAGTTGACCGTCACCCTGTGATAGCTCCAGTAGCGCGGGAGAGGGTTAAGTGCCAGTTGCCTGTTTCAAGAAGCTGCCGGGGCGACGAACCTATGAGACTGCCAACACGTTCTCTTGCACTGAAGCTTGGGATGGAAGTATCAACAAAGTGTTGGGCTGCCAAAACAAGTCGCGCAGCGCATTTTCTGTCGTATCGGTGATAAGATCCGCTAGAGGTCTGTTCGAAGTGCAGTCACTGTCCTCCGTGAGTCGCTTTGCGCGCTGGTAGCAATGTAATGCAAAGGAGTAGCGTTTATTCTGAAGGAACCATTGCGCAAGGGCCATTGTCGCGGGGGATTGGGTTTCCACGTTGGCATGATGCGACGGCCTGTCCGTAAACTTGTTTGAGTAGATTCCAGCCATGACTTCGATCCTCAGCATGGCGTTGTTGGCCTCCGCCTCGAGCGCTGAACCTAGATGAGATCCCAGTCCTGGCGAGCGGGATCCCTCCAGCCGCATCAGGCACAGCTCGAGCTCTGCCAGCCTTGCAAGCGCCGAATTAGCCCCGTACTGTTGCATCCATAGATTTTGAATATCAGCAATCAACTGTTGGCCTTCTTCGGCTCGACCCGTGCGCGAATAAAACTGTGAGCGGCCCATCTGCTGGACCAATGTCTGATATGCATCATGCCCAAAGGTTTTCGACAGTGCATCGATAATGCATTTGAACACAAGCTCGGTGACGTGAGTCTTCAAGGAAGGATCGAATTCGGACTTTAGCAGGATCGTGAGGGGGTGCTTGGTGCCTAAAATCGTGGATGCGAGATCAGCCACATGCGGCCTGATCTTGGTATGGAGATCTGAGGCATGGACCATGTTGATTCCATACGCAAGTTCAACGAGAGTGAACAACAGTTCGGGGTGAGGATTCCGAAGGATCGGCGGAATGGCATCCAAAGTATGTCTGAGAACCGCAAACGCAGCGTCCGTCTTTCTGAGCTCCAAGAGGTCCGTCACAACGTAGAAAGCCTCTCTGAAGATCTCCACTTCGCCATTGAGGTCAAAGACTGTTGGATCACGCTGGACAAGCGAGGACCACGATGAGGCATATTGTCCCATCATCCAATTGAATGACTCGCTCAGAACATGCTCGATCTTCAGATCATCACTTGGAGGCTTGAGAGCTGTCGGTCCTCCTGCTCTCCACCGAAACATCAACGCCGTCTTAGGATCCCGCGTGTGAGTGTTTCGTCGTGCTTGCGGCCGGCAGGGGCGAGTAAAAGGGCCGACATTTTGCGTTGGCAATACAGCCCCTGCAGTCTCCTCCTCTTCAACTTGCGGTTGCTTCCTTTGCGGTCGTAGGACCAGTGGTTTTCGGAGAGCTGAATGATTCTGGTGGCGGAAAACGTCGGTTAAACGCTTTTTCTGGTGAATCCCCATGGCAACATGACGCCTGACTATGTTTTGGTTGTGCCCAGATGTGTCTTGGACGTCGATGAAGACGAGTTCTGGCATGATCAAATGTCATCGAAAGAGATTACTAGACGTCGCATGCCTGCAACGGTGATAAATCGGCATGATCCGACGGGACCCGGTCAGGTTAGCAGCACATGTCAACGACAAGAGCCGGGTTGCAGCGCATTCGAGGAGGAAAACACCATTGGGATATTTCGGAAGAGGTGTTCTTGGATGATCCGCTATCGCTGGGTCAGCCAGTCTGTTGAGATAACAGTGAACTGATAAACGTTGTTGCTAGAAAGATCCAAGAGACGAAATGAAAGGACTCGCCATCTTGGCCCTCGTGTTGATCGCCGCCGAGAACAGACCTGACTAGCAGGCCGAATACGAGGTTACGGCGTATCGATTGAAGAACTTGTGGACGGCATGTGCCGAAATTCTGAAGTCGATCTGGGAATGCTTCACACCTCGGTGAAGAAACGAGCACCAAGAATGACACCATCCGTACACACTGCATGTGTGTCGCAAAGGAAGTTGTTCGCGAAGAGTCGCCTTCTGCAACCATCGCCAATCTTCTCGTAGATCATGCCTGCTGGTTTGATCAGCCTGCAGCTTTACTTAAGTCACTTTTGGTCAAGCCGGAGCGCTAGTTGCTTAGGACGAAGGATAATCAGCATGATCGGGAGGGCCAGGGCGACCTGTGGAGGCACAGTTCCAAGATTATAGTTAGTGTCACTATAAAGAGGTCGGGGCACAAGGCAGGTTAGGTAGATCATCAAAGGGGCGGACAGAGACTTGAGTGTTGGAAAAGGCTTGTGAATGGATTCCGACCTCATGGCTAATGCATACAAAGCCCGCAATGCCCATCCTGCACGATATTTCCATGAACCGATATTCTCTTATCCGCTGCAAAACTCCTCGGCGCCACCATCACCCTCGTGAACCTCATTGAAATCCTCGACCGACCCCGACGTCTCAGAGGGAACCTCAAGTAAGTGGAATTGGCAAAGGTCCCGCCAGCGTTGCCTTGGTCAAGTCATCGACATTAGTCGCCGTGTTTTGGTTTGTCAGCGCCGCGAATGCAATCCCAAACATTCCTGGCTGCACATCCGCATGCAGTTCGTCGCCCTGCTGGGTCACTGGAGTGTATGCAGGAACATTGTTTTGGTTGACCCACGCCATGTAAAGTGGACCCGAGTTCCAGCCTTGAGGAAGCATGGATGGCTGGCCGACCCTGAAGATCAATTTTCCAGGCGCGTTGGGGGTTGCAAATGACGGTCCACCATAGCCGACAATCCCCAGATCAGGGAAGACCGGGAGAGAGGTGATAGATGAAGGCAGGTTGGTGCACGAGTTTCCGACGATAAAGTCAAGGGCCAGGTTGTAAGCCCAAATTGCACTAATTTTTGTCTCAAATGTGGTGGGATTCGGGATCTCGTTCGCGGTGAGGCGGAAAAAGGCGTCGTGTCGGGACTCCACAGGAAGAATCGAGGCGACAGTGGCCTCCAGGCCAGGGTCTGTCGTAGAAAGACCATCTGCCAGCGCGATCAAAGCGCCGATGCCAACAGTGGTGATGATATTCCCCAGTGCTAGGAAGCTGGTCTCATCCGTGATGGGGAAATTGTACTCGCATGGAGCGACGTCCTGAGCGCCGTTTGCTTGTAGCAAACCCACAATGGAGGCTACATGCACTTCCTCTTGAGCAGCAATGTGTGAGACCACAACCATGTTGCTCACACCGTTCGTCTGTCCCCCAGTTCCCCATTGTGTAAAGTTCACCAGTCCCTCTTGGAAGAAGGCCGACTCCAGATTCTCCAGGAAGTTAGCCAGCTGGAAATTGGCCAACCCAGATTGGGAGACACGAGGAGTGCCAGGTTGATTTGGGAGGCCACCACCTGCCTGTTGAGCGATATTAGGAGGTAAGTTGGTGCCAGTCACCATAGGAGCAGGTGCGGCGAGAACAGAATTGGCGAGGAAAGAAAGAGCGACGGGAAGGAAAAGTGACGACATGGCTGCGACTGTGCAGGAAAGGAAAAAGTACTCGAAACCCGCACGAAAGAATTGAAGATGCAGCGCAGGATGCAAGAAACAGAGGGTTCAGGTGGGAGAAGCCATGTGTTATACGGCCACCGTTGCCAGCGGGGAGGAGGCTGTTCGTGAGGCAATCTGCTGGGCCGTAAGCACTACCAAAACGGGCGGCATTGACCCCCGGTCGATGCTCATTCTCAGCCACATGGACTGATAACCGGATGAACCTACTGAAGGTCCGAAGGCCTTCATCGCATCCTAGCAACCAACAAATGAGCGCCATTGCTTGTCTCTTCAGTGCGAGAATCGCCGGACATGTCTCTGGCTCCTTCAGTTCCGGTCCAGTTCTCAGGCGTTGATCAAGAACAACACATCTGGGGGCAATCGGAGACAGGCAATCACCAGAAAAGGAAATTCAGGTACGATGCAGCTGTGGGGGGCGTTGGATGGACTTTAATTCAGCTCGGGGGCAGCGAGAGTGTAAGCGATTGATGGAGAGGCCTTCTCGGAGACAAGCTTCGGTAAGCACTTGCAATGGAAAGCTTCAGCTCAAGGGCTAGAAGGGTAAGGGCATAACTGTGTCAGCAACTCCATTTTTAGAGTATCGCTACATCTGAAGGACAAAAGGGGGGCGAAAAACTAGTTGTAAGATGAGAAACTCGGCCAGATCCAACCAGCGAATTCTTGCGGCTGAGATGTTAGCTGCCACAAAACCTGCAAATATGCCAAGATCAGTGGCTACGTTGACCAGACTTGAGCCCGCCAATCATGCTGTTGCAGGAAATGTCAAATGGTCTGACAGACAGTTATGGCGCAGTTTCTCGGATTTCTCGGGCATCCAAAACCGTCAGACATATCCTCGTTTCTTTACTCTATGACGCGCTCAATGTTCGCAGCTCATGCAGGCGCGAAGAGAAGAAATTCTAGACCTGGACACCATGCTCCCGCCCATTAGATCCACCATCTCCTCCTTACCATAGAACGACAGAATGAGTTCCTTCGGCATATGTTCTCAATGCCTTAGAGCATTGAGACAGAGTGTCAGAGCAGAGTCGAGTGTCCGTTGCACACCTCGTTAAAGCCCTTTTTCATTCTTAACGACTAACTGACAAAGTCTCCTGCACAGACATCACGAATTCAGAGCCCAGCCGTCTCAAGGCGGCGATATCTGTCGGTCGCTTCTTCAAAATGGCAACAAGAAGCTCCTCGAAGCGGGAGTCGAGCTCCAATGGATCAATCGCTTCCACCTACCACAGCTCCTACCGTCACGTCGAATGTGACAGCCTCGTTTCCCAGCGCTGAACCTCAATGCAAATCCAAGTCGGAACCACCACCAGAACGTAAAGACAAATCTTCTGCACAACCCACCTCCGGCGCCGGTGTAAGCGTGTCACAGATGCAGCGCCAAATCCAATCGCACCTCAGCAACCAACCGAGCAAGTTCAGCATCCCGACCCGTCTCGCCGAATCACTTAAGAGAAACATCCCCGCCGCGACAAGAACCTACACTATCTACGGTCAAACCGAGGCGATTTTCAAATCCTGCGCCGCACCCGCCGACTACACCATCCCGCAGGACCAACGAATGAACATTCTCACGGGAAAGGGTCCTCCAAAAGCTACGGCACAAGAGGGAGCTGAAATGGGACAACCTCTGTCAGAAAACAAGGATTCATGGTGGTTCACCACTATTGATTTGCCGCCTACATTCTCGACATGGTCACAAGTCACGTTTCTACACATGTATGTCATCGTGACGCATCTGCGAGCATCGCTGGAATCCGAGACCGAGTTTCAGGATTATCACCGGTACCTGATCGAGCATTTTTCGAGGGCGGCAGAGGACAAGATGATTCTGTTGCACAACCTCGCCGCCCAAGGGATCCGAAGTCGATATCTCAAGGATCTGTTTCTGCAGTACCGGGGGATACTAGCATCGTACGACGAAGGACTCGTCAAGGGAGACGCGGTGCTCGCTAGCGCGATATGGAGAAATCTATTCCGTGCAGATGAGCAGGTGGATTGGGAGAAGGTGTGTCTTGTCGTTGCATATCTGCGAAGGACGGTGAGAAGAGCCGGCGTGCTGTCACTGGACGATCTACTCGGGTCCTTGAATACCCAGACTGGGATTTGGGCATTCAATCAACACCAACAAGAGCGTGTTCAACAACTGGTGGCAGAAACGAGCAAGGGCGTTAAAGAGACGCCTTGAAGATGAAGGTATGGCTGCTCGAAGCAGACGTGATCGATATTTTCACTCTTTCACAGGTGCAAAAGCATCTCCATTTCGGCATTCTGTCACATGGGGTATGATTTGAGAGGAACTGCGTCAGAATCTCCTGTCATCTGCAGAAGAAGGGTTTGTTGGTGGCCCTTTGAAAGAAGACCCTTGTATCCGCCAGGTTCGGGCAAGACACACATCCTATGTACAATATATACCTATTCAAAGGCACCAAGCTCTGAAAGGATTACCCCAGCACGCAATTGGGTATGATGGACAAAATTGTAAATTATGGAGATGAGAGCAGACAGGGGGGCGCTCGAACTTAATAGATGACCAATGCTCCCAATTTTCCGAGAAGGGCACAATAGGGTCGCCAGGCATCCGAGCGAACAGCCCCGGCCAGAAGACAGATGGGAAACAATCCAGAGCCAAAGATGTCACGTTGATCGTCAGAACATCATCTCATTGAAAGAAAGCTATATCAATATACCCATAGAAAAAGGGGGCGGTGAGAACTCATACCTCCCTGTCCACTCCAGACTCATCTTCGTGCTGGTAGTGAATGTGGGTGTTTGTCCTGATTGTCCAGCATGCCTGACCTGGCACACATTTGCAGTCACTCTCCTGCCGCGCCCCTGCCAACGCTAAACAATTCACCCAACGCCATTGCTGCCCACAGTAAAACGGCACAAAGGGTGTACGGGCTACACCCGAGGGATCGCAGTGTATGTGGTTGTTGTTGTCGGTATAGTGACCGTGCTGTAGGCCAAGGTCAGATGAGAAGTCAGTCACACACACATCTCTCCCCTCCCCCCCCAAACTCGTTCGATCCTGGGGGGTGACACACGGGTGAATGTACCTCGCCAAAGTTCTGAACCGCGAGTCCGCTCTACGCGAGAGCCCACCCAGACTTTTGGGACACACCTCACCTCGCGTCTCCGCGACCTCCAAGATAATAGCAGATGCAGAGGCCGTTGAAGAGCAGGACCTTGTAGCCCGGATCGCATGGTTGGACCAATCCCGCGCACGGGTAGGGCGTTGGGTTAGCCGGAGGGAGGGTGGTCTCCTGGGATCGAACGGCGGGAGGAATGACTCCCGTGTCTTCATCACGGCGCTGGAACTTCAGGTCCGCAGCCGCAGTGAGTGCCGTCTGTGTGCTTGGGTTGCAGGAAGTAGCGGTGTTGTCGTCGGTAGCGGTAGCAGTCAATGCTGTGTCATGTGGATACACAGCCGCGGGAGCCCTCACCGCCGGGTCACCCTCCTCATCGGACTCAACTGCTGGGCGGATAAATCTGCTGGACATGTTTGCATTGGTCACTAGGAGGAGAATCCATAGTTGGGTGAAAGCGTACCCTGGCCAAAAGCAGGCCTCCCTGTCTGAGTCGCAATGGCTACTGCTGCTGTAGAAGTGTTCACTCCTCACATGGGTCCACATGTAATCGAAAGTTGGAAGCGCAGTCACAAGAAGTTTGCTGCTTAACAAAAGGCCCAGCCCCCAGAGAGCGCAAGCTTCAAAGGTGCGCATTGTGATAGTAGTAGCGGTAGTGATGTTCAATGAACTCTGCTGCAAGAACAGGAAGATCGAAGGAATCGTTCGAGAAGGTGCTGGTATATGAAGAGTTTCGCTCCTTCGGAGCCGCACAGTGGCAGGCTGTGTAGCGCAGAGATTTCCTTGAAATTCGACGCGGAGGAGGGTCTTTATACTTTGACAGCTCTTGTGCACCCTTCCAACTGGAAGTAAATGGCCAGCAGCAGTACACCGAGTTATTGGAGGTTCAACCAGATGCGTCGAAGGGTTGCAATATTCAAATACCCCGAAGAGGCCCACCGCATTGCTCTCAGCATCGAGAATATTCATGGCAGGACAGCCAACTCCTGGGGCAACACAATATGACGAGTCCTCAACTAAGAGCCTGGCAGCAGTCATATGTCTCCTCTCGGCTGATCAATCTGTGAGACAAGTCAACCAAGGGTGTCGGCAGTGAGAGGCTGCAGCAGAAGTCTTTGGTTGGACCGGGACTTGGAAGCCCTTCTCTGCGCCAATTTGCCTGTTGCCATTGCAGTTCCAAGGAAAGCCACTCCCTATCAAGCAAGAAGAAGGATGAGGCGGCTTCTGTCTTCATGGCCTGGGAACATGCATGATTCGATCGGCATTTTCTCAAGCCGCTTTTCTGGAAGCAGCATACTTAGGTACATTGCCGAAGGCTTGGGTCGGTTCAAAATGTGCCTAGTAAGGTGAACTCCACAGGATTGACTGAACATCTTGCTACCAACCTGTATTTGGTGGCATTTTTGAACTTCGATAGACCCATTGGCCTATGGTAAGATTCTTTGTTGGCGTCAAGGACAATCTGGCGCATCACGCACGGCAGAAGACACATAGTTGATCGGCCGCAGGATCTTGAAGAGGGTGAAGTTTCCATGTTTCATAGAGATTTTGAGAAACCGGAAGGGAATATCTCTGAATTTCAACGAAGGTCCTCCTCTCCGAGTAGGATCAGGGACATGGATCCTTCCTTTCAGCACATGAAGATGGGAAGACCAGTTGTCCCAAAGCAAACATCTGTTCGGGGGACTAAAGTACCGCATAGCGCAGTTTGCGCTCCGGTGGAGAATGCGGCCAAATGCGCTGATCGCGAGATGGACATGCTGGCCGCATGTGCAAGGAAATCGCCCTTCATACCTGTCCCTCTCAAACTTGTCCAGCCACGTTGTCAAAGCGCAAACCTTGTCCTGGTTTATTCCCCGAAGTCTTTCAAATCGTCCACGCTATGGCGCCGTCTTCATAGGATTGTCCTGTTGCGCCCCCGACGCCTGACAAAGCCCTTCCTCTGGCCCTGTGAGGGCAGCGCCCGTCAACATGCTCCTCCTCCGTCTCATCTCCCGTCTCCTCCCTCTGTTCGCTCTCATCACATGTTCACTTGCGGCCGAAGACTTCTACAAAATCCTTGGGTTGGACAGATCTTGCTCAGACCGTGATCTGAAGACAGCTTATCGGAAACTTTCCAAGAAGTATCATCCAGACAAGACCACAGGAGACGAGAAGAAGTTCCTAGAAGTCACCGAAGCATATGAAGCCCTGTCTGACCCCACGACTCGCAAGATATACGATCAGTATGGTCATGAAGGGCTAGAGAATCATAAACGAGGAGGGGGTGGAGGTGGCCACCCTCATGACCCTTTCGATCTTTTCTCAAGATTCTTCGGGGGTGGAGGCCATTTCGGTCGTGGAGGTGGCAGCGGAGTACGAAGAGGTCCCGATCTAGAAGTCCGACTACATGTTCCACTGCGAGACTTTTACACCGGTGGGGAAACGGAGTTCACAATTGAAAAGCAACAAATCTGTGATGAATGTGAAGGATCAGGTTCTGCAGACGGACAAGTGGAGACATGCAATAAATGCAGTGGTCGGGGTATTGTCATCCAGAAACACATGCTCGCGCCGGGGATATTCCAACAAGTCCAGATGGGTTGCGACCAGTGTGGGGGACAAGGAAAGACCATCAAACACAAATGCAAAGTATGTGGCGGAAACAAGGTCGTGAGAGGCCCCACGACCTTGACTGCGGTGATTGAGAAGGGAATGCCCAAGGGTCACAGACTTGTCTTCGAAAGTGAAGCGGATGAACATCCCGATCACGTCGCGGGAAATCTCTATGCATATTTGATGGAGACAGAGCCAGCCATCAACGAAAATGAAGCGGGACGAACTGATGGAACCTTCTTTCGCCGGAAGGACAACGACCTTTACTGGAAAGAGGTTCTTTCGCTCAGAGAGGCGTGGATGGGCGAGTGGACTCGCAACATCACGCATCTGGACGGGCACGTTGTCCCACTGTCCCGCAAGCGTGGCGAAGTCGTTCAACCCGGTCAAACTGACACGATCAAGGGTGAAGGGATGCCCATTTATCACGAGGGACACGTTCACGAACATGACCATGACGCCCCTGAGTTTGGAAACTTGTATGTGCAGTATGTGGTTGTGCTTCCAGATCAGATGGAGACGGGGATGGAAAAGGAATTCTGGGCTCTGTGGGAGAAGTGGAAGAAGAAGAAGGGTGTGGATTTGTTGAAGGACAGTGGACGGCCAGAGCCAAGTGTATTAGTAAAAGATGAGCTATAGACCCTTTTGCTTATTTGGGATCTAGATGAGAGGAACACGATAGATTCACTCGATCGAGTTTATCATCCAGGCGTTGACTTTTACTATCTCACAACACAAGAGCGAAGTTCTAATATCCTTAGTTCCTGGCTACAATACCGAGGTAGAGAAACTTTACAAGCCGCATCGGTTTCGCACTCGGGACCTCCGCATTGATATGAAAATACAAGGATGCCAAGGCGCTAGCGAGTGCCTTGTATACCCCCTTTATGGCAAGTGGCGAGTGGGTAAGGGCTTCTTCCGAGTCTCGTAGTGCCGCCTAACTGGGGCTCAGCTGTGTGATCGGGCATCTACCGCTCTTTGGCGGATTCCGGCTTTCCTAACCTCCCAGACGGTCAGTCAATAGATTTTGAATTTCTCTGACACTTTATCTCGAGTCTTATCCGCAGCGAGCTCCTCGAAACCCACTCTAAGGGACGGTGGAACGTCATGTACAAGGCAGATATGGGCAGATATCGGGACGGTGAGGGAGTAAGGGTCACAGATCCAGCACATGGACGGCTTGGTATGCCCAGACTGTAGTGCAATATTACTATAGCAGGAATCCTCGATTTAAATGCCACGTACGGAAGAGGCCTGTCTCTGATGATGAGCGTAACCCATGTTGAGCTAAGCCATTGGCATCGAAGGCGCACAATTCGTCGTGGCTTCAACTATTCAGTTCACCCAGATTACAGTTTTCATTCTGATCCATTCCACAAGCGCAACGATGGTGTTGAATCTGCCTGACCCGCCTTGCTCGACACCTCTGCTATAATTACTAGCTGCTCCAATCTGGTATTGAACGCCTTCCGATCACCTTCATGATCTGGCGTCTTTTAGAATCGCGTCGATTATTAGCAGCGTAGTCTTTGTGAGGAGAGCATCGGATATGAGGTTTTGTTATTCTCCTTCATCGCTGAATAAGCCATCAACTACACTTTAGAAAGGTGCACTAAATCTCGTTGCAGCCCAAAAAAATTGATGAAGTATATTGATCAATGGCGCTGAGGATAGTTAAGAGCCGCTATAGCCGCGCGGTATTCATGGTGAACCAGGTCGATGCGAGAAATTGTAGCCACATGACACGTGGTATGCAAAGCAGCAAACATTTCAGTCGGCGGCGCCATGATCGTAGTGCTGGTGCATCCGCACTTCCGCTCTTAAATATCGATTTGTCTCCAATCTTGGCGTGATCAGGCAGATTATTCAAGCTTAGGACAAAACATCAACAATTACTTCCACAGGGGGACTTCCTTGCAGCTTGCCCCTCTGCCGCTCTGCCGTCACTAGCCTTCCGTTGCACGTGCTCTACCATCTGACAAGTGGCGTGATGGGGTAACTATACATCTTTCATGAACATTGGTCATTGTATGCCTTTACAGTGCAAGACCACGCGCTATGTGCAACTCGACGTCTCATGATCGTTGGGTTATGAGGAGGACCTGGGCGGCGTTTCCTACATTCAAAAATGGTGTTTAAGGCGATATAACTATCGCGGCCGATTCTTTTACTCTGTCGCATTGCCAAACCCAGAATTGCGTCAACGCACATTTTCCACCATTCTACCAATGTGGGACAAACTTCTCTCCGTGTTCAAAGGCAAAGGGGGGGAAGGCGAAAAGTCCCGCCCCGTCAACCGACGACATTTATCAACACCTTCTGACCCATTCGGCGATTCGACCGAAGAAGCGAATCCGCCATCGCGCGAGGATCGAGAGGACTCTGGAGTCCGTCTCCACCACTCTCTGGAAGAGGCCCTTGGGCGAGAGCCGCGGGGCGAGGATGCATTGGATGCCGAGGATGATGAGGAGGACGTCCCTGTTCGCCACCACACTCTTGAAGAGAACATTGAGCTCGCGAGGGAACTGTCACAGGAGCTGGAACGCCAGTCCGAGGAACTGAGGAGGTCCTCAACCAGCAACGACCACACGGCCGCTCGTTCAGCCAAGTCCCAATAATCACCTCAGCGGTCGCTGATATCTATCGATGATGGCTACACATCTAATACGGAAAGCTCTAATATGGAAAGCGGTGGGGACAAGGGCTTCGGTGGTTTGTCCCCGGTAAATCACTTTGGCGTGCATTTGAAGAGTCAGGTTTCTTTTGATTCGGCGCCGAGGAGTGATAGTCTCTCACCATGAGGAGGATGCGTGGGTGGGTTTACGATGCCGGTTGTTTGATGCGCAGGCTGTTTTGCTATATCGATCGCCGGGTCAAGCGCTTGGTATTACATGCCGGGGTCGTCACACACATGCGATACTCGCAGTGAAGGGTATTGTCTCTCGCGAGGCAAAGCACTATATAATTTGTCCAAGCTACCCTCTCCAACCACCACGTTCGTTCTCAGGCCAAAACTTGCGTTCTTGGCTTGCACGACGAGTTACTATTACCCAGGCCATGAGAACTGACCGATCGCTTGACCGACCGACGGGGAGAAAAGGCAACGATAGGGAACTGCGACGAAGGAACTACACAAAAGCAGGTAGAGCCATGCGGGAATTTAGATCTATAACAAAGAGTGGTCCTTCTCTCTTTCTCCTTGTCTGGGCTTAGTCACTTACGGCTTTTCATTGGCTGAGAGCGGACTATCACGACAAGTCCGCTACATCGACGGCGGAAAACCGCCGGGACAAGCACCTAATATATGGTCGAAATTAGATGTCCAGTCCACCAGTCGCAACAAAGAACCTGTAGTCCATCTCAATTCTTGAGCATTGACTCTCGCTCACTGAAACGATCGCTGAACAAGGCGAAGTGCGGCCGCATGATGACTGTGTATTTTACAAACTCCTCGGCGCAATCGACCAGGCGATCCCGGTTGCCTCCTGGCATCAACCTCGACCCGCCCTCTTCGGCATCCTTGTCCGTGAACAAGGTGTAGGCTTGCGGGATGGACGATTGATTCGGGATAGTGAACATCCGCATCCATCTACCCAGGACTCGCAGGCTATTGACCGTGTTAAAGGACTGAGAGCCGCCGGAGACCATGGCCAGGCCCAGGGTCCGTCCCTGTGTCGGTCGCACCGATCCGGTACTCAGAGGAATCCAGTCGATTTGGTTCTTGAAGACGGCAGTAAGGTTGCCATGTTGCTCTGGCGACACCCAGAAGTGGCCGTCGCTCCAGCGACTGAGGTCCCGCAACTCTTGTACTTTGGGGTGATTGTGCTGTTCGTCGTCCTTGACGGGTAGACCTTGCGGATTGTAGATTCGCACATCGCAGCCGAGCCGCCACAGAATGCGGGAGACTTCAAAGGCGAGAAGCTTCGAGTAAGATCTAGGCAGCCTGAGGATATGCCAGGCGCATAAATTCGAGGGTCAAGCTTACCTCTGACGAAGACTCCCGTACAGTACCAGCACCTTGATTCTCTCTCCGGTTACTCTCAAGTCGTTGTATGCGAGCTCAGTGGCAGTGGCAAGCTCCAGCCTGCTGATCCAATCTTGCTGTTGGATACCGTCCGGCAGCAGGAACGGCCGGTACGCCGAGCGAACGAGAGGGTCGTCAATGGATTCTGGTATAGCAAGTGATCGGTACGCGAAATCAGCTTGACGTTCGGGCTTTTGGACTGCCCGCATGGACGCCGTATTGTTGAGATCACCATTCGACGACGGCTGATCGGACTTGGACGACATGGGAGGTATCCGTAAACCCTGAGCTCCGGCGTTCACCAGAAGAGCTCGAGATGTAGCAGCAGCCGTCATTTCGCGGTGTCCGGATTTGAGTGGCCTTCCGACTGAGAGCAAACTTGACTGTATGCCGAATGAACGGGTGAGGGATGTGAACGAGAGAGACCTTGACTGATTCAATGTAGTAACACGGACGAAGTTGGTACTATTCGACAACAACTTCATAGGGGTCCTAGGGAAAACTGTCCAATATTGGGAGTGATCGGTCGCTTGGCCTTTTGCGAGCAGCTTCGTGGATCAGATGAGAAAAATTCATTATTATTGGCTTGTAGTTGAGGTGCTTTTTCGAAGGCGAGATCGTTTGTCACCCAACAATGATGATTGGTCACTGTCAAAAATTTGCCGGCCTGAGCTGATGGCGAGGTGGATCCTTGCTCTTCTGGCTGTCGGCGCCTTTTTGACGTAGAGGGCGGAGTGTTCTGAGAGATCTGAGCGATTAATGGACTGCGCTCAGCTCCCGGGATCTACTGCTGGAGGGCGAATGGGCAAATATTAGCTGCTGAATTTGTCGCGACGTCCATAAGTTTTGCTGGGCTTCGATGCTTAACCCCACCCTGCATCCTACGGTATGGCTGTCCCGAAGCAAAATGCACGGCTCACTCGCTGACATCTGACGTGTTGGTGTCTGGTTCATGGGCGAGGCGTTCCGGTGACCTTCTCTTTTGGGCCTCGACGCGGATTTTCGACTTCAGGGAACCAACAGATGAGGAAGGGTTGTCAAAGCACGAACAGGAACAGAGCAATTTCTTCCATGACAGTAACTGTCTTCATATCGCCACAGAATTCAATAGAGGTTGATAAGGCGGATGAGTTCGAACTCCACGGCGCGAATTGTAGGTGGTGGACGATCGGTTAGACGAGTTACCATTTCTTGATGATTTTCTATAGACCCGTTTTTGGCAACGAGTGGATCCTGGCTCCGCTCCAAATGAGCTAGCCGCAGAGCCTTACACCAGCTTCCTGGTTTGTCCGCATTCGCGCCTTCACATCCCATTACAAACTGAGAGCTAATCTCTAGTGACCCATGGCAAGTGAATACCAGATTGATATCACTGTTCGGCCATCACCTACGGGAACATCCCAAGAGACAGCAGCAGATGGTTATGGCCACGCTGCTCGGAAAGGACCAGTGCTTTACCAAGTAAGTCCTGGCTTTTGTTTTCGTCTCCTGCTGAACTCTTTCTTGTTTAAATAGGCACAACAGTTTAATCGGTCCTTATTGCTGGTGATATCTAAGCCCTAGCATTCACAGTGTCGTTACTGCCTGTAGCCCAGCGCTTGTCTAACCCGTGCATAGATTTGCCTGCTTGTGTGATAAGCACAGATATACTTGCGCATTCCAAAGTCTCTCCACTACCACCACACTTCAGGCACAGACACCTCCCTTGTCTACAATGATTCCCTCTGTCTGGGCTTGACTAGTGCTCGGTACACCCATTCACTTCCCATGATTCTTTGAGTCCCAGTGTCTCGAGTCGCCGCTGGAATAGGCAAAGTCCCGCCCCGACGAGCCGCCACACTCACGATCTCGAGCTGCTCGATCGTTCGCGTAGGAAGGATGTGCGCGGTATGTCCCCGTGTCGGCGTTGAAGCGAGTGCGATCTGGGTACGAGTAGGTGGCGTTCGGATGGTCTCGGATGGGCGCACCCAGGGAGAACCACTTATAGTCGTCGGAAGGCATGGTCTTCTTCAAGATTGCTGGTTTTGTTCCTGTGTTCTGTGGTGGATTATTTGAGATCTGTGCAAAATCTTGTCGGATCTTTTTCTTATGGTGTTATAGACGACTCGAAGCAGAGACGTTCAAAGAAAGGCGTATTTAAACCATGTAGCTCTCATTGTCACCCGTTTTACCCGTTTGCGCATCTTACTGAAAGCTTTCTGTGAATTGGAGCCAGCAATGTGACTAACAGTTCTCGCTGGGACGTTCATCAGGACGCAGTGTGCCGCGCATCACTGGTGTGACATTTCAACAGACCGTAATCACGTAGCCAGGAAGAGAAGCGAATCACGGACCGACTATCCATCATCCAAAGGATTGTTCTCATGAGTGGCTACGCGACGCAAGTCATGGTGAACGGTACTTAGTCGACCTCTAGAATTATTGTAGTATACCTTCTTTAGGCTGGAGGTTCCGACCGGAACAAGAGCTGCACTTTTGGACTCGCCCAGCGACTATGATGGTGCTATACCTGTGACAAAACTGAATCTGAAGCTACAACAGGCAAAGAGGTTATTTCCAGCCACACAAAAAGGTATCAGAGATCGAGCCCTGAGCAGGACACCCCGTACAATCTTGCTATCGATCGCTTCCACAAAGTCGCCATATATTCCCACAGTCATGAAGGCTTAGAACAGCTGAGAAGCACAAGGAAAGCTCAACCCAATTCCTGCAGCCGAGAGCTAAAACAATATGTGTCTATTGGTGCCGCTTGGAATCCCAGTGCCGGTAGTCCAAGCGATCATATTCCCAGTCTCTACCGGCCATGCCTGCAGCTTCCCGATCCCTCGCAGCTCGATCATTGTCTGCGCTCGCTGCTTGCTTCTCTCCCATGTGCCTGGAACAGTTGTCCGGGGGAATAGAGACATTTTCGCGATACCGATCCAGAAATTCGACGTCGCGCGAGGAGGAGCCTGATGTAGGGTAGAGGAAGGAGTATTTCTCTCGTGTATTGGAGGTGGCGTGTTGGCTATAGTCGTAATCGTCTGATGCAGACATCTCGATCTCTTCGTTTGGAGTGTTGTGCGTGCGGTTGTATGGGACAGAGGAAAAGATTGATTTCTTGATGTGCGGTGTTTCAAGAGAAAGTAGGGAGAAGTAATGGTGTCGAAGGAGGAAAGATGGTAGAGAATGTTTGCTCACAGATGTCACAGCTGCACGTTGTTTGCGTGTTTTCGACCCGTCACAGGGAGGGCCTGAATCACCTGTGATCTCGAACTGGTACATGACTTCCCAATTCTCAATCACCGGAGTAGCACTTCATTCATATCTCGCTGTTTGCTGCTCAGTCTGCTCAATTTGCTCGAATGTAGCCACCTCTGTGAAAAGATTTCCAGATTATCTCATGTCTTTGGTGAAGGCAACGCTTGATTGAAAACCAGGATCTTTCATCCTGCCATCTGTATGGATACGCCCAGGTTTAGAGGTTTTGAGGAGATTGTGATGTTCCGCCCTTCAGAGTAGCGTCGGGTCGATGCGGATTTGATGGGTAGTTTAACTGCGTAACCGTTCGTTGATGATGCTAAAGAGTTCGGATGCCCCATGATGACCGGAAAGGAACAGTGAAAGATCCTCCATGATGATGTTCACGTCTCCTTAAATGGAGCCTCGGGGCTCGGCTGCCTCGCATACGCCCAGTCATAGCATCTGACGCCTTCTTCCGCCCGCTCCTGCGCTGCCTGATGGTTCGCCGCGGTAAAGGACTTCTTGTCTGAATCAAGACGCTCGGCTGTCTTGGAGACTTCCAGGCGCCTTTCCATGAGAAGATCCTTTTCTTCTTGGCTGGATTCTGCTGAAGGGTAGTAGTCCTTATAAACAGTCTGGATATTCTCGGTTTTATACTGCTCGTAGTAGATGTTGACCGCCATGGGCGGTTCTAATTTTGGATGATTCGAAGCGCGTCGACCTCCCAGCTTCCCAGGTAACAGGTCCATCTCAGATTCGTGGTCCTTTCTGTTTCGAAGCAAGGCGTAGATCTTGCAGGTGTCGACGAGAACTGTGAATCTTCCCTGGCAAGCATGGTGGTTGTCAGCCGCCCTTGGCCCCCACTCAGCCGGCCACCTGTGGCTGTGCAGAATTGCCTCTAACTTCAACGGAACGCCCACCGACGTTCCGAAACGATGCTCAAAAGGCTCTCAGTTCACAGGAGACGATGGTCCTTGATTGACCATCAGGCATGCGTCATTTCGGATGGCAGAAGAAGATGAAACCGTGAACTGTGAATGCCAGTTCTCCGCGTCTACCGTTAACTGTTTGAATCCAAGGTAGTTACTCGGTATATGGAAAGGGAACGAATAATACAGTTTTAAACTTGGCGGAAGGAAAGATGTCTAGCTACACTATATGGAATGATGATGCCGGTTAATATGCGAAAGCACCTCGCCCACAAAGGGTTCTGGTACCCCCAGGCTAAGAATCACCGGTCTGAAGCCTCGGGCTATCTTGGTTAGTAAACTTCCGCAGACGCCTCCGTGCCGCGGATCACACACCTCCGCCCACTACATGGCATACTTCTCGAGCGCAAACCAATCGAACGTGCACTGAGAGAACTGGTTTCTTCCGTTCATCTCGACGTCGTGAAGTGACACGTATTGACCTGACTCAGGCACTTGCCAGTTTTGAAGCCCCGGATCATTGTTATTACTCACTTCGTGTTCCTGTAGCCCATGCATGCTGTCCGGTTGGACATCTGCGATATGAAAGTCTCGAAAGGCGTTCGATGTATCACCTTGATAGGAAAAGAGCTGCAAGAGTGCTGTGGGGTCTAGGTTGCTTGTCTCGTCCAAGCGAAGTTGGTAGTCCATCTGAGCAGCTATCCCAATGTTGGAGCTGCCGGAACTCGTATCACCGTGTTGTAAGGCCGGAGTTGCATAATTCGAGGAAGCGAAGGTGGTCGAGGGGCCACTTCCAGGTTGGGCCGGCAATATCATCGCTTTGCTCGTACGAAAATGGTCGCTATTGGCCATGCCGCTTTGTTTTCTGAAGAAGTGGCGGACATATGCTTCGGCGATTTTGGTAAAGGTCTCTGCTACTTTCTCAAGCTTTACTGCTGAAGTATGGTACTTTTGGAACTCGAGAAAGTACAACACCGTTTGCCGGAGCAGCTGCAGGTCCTCGACACTGTTCTTCGCGGTCGGATTGGTGATGACTTCGCCAAAAAGGACGAAGAACGGAGTGAAAGGGTAATATAACTGTTGCCTGCATGAGGGTAAGCATGCAGAAACTCCACTGAAGGAACACCAGATATACCAGACAATGCCATTGAATACTTCCTCGGAATGGGCAACCAGGCCTTTCAGGAGCGATATCGCTGCTCGCGCGGAGCTAAGGCACGCTTCACGACAAGCTTTGTCACCTCTTGTAAGGCAGACAACTAGATGATGGTATTGGTAGCTCAGAAAGCTAAACCCGATTCTGATGGAGACCGTTGCCGAGTCGGTCGCATCGGTGAGATTTGTATGCAGAGTTTGGCTCTTGAATAGAAGTCAAAACTAATCCACGCTCGTCAGAGTTGGCTCACCTGCTGAACGACCGATATCCAGTGGTCGAGTCTCTTCTTCAGTTCTAAATGGCGGGTGGGGTCACGACTGCCGAGAAGATAGAAATCCGAGATGTCGCTCATAATCATTGCCAGTTTCGTGCATTGCACAAAATAGAAGGCACCGAAAAATTCCACATGAGGCGGAAGATCCGTTCCAGCGTCAGAGGTGGACAGATGCGGCCTATACGCCGAGAGCTGCCGAGGAGTAGGAAGCTCGACATTTTGATATAGCGCAGAAGGCAACACTGAGGGGCATCCGAAGGAGAGTGAAAATGATTTGTCGGTGATGAACAGGCTCCAGAAAAGGCACAGGTTGCGCGAATATAGCTCGCTGTCTCTGGGCGCGGATCCAGAAGGAAGTGGCAGCTTGATCATCTGGGCCATTCGACAGGCCTGGCTCGTCAGATTCCAACAAAGGCTAGGCGTCACAAGATCTTGTCCGTGGACGGCGAAGATGGTCAATGCCTGTATGTTTAGGATGGTGGGTTCCATGAAGAGGCTGGCCTCATCCGCAGCCAACCAAGCGTTCCAGCGCAAATGGAACGTATATTCAGACAATTGTGGGCTCTGGGTCGACGCCGTCGCAAGAATGGTGTTCAACATCAGCACCCAGCCTCGATTTGCCACGGTAGAGGGACGAAAGACCAAGTTAAACAATATATCTTGGGGAGGTTGACTGATGAGAGGATATCCTCGATCGATGGCCGTAAGGAAACCTCCAAGACGTTAGGCCATGTGTAACGAGCGGTGCGATAATAAGGTAGGCCTACATTCAACAAACATCTGTCCAACCGGCTCCGTCGGAACAAAAAAGGCTTCTTGCTCTCGCCTTGTCATTCTGACTGCAGCTTTGATCTTGTCGTAGTCATAAGTCGAGTCTTTGAATTGGCTATAGAGGTCGGAAAGCATGCCAGTGCCTTGAGTTGTGATAGCTGTAAGATTCTGGCGTATATGACTGCCGTCAAGCACATCCTGGATGTGGGAAAAGGTCGAGGTAACGCTAGAGAGAGTATCGTTGCCGAACTCTGGCAGCTGATCCTGATTTGTTTGGGCACCCGAACGACTTTGCCAGACAGTGAAGCTGGGATTTGGGCCTGCATGCTGACCGACTGATTCTGGATCTGGATCGATGTCCGGGGTGTCTCTGCGTATAATCAGCTGGGTGGCAGAGTAAAGCCTCAGGAGTGGACGCTACCTAATCATCGGGCCATGCTTGCTGTCAGATGGTTCCCGAGAATATGAACAATCACTCGTCCAGGCGCTGCAGTTTTTGCATTTGGGTTTCTCCCGAGAACAGCGGAGCTGCCTTGTATGAGTAGTGTATCTGGATCATGATCGGCCTTGAGGGCAAAATATGCGAGTAGCCCGGCCCATCATCCTTGCATCCACTTACCTTTTTCTTCCAACAGTAGTCGCACTGACAGGTTAGCGAGGGCCGGGGGGAGCACGGCACCCTTAACTTACAGCGTATCGACTTAGGCTCTTCTCGTCAGCCATACCGACAGTATCACGCCAGGATCCCCTTACAGCGGTGTCCTTCCGCAAACGCGGCGATGAAAGGAACTGCTGCTGTGCATTTCGGAGCAGTGTTGATGTTCTATAGTGTTAAAAGTTGCATGGACGGAGATATCGCGCGCCCTTCCGAGGAGACTGAACTCGATTCGCTCCGGGAATGGCGACCAACGCTTGGTTCCGACTCCTTCGGTGACGATTGGGCGGAGTTGTTGGCGAGAAAGGATTTAAGCATAGGGCTTCCTCCTGGCCAATAAGGTACTCCCCTTCGTCCATTGCTTTAGAAGGTGGGCCCATAATCGCAGGGGACGAGGCTGAGATAAGTCACTCTCTTTCTTTCGCAGAGTGGTTACTAGGAGATCTCCCCGTGCTTTAGGGGGCCCAGGCACCTACGGTGGGAACCTCATTCCCCAACCTCTTCCTTCTTGGTTTCCGCTCTCGCCTGCGCTCGCCTTGACCTATCCATCGTGCTCCACCTTGAGTCCACAACATTGTGCGCAAGTACTCAACTAGAATTCTTTTCGTCTCTCCATAACCATGTTTTGTATTGAATGCTAACAAAACAAACGAGCCTAGCAAGCCGACCCTGCGCACGTTGCATGTGGTAAAGAACAGCTCAGAGAATGTAAGTGAAATCAAGACTCTGATCTCCTTCTCTACCATTGGTGGTAGCTCCTTCAGCAATCATCTTCGTCTTCTTAGTATTTCTTCTCCTGAGCAGAAACCAGCATGAGGTGTAGAGAAATCCAGCGACAATTGTGAGACCAGCCGAGATAGAGTTACCGGGGACGTATCGTGGGCCTTGCTGACTTGGATATAGCTGACCGGAAATAAGGTTCGATACGTTGGCTAAACTATAGGCAAATGGCTGGCCTATTGCACGTTTCGAGTCGGGTGCGAGGTTCGTTGTGATCCACGTTACAGCCAAGGTGGAAATGGGATAAAGCCCTGGTGAATGGTGAAGATCATCAGAGGTGCCCTTCAATCAAATGCCGAGACGACTCACCTATGACAAGGACAAACATGCCGGCATAGCCAACATCAGGGTTTTTGGACCACACGCACATGAGATACCCCACAGCGACAGGTGCACAACATCCAACGATGAAAAATGCCCGCTTTCTGAGCTTGTCCGAATAGTAGACCTGGACCGAAAGGGATATGGCCCCAAGAACATAGACTGGGATAGTCATGTAATTGACCTTAAGGGAAGCAAAGCTACAACCAGTCAGCCAAAGAAGGTTTGGTATCCAACGTCAGAACTTACCCCAGGCCGTCGATGATGGTGGGTAGGAAGACTCCAAATCCGTTTATGGCAATCGACGAAGTGAAGAAGGCAAGGCCCAGGAGGTAGACAAAAGGGTCGGTCAGGGCGATCTTGATCCACTTGCGCTCGAATTTCTCTTCTCCTCGGATGAGGTAGTCTCGTTCCTTTTTGATCCGCATGGTCTCCTTCTCTTCTTCGCTCAGAAACCATGCTTTCTCGACTTCGCCAGGCAGGAAGAACAGACCAATACCACAGATCACCACGGTGATACAGAACTCAATGATAAAGAGCCATCTCCACGCCGCAAGACCGTGCCGTGTCCCCATCGTTTGGACAGCATATGCGAAGAGCCCGCCAAAGGCACCAGAGATACATTGGGCAAGGTTCGTGGTCATGATTCGCTTTCCTGCTAGCTCACGTGGATAGATAGTTGAGAATAGGAAGGCGAATGCCTGGGCGAGACCCGCTTCGGCGGCATTCAGCAACATACGACAGGCGATCGTCTGGCCGTACGTTTGGACGAACGCAGTCCCGAGCGTACAGATGCTCCATAGGACGAACGCTGTACCGATCGCCTTTTTGGCACCCCATCGACGGGTAGCCAGGACCCAAGG